AATATAGCTATAGTATCTTCTAGCTAGTTAGTATTAGCTTTATCTCTCTTTTATTTACCTATATTACTTTTTTAGTAATATCTATTATTAAAATAGGTATTAGGTAAATATTACTAACTAGGTAGAGGCTAGAGCGCTTCTATTTCTATATAGTCTAATAGAACGTAATTCTTCTAGTTATTAAAACTATTAATAGAAGTAGTATTACTCTTTTCTTAATAGAGATATTTAGAGTATAAGAATAGCTACGTAAATATTTTTCTATTCTAGTAGTAGATTTAACGCGTATATCTCTAAAGGCTACTCTAGCCTAGAAAGAAGCGCTTATAGAGTAGATAGCGCTTAGAATTCTTTACTAAATAAGAAATTAATAGAAGGTTTAGCGTAGATATCTTACTATAGAATACTTTAGTATAGCTACTCTAAGCTAGCAAGCCTCTAGTAATTATAATATTACCTATTTCTAGGTAGAGATATTTAGAGTATAAGAAAGGCTAATTAAACGTTCTATTCTTAACGTAGGTCTTCTAGTAGTACTTAGTAAGCTTGCTCTAGCTATAGAAGGTAGTATTATAGAGAAAGTACCTAGACTACTTTATATATATATAGTTAAGGTTAACACTCTTATTATAGGTAGGCTCTACTACGTCTCTACTACTACCTTTAACTATAATCTTTAGAATACTAGGCTCTAGCGTTAGACGTAATAGCTAATAAGCTAGATAATTAACTAGAAGCTCTATATAGTACTATACGCGTTACTTTACTAAATAGTCTTTCTTAAGCTTCTAGGCGTAGCTTTATAGAAACTATATAATAGTAGATAGCGTGCTACTACTACGTATTTTCTCTAAGAAAGCTATAGTAGGTAATTCTTAAGCTCTTAGACTATCTACGTATTTAAAATACGCTACTCTCTTTTCTTATAGTTTTAGATACAATAGAGTTTTAATAAGATTCTTAATCTACGCTTTAACTAACTAGATCTCTTTATTATCTCTCTATTATGCTTTCTTAAGATTAGCGTAGAGGCTCTATATATTATAATACTTCTTAAACTTCTTTAAGTTCTTTATACTTACGTTTATAGAAGCGTCTATATTCTAGCTTAGAGATATACTATAAAGGCTCTAGAAGAGGTTATTATTACGCCTAGCTATAGGCCTAAAGGCTAGCTTTATAAGATTTTCGCGGACCTATTTTATCTAGTAACTTCTCTAGAAAACCTAGGTAGTATTAAAGAGAATGTAATTATATAGCGTATTAGTAAGAACGCCTATAAAGTTTTAAAGGTTAGTAGTAAAATCTTCTACCTAGCATAGTATAAGCTTTATAGAGTTTACTTACTATTAAGTCTTCTACTAGCGCTAACTTATATTATATAGAACTGTAAATTCTTATATAATCTACTAATAAGATAAGTCTAGTACTATAGATTATAGAAAGTACTATTAGAAAGATTAAAAATAGAGTAATTAAGTATCTTCTTCTTCTAGTCTAGTAGTAGAAAGTCTACGCTTTTAAGAGTAGAGTAGAAGAGTAGTACCTTAATAGACTTAAACTCTACCTTAAAAGTATTATCTTTAATTACTTGCGTAGTAATAATGCTAGTAAGATAGACTAGGCTATATAGAATAAGAGTTATAGAGAATAATATTCTATATAGTTTAATAAGAGTAAGTAATTATAATAGTAAGAGATAGAAAGAAGAATACTAAAGAAGAAGTAGCGTAGTTATACTTACGTAAGTACTCTAGAGACGCGTAAAGCTAGCTTTAGCTTATTCTTTCTAATTATAGGGGTAATAATAAGCTTTATCTTTAACTAGTTGTTAGAGTTCTATATAATAGCTAGGTAGACGTCTCTATACTTAATACTTATTATTATTACCTACCTAAAGCCTCTAATAGTAGCTAGAAGAAGAATACTATAGAAGAAGACGTAGGTGCTAGGCTAGTAGAGTATATTATTAGTACGCTACTATAGTATCTTAAGAAGAATAATAACGTCTTTAGTAGTAGCTTTAATCTTCTTAAAAGTAAGAGTAGTTATAAGTCTATACTTCTTTATAAGAGTATAGAAGATCTACTAGATAGAGAGATTAGCGTTCTTAGAGATTTAGAATAGGTAAAGTAGAGTACCTACCTAGTAGATCTTAAAAATAGAACTCTATCTACGTTAATTTATATAGTCTATAAACTTAAGTTACTACTACTAGTAATTCTCTAAGTTCTTACGCCTTTTATCTAGAAGAATAGTAGAGTTAGTCTAGGTAATAAGCTCTCTCTAGTATTAAATAACTATAGAGGCTAAATTTATAGTCTACCTATACTTATACTCTTTTAGCCTAAGAACTATAAACTTCTATACTAAATCTTTAACGTAGTTATAAAGGTATAAGTAGTAGTAGTTTATAGCCTTCTTAGTTCTAAGGTATAGACTAAGCTAGATCTAGTTTAGGTTAATTTATATTACGTTAGTAAAGTACCTAGAGGTATATATTAGAATTAATATTAAGAATTAGCTAGTTGCGCGTATAGAGAAATAAAGAGAGAGATACTTATAAAACCTAATTCTCTATAGCGCGACAGTAGTAGCTATCTGTTACTAGCGTAATTATTAGCTAGTTATCTAGTAGCTGTAACGTATATAACTATAGCGTTAACTATACCTTTACTCTTCTTAATTCTATATTACTAGAAGATAGAGTATAAGTCTATAGCGTCTCTACATTCTACCTTTAATTATTACCTTATAGGCGCTCTATTTCTAAGTACTATCTAGTATCTTTTCTCTTAAAGAAGAACGCTTTAGACGTAGCTTAAAGAAGTAGTAGAATAAGTAGAAAGTATAATAGTAAGAGAGTAGACAGCGGCTCTATAACTATAAGAGAGGCGTAGGTTAGTAAATAAAATAGAGAGCGTGTTTAAATACCTTAAATTAACCTAAGATAGGTATAAAGCTATTAGAGTAGGTATAAGGAGCGCTTTTATAGAAGAATAAGAGAAAGAGAAGAGAGTAAGAGAATAAAGAAGTGCGCGTAAAGAAGAGTAGACGCTATAGGTTAAGACCCTCTTTTATATATATAGGTAGACTGCGTAGAAGAGATAAAGCTTAAGAGTATTAGAAAGTGCTACTAGTAGAGCGAGCGCTATGCTACTACGCGTAATAGGTAACTATAGTACTAGAAAGCGCGCAGGCACTATCTAGACACGGCTTGTCTTTATAGGCTTCTAGACGCTAGAGTAAGTAGGCAAGTCTAGAGAGGAAGAACACTATATTAGATAAAGAAAGAGAGAGTATAGATAGGTAGCTCTAGCGTTAGTCAACTAAGGTGTAGGCGTTAGAGGAGAGAGAGCTAGGGCTAGCTCTATTGTTACTAAAAGACTATTAGTTAACGTAGGACGAGGCGGGGCCCTAGAAATAATATATAATATAAGCGGGTTTACAATATAGACGGCTAGTGCTTAAGGGGGTTGGCATAGAGAAACAGCTAACGCCGACTAGAGCTTAGCGGGCCGCGTAAACGCCCGCCGTAGAGACTTTTCTAGAAGTTCTTCTCTCCTTTCTTTTTAGTATGTGTTTTAAAGCGAAAGCCCCTATAAGCTTAAGTTAAACGGCGAACTACCCCCAATCGGCTTATAATAGTCTGCTAACTACGGTTTCTTTCGTTAATTATAGTAGAAGTAATTTGCCTTACTTACTAAAAGCGTGTTCTTCGCGATTGCACAGGACGGCGTTTTTTTTTTACGTCTATCTCGGAAATGCGCTACTCTAGAGGGCGAAGTAGCGACTCTAGATTTAAAGCACTATTTAAGTATGCTGCTAATACCCGTAGAATCTCTATATCGCGATGTTTTAGAGAAGAGAAAGAGAACACAACGGCTAAGAAAGCCATGCAAACCTCCACTAGACAAGCTAAACGGTAGCGATTAGGGTCCTAGTAGAGAAGGGTCTAGAGGAGAGACGGCTTAAACAACGATTAGAGTAGCAGCAACAATAGCTAGACTAGAAATAGAGCAGGCGGAAACGGAGGGGGAGATAACGGGGGAGATAATAGAGGAGATAATAGAAGAGGTAACGAAGAAGGAAAAGATGTAATGCTAGAAGTATCTACTAAGTTAGTCGCACATGCTAAAGATAACACTGCTATCGAAAGCGTACTATTCTAATATGTTGCTTATCTATTACACGGTTAGCAGGGGGGTAATCTAACGGCATCGTGGAGGCATATAGTATCGTAGAGAAATATCTATAGCAAGAGGTCGAGGTTAGAGAATATGTCTTAGAGAAGCTAGGCTAAAACACAAAACGGTTTTAGTACCGTTTCTCCAGAGTCCCTCAACTGGTAGGCCTATCCTATTCTATGCTAGCGGCTCTTGGAGGCGAGATATCGCGTTTAGTTCTAGCAAATATTAGCTGCTAACTTTTAATAGGCTTAAAGACGCCGACTAAAAGTAGCTGTATGGACCTTTGCAACCTAGGCCTTACCGAACCCATGCATACTAAACAAAGGAGCGCCTAACTTTAAACGATAGCAATGTTGGTGTCTAAAAAAAGCCAGCCCTAAAAAAGCATAGCGTCTTTGGCGCACTTCTTCTAAAACTAAGTAGCCAAGACAAGGGAATTTCCCTATAAGAGAAATGTAGAACTGTTAGATTTTCCGCGAAGATGGAGCTTCTCGAAGATGATAACGATTCGGACTCGCCACTCTCGACTACTACCAGCACAGCTTCTACTACATCTTTTGGTTTGACATCCGATTTGGTGGCTCCAGAAGATGAAAGAACCATTGTTGAATTTGCCGAGATGGAGTTCCCAAGCTCATCTGGCAAAAGAGATTCCGGCTTGCGGGCACTAGAGCGTGGAGAGAGGATCCGCCGAGAAAGTGCGGCGTCTCGTATTAATGGATTTGGACTGACTCGAGTGGCTGAGAGCTGTGGCGCGAGTGGCTGAAAACTGTGGCGTGCGGCGTCGGAACCCACCGAAATCTCACACAACAGCAAGCTGGCAAGATAGAAGATCAACATCTACGTGCATCTCGGCTTGTAACAACGTCAAACGGTCCTACTCTGTCTAAAATAAGCGTTGGACATTATCTCACGAATGCCCTTATCGCGGGTCGCTTAGGCAGGAAGCGGTTGCCTGGTTCCCTTCCACCGCACGTAGTACTTGATGCCTAGCGGCCTCGGATTATACTGGAAAACCACGCTCATTCTCTTCCTCCCGATCTTTCTCGGAGCCCTCATCTACCGTATTCAAACGCCTTTAGAAATCGTAATGCGTTCCCGGCGCTCCCCATCAGAAGTCGCTTCTTCTCTCCTGGCTTCCCAGGGCCTTCATCTCCAGTCCCTCGACGTAATCCAATCACTATGGGCAGGATACGGTCAAATATGTCGCATCACAGCAGCCCCAGCGGCAATACCAAACTCCTCTGGCGCCACTTCAAGGTCAGCCTCAACACGTAGCTCAAACGTATCCACGCCCCAGGAAACGCACTCCTACATCTTCAAACTCATCACGCCCCCACCGACGAAAGCAAACGACGAAGGCCACACACGCAAGATACTAAGCTACCAAGTCGAACAGTACTTCTACTCTCACCTTGCGCCCCAGCTCCCAGGCTCCATTCCCGTCGCCAAATGCGTAGCCAGCATCAACGAGCACCATCCGAATGGGACCTCCACTACCGCCATGATCCTGACCGACTTGCGCCAGCAGTTCCCTGTCGAAGGCGAGAAACGCGATGTGCTATCCATGGGCCAAGCCCTTGCGGCGATAGATTGGCTTTCCAGCTTCCACGGTTTCTGGTGGCCGCGTGTAAAGGACATGGATCGCCGCAAGCTAGTAAAACCCCCGCTTGAGGAAGTGAAGCACGATGGGGAGGATGCAGTCCAGAAGACTGTGTGGCTGAACGGCGGATACACATACCTCGCAACGCGCCGGAAAGAGTACGCTAGTCTGGCATCCGACTACGATGCTGAATGGAACGCCCCACTCACCGACTGGGAGTACGACGAGTTCTCCATCTCGGACCTAGTCGCGCACGTCCTGGCGCCGAAACAGCGGGGTTGGAGCCCGATCGAGGGGTATGTGACCTTGCTTCACGGGGACGTCAAGAGCGAGAACTTGTTCACGAGCACGAGCGGTGAAGAGGTGGTTTTCTACGATTTCCAGTACACGGGGCTGGGCCTGGGTGTCTGCGATCTAGCGAAGCTGTTCACGTGCTCTGTTCCTCTGAGCATGCTTGTTGAGGATGAGGGTGTGCCGCGGGAGTTATCTATGCAATTCGGAGAGAAGAAGTTGTTGGAGCGGTACTGGACGAAGCTGCAGGAGGTATCCGGGAAAGAGTACGACTGGGATATCTTCGTCAGCCACTGGGAGACGGCATTGGTGGATTGGTTACGGTTTCAGGCGAGCTGGGGCTTTTGGGGGAATACGGAGTGGTTGGAGGCAAGAGTGCGATCTATCTTGAAGAACGAGTGGTGGAAGAATGCGGTGATTGGGAATGCGACTATGGGAGGGATCGCGGAGGAGGAAATGGACATTGTGGCGCTCATAGAAGGGGACCAAAAGGCCTCCTGACCTGTAGCGTGGACACTAGTCCCGCTCTGGCTAGCTGGTTCGCGCTTGCTGCCCAGATGTGTCGTGTGAAGGGAAGCCTTAAAGCCTTGAGGCAGCACTATCAAACGAATATTCTAGCGGGCTATCGCTTAGAATTCAAAAAGAACTTAATTGATTTCCACAAGGTGTCTTCACCGCGCTTTCACTTTGAATGGGTACCCCTGTTCGCGTGTCGGCCCGCGCGCCCCGCGGATACCTTAGACCCACAGTGCTCGCGGTGCCAACCCAACCCACGTCACTACTAACACGCATTCAGGTCAAATTTGATCTGATGTCTGTCTCTCTCGGATGGCCATTAAGTCTCGAGCAGCGGGAATGCTCCATCACGATAGAAGCCAACCCATTTTCCCAATCTTATCAAATTCAACGTCTACAATCATGTCCTATTCGCGGACCGCACAGAGAAGCTCCCCAATACCAAAGCACCTGCGCCGAAAAACTAAGTAGAAGATGAGGAGGCTCGCTACTGCGTTCTCCCACGAAGCGTCCAAGCCCAGGTACCTCCCACTGATTCCGTCGTAGACTTCTCCGCCGATCGATCCCACCACGGAGAATGAAAAACGACGCCTCGATACGAACATCCGAAAGGCTACAAGAAGTTTTAGCTGTAGATAAGTGGTCTGCGGATGGGGGTTAATGAGATGGCGGCGCTTGAGCCAAGATCGCAGAGCTTCACCGGTCCCCGTCCTGCGGCTCTCAAGGCTGAATCTAGGGAAGGGACTGGCGGTGCCCAGTGCCAACACACCTTCCTGCAGCAGATTCTGCCTTGTGAAATATGCCCCGCTTCAGCCTTTTCGCATCTCGACCTAATCTCTAATACCCTCTTGCGGTATCTTCTCCTCCATCGACAAGGAAATCGTCCCAAGCTCGAGATGCCCTCTTTCATCCCAAGATCTACCAGTTGAGCAGGACTATCATCATATGTCCGACCGAACTTCTCGCCTCGTCGCGGCTCTCTTGACGTTATTGCGATGCCTCTCACCTTCGGCGCCGTCGGAGACGTCATTGCCGTGGCCCTCCTCGTAAAAGATATCCTCAATGCGCTGGACTCAAGTCGCGGGGCCGCTTCTGAATACCGAGAGCTCAAAAGAGAACTATATATCCTCGAGCGAGTGCTTCTTGAGGTGGAGCATCTATTCCGCGAATGCGACAATACACCTGAGCTAGCGCAGACCTGTGAAACAGCAACCCGCTGCATCGCAGACTGTCGGACAGCTGTTGGAGACTTCCTCAACAAGATAAACAAGTATGGGAAGACGTTGGCGAAGGGCTCAACCTCGAACGCTGTCAGCAAAACAGCCATGAAGCTCCGTTGGACGCTGCTGGATAAGGACGAAGCCTTCCGGTTTCGCGGGGAGATCATGGCGCATACGGATTTCCTGAATATGCTCCTGCACTCCGCCAATTTGTACGTACGTTCTCTGGCCATGCGTTCAGCAACTAACAATGATGTCCCAGCAAGCTCATGCAGCTTCACCAACAACGAATGACTACCTCACTGTCCCAGACTTCAACAATGACGTTGGACCTCCTTGTGAACCAGGGCGCCACGCTCATCGAGATACGAGACCGGCTGGAAGAGAAGAACACTATCATGTGCGCGCAAGAAGCATCGCTAGCCCGCATACAAGATCAGCTCGAGGAGACCCACATGCTCATCAGTCACCAAAGCATCTACCTGAATGACATTCGGAGGTGTCTACGGATCGATCAGTTCATGACGGGCAAAATTCTCTCTCTAGCAAGGAAGCTCTACCACAGTCTACTCCGTGGCATTCTACCCCATATCTTCTGCGGACTAGACATTGTCCTTGCTCAGTCCTGTGGCGTCGCCGTCTACGATGAAGCTTCCACTCCTAACGGGGACCCGACGTTTATCGTATTAGGCATCGAATTGGGAATGGATGCCTATGTCGCGCTTTACCGCGCAGGATCTTGGACTCTGATATCCCTGCTAGGCAACTCGACCGAGCTCCCGTTACACCCGTTCACTCCCAACATGTTGATTGCTGGATACCTCCACAACGCTCTTGTTAGGTTCTTCCACCGGTTTGACTTTGTTGAGATGACGTTTGATATCCACCAGTATGAGACGACCTCATCCATGTCTGCGGATGGAAAGGAACCGTTGATATACGTAGTGGTATCGGTGGCATATGGGTGCCTGGGGTACCGCCCATCTGCGTCTCCAAAGGAATGTCCGATTGATTACTTCACGATGTACCAAGGGCCACATGGCGCATCATGGACGGTTTCCTTTCCGGCGGCCACCGTGAATTGGACTGCACAGATCATAAGAGCCGTATTCGTAATTTTACTCAATCGCGATGAATACAACGAGTACTGGGCAGACTGGACGCCCAGCTGAAACATTTTGTCCCTCTCCAAGCCTGCTCTCTACACAGATTCCAATAAACCAACCTTATCCCCAAAATACGCCATTTACAAATCTTTAATCCGTCTCGCGCAAAAATCCGACGACCCATCTTCCCCTTCCTCTTATAACCTTCTTGTATATGCACCTCTAGAGAACATATAAGTCGCGAAAGAAATAATTCATCAATATCCGCGAACCTGTAACTAGCTATCCCTCCATTACCTACATTCATTCCGTCGTGTTCTCCTTTCCCACATTTCTCCCATGCACCCTTATGCCATGCCTGGATAGATTGACGAAAGACGTGAAGGAGCAGTGTTATGTGTGTATTACCAACGGAGCGTCTCATGCCGACCACCGGTTAACCATCTGAGGACGAATGGATGAGAGAGATGGCTTGTAGTGCTGGGGGCAAGAATGCTAGGTAGAGCGGCTCGATGGTGGGAGTAATGGACGGAAGACCAGCCACAGAAGGACTGGGTACCTCTGGCGTTCGGCGAGAAATCATGGTCGTTTGGGTTCGAGGTGGGAAATGCCTAGATAGCTGAAGATCTTGTTTGCGTGGAATATGCTGGTCCGCTGCGTTGCGTTTTTGTACCAGTTTTGCTTCCACATGGAGTTCTATTGCCTTGATTTTGTGTTCCGAACGGGTTTGGACCATGCCAATAACTGCTCAGCAGCAGAAAAAGACTAGAAATGAAATGCCGCTTCAAGAAGAGGAGTCTAAGCCATACCTCCTTTGCCCCCTCTATGTATATATACCCCTGTCCAGCCGCGCGCCCTCTCTACCATTTCGCCTCCTTACTATTTGTAAACTCCTTGAGGATCCCCACCACCTTCTCTAGCGCACTCAACCACTTCTCCAGTTCCGCCTGCACCTTCGCATCATCGCTGCCCAACTTGGCATAGAAGTCCTTCCTGTACGGTGTGGCGCTCATGGCGGCGCTGAAGATGGGCTTGATGACGAACGAGTGGTGCGGCTTGAGTGTGTTGCCGTAGGCGTCGCGGAACGAGGCGGAGAGCTCGGTCGAGGGGTTGCTCATGTTGTGGCGGAGTGCTTGGGCGGTGAAGTCGAGGCCACTAGAGAGTGGAGAGTTAGCGAGAGAACGAAGAGTAGTAGTAAGATGGGGGAAGGATAGGAGGGGGACATACCGGACGAGCCATAGTAGGCCTTCGGTGGCGGTGTGCTTCTTCTCCTTGAGCTCGTTGAGGCAGAGGTCCTGCAGCGTCTCTGAAAGTTGCGGGGCGGCTAGCTGTCTGTCCCGGATTTTCTGCACAGCATGTCAGCTTCCGCGAATTCTTCTTTGATGCTCCCGTGGAGCTCATACCTTGATGTTCCCGTTCATATCACTCTTGACAGGCTTGAAGGCCGCCGAGCCCAGCACATCTGCACGCCTGCAATTAGCCCCGATTGGCCCCGGGGAAGATAATGAAGGGAAGAGCGAATGTACCGAAGAGTGTAAGCAAGCTCTCCGCGGCCTCCAGGAACTCGGTCGTCGAGACCTTGTTCTCCGCACCGACCGGCACATCGACGAAGCTCTTCTTGAGCGTATCGAAGAAGGTGCCGCCTGGAGGAATCGCAGCCGTCATTTCTGCCTGTTGAATTGCAGTACACGATGAACCTAGGGAGTTGAAGAAGTGAGGGTTCAAAAGACAAAGGTTCCTGAAGGCTAGGAGGGTTGAGGGCTGAAACGCGGATTGTGTAGGCGGTGAGCTGTGGTGGGGTTTCCTTGGCAGGGACACTTAGCGCAGGGCGGGGCATGCTAGCCGAATAAATCCATCCCCTTACACTATTTCTTCTTTGCTCTCGTCACTCTCTATTCCTTTACTCTTTCAGTGTAGGGACAAGGCGCAGGGCAACCCTAAGGCCTCTCCTCCTTATGCCGCAATTTGAAGAAATAATAGCAGGAGGGATAGCAAGTACAAAGCCGCTACGATTAAGTATTCTCACCCTACGACTCACGTGTACCGTTGAACTTTTCAGCTTGCGCTTTGTACCACTGTGGTTCACCATGGCTATGCTAGAAAAGCTGAACCGGGAAGGAGCCCAGCATCTCGGCCTGCCATCCGGCTCGATGATTTAACTTCGGCCTACCCCCTAACAGTGCTTTAATCACCACACGAACAGACCTCACCATCAAGAACCTGTACAGCTAATTGGCCAAGTGTTCTTGTTGAAGTCTCCGGCCTTTCTCTACCATGGGTCTCTGCGACATGTGCACCACCATTCCAATGCTCAAGCTTCCATCTGAGCTGAAGCCTGGATTGCCTCACCAGCTCTGGAGGAATCGGCCGCCGAATGTCCACTCTGTCAAGTCATCTGGGTGGCCTCCGGATATCTCGCGGGCATCCTCAAGGGCGGCAAAGACGGCAAAGTGTGCCCCAGCCCTGGCGCCATCGTCACCTGGCACTATTCCGCTGAGATCAACGCCACGATTCAAGCCAGCTCCGGGTACTGGGACGAAGGGGGGTCCATCCGTCTTGTGGACGATGGCTACAATGGACCGATTTTCGTCAATCCTAGGGAGGCATTTGAGGATACGAAAGGCGTCCGGCCATGGCTCTTTGGTAACTGGTGGAGTTTGTATGAGGATGAGAAAGATTTGCGACTGATTGGGCTTGGCGTACGCCTGGGAACTGGCCCAGACATCAAACAAGGGTTCGGCAATACCGACGGGAAGCACGTCTATCTTCATGGCTCGTACTTTCGGTTCCGGACTAATGATGGTAAGAAGGAGCATCCAGTTCAGCCAATCTGAAATATCCCTTGGCTGTTGCCCTGCCAAAGCTAACAGACGCTATTAGATAACCCTTTTGCTTCCGTCATTCCTGGAAGATATACCACACCGGCTTCCCACGAACTGTCAGTTATAAAGGTCCAGAAGTGGCTTAAGGAGTGCAACGGTCATCCTACCTGCCGAGCCATGGCCGAGCGAACTACGCCTCTCCCAACACGTTTGCTCGATCTGAGTGAGGACCCAAACGCTCAGGTGGTCTCGCTACTAGAGACAGGAGGTCGTGCGGGGAAGTACATTGCTCTGAGCCACTGCTGGGGCCTTTCCCATCGACTCACGACTACCAAGAGCACACTTTCGGCCCATATCAACGGGATCAGCATTTCAGCACTGCCAAGGACGTTTCAGGACGCTATCCAACTCGCCCGCCGGCTCGACGTTCGGTTTGTTTGGATAGACTCTCTCTGCGTCGTTCAAGATGATGCTAAGGATTGGGAGCGCGAGTCAGCAAAAATGGGGGACGTGTATTCCTACGCTTACCTGACAATTGCAGCAGCGGCCTCCACCGACGACTCCACAGGCTGCTTCCCGGAACGCAACGTCTACACAAACTCATCAGACCCCTTATTTTTCGGGATACCAGGACCGAGTCTCGTACCTGTTCAGGTCGGGCCAGGTCTCTTGGCTTACCCCAGCAAAATGCCGATGGCGTACCTATCCGATAGCGAGGGAGCAGCATGTTCCGTAAGCCAGGAATGGTTGCCCTCGTCCGTCGAGGGCCTGCGACGCACGTACTACTGTTCTGGGGACGAGGGACTCCATGTTGACCCCGTGGGTGACCAGAATCTAAGTATGCGAGCTTGGGTATTACAGGAGCGGCTGTTATCCCACCGGACGCTTCACTACGCCGAGGATCAGATGTACTGGGAGTGTCATAAACATCTCCAAGCCGAGGACGGCGCTCGGTTCCCGACGAGCTCTCGCTCATTTCCCGGGCGGGGAGAGCTACCGCTGGGAGACACTTACATGAAAGACGAGGGCCAGTGGTGGGCACTAGTAGAGGATTACGCAGTCCGCCATTTGACCCGCGGCACCGACAAGCTACCCGCCATAGGAGGTCTTGCGAAAGCAATTGCTCGGAACACGGGCGACACGTATCTTGCTGGACATTGGCGGAGGTCGCTTCTGCCGAAACTTCTCTGGAGGATCAGGATGAGTCAACCAACGCATAACTGTGCCAACCCTGACCATCACGAGGAGGCCAGGCACGCTGCGTGGAAGTGGAAGGGGACTAGATTCGCTGGTTATCGCGCGCCTTCGTGGTCTTGGGCTTGCCATGTCTTTTCGGTGCAGTTCACGAATTCATCCATGATTGGACGCGAGTTGGCGGAAATTCTGACGGCTGAAGTGTCCCCTTTGGGTAACGACCCATTCGGGCAGGTGAAGTCGGGGTTGATCAAGTTTTGGGTATGTTATGTTCCACACGATGTGCTTCGTCACCTCCGGGCTGGTTCTTCAAGCGGACTAACATTGTAAACCTAGGCACCATTGCTAGAACTGCACCCGTCGAAGCCCGAAAGCCCTTTTGGAAAGGGGAAATACAAGTATGAACCAGATTACGTCGACTTTCATATCCCTGGCACCCCAAGTGGAAGAGGACGTGCACTCTTTGATTTCGAGCCCGAGTTTCCATGTTGGGCACTTGTCTTGACAACCGAGGCTGGGCTTCTCGTCAAGGAGGGATCTGAAAAAGGAGCATATCAGAGAATAGGGATGTTGGCTTTTAATCTACCGGACTCGCTGGAGCATGAGACGGCATACACCACGGCAGAGAACAGATCAGGATTATGGAAGACCGTTACACTGACGTAGACCGGGAGTTAGAGCGATTTGAGGAAGCTCCCTCGAGCACTAAGCCTTCTCTACCTGCCCTTCGTTTTGTCTCGCTCTTTGTAGTTTGGGATGAGATAATTAATACGGTATCTTAACAGCCCTAGACCTAGGTACTTCTCCAAACAGGAGACCTTGGAAGTGAAGTTAACTAAATCAAATACGGCTAGAGCAACGCCAAGCTCCGGTGGAGGACCGTGCGCTAAAACACCATCATCGAGAACAACCCCACCAACTCCGCGAAAGTGTTCGTAAAGGTGATCTGCGGTGGATATATATCCGCTGCCGGGCTTCTCTCCGCATAATGCTTCCATTATCCTATAGGATTTACCTGAACCGGGATGTCGCCTACCGAGGTTGCAGGTCCCGCTTCGTTGATCGATGACTTGCTCCTTCCTCTACTTACACAGCAAGACCGGAAATAAACAGTCAACTACTCCGCAGCTCACCTTCCAGCGCCCTTCCCTAACATCGCAAATATGCCGTCTCACATCCACGACCGCACTACCATCTACCGCGTTGTCTGCATCCCCGGCGACGGCATCGGCGTCGACATCACTGAAGCCGCCGTGCAAGTTCTAAACACTCTGTCCAAAGCCCTAGGAGGGTTTGAATTCGAGTTCACGACCGTCGACTGGAGCAGCAAAGCCTACCTCGAGCGAGGATGGTACATGCCACCCGACGGGCTGGAGCAGTTGAAGAAGTTCGACGCGATATACTTTGGCGCTGTAGGATGGCCTGGTACGATCCCAACTCCCAATCGGAAGCGGACTGGGAGAGACTGACTTGCGTCTAGACGTGCCCGACCACATCTCCCTCTGGGGCCTCATCCTCCCCATCCGCAAAGCCCTCAACCAATACGTCAATGTACGCCCGACACGCATCCTCCCCGGGACCACCTCCCCGCTCGCAAACTGCGCACAAGCCGACCTCGACTGGGTGATCGTGCGCGAGAACAGCGAGGGCGAATACAGCGGGCAAGGCGGCATCTCGCACGAGCACTCGCCGCACGCCATCGGCACCGAAGTATCCATCTTCACGCAAGTCGGCATCGAGCGCATCATGCGGTTTGCCTTCGAGACGGCGCGGTCGCGACCACGCAAGAAGCTGACCATGGTGACGAAGAGCAATGCGCAGCGGCATGGCATGGTGCTATGGGATAAGGTGTTTTACGAGGTGGCGAAGGAGTATGGGGATGTGGAGATTGACAAGATGCTTGTGGATGCTATGACGGTGCGGATGGTGCTGAATCCGAAGTCGCTTGACACCATCGTCGCAACCAACCTCCACGCCGATATTTTGTCTGATCTTGCTGCCGCATTGAGCGGCAGTATTGGGATTGCGCCAAGCAGCAATCTTGATCCTACGCGCAAGAACCCGTCAATGTTCGAGCCGATTCACGGGTCGGCGCCGGATATTGCGGGGAAGGGGATTGCGAATCCGGTAGGTGCGTTTTGGAGCGCGGCAGAGATGGTGCGGTGGTTGGGCGAAGAGAAGGCTGCCGATGGACTGATGAAGGTGGTGGAGAGTGTAACTGCTGCTGGTGTTAAGACCAAGGATCTTGGAGGAAGTGAGAATACAAAAGGGGTTACGGAGGCAGTGTGTAGGGAGATTGAGAAACAGTTTGGTGGGGAGTAGGGAATATGTACACGTACCTCTACAGACGCCTTCACACCTTGAATGCCTCTCCTGTTCACATAGGACCCAGAGAAGTGTACTTCGACTTTCTCAAACCAGATCATCAAACAAGCCCGGCGGAATCTTTTCGCCCTCCACAACCCTACTCCTATGCCCCTTCTCCCTCTCGTCCCCCACAAATCTCCAATCAAACCAATCCCTCCAAACCATCACCGCCTTCCCATCCACCAACCCCAAACTAACCGGCCCAAAATCACAACTATCATAGCTCCTCCTCCAATTATCCCCCTCCACCCAAACATGCCCCCTCGGCACCACCACCTTCCCTACCTCCACCTCCTCCCCCCCAACCGCATCCTCATCCCTCACACCCAGCCCATCCCACCCCTCAACCCGCCTGCCCCGCACAATCTCCGTATCCAGTGCGTACCCGCGGTGAGGATACACAGTATCCCCCTCCACCGCCACCACGCGCTTAATACTAATCTCCTCAGGCCGATGCGGCTTCCAAAACGTCACCACATCGCCCCTGCGCACGCCCCTGCCGAAGCGCACATTGCGCCGAATGACGATGCGGTCGAGCCGCCCCGTCTCGTGCGCGTGCGGCGAGAGCGTCGGCGCCATGGACGAGCCGCGCACCGTGTCGAAGGAGACGACGTGGTCGCGGATGAAGAGGATGGCGAGGAAGGAGACGGCGCCGATGCTGGCGGTGCGTGCGTATTTTCTGCTTTTAGGGGGTCCGCTGCGTGTGAGGGGTGGTGCAGGAGGTGCCTGAGCTTCGGAGCTGCGAGGTTGAGGGCGCGGTTGGGGGTTTGCGGGGCCGCGTGGTGAGGGTTTGAAGGCGAGGCTTGCGGGAGGGGCGGGGGCTCTGGGCTTTGGAGCTGCGCGTGGTACGCGGAAGGGGAGTTTGGGCGGCATTTTGAGGGGTTGGTGGGGCGCAATGGCTGTTCTGGTTTTGTGAGGTGAGAAATGTAAAGCTCGGACGCGGAAGACATCCGCGCGGCTTCGAGAAGCGCGATCACGTGTGCGCGGTCTTACCTAGATATCGGGCGCGACCTTATATCAGCACAGAGGGACGATAGGCAAAGGAAGCCAACTTCTATTCGCTCATGTGGCAGGTGTATGGTACAAGTACAGACTGGTACATATAGACAAAATGCATCACCGCCATCCCTCATCCCAATGCTCGTCAATCAACCAAAGGAAATCTATTTCAATGCCTTGATAACCGCGTCCGCGTACTCATAGGTCTTTGCCTTTCCACCGAGATCGCCAGTGATGGTCTGCGTAATGTTAGCATGTCATGTTAGTGTCAGGATCAGTAAGGATGCCTACCTTGCCCTCAGCAAGGACCTTGAAGATGGCGGACTCGATGTTGTTGGCATGGTCGTTGAGACCCATGTGTCGCAGCATCATCATGGAAGAAAGAAGCAGAGCAGTCGGGTTGGCAAGCTGCTTTCCAGCGATGTCAGGGGCGGACCCGTGCACGGCCTCGAAGATGGAGCACTCGTCGCCAATGTTTCCGGACGGCGTGAGACCGAGACCACCAATGAGTCCAGCGCACATATCAGACAAAATGTCTCCGTACAGGTTGGGCATGACCAAAACCTTGTCGTTGTATGGCAGCGGATCGGTGACCATCTTCAAGCAGGTGTTGTCCAGAAGCTCAGCGTCAAACTCAATGTCGGGGAAGTCCTTGGAGACATCGCGCGCAGTGCTCAAGAAGAGCCCGTCGGACATCTTCATGATGGTGGCCTTGTGCACAGCGCGCACCTTGTTCCTGCCAATGTCCCGCGCATACTGGAAGGCATATCGCAGAACGCGCTCCGAGGCCGAGCGAGTGATGAGCTTGATGCTCTGCACAACACCATCGACCACGACATGCTCAATACCAGAGTATTCTCCCTCGGTGTTCTCACGAATCAGAACAGTGTCCACGTTGTCGTACGGGGTCTTGTAGCCGGCAATCGATCTGCAGGGCCGCACGTTGGCGAAGAGGTTGAAGGTCCGGCGGAGCGTCAGGTTGAGAGAGACATGACCCTTGCCGACAGGAGTCGCGAGGGGGCCTTTGAGCGCAACGTAGTTATTCGTGACGCTCTCAATGGCTTCGTCCGGAATGACCGTCTTGCCGTCCTTCAGCCGCGGGGTTACATCGACCGGCTCCCACTTGATAGGCACGTTGGCTGCCGAGTAGATATCCTTGACCGACTGCGCAATCTCAGGCCCGATGCCGTCGCCCTCAATCAGCGTGACTGTGAATTTCCCATCGTTGCCCTTGGTTCCCTTGAACCTGGCGACCTTGTCCTTCTCCGCGGTGACGATGGATCGCGACTGAGCCTACATGAAGAGCAAGTTAGTATATCTGCTCGTCAGATAGCAATTGAGCTGGAATATGAGGGTCGGAAGGCGGAGTGACGTGCAGAGACTAACCTGCGCAAGCGCGGGCGCCCATCTGGAGGTACCGTTCACCCGTCGCAGGCATTGCCGCGCGGGGGCTGCGAAAGCCCGTCCAGCCAGCATCTTGAAGGCCGGAGTATGTTCCTACTGTGCGATTGCAGCTATGCGCCGAGGTGTAGCAGGTGGGAGATGGTGATAGCGGAGGTACGGAGAGGTGTTGTTCGGCAGCGATAAAAAGCAAGCTTCACGCTAAAACTCCCGCGGGAGCTGAGCTGTGGCACAGGACAGCCACGGATATGGTCCGTGAGCCAATTGCAGTTCGCAACCCTCGTTTCCAGCCACAGCATTGTCCCCAGCAATTCCTCTCCGCCCTCCTAGAGCTATGTTCTAGAGTTGTGGCATTCATGACTGCAGTTTTCTGCTAGTTGAGGCCCTTCCAACGCGTTGCGCAGCATGACGAAATCGTAGCTTGGCGTAGCGCCAAGACAGAAAACCAAATGCGAAGGGTGAAAGCTGCAAAAATTTTCTTCAGCGTGAATATACCTCAATTCATTCCACGGATAGCCGGACACATCTATCACACCTCTCCGCCCCAGGAAGCATAGTACTTCGTGTGCGTGCAACGCATTCCGCATTGATCATTCAGCCAGAAGCCGTCCAGCGACTGCAAAGGAATGACTACGGACGAACGAGTAGGCTCTGGAGAGCGTCAGGGCGTCGCTGAGGAGTCGCCATCATCCTTTCTTACGGAGGGCGATCTGATCTGCAGCATTTCCGGGTTTTGGAATGCTCTCTCGCCGCGCAACTTCCGGCTCGATATTTGGATTCTTACGGATGCCTTGAGGGACAGCTGCCAGACACGCAATTTTCGAGGTCGCTGAACTGTATCGAGGGCGTAAGGCCGTTTGTCGAGACTGGCCCCTTGATCTTTGATCTCTCAATAGAAGCGAGAACTGAGAAGACATTCGGCAACGAGAAGCCTGAGTAACAACTACGAGCCAAAAGCACCATGATGCGTCTTTGGATTGCAGAGATCAGGAAGGGTTCGCCACAGAAGTGCGAGCAAAACAGCTTCACTCCCGTGCTCTCGGAGAAAGTCGATCTACCACACGGGACTCGTAATCCATAGGTTCGGATACCCGGGTCGAAGAGAGGCTCGAGACGGAGCGACCGCGGGCTTCGAGAGACGGCGGAGTGTGCGTAACCACAGTAACTCCGACGCCGTCTTGGTCTAGAGCTGGTGTATGAGGTGCGGGTAGCCGCGGAGTCCAGACCGAAGGAGCAGAAGCAGAAATGAGGACTTTTCCATCGCAGCAGCTGGCATTGGCGAAGCGCCAGGGTGTTCAGCAGAGAGAGATGCAGATGGCGCGGATGGGAATCAGAATTCCGCGGCCGAATTTAGAAACAGCAAGCCTCACCCTGGCACCCTGAGGCTCCGATTTATCCGTCCACAGGGCTGAAGCTTGTATGGACGCCACCGCATCACCAACACGCCAGTTCACCTCAACGCTTCCTGGTTCCCTGCCTTGGCTGATGTGCTCTCGAAACAATATCCGAGCTTGAGACGCTCCGACGCGGAAATTTCTCGACAATTCCACCGAAGCAGGATCTTTCGATCGATGACCTCATGGCCCTCCCGGACCACATCATGCCTCCAACCGACACTTGCAGGGCAGTTTCGCGGAATCTCATGAGCGTCTCGCGGCTGTGGAAGGCGGCCGAATTGAGGAGTCGGCCAAGAAAACGCTGACCGTTTCAGGAAATGCGCTTTGTCCAAGCAGCTTCAAGCAGCCGCGCGGATCGTCATGGCTGATTTTAGCACCTTTTTTCCAGGATTTAGCATGAACGAATTGCGATCAACTTTAAGCCATCAGGAGACACGTCAAAGGAGGCTCTGCTGGGCGGTTCTCGGCCACTGTGCGAAATGCTTCAGATGTCCGGCCATGCTTACTGCGACACAGTACTGTCGTACACAATCCGCTCCGCCACCACAGTCGCGAATCGTGCAACCCCGGCGGACAAACAGGTTCTCGCCATGGTTCCATTAACAGCCGTCGCAATTTTAGCACCGCCTTTCGTCATGACGAAGACTACGGCGTCCCAGCGTTGGGGCGATCCCCCAGACCAAGCTTTGCCTCCCTGCCCTTTCCCCACAAAAACGGACGCGGATAAGCAAGGAACGCGCCAATGGCGACGCCAGCCGCCATATTCATTAACCGCAAACGGCATGAGAAGTGCTTGAAGTGGCGGTGCTCACCAATAAGAGAGCTTCACGGTACGTAAGAGAAATGCTGAGGCTGTGCGTGAGGGATCACGGCATGGCCCCCGTTTGTTTGTGTTACTGCTGATGAGCTTCGGCCCTAAGCTTAGTCCATTGAGGCGAGTATTACGTCCTGCAGGAGGTATAAGAGCTTGCGCCTCCCTGAGCATTTCATTTCTCCATCTCACATTCACTCAGATCCGTTGATATTCAGCTACCGTCCATCTACCACAGTCCAATCGATTTCATCCGTTCGACTCCACTTCTCACACCACCACAATGCGTTTCTCCACTGTCTTCATCGCTGCGCTCGGTGCCGGCGCCGCCAATGCCCAGGTCGACTCCCTCCTTTCGTCCATCGGAGGAGACGTCACTTCAGTACTGAGTGACCTGTCTTCGGACTTTGCCTCTGCAACATCGGCGGCCGGTTCTGCCATCAACTCCGCTACGCAGAACTCCGGTTTTCAGTCAGCAGCCTCGTCCATCAACAGTGAGCTTTCATCGATCGTGGGATCGATTACGAGCGAGCTTGCTTCGGCTACGGGAAGCGCGGCTTCCTCCCTCCAGTCCGAATTGAGCTCTGCTCTTTCTTCCGGCGAGTCGGCGGCGAGCTCTGTTGCCAACTCCGCCACTGCAACCGGCACAGCAGAGTCCACCGGTGCTGCTGCGCCCACCAACCTTCCCGCGATGGGAGCCATTGCTGGAGGCCTCCTTGCCATCGCGAACCTTTTGTAATCGCGTGTGGCCTCGTCTTCGACATCAATCGGTCATCAATACGAAAAAGTCTACATTCGACGGTTCAATCGACTGGACATACCTACCATCAGCTATGAGCTGACACCACTTCGTCTCATATGAGACATGGATTCATGGGAGAGAGCATGTAATGGTGTTTTACGGAACCCGGTTCTGGTCATCTTATGGCTGCAATAACTGTAATATACAGCCTTAACAAAATGTCTCAATCTCTTCAAGTTCTTGCCTACTGCTATCGCAGGTCAACTTTACCTGCAGCATCTTTCATCATGAGTCCCACAACAGCATCTCACCCCTCAAAGGCCACCCTCAATTTCCCATCACCCCACTATTTCCCAGCCCCCAACCAAAACAGGCCCCCAGAACATCACCAAACCCAGTCCCCGGCACGGCGATCATCCTTCGCCCCAATCGCCAGCTCACCACGTGTTTCATCCCCTTCACAACCCGCAAATTCCAAAGCCACACCTCTCATTCGGTACTACCCTCGCACGGCTTACGCGTCCTATGACATCAGATGTCCTTTTATTTCCAGCACCGCTACATATCGGGTTAGACTTGGTAGGCTGGCTCGGACGCTTGGCTGCTTCCGAAACGGCTGATCTGCGATGCTGTGGCGGTGCGGGGATGGGGTGGGTTGCCGGATTCGGAAGCGCGTTATGCCGGTTTGGGGAGGGGGCTTGGCGGGCTGGGCTGCAGAGGGCGCGGGTGGGGGTTTGCCGACGGCACGGTTTTGAGGGTTTTGGTTGAGCGGCGTACGGCGTGACGGAGTTCGGTGCGCGTTGGGATGTGTGCTGGGACCTGAGTTTGTTGGTCTTTGGGGGGATGAGATGACGTGGAATGCGAAAATCGCACATGGAGTTCTGTTCGCGCGGCTGAACAGTAGTGCTCCTCGCGAGCTAATATGGGGTCTAGAAAGATACTGTGATAACTACGAGCAGATTCCTGGCCGGTGCCAGCGAAGATAACTGGTGGTGCTCCGCTTACACATCCTCGGGATCGCAAGAGAGTAGACGGGCGTGTGAGCCAACCCCGCCAATGCAACACCAAGCGCACTAGTGAAGTGTGAATTCCCAAGGGGCTACCTTTGTGTGGGAACGTATGAGTTCTTAACGTTTGGAAGTCGAAGTCGAGTGCAGTTAGTGGCTTGTCATCTGCGAGCTCATGTGCTTTCTATACGCCTACGTCTTCGCGTTCTGTGATAGAGCGAAGGATGAAGTGAGTAACATGAAACAACAGCGTGTGGAGAAAGAGGTTGAGATCAGGATCGTAGGCGTAGTCAACGCGCTCAAGCCATGCGACGCCGATCCTACACCTTCGCCTCGCCACCTCCTTCCTTTCTTTTCGCTTCCTGCATGCCCTCTTCTCCCTGTCCCTCGCCATGCTTGATACTCCTCCACTCCATCGAGAGCGCCCCTACGATAGTAAAACAACTCGCTGCAATAACGACACAGAGCGCTTTAATCAGTGCCTTGTTAAACGCCTGAAGTACCTCCCCCAACACCGCTGGATCCACAACGCGCCTCAGCCCCGTCGCGCCAGCACCTAATACAATAGCAACAGGCGCCCCAAGTCCTTGGATACCCCCCAAGTAGTCCGTAAACCGCGAAGCGAACAGGTTCTGCGCAACGCTCATCGCTACGGCACCACCGAGCGCTTGAGCGAAGAAAATCAGCGCCGTGCCGGTGGGTACATCTCTCCTGCTTAGAACGGCCTGGACCGCCATGTTGCTTTGTTGCATGCCGAATCCCAGCCCGAAGCCATACAGGATCTGATAGCCGATCCACTTCCCCCTTCCCGAGTCTACAGTCCATGTTGTAAGCAGCCCTGCCCCAACGGACGTGAGAACGGAGCTGAGGAGCATCTGTGGAACATAGTACCCCGTGCGGAACGTTAGTTGGCCGGCGAGGATGCTAGCGATTACGAGGGGGAGGATGAGGGCGAGTGTGCGGAGGCCGGAGGTTATGGCGGTTGTGGATTGGATGGCTTGGAACCTTGGGCGTTGCGTTAGCATGGGACAATGGGAAGAAGAAGCTGTTGTGGGTATAGGAGTTGGGGCTTACCAGATTGGTATGTAATAAACGGCGACCATCATACTCGCGCCGGTGAAGAAGGCATAGTACACTGCCGCGGCAACGGAGCGCTGCGTGATGATGCGGGGTGGGACGGTGGCTTCTTCTTTCTTCCATATCTGGATACCGATGAAGGAAATGAGGAGGATGCCGGAGAGGAGGAGACAGACGACAACTCTCGCACTGCTCCAGGAGTACTCGGTGCCGCCCCATTGGAGCGCGAGGAGGAGGCATATTGTGCCGCCGAGGAAGATGACGGTACCTATGGGATCGAGGCGCTGTATCTTTTCGCGTAACGAGAGGTTTTTGATGGTCGCGGGTCGTCTGTCGTCGATATGAAGCAGGAAGATAAGCGCTATGACTATAACGCCGCCGATTGGGAGGTTAATGTAGAAGCCTACCATCCATCTTGTCAGTATTCATATACTCACGCCACCACAAGGACGATTTACTTACACCATCTCCAAGATACCCTATCCGTGAACACACCCCCAAGCAACGGCCCAAGCACCGACGCCAACCCAAACATAGCGCCAAACGCTCCCTGGAAGACGGGTCGTCTTTCCAAAGGCACAGTGTGCACCATGATGATTACGGTGCCGGAGAACAAGCCGGCGAACCCCAGGCCAGCGACTGCTCGGCCGGCGATGAGGGTGGCTGAGGAGGGAGCTGCGCCGCAGAGTGCGGAACCGATTTCGAAGATGGTGAGACAGGATCTGGGTGGGGCACGTCAGTGGGCTGCACAATTTTCGGAGAATTGAAGAATGGTTGGAGTAGAGGAGGAGACGTACAAGTACACAATTTTGATAGGGTAGAGTTGGTACAACTTCCCAAGCACAAGCATGAAGGAACAGCCAGAGAGGAGGAATGCGCTTGCGTACCAGCCAATGTCATCGATCGAATGGAATTCGTCGGTTATCCTGGGGACTGCGGTGCTGATAATTGTTCGGTCCCATACCCTTTTCAGCAAATCCGCTATATCAAGGGATTGCAGCACCGGGACTTACCAACGCGGCAACAAAAACGACAGCGAAGATGCTAGCCACGATAGTGGCTAGCTTGATTCCCTGGGGGTATTTGGCGGGATCATCTTGCAATGCAGGGTGCGGCGGCTTAGCCGTGTTCGTGTGGAACAGTAGAACAGCCGATACTGGTTCCGTCGTTGGATCGGGGACCTTGGAGGTCTCAAGTGTCTTTTTGGGAGGCGCCATTGTAAATGTGGTCGTAAACGGCTTAGGCAACGGCAAGAGGACGAGAGGATGCCACAAAGAGTCACTAAAATCAGTATTGATGAAGCAGAAACATTCGTGGCGGCCTCAACAAGCTCACCACTGCGGATCTCACTTTATATACGCTCAGAGGACTGCGTATAGCCCTTGGAGTAAAGTGTTCCTTTCGCTTATTTATTCCACCTAGGCAGCCACTCGCTCAACTCATTCGTTCTTTGCGACCAGCCATTTGATGTTCGTCCCTCCGAGCGTCACGTGATCGGGTTTAAATCATCATCCGCTCGCCGGATGAGCTGAATCGGGTATTAGCGCGTTCACGGACCTGTTTTTCGAATCCTGACTATACTTGTTCGAGTTATGTTATCGAAAAGACGGAATTTTTGCAGATGGGAACTGTGTCGCTATTGTGTGCTTCTCCGGTGTAGGCGCTTGAGACGTAAATAGGGGTTGGATTGTTGACTTTTGGGACATGCGCCAAGTCGGATATCTCAGTCTGAGGTAGCCCAAAAAGCACACGCTGATACCGGCTCTCAGCAGAGACTAATACCTTCGGATCCATAATGCGCGAAAAGCTGTCGCCTACGTCCACAACGACCAATGACCCTGGTACTTGAAGCTCGGCTGTCTTCTCAACTCACTGTGCTCTCCCTCGCGGAAGATGTTCGGTTGTTGCGGGCCCTCCTCTTCGCGGATATAGCCAAGCTGGCATGAATCGAAAGACACCCTTGGCTGGTTCTCATAGAAAGCATCGTAGTGATGCGACAGCGCATCCTTCAGCGTCCTGATCTTGCTCTTTGGGTGGAGGACGCTCCACGGCTCAACGCAAGCAGTGCCCTTGCACGACTTGAGAACCATCATGAGCGCATCGAGGCGATTGACGATGTGCTTGAACGGGCGCCCGGCAATCTCGTAGTTCTCCCTCAGCTTCGTGGCGTCCTCGTCGAAGTAGTTTTCCATTTGTCCTGGGTCGAGCCTGACGTCATAGTACTCTCGGTCTCCAGTGCACCACACCGAGTAGTAGATGCTGTAGTCCTCGCCTATAAGTCGGAGCCCCTTGTAGGTGTTATTACGCACAGCGTGAACGTAGCCGCCCCAGTCTTCACCCGGCCACTGGCCAGCACTGCCATCATCGTAATGGCCGAATTGCCCCTCAGGGATTGCCTGACCCCAATACTCAATGTTGATATGTTCGGCGCGGGATGTCGACTCGATGCTGTCCTCAAGCGTTTCTTTCTCCTTGAGTGGGATAGGAATTCCGTCAAAATCGTCGCGAGACTGGCCAGCAAGCTTCATGATGGTCGGCGAGAGATCCGTGTGTGAGGACACGAGGTTACTGCGGTGACCTCTGGCGATGCCTGGCCCACGAACGATGAGTGGAATGTGAATGTCGGTATCGAAACCGCATTCTTTGCCAGCGTGCATGCGGTGTTGACTGAGGTGATAGCCGTTATCTGTCGTGTAGAAGATGTACGTGTTATCTAGCAAGTCCTTTGCCTCGAGAGTCCTGATCAGTTTCTCTACCATCTCGTCGACGGACTGCAAGGCCCGGAGCCGCGAACGCTGGAATTCGTCGTTGTAGGCGATGACGGTGTCATTTAGACGAGGAAGCCTCTTCACCCAGGCAACGCCACCTTGCTGGACAAAACGTAAGCATTGTGAATACAACCACTAATGAGGCAGCTTACCTTCTCCGGGTTGAAGTTCGAGTCTCTGGGAATAGTGTAGTCTTTGAACAAGTCGGCGTGTCTTTCGGCGTAGAAGGTCATGTCAGGTTTATACTCTTCTGCCGGATACAGTTTGATGTTGCTGTGGGGAGCAATCGGAGCTACAGTAAGAAACCAGGGTTCCGGATGCTGGGTAGCTTCTTCCAAGAAACCGTATGCTTTTTCGGCTGTAACGTCGGGTGAGTATTGGCCTTTGTAGCTGACGGGAGGCGCGCCGTTGCGAGACATCCACGCATTGTAGTACTCGTATGTGAACGGATCCAGGATAAAGTCGGAGCCATTGTAACCACCAGCAAAAGGGGAGTCGTAGTTGTCCACCGAATGCGCATTCCAGAGTTTGCCGCTATAGTAGGTGTTGTACCCTGCATTCTGCATCCATACTGGGAGATAGTCGTTGTTGATGCCTTCGCGGACGACCTTGGGAAACCCGCCTCTCTGGAGTCAGCTAAAGCCGGGTCCGAGCAAGCTGGAATGAGTCCACATACCATACGGAGGGAAGACGTCGGTGACGTTGGTGTTATGAGCCGCTCTTCCAGTCCACAAATTCACTCTCGAGGGGCAGCAAAGGGCCACTGTGCAGAAGTGGTTTGCGTACAGCGTTCCTTCCTGGAGCATGTACTTTTGCAGGAAGGGCATGTGGGCCTGCATCTTGTTAGCTCTACGGCGGGACACCATCACAAGCTTTTGATTCTTACCAAAGACTGCATGTGCCAGTCCTGGTCGTCGGTCAAGATGAAGAGGATGTTTGGCTTCTTCGCCGCCGCGCCCTGCAGGGCGGAGAGCAAGAGGAAGGCGTTGAAGAGCTTCGACAGGAAAGCCATGTCGGAGGACGATGGAATAAGACAGATCCCAGCAAAACGGGCGCTCAAGCGATTAAAGAAGTCGAGGGAAACATGGCCCGAACGATGGCCTCCCCGCTGCCGCCGCCGGTGAGCGGCTGCATCATGACCAACAGAACGCTTTCCGGATGCCGATGCGTGCTAGTTTCGTCATGCACATCCTGTTCGTGGCGCTTAAGCTCCCGGGCGTTGGCAATGCGGATGGGGTGCAGGGCGAGGTTCATGTCGCGATGCTTGGCGGCGGCCGAGGAGAGTTTAGACGGCTGCGGTGTCACGTAGCGCCGAGCCAATCAGGGGAAGTGCGGGGCCGGCAACCCTTTTCCTCGACCCTTCCAGCCCGAGACTCTCCACACGCAAACTCCGCACCAAGCCATCGGAAGGCCGCGTCTGGCTCCGGGACCATGGCTCCTCATCTATGCATGCAGGATGCCTATCCTAAGCACTCAATCTGTCTCCATCGAAAACACCCCCTGCGGCCAATGAGGGCAGGCTTTATGGGCCTGAGACAGCATCCTTTCACTACAACAGCACCGTCACGATGGATAGATCCGTAGTAAACATGTCCACGGAGCAATTGTATCGGAAGCGGGCGTTCGATAGAATCAACCAGAGGGCATCACGGTAAGGCGCACCGACGACGAGTGCCTTCGCCAGCGTACTCACAGCCATGCGCAGCGCTCGCAAGAAGACCCGCGTCGTGGAGCTCGAAGACGAGGTTGCAGACCTCAAACAGCGACTGGCCAGCTCCGAAGACCAGGTCAGACGTCTTCAATCTAGCGAAGCAGCCCTACGTGAGGCTATCAGCTCTGCGCGCTCCTCTCTGCGGTTGATCGATGTCGCGACCTTCCCCAACCAGTCAAGATTGCCATCACCTCCGGCGTCCACTCCCGCACAGGCGACAGCAGACGATGAATTTGCGGACATGCTCAACGATACTGCGTCTCCGTCGATGAGCTATGAATCCGAACATAGCCAAAGCTCTGCTTTGGAAACTATTTCCGACTCGCCCCAGATCGACGTCCGAGCAGTAGCATTCCGGGATGAGAACACAGGTCTTACTCTGGGCCTTCCATTGAGCGGACATCCGCCCTTGGACACCATGTTCCACTTCTGGGACGATGAGTTCCGTGAGTGTCCCTCCCTATGTGAAGATTCACATCAAACTGACAGCCCCACCAGCTCCGGATGTGAGCGCCATGAACGCCTTCTCGATGGCATTCTTAGACACTTTTCCTCCAGATCCTCTTGATGACGCTTGGATATCCTCCGCTTCTGGCCTACAGATACCGGGACATGAAGGACCTCAAGAAATCCCGCCCTGGGAGCGATTGCCACTCCATGTGGGTCCCACCACGCCACTCGATTCTGTCTTGCTGGGCCTTTTTCAGTCAACCCGACAGCACGTCCAGAACTCTGGCCATATTGAGGAGTTCTCGCAGCCTGCATTTCCGAGCATTAGATCATTGCTCAATCCCGACAGCCAAAATGCTCACAGTCCGATTTCGAATGCAATAGGCCAGCATGGAAGAATCACCATGGAGGTTCCGGACTTGGCTGTCAAGATCGGCATGATGTACAATATGTGTGTATTGTTGCGCTGGCTGGTGTCCCCTACAAAGCGCAATTACGAGGCAATGCCTGAGTATCTCCGGCCAGTGGAGTCCCAATTGACCGTCCTGCATCCTATCTGGATCGACGTCGTTGTATGGTAAGTGCACCTAGCGGCAAAGCTTGTTTTGGTGTAAGAGTCTTAACCATCGCCAGGCCTGAAGCACGCGATCATATCATCAAATCTATGGACTGGTCAGAATTTCCTATCTTCCGTGCATTGGGAAACCAGACCATCTCCATCAACTGGCCCTACCCGCAATCCGGCGTCTTTACCGCAGTGTCCCCGACGGAACTAAAGCTCAATCCTGTTTTCGAAAGTCACATACGGAACCTCGATAATTGGACTTGGGGCCAAGAAATACCAGATCGATTTCCCTTCCTAAGCGGAGTGGTGACGACAGTTTCTCGACCGTGAGCAGCTCAGCAGCGCTATAGATATCTAATTCCATGGTATTCACTACCATTGAGATCGTTTCTAAGCTTTCCCAGCGTCTATTTCTATATTGGCCTTGCAATTCGAGGAACGCGTCGAACTCGTTCAACTCACCGCAACAGCTTCCTCTCCCTTGTAAACACCGCAACTGCAAAGGCGACAACAGAGGAAACGAGGCCGAGCACTTTCCATTGTCAGTCCTTGATGCTTCAGGGACTCCTACTCAACTCACCGAAGACGAGGTGGATTGCGGAAATATACGCCGGGAGCATCAAGTCGCGCAAGTGCCCTTTTACGTTCTGGATATAGTTGATGTCGGATAAAGCGTTCGAGATAATCTTCAACAACGTTAAATCAGTTCATGTCCAACTTTCGCTCAAGGAAGGAGGGTGTCGACTTGCCTCCGCTGAGTCCGCTCTATCAGCTAGAGCCCGCTTCAAAGCAGTCTGAAGGGCGACCTGGAAGATAGCGCTTGCTCCGCTGATACCACTGACGGCGCCAACGCTGACGCTCAAATACATGCCGGATCCTGCAATGGCGACCTCATGCTCTGCAACTCCTGAAGTTAGGCCGATGAATACAGCCGAGTGCGCCACGCCTGTCGCGAAGCCACCTGGGAATATGACAAGATCACCCAGGATGCCGGTATGGCCCCACCACATGGTTAACATCAAAGTGAACGCGAGTCCGGCGCTAATGCAGGCGACAATAGTAGGAAGCTTGTACCATCCGGTCCTATTACTTGTTAGCGGCGATACGTAGGGCCTTGGCCGTGGTTCTACCTCTTGATCCAGTAGCCCGTTAACAAACCTCCCACTGTGTTGCCTAGAACTGCCGGAACCATCGATGCCCCAGCAACTGCGGTCGATGCGTTCCTAGTAACCTGGAAGTATATCGGGACGATGAACATCAACTGAGGACATTAGCGCGTTCATTATGTAGTTCGGTAGGATAAGAAACCTACAGACGTCTGCGCAAGAGCTTGCAAGGACACAATTGTATACGAGGTAACAACGACGTAGTGGGTGAGCAGCTGCAGGGGAAATATGGGCTCTTTCGCCCAGTAGCGTTCCACCAGACAGAAGGCCACGCCTCCGACCGCTGCGACGCAGGCCGAGGCGATAATGATCGGATGGCTCCACGGAAATTTCTGGCCGCCGGTATCGAGCACAAGCAGCGCCGCGAGGATCGTCAGACTCAGCCAAAGGCCGCCTACAAAGTCGATTCTCTTGAGTTTATCCCAGCTACTCTCGTTGCTACTATTCTCAAGGCTCTTCTGGGGTACGTGGAGCTTCCACTGGACAAGCAAGATGGAGAAGAAGATAGGGGGGCATTGCGCGAGGAACGCCCTAGTCCATGGTTAGCGAATCGATGTGCGTGTCCATTCAGACTTCATCCTTACCATCGCCATCCGATTGTGGATGCGAGGAAACCTCCAATCACACCGCCACAGCTCCGGCCGACTGTCTGCACGACATTGACGTAACTGCGATACTGCGCTACCTCATGAAGGGGTACGAGATCCGTCAATAGGATCGAGACCATGCACACCATGCCAGCTCCGCCAGCGCCTTGGATCGCACGAGCAGCAATCACCTAGCACCGTCTTAACATTAACCATGTGCTCGTTCGGTATCGAACTTACTTGGCCCATAGACAGACCCAGCCCAGATCCGGCAGTTCCGATCGCGAACAAAGTGTATGCAACCTGCAGACACCGCTTGCGACCATATATATCCGACAGCTTCCCGAAGAACGGTTGGGAAACGCACATGGCCAACATGTAGCTCGACAGAAGCCAGGATCCGCTTTCGAGGTCGTGGAACTCCGATGAGATCTTGCCGTACGTTGCGAGCACTAGCGAGGTGTCGGCTTGCGAGATGAAGACACCTGGAGACTGTCAGCATTTATTGTTCCTGAAAGTCGTACCAGAGCGATATACCGATCAGTAGGACTGAAATTGTCGCCATGAGAGACTTTGTGGGCTTCGGCTTGTCGTCCCCATCGCTATTTTCTGGCGGATTGCGACTCTAAGTCCGTCAGAATATTTCTGCAGATGTGTAGGAACCGCGCTCACCAGGTATTGCGTTGCGATCTCCTCCACCAGCAATGGCGTCGATTCATCGATTTCGGAAACCATCACAGCGGCATTGTTTCCAGCCTTGACTGGACTTTTCTGGCGACTACTCATACTCCGCGTCTTGTTCGCTCTCCCGCCTTTGGTTCTCCTTTTCTCGCGTTTGTAATGGACCTAGGTGTATCGAGAGACGGCTCGTACATCCATGTACGTACGCTTCGTAAGTGTGTGCTAAGGTCTCTGAACGGGGACGCACGGAACAATATCCTCAGAATATGAATGATACTTGAGCACGGTCTGGACATTATAGCCGGGTCCGAAGCCCCAAACTCCAACCTAACGACTTCCCTACAGATCTCCACCAGCCGTTTTCGGCAGTTCGGCCTCGTCACTGCGGAAAACATTCTGCAAAACGCCCTAGAGCAAACTGCAAAAGGGCACGAAAGATGTCGCAAGAAGGAGTGAGAGTGGCGTTTGCTGCAGTGTCATGCATAGTCGGGGAAGTGTGGCGGGCGCTAACTGACAGTGCAGCTGTAGCGTCGACCCCACACCCCGGATCGCCATGGCGGATCCCTTCGCCTTTTTTTTTTTTATGTAGAGTCACGAAATAAACGTGTTTTAGTCATGGATATCATTGTGGGAGGCGCTTGCGGAAAGAGTCTGCGGTTCGGAGATCGAGGTCTATCCTTCCACCTTTATCGTATTCCCCGCACGTCCACCGGTCGATTCTCTGGCACTTCTGGATGTGACGCACCATTGCGCAGATATGATTAGTGCGTTCGAACTTCAGATACACTGTTGCATGCCGGGCACGAAACATCCTACGCCAGCTTGCGTGAACGAACTACGTCACAGTCAGGCTGAATTACCATCGAGAAGCGCTTCACCATGATCACCACTCAAGACGCCGAGAAGGATATGTATGAGGCGGATCAGGTTGAGGCTGCAGACGGCGACGAGTCCACGACGCACAATAAGCTTCCTCTAGCGTAGACAGCGCAGGCCGATGTGCCCAAGGAATACTTCAGGAGCAAGCTGTTCATAGGCAGCTTCTTTGTAAGTAGTCCCGCGCTCAAGCAAGGGTGTGCAAATGCTCTCCACGCCATCACCATCAGTGCCATGTCTGGAGTCGGAACGTTTCCCCTCATCTCACCTCTCTAGACCACCATCAATATTGAGCTTCAGCTTGACCCCAACCTCATTTGGGCGGGGTATACATATTCATTCGTATGGCTTCCTGGTTCGCAATACCCAGATGATGCTGATGTTGATAATACCGATAGCATTACGTAGACACCCGGTCCCTTGGAAAGAATGTACATTGTATAGACGCTCCATGCCCTGCTCTGATATCTTCTACTGCATTGTGCGCGTCGTATACCAAACCTACCCATCCTTTAAGACATGCCGATCCAACTGCCTCCCTTCCTTCCCCTAAAGACCACCACCAAAACCAAACTGGCACCATGTATCCCCCATTCCAAATTCTCGCCCTTCTCGCTGCTTTAGCCCCGAGCGCTCAGGCAGCGCCCGTCCATCCCCCCGCTCTTCCCTCATACCTGAATTCTCCTCCCCCTCCCCCTATCCTCGAACACTTCCCGCTCACACCTCGCATCGCGGCTCTGGAGTCGCGCGCCAGTATTCGTCCCGATATCCAACCTCCGAAAACACAGGGCTGGAGCGCGGGACAGATCGCCGTCGTGGTGGTCGGGTGCGTAGCGGTGGCGTGCTTGCTGCCATTGGTGGGGAGGATGTCGCGGTGCTTTTTTGCCCGTGGGAAGCTTGCAGGAAAGGCGGAGCAACGTGGTGCAGATGTGGAGAAGGGGTCAGAGAAGGTGGAACGGGAGATGATGGGAGTGGATGAACGCCAGGTTGAGCACCCGGCGGAGCGCTGGGACTCGGTGGAGTTGATGAGGCCACTAATTGCGCCGGAGATGGCTGCGGGTACGGATCGGGATGAACCGATGGAGGTGGGCCCCTTTGTCATGCATGAAGGAGAGGAGGGAGGATTGGGTGTCCCGGAGAAAGCGCATCTGCGCGATGCTATCTGAGCGCTTGTCAGTTGCAGATGGAATGGGATCGCATATTGATCTGAACTCATCTTAGTTACTACGGTTAGTGTTCGTGATCTCGAGGTCGAGTGCTCAGAGATGGGATGCTAGAATCTAGCATGGTGCCCTTGGACGTTTGTGAAAGGCAATGTGCAACTTTCCCCCAGCTTTCCCTCTCGTACCGCCTCGCGCATTGTAAATGGACCACGCTTTGCCTGCCTCGCAAAGTCTCGCTCTTAATATATCAAGGTATTAGCCTTCCCTTCCCTTCCCTTCTCTTCCCGGCAACCCCTCTCCCTCCATTGCCCACCCAGACTCCCTTCCCCCCCTTCCCGACGCGGAAAAAACCATCACACCAACGCTCCTCGCAGCAGTCTTCCTCACCCACGCCCTCACCGCCGCAAACCCACCCCCCAACTCCACCACAATGACCGGCTTCACATGGCCCAGCCCAGCGAACCGCACCAATAGCACCAAACTCCTGCTCGACTACTCCCATCCAACAGCCATGCGCGAGGCCCTGGACACTTCCACTTCCGCTTCCGCTTCCACCTCCACCCCCGCCTCCCATCATCACACCCATCACCACCTGACCAAGACCGGCAAAGCGCTCATCATCACCGCGATCTGCATCGCGCTGCTCCTCTTCTGCGGCTTGCTCTACTACATGCTGCGTATCCGCACGCTGGGGAAGAAGACTAAGAGGGTGGATGGTCTGGAGGTGAAGCCGCAGGAATGGGGGGAGGAGATGCAGTTGCCGGTTCGGATGTTGACGGCGGAGGAGGTGGAGGGGAAGAAGAAGACGAAGGAGAAGAAGGGTGGCGTTGCTGCAATGCCGCGGGGGACGAAGGAGACGCGGCAGGAGTATGAGGATGTGGATCTTGGAGGTGGAGGGGCGGAGAAGCCGGAGGCTGATGTCCGGCTGTGGTTTATGAAGGAGGGGCGGGGGGTTTGAACGAGGGCATGCGGGGTGGGGATTGTTGGGGGATGGGATAGTGTCTGCTCAGTTGGTAGTGGCCGCTGATAGAGTGGGCGTACTTATCCTGGGTTCTGGATAATTCAAGCGTCAAACATTGAACATTGATTCTACCGTAGTACCCTTTGAATGAGACATGCAAGTGAACTTCCGAATACTTGGAGACGAGTGAGTACACCCCTCGGTGGCATTCCAGGGCCTGAAATTTCTGCCGGGCAATCACATGGGCGATTCGTGAAGACTTCGTACTTCTGCAGGCGGCTTGCACTATGAACGAACGATGTGAGTCCCAACAATGCGAACGCTGAAAATGATATACAATGCACCATTATCCTATATATTAGCACCGCGATACAAACCTACCAATAATCCAGAAACCTACCATAAAGAAAAGTAAACATGCACACGAAGATGCAGCTGCTGCTCGCCGTTGCCATGAGCCTGACGCTCACGCAGGGCCACCCCATGAACATGTCAACGATCTGCCACAACGGCACCAACTCCACTGGGCCCTACATACCCAGTCGTCCCCCGCTGCAAATGGCGCAGCTGAGTGAATCCTACCCACGCACCCAAGCCGAACACAAGTTCAGCAATACCGTCGAGGCGAACGCCTATACCGGCCTCTTGGCAGTCTTCATCGCCATTGCTGTCCTCTTCCCGCTGATCTTCTGCGGTGGCCTTTGGTTCGATCGCCGTCGCGCGAGGAAGCCGGTGGTTGTGGATGACGTTCGAACGGACTATAGCGCATCTACTGATCGGCCGTCCTTCCCTCTGCGTGTCTTTCGCCGTATGCGCCATGGGGACGGGACGAAGCCTAATCTGCCGTACGACCCGAAGACGGACAGCTTTGTGGTGGACGCTCCGGAGGAGACGGACGTGGAGGAGCATAGGTAACGCGAGGAAGATGAGGCGGAGATGACGGTCAACATAGGGATGTCTGAATGCTGAGGAAACTAGAATGGCGTTGTAATTTAAATGAAAGTTTTACTCCTACTTCTGTGTACTTGGGATGTCGTTCTGCGTGAAGGCGCGGAAGAGATAGGTTCGGAAAACTGCACTAGGGCGGTACACAACAAGGGACACTTTATAAGGCACCTGGGCACTTGATACGTGAAGCATGCAGTGATACGAAGTATATTGTGAGCGAATGGTGTGGAGGTTAGAGAGACATTTGGGAAGGACAAGCCTATGGAGCCGTATGACGTCATCGCTTAGCGCCGCTTGTTCTTTAGCGCGTCACTGCATCCTTCCATCCATCAACCCTCTCCTCAGCCCTGCAGGACTCAGCCCTGCAAGAATTCAATAAACCCTCGTGTAACCGCACTGTTTCGGAGACGGCGACCCTGATTGGAAAGGGCCCTTGCGACGCACGAACGACCTCCGAGACACGTATCGCTGTTTGACCAGGTTCCGTCTGCTGAACACCGCCCGTTCGACATAACGCGGACCCGGGTTGCGGGCGCGTCCTATCCGCAGCCTTCGAGGCAAGGCGTCTGCGCGAATACTCGCGCGGAGTCTCTCGGTCCGGCGTCGCTTTCGAGAGGAGCTAAACCGATTTGGCGAGCACGCTCATACCCACCGCGGCACGCCGTCGATATACATGGGAAATCTCTGGCACCTGGGACGAAGTGAGGGAAGAGCTCGAGCACGGGAAGCCCCTTGATGAATAGTTGCTTCGACACGTGGTGAGAGCGGGTGAGGCGTAGGCTGAGCTTCCCACTAGTCCTATGCGGCGAGGAGAGTCTGGCGAATTCGATCCTTCGCGAAGCCTCGCCGAATGAGATACCACGTACAGCTATACTCATAGCTAGAGCACCCGCAGTTCTCTTGGCGAGGCTGCATTCGGCCTTGAGCTGAGTGTGGCTCGGGTTCGTCTGACCATGGAGCTGCAGGCCCCGTCACCCTGCGTCTTCCGAAACAGGAAGGTGCCCTGGCGGCATTCACTGAGTTCCTGGTTGTTGGCACTGTGCCCGCGCCTCTCGAAGGCACCCATTCTCGGTACGCGGAGCGGCTACGGCACTTGGTGAATGCGTGCCTGGTACCGTAGTCTGGGGTCGGTAACCCACACCTCGGAACTGTCGAGTCCAATTATACTCCGTCCCTGCAAGCCACCAACCAGCTGGAACCATGGAGACGCCCGAGTAGTGTCGCTTATGGTTCGAGCGTGACCACTTCAATGAGATGGATACGGCTCGTGATGCTATTCGGAAATGGTAGGGATGCTGAGCTCCTTCCCGTTTCCCAGGCACCAGGCTGCGGTTGGTCGTTCCTTCTCTAAGCTTTCACTCCTCGCCTTAGCGACATCGGAAGACTTCTTCATTCACTAAACATGCCGAAATTCATATTTTCTACTCCACTCTCTGATCCTTCGTCCTCCACCCTCGCGCATCAGCCCCAGGTCAGCTGCGCACACAGAGCACTTCTCGGTAGCGCTTCAGCAACTCCTCTCGAGGACCTACCGTAGGTGGCCGTCGGCAAAGCTCTCCTCGCCTGGCACTAGTACAACATGAAGTTTGCAGCACCGACCGCCGCGGCGGTGGCAATCCTGCTATCTGTCGCTTCAGCCGCGCCCCAGGCGACTCCACGCTCCAGCGGGATGGTATACAGCTTTTCAGATGTAAGCCCCTCCAGTGTTTGCTCGATATGCCTATAGAAGGCTAATACGGTCGGCAGCTAAACCCAACGGCTGATCTCATGTGGACACCCTGCTATGACAACTTGTAGGCCTCCTTCAGATATGCGAGCGCAATCCAATCACTAACCTGTGTACCCAGCACGTGTGCTCTCCTTCAAGTCCCTCTTGATTACGAAGACCTTTCCGTCGGAACCACGAAAGTCGCCATCATCAAGAAGCCGTCAAGCAATGCTTCTGCTGAAGACTTGCTAGTCAACCCTGGAGGGCCCGGTAGCTCTGGCGTCAACCTAGTCCTCAACAACTATGGAACCATCGCCGCTAAGGTTGGCTCTCAATTCAACATCGTCGGCATTGATCCTCGAGGCGTCAATAATAGCGGACCGGACCTCGACTGCTTCCGCGGCTACTCTCCAATCGCGCGGAATGCCTTCTATGCAAATGCATTCGCGGTGCCAGATAACACTTCAGAGTACGGTCTTGCGCGCTCTTTTCAGCTCACTGGTGCCTACGGAGACTGGTGCTCGGGCGTCTATTCTGTCAATGGCACCGCCAAATACGCGAACACTGTCGCAGTCGCTCATGATTTCCTCCACTATATTGAGCTTCGCGAAAAGGGCCTCGGAGGCGACGCTCGAAACGCGAAGCTCTGGTATTACGGCGTCAGCTATGGAACTGTCCTAGGCGCGACTTTCGCCTCTCTCTTCCCGGATCGCATCGCGCGAATGATCCTAGATGGAGTAGTTGACTCCGAGGAATACTACAACGGCAAATGGGACAGCTCGCCTTCAGATACGGATCAGGCTGTGCGTTTTCTGTTCCAGGCGTGCTTTGCCGCTGGGCCAGACAAGTGTGCCTTCCATCAACAGGCAACATCTTCAGAGGAACTGGAGCAGCGCTACCTCGCTATCATGGACTCGCTCAGGAAGTCTCCAATTGCAGTCGGGGACCCACTGTCCGAGACGACCATCGCTTTGGGTCTGATTCCTACAGTCGTCACGTGGCAAGATCTTATGAGCGATACCCTCTCAGTCGCTATCTTGCCTAGGCTTCAGCTTCGCGGTTTCGTGCAGACTCTCGCCGAACTCGAGACGGGCAAAGGAGAGAGGCTAGCGGCTATCATCGATAGCGCAAACATCGCCTCTCCCTACATTGGTGACACTTTCGGTTTGCAAGCAGCCGAGAGACTCATTACTTGCCTAGATGCCAATGGCCGCTCTAAAATCTCCACCATTGATGAGTACCGGGATTATGTGAATTCGCTGGCGAGAACGAGCGAACATGGTGGACTTGCTGTAGCGGGGAATCTTGGCGCCGTCTGCCGCAAACTGGATATCTTACCCCCGAAGAGTCAAGTTTTCGAAGGTACGTTAGCGCAATCACTAGGAGAAGATTAAAGCTTACGTTTTACGCAGGCACGCCGGGTGCAAACAAAACGAGCGTTCCGATTCTTTGGATAGGCAACACGGCCGATCCCATGACGCCCCTCCGCTCTGCAAAGAAAATGGCGTCTCTGTTTCCAGAATCGCGGGTCCTGACCTTCAATACGACCGGCGTAAGTTGTCTCTTCTTCTCTCGAGCTTGGCACCATGACTGACTTACGTTGGAAGCATGCTTCGACCAACACTCCGTCGAAGTGCATCACTTCTTACACTCAGCGCTACATGCTCGATGCATCTCTCCCTCCTCAGGATGCCGTGTGCGAACCGGATGATTATGAGATCCGATGGTAGAGGTAAGATCCCGGGGCTATGGTCGCTCTGAAGGCATCTCTTGCAATGGTACAATACGGAAGCGCTGCAGCTTTCTTGAATGAAGGGGAGATACCCGAGGCATTAGCTGTATTCTGTGGCGATACCCAGAGACAACATATTCACCATTTTCTCAAAACTGTGGGTGTGTATAGACGCCATGTGGAGGGAAACAGATCATTGATTTCAAGTGAGTGACATGCCTCGAAAGGCAGGATATACCGTGAGACGCCCATCCCGAATTAAACAGTGACAGGTGGTCCAACCGAACCCGGAAGCTCGAAAGGACCTATACAGGAATGAAATACACACAACTGCTACCTCCCGGCCACTGCCTCCCAACCATCAGGCCGCACTCTGCCCAGGTTCAGGGTCTCAACTCCCGACATCACTTGCCAGTGGTGTCGGTAGTGGCACCCTGCTCCTTCTTGTTCGCCTCTTGTTCCTGCGTGTATTTGCAGCTGTGGCAGGGCTTGCGGACCCCATCGTCCGGTTCTTTCCGCGCTCTTTTGATGCCGCTGCATTCGCCAGCGCTCAATACGCTGGACTCGGGGCAGGCGAAGGGCATTGGAAAGCCTTCGTGGCCGCAGGAGTGGAACTCGTATTGGTAGAGACACATGCTCGTGGCTGTCGGGTGCGCTGCTGTAAGAGCCCTGGTAACAATTAGCGTAGGGGGCTTCAGGTTGGGGAGTTTTGAATACGTGGATTGTGGTATGGATTGTTGCTTGGAGCTTTCCTGGTGTTTGCTCTTTGCGTTCGCAGTGTTTGTTGGATTTCATACAGTGGACTCTGGATATTGGAGAAGGCTCAAGGGTCGGCTTGGACTGTCGGCGCTGTGATGTTGAAGGAAAGAAGAATAGGGCGAAGATACGTGGAAGCGGGGGCTTTTATACATCGGGGCACGTGACCGTCTGCGACTCGAAGCGGAACGCAATGACGGGAGAGCGCGGCTTGTCGCACGCACCTCCCGTGCCGCACTGAGTCAGGGACTCAGCATGTCGTTGAAATGGCGCGGCGCGAGTAGGACGACGTTCGGCGATAGGGGAGGAGAACGAAGGGTTTGATATTCGGAACTAGGTGCTTCTGTTTTGACAGGCAGGACTAGATCGCAGGCTGTGGAAAGTAGAGCGTGCTCGGTCGTTGAGGAGGTTTGTATGAGATGAAGAAGCGAGTGAGTCACTGTGGTGGATGCTGGCGTCGCACGCCCTTCCGGTCTTCCTCAGCCGCTGCTTGTTGTATGACTCCCAGGGGAGGGATACGTGTGTCAACCCAGAGGGCGGTAGTGAGTATTGAGCTTACAGTATGTGCATACCGGCAGTCTTATTCTCTTCGCTGGAGGACTCTTCGGCTAGGCCTCGAGCTTCAGTGACCTAAAGTCCGAATACCTTAACTGCAGGTTTATCATAGGCTTCGAAGCCCGACCGTTGATTGCTCTCTCGGCGACGGACAGCACTTGTGTGAGTGACTCGTTGTAAAGCGGCTCGGCTTTGGCGGTCTCCCGCTCCAATTACCTCTCCCGCTCCTGAGCGCTTCTCGGACATGTCTAGCGAAAGAGCCTCCCGAGCACTGGCTGTACTAGCGTCCCCTCGCAGGTTCAAGACCGCATATTGCACCATATTATATCTTCTTTCCCGATCCCCATAGCATTCTACGCTCCAATATACCACTCCAACCTTCTACCACGCACCTACTTACTTACCCTATTCCAACATCTCCGCACCAACCTCTTATCCACAAAAGAACCCTAGTCCTACAACCTATCTCATAACGAACCCACGTCGTACCTCCGTAATGCTCCGTCTCCTCCCTATGCCTGAGGTAATTACCACAGTGAAGACGCCACCGAACCCCAGATATTCCTAGAATTTCCGATACAAAGTCCCGCAAAGCCTCCTCTCCTAGGAGAGCAGAACGTTTACAACGAAACCCCTTCTATCTCCAGGACAGACCTCCCCAGCATCCACACCCCATACATCTCTACCTCCACTTCTTTCCTTCCCCATACTTCGACAGAGGCCAAAGATGCATCTTTCCTCCTTGATGCTGCTTCGAAGACTTCGCCGACTTCTTGGTGTTCGCATGCGAGGGCGAAAACCTCCGCTAGCTCTGTGACCGCGATAGCATCAGCCACTCGCTGTGTTACTAGTCACCGCAAAGGCCTTGAGTGCATGGTCTGGTGGCAATGCAGTAGACTTATCTTATCGCTACCACGGGCCTCAAATACAACATGTCTTAGGTTAACGGTTTCGTTTTTCTGGTGTTAAGGGAGGGCTTGGAAGCTGGTGTTGGGGAGAGAACTTTTCAGTGGAAGTGGCAAGTATTGTGACATGATTTCGGGAGCAAAAGGATCAATCCTTCTGCTCTTTCAGTTATGACGCCTATATATATCCGCTAACACATGAGTTGATTGATTGAGAATACGAGAAATATAGCTATACAGTAAAAGTTAGGAATAAGCAATTCCTTGGCATAAAATACGACCATACTTTAAGCAATAAAACCTAAGGCCCCTAATGCTTATTCCTAACTTTTACTGTATAGATGTATGACCCAAGTCACGTGTAGCAGTAACCGTATCCGGCAACATCATGATCCTACGAATTTTAATTAGGCCGTTCGTCGCATTAAAGTACACGACTTCTTCCCAGTCCCACGCTTACTCCGGCTGAACCCCGTCTCCCCAGAAACAGGATCATGTCCTCCCAAGAATCAAATCCCACGGAAGTGAATCTCGAAATCTCCTACACCCGTCTCTCCCCCTCACTCCGCCCTAACGACAATGATCCCTCCCATGCGCCCATCGTCTTCCTCCACGGCATTTCAACCTGCAACAAAGAATTCTCCCGCGTCACCCCCTTCCTCGCCAAGGACTATGATCTTATCCTCGTTGATCTACCCGGGCACTCAGGCTCCAAAAACATCCTCCCTTTCACCATGGACAATGCCATCAGCGCGCTCTCCCATCTCATCTCGACCAAAATCGCAGGCGGCAGGGCGCACATTGTCGGCATGTCGCTGGGCGGCTGCGTAGGCCTGGAGTTTGCGCGCCGACGCCCCGAGCTGGTGCTCAGCCTGTTCTGCACCGGGTGCGCGCCGTTAAGCGGGTACAGGAAATGGTTCATCTCGCGGCCGCGCCTGATGGGCGGGATCGAGATCGCGGCGGGCAAGCTCGCGACCGAGGCGCTGTTCTGGTCCTTTATTGGCGTGGAACCGCTTCCGGGCCTCAGGGAGGAGATGCGGAGGAACCATTCCATGGAGATGCTGGCGGCGGGGTACGGTGCGTGTACTGCGTTGACCCGGGCACGCGTCGCTGAGATACGGGGCGTGAGGGTTGCTATCGTGGCGGGTGGGAAGCGTGATAATGTTGAGGAGACGAGGGAAGCTGGGAAGGTGCTCGCTAACACGAATCCGGAGTGTAAGGCATTAGTGGTGAGAGACGCGGTTCACTTGTGGGACTTACAACTTCCAGAACTGTTCGCCCAAGGCGTGAGAGCCTGGGTCGAAGGAGGGAAAATGCCGAAGGAGTTCGAAGAGCTGAAATAACTAGTGAGAGCCTGAAAGATGGGGAAAGGAGAATATGTTAAAGGTGTTGCCTTTTCTTGCTACTTGAGTACTTTTCCGTGCTGGGGGAAGTAATGCTAGGGGATCAGTGCGGTTCGGTCGGTGGAAGTATCCACATCTTCCGGAGAGGTAAAGCCTCCACTAATGAAACCGCAGCAAGAAAAAGCGCAAGGAAAATCATCCTAACATTGTTCACTTCATTCATTTCCATCTCAAATCTATCAATCCACTATGTAAACGCCATCACGCATCCTCAACGCCCATATCAAACAACAGAAACTCCGCCCTCGCATCCCCCACACTCTCCACCTCAATGCTCCCCGGCCCCGTCACCCCATCCACATACGCGCCATCCCCCTCTCCCAGCACCGTATCCCCGATCCGAATCTTCGCCCCGCCCTCCTTCGGCTGCTTCCGCCCGCTCATAACAACCTGCACGTAAACCTTCCGCGGGCCCTGCGCAACAACCTCATGCACGACCTTCCTGCCGGGCGAGAGAATCGAAGCGTCCATGCTCAGATCGGCCTGGAGCCCAATTGCGCCCTTGCTGTCGCCAAGGCGATCCGCGTACTCCATTACGCGCACAAGCCTGTCCGTCTTCTCCTCGTCGCTCCACATCCTCGTCTCATAGTGCGGCGCGAGCCCGCGCTTATCCGGCTTCGCCCAGATCTGCAGGAAGTGCACTTCCTCCTTCCCATCCCTATTCCATTCCGAGTGCCGGATGCCCGTCCCCGCGCTTGTGAACTGCACCGCCCCGCGCGTCAGGTACTCCAGGTTGCCCATGCTATCCTTGTGCTCGAGCGTGCCGGCGACGATGTAGCTGAAGATCAGGAACTCGGCGTGCGCGTGCGTCCCGAAGCCCGTGGATGGCGCAACGCGGTCTTCGTTGATGACGCGCAGCGGGCCCCAGGACTGGTGCCGCGGCGAGAAGTACGAGGCGAAGGAGAATGTGTGGAAGGAGTAGAGCCAGTCGTGGTCGGCCTGGCCGCGGGCGGACCAGGGCCGCTTGGTGATTTTCATGGCTGTGGAGGGCGTGGTGGTGGACATGGTGCGGATGGAGGAGGGGATTTTGAGGAGGGAGGAGAGCGAGCTGCGGAGGGTGGTGGAGAGCACCAGGGTGACTGCTGGAAGGGTGGTGAGTTTTGCTGCTAGTAGTGTCTTTGTGGAAAGGGAATATGTAGCTGTGCTTGTGGATTGCTGTTTTGTTCTGTCTGGTATTAGAAGAGAGGAGTTTCGGCAAGGCACGAAGACTCGAGCGATCTTTATACTTGTTAGTAGCCTTTGAGGTTAGTGCGAGGATCTCGGAGAGGCTTCCATCGTGAAGCAGTTCTTTGTTGTGCAGCATTTGCAATGGTTGAGTAAGGCTTTGCGGAGCGCGCGATGCTCTCGGGATGGGAGTCGCAGCTTACTGAGCAATGACGAGATTTGATCCTGGTTTATCAGCGATGGCTGATTGGTGGATTAGCGATAGCGCGGAACTAGTCCGCACCTGGACATGCACCTTCATCCCACCCTCTCCAACACAAGATCGCTCCTGGTCGGCACAGTATTTCCTCTTTCGTGGTACTTGCAGGAAGCAAGAAGCTTTGCAAACCCCAGCCAGTGGCCCATCACAGCTCGGAACGACGAAAGAGGCCGCACGTCAACCCAAGACGCCCACCCAACCGCCCCTCATCCCAGAGCATCAGAATAACCACAAGGCGTCCTCTAAGCTAAAAAGATGGCATTAAAGAACTTCAATCCCGACAAGTTCCTCCAAGAATGGTCAGACGAAAAATACGTTCCCAGCCAGCACAACGGGAAGACATTCGAAGAATGCATACGCGCCGCTTTCAACATCCCCGAAAACGATACTTACGTCTACCGCGCACAAGGCGAGACCACTTTGGCGATAACGCAAAAAGCGATTAACGGTAAACGAGCCCATGGCCTGCACAATTGGTATCATGACGAGCATGGAAAACCTGTGGGTGTAACTTTCGTCTTCACCCCCTCCACGCTACCTTGTTTGCTCCTTTCTCCCAAGCACAGTGACCACCTCTAACCTCCCCACAGATCGACCAACCGCATCCATCCCCGGAAGAAATATCAGCATACACCTCACTCTTCTCCCCCTCCACCTCCCCCCCAAAAGCCCTCAAAGCCTTCGCAGCCAACGCCAAATCCAACACCCTCCGCGCCTCCATATCCACCCACCTCCTCTCGCGCTTCCACTACTCCACCCCCACCCCCAGCAGCAGCACATCCCTCCTCCCCTCCCGCAAACCCGCACGCCAGCACACCAACCCCGCCCTCTCCCTCTGGACGCACGCCTGCCACGAGCTCGAGTGGGCCGGCCCGTGGCCCGCCACCACTTACACCACGCACGCGCACCACCTGCTGCCGATCTTCTACCACCACTTCGGCTGCGCAGTGCCCTCGTACGCCGCGCTGCACGTCCTCGCCGCGCTCGCCCAGCCGCCGAAGCCCAGCAAGCAGCCCGTGCGCCCGATCCTCGACATCGGCAGCGGCGGCGGCTACTGGACGCTGCTGCTGCGGCGCTTCCCGCTGCCGCAGGGCGCGCAGTGGAAGCCGCTCGACGTGCGCGCCGTCGACAGCGGCGCGTCGACGTACCGCGTGCGCTGGGTCGCGGACACGGTTGTGCTGGATGGCGTGCGCTATCTGGAGCAGAATGCGGGAGGGAGGGGCTGCGTGCTGCTGCTGGTGTATCCGCCGGCGACGGGCGGGTTTACGGAAAAGGTGTTGCGGGCGTTTGAGGGCGATGCGGTTGTGGTTGCCGGCACGCAGAATGGGAATGGGTTTACGGCGTTTCGGGATCAGGGCGTGGATGAGTGGGTGGAGGGGAATTTGGCGGAATTTGGGCTCACGCTGCGGATGCCGCTGCCGAGTTTTGCGGGGAAGGACGAGGCGCTTTTTGTGTTTCAGCGGAAGAAGGAGTAGGTGATTCGGCACACATAACGACTTTAGCGTTAGAGTCAATGTATAGTTGCTTGGTTGTATACCATACGGTTATCTCTACCTATCCCACCAGCACAGCCTTCCCACCGCCATACTTGCCGTCCGGCCCCTCAAGATGGGCATCCAACACGGCCGTCGTTCCGTTCATCACGCTCTCAATAGCCTCCGGCAATAACTTCGCCAGCTCTTCCGCGGTACTTGCATGCTTGGCCCAAATCTGCCCCCCAGACGCCGCCCTTGCAATCCCCGAGTAATCGGGCGTCGGCGCAAAACTAATATTCAGCTCCTCATTGCTGACCTTGCTCCCCTCGCCATTCGGATGCACAAGCAGCATCGATTTCCGCGGCGCATTCCAGCCCTTGTTGTTCAGCACGATGGTGAGGATGGGGATGTTGTAGCGCTGCGAGATCCAGTACACGGAGCCCGGAATCGCGAAGAGATAGGTGCCGTCGCCGACGATCTGGCAGACAAATTTTTTCTGGCCTTCTGCGTCGGTCGCGAGTTTGATACCCAGTGCGCCTCCGCCGGACCAGCCTAGGCCTCCGCCGCCGCAGTTGATCCATGAGCCAGGGAGGGTGGCTTGGAGTTGGTCGGCAACGAAGGCGGTTTGCGTGACGGCTTCGATGGCCCAGATGGTGTCATTGGGGCACAGTTTCTTGAGTTGCTGGGCGAGATAGGGAGTGCTGAAGTGGCCGTTATCGTCGACTTTTGCTTCGCTGGCGATGATTTCAAGCTTCTTCTTGTGGTATTCTTGGAGGGCGGTCCATCGGTCTGAGAAGAGGTTGCTGGAGAGTTTTTCTTTCAGATTGGCGTTGAGATAGGCGTTTATTTGCGCGAGCGAGGTGGAGGAGTCTGCGCGGTAGCGTTGGAGGGCTTTGATATAGTAGACGGGCATCTGTTGCTTTAGCGGGTCGACGTCGATGTGGAAGACTTTTGCGCCGTCTTTGGGGTGGCATTGTGTGTTGATCCAGGGAACGTCGCAGTCGAGGACGAGGATCACATCGGCGGTCTTGATCTTGGGCTCGACACCGTAGCGCAGGCCAAGCCAGGCGGGATGGTTTGCTGTCGGGCTGTTAGGGAAGGGGTGATACCAGATGTATTGTCAACATACCGGGAAAGCACATGTCGCTGCCGCCGGTGTCGAGCACGCGCAGTCCTTTGACATTGTCCGCCAAATTGACCAGCTCTTGTACCGCATCGTGATTTCTGCCAGAGTAGCCTGCGATTACGAGCGGTTCCTGCGCACTCGCCAACGCCTCCGCAATAGTTTTCACGCCACTTGGTGGCAGCGCTGCGGGCTCGATGGGGTGCCAGTATTCCGTCTCCAATTTATATGGGGTGAGATCCTCTTCCATGGCCTCTCGAGCGCCGCACAGATAGACGGGGCCCTTTGGATCGCTCATCGCAAACGACAAGGCGCGGTTGACCATTTGCTGCACACATATTAGTTTCCTGCCATATGCAATGCTGTGCTCCAACGCACCTTGACGTTCTTGCCCGTCTTGATCTCGGCCGCATACCGGCAGTACTGGGCAACAATCTGCTTTTGGTCGGGCACATCCTGAATCCAGTGTATGTATTCCGTCCTGCTTCCGCGCATCTCTCCCTCTAACGTGAACGGCGACAAGCCGGCGAATATCAGCACGGGCGCACGCCCGCACGACGCGTTGTGCACAGCAGCTCCGAGGCCCTGAGTTCCGACGTCGACGTGTACGATGACGCATTGCGGTTTGTTGGTCAATCGAGCGTAGCCGTCGGCCATGGAGAGGGCGACCATCTGCGCGTGTCAGCGACCGTGTTCGGCGCAAAGAAGGCGCGCAGGCGTACCTCGTTCGGGCAGGTGATGATCTTCGGGAATTGGCCCTTCTTCTCATTTTGGCCTTTGACGATGGCCTCGATGATGCTGGGGTGGTCGGAGCCCAGGTTCACGAAGCAGTGCGTGACGCCCGCCTCCCAGATGGCCTCGAAGAAGGCGAAGGATGCTGTGTAGCTGCTCCCATTAGACAAACGTTTGCTTCCCCGGGGGATAGCAGCTTACACCATGATGCCGGATTTCGGTGTCTCTAGAGCTTCTGAGCAGACTATGGAGGGGGTGGATTGTTAAGTAGGTGCGGAAAGCGCACACAAAGCGGCTCTTGGCCTCGGAATGGCCTCGAGGATATTCATGGCTCCTGCGAGGGCGGAACTGTCGTCTGCCCCACTTGCGCGGGGAAAGCTTGCGTATCAACGACGTTGGTTCGCGTTGATGCCCCTCCGAAGCTGGGGTAGGGAACGAGCTCGGCAGAGGAAAGACGCGGGCGGAAAGCCGCGGTCCAGTCACAGCGCTCAATTCCGAAGCCGATGCCGACAGTGATTCCAAATAGTGAGGTCTGCTGTACGGAGTGGACACGAGTGTGCGAAATCGTACAGAACTGCCCGATGAGGTCAGGAGGGAAGCCGACCTCGGCAGTGTGCTGTGGTACATCGCTCTATGCACGGGCCATTCCACTTTCGGCTGCGGTGCATGCCTCCACGCTCTCCACGTCCTTGCGCTTGGCTCAAGGCCGAGTGTGAGCAATTGTAGGCGGAGAGACACTTCGACGCTCCCACCAGGGAACTGTAACTAGTACTGTAGTGACGTTGAACGTGAGTGGTTCGCTCCTGCCCCGTACCTTGCGCCATCGTCGCAGTCGAGCACGTCAACAGGCTCCCCACACTTATATTCCGACCCGGCTCAACTCTAATTCAACTCCAACTTTCCCTTGTCTCTTTTGTACACCGTCTCATCATGGATTTGCCTCTTCTTCCGGTGCCTGAGGCAGCCCAACCGTTAGAAGGGGCTGCCGCCGTCACAGCACCACCTGAAACGCGTTTCACGATGCGCGCCCCGAACGATTAATAAAAACCCTATGGCTTTCATCTCCTGTGCACACCTCCCCAGCTCCTTTGCGGACTCTTCTTTTCGAGATATTGTACTTTGCTATCCCTCCTAATCTGTCACCATGCGTAGCGTCATCGAATTAGCAATACTGGCCTTCCTCCCATCCGTCATCGCCTCCTCTACGACTTGCACTCTGCCCATTCCATCTTCGCTCTACGTATCCGGGATACCTTCGTGGCAGTCTCAAAACTTCTCCTGCATAGGCTCACCACAAGCCTGGACCGCCAAACCGAGCCCAGGCAAAGGCATAGGCGTCTTCGCGACTAGAATACTGGAACCGGGCGACATCATCCTCCAAGAGCCGCCTATCATTCGCGTCAATCCCCCCGAGTTTCGTGACGGTGCAGCGTATCCGCTGAGTAGCATTGAAACCCTCATCCGGAATGGATTCGAAGCGCTTTCCGAAGACGCCCAAGCCGAAGTCATGGCGCTTCATGCCCACATGACCCCGAAAGACGCCGATAAGCTACTCCCCATTTTTCGAAGTAATGCATACACCATCGAGACGGAGGTTGGCCTCTTTCCCAAAGGAGCACGCATCAATCACTCTTGCCGGCCGAACTCCAGCCAGTTCTGGAACGCAAGAATCGGAAAGCGAGTGGTATACGCCATACGGCGCATTGAGGAGGGCGAAGAGATCTTTGCAACCTACATACCCCTTCTCCACGCCCATGAGGTCCGCCAGAAAAGGCTCGACCAGTTTGGGTTTAAATGCGGCTGCGAAGCATGCGCGCAAGAGCTGGCAGCCCAGGAAGCCAGCGACAAGCGTAGGCAGGATATCCGGAAGGCTTTTCATGATTTCGAACCTCAGCTTACCCTTGCGGTACCCAAGAGCGTTGCTGGAAGAAAGAACGCGGAGAAGAATGCAAAAGCCAGCGTGCAGCTTGCGACTCTGGTTGAAGAGGAGGGACTCGCCGACTATTACCCTCAAGCGTACCGTATCGCCGCCATCAGTCATGCGAGGATAGAAAGGTGGGAGCCTGCCACAATCTGGGCGCACAAAAGCTATCAGTTGAGGGTGATGGCGGATTCGCAGTCGGCGGAGACGCTGGAGATGCACGCCTTAACGGCTCGCTTCATTTCGAGCTGGAACGACGACTTGAGGAACAAATCTATGCGGCAAGCCTGACCTTGATGATTCCGTGCTCTTACCCGGATAACCTCGAACGACCCGGCCATATCGGATGTCCGAGACCTCCGGCGTGAGCTCCGACAACTCTGTATTTCACCAGTTGATTCCCTCAACCGGTACCGATCCGCCGTTGGCATATTGCTCAATGATGTTTTGGGACTCTCGCTCCGAATGGCATTCCTAAGCAACCGGAACGGAAGTGTCCGACTACCGAGCGTATCACAATCGCGCTGTACTGGTTCTGCGCATCGCCAACGGTCGCGTGCGCCTCTGCGTCTCTCATTAAAATTCGTTCTTGTTGAGCTTATTGACTTGTTGAGGAATATATGCTGGAAGCCTACATCATCGCGGTGTTGATGGGTTAGGCGGAACCGAGGGAACCATGGTCTCATACGTGCGCACAGAATGGGCATCGTCTCTACGGATGCTTCCCTAACCAGATTAAGGATGCCAGGGTCTTCGGTCTTCGCTCTCACCAATCTCCGATGTTGTTTGCTCTCCCCGCTTGTTCTGCGTTCTCGCCCGGTTACGCCCTCCCGCCTGCCCATCAGACGACCCAATCGCCACGCGTAGCGAGTGCGAGCATCACTCTCTTGTATCAAGGCTCTTGGCGACGCCAATCAACGAGCTATCAGACGTTGCTTTTCGGTTTTGACGTCACACCGCGAGATCTCGATATGGCATTTGTTTCAAGAGCCGGGGCCAGCTATTTTATGACAAAGGTCGCAGCGCTGACTGACTTTCCGAAACGCCGACATCTTATGCAACATGTCTCGTTGTTAGCTCCATAGCGCAGGGATTTTAGCCGATTCGCCGAAGCAAAGCATTGGCACCTTCAGGCTCTGAACCTATATCACACCGACTTCGTCAGCTTTCATCCTGAGATTCCCCAGGCGTCCTTTCCAGCACATTCCCTCCAGGAACGCACCGGCTCGCACAATCGCAAAAATGGCCAACGCCCGTCTAATAGACGCTGATGATCGCAAGCGCAAAATACCCATGCGCGTTCTTGTCCTGGGCATGTGCCGTACGGGAACCTCCTCCATCGCCGAAGCCCTCACCAAGCTGGGCTACAACCCGCACCACATGACCAGCGTCATGGCAGACCGATCGCAAATCCCTCTCTGGCATGAAGCCGCCAATGTCACCTTCTTGCCTGATTCTGAGCGGCCAACCCACCTGCGCGGCCTTCCGCCTTACGGACGCGCAGAGTTTGACAAGCTGCTGGGCGACTACGACGCCGTTACGGATCTCCCGTCCGCGCTGTTCTGGAAGCAGCTCATCGAGGCCTACCCGGACGCCAAGGTTGTTCTTACGAATCGCAAGTACGAAGACTGGGAGCGTAGCATGAACACGTCTATCTGGATGATGCTGCAGTGGAAGCTCACTACCTTCATCCGTACCTTCAATCTCACCCCAATGGCGCCCATGGTGCGCATGGTGCATACGTTCTTCAAGGTGCACAACGGTAACCACTACAAGCCGCCTGAATCTAAAGCCGCGTACGAACGCCACTACGACAATATCCGCAATTTCGTCCCGAAAGAGAGACTGCTGGAGTTCGGACCGCAGTTTACCTGGGAGCCGCTGTGCGAGTTTCTGGAGCACAAAGTGCCGGAGGAGCCGTATCCGAGGCTGAACGACAGTAAGATGATGCGGGTGAGGCTGGATGACGGGTATAAGATGATGAGCATGTTCGTCTTGCTGAAGGTGGTGCTGCCTGGGGCGGCGGTGGCGGGGCTGGCGGCCGCTTCGTATCTCTGTAGGGACAGTATTTGGGACTATGTGATGAAGTTCCGCCGCGGTTGAGGGCGATGCACAGTCTTCATTCGACACCGATGGTTGCTGTCTCACGTGTCAAGACGTAGCCGGGGAGCATTGCGGGATTGGGTATTGACGATTGTGGCAGGTAGAAAGGAAGAATCGGATAGCATCAACGGCACGGACGATGTATATGACAAGTACTCGCTCCCCTTCCTTTCCATCCATCGTGTCCGCCCGTGTCTTTCCGCCACTTCCTTGCATACAACACCATCAATTCACCTCTCTTTTTACAAAGAATACGTCTCACCACTTCTGTCTTCAAAAGAAATCGAATTTTTCTTCACCATTCTCCGCTGCAAAACCACCACTTCCAATGCCCTGTTCCATGTTGGTCTAACTACTCGCTTCTATACGACTACTCTGCCACTGTCTGGCTAGGTTTCTTTCCGCATCCCGTTCAGCCGGCGTAGATAAGAAAAGATGCGTGTTTGCTCCGGCCCGAAGCGTTTGAACTCGTCCGTCCGCTGTTCCTTCGTAGATGCGACGCCGAAAGAGAGCAGAGCTGATGTGTGTTAAGGCTGGAGCATCACTTGCAGGAACTAGTCTCCCTAGGGCTTTCGTCACGGGAGCAAACGCCAGAAAGAAACGGTACTACGCATGGGGCTTGACTGGATGGGCTTTGAGATTTGGAAATTGTCTCCATCGCACCTCGCTATTCGTTCGACGACCGCACTTCAGGAGGATGCTAAAGGATGACGGCTCTAGGCATTCTTCAGAACTTATGTCCTTAGTCGCCTCTTTGAAGTATTCCTCACGTAGTGCATTTTCTCGTTGTCATCTGGGACTGGATCCACAGTATGTAACTTGATATGCTCGCTCGTCTGCCCCATGTCCTTTTACTTTGTATGCTCAACCATGAATGAATCCCTCCCGTGGTCCTAGAACGAGTAAAACCTCGAAACTAAGATCCTTGTTTCGAAAGAGTTCACATTGCTCCACCTTTCCAAGTCCAGTGAACCTCCCTTACGGCTCGCACCATGTCTACACGCCCCTCGCTTCCCACCACCCCAAATACTCACTCGTATATACAACGCTCCAATACGCATCTGCAGCACTTCACTTCTCAGTGCGGCGCAGACCTCCTCAGGGGCCTTGGCCAGGGGCTCTCCGCATCAGCAAATTGCTGCTGGTTGATATCCCTCGCGGCCATACCTTTTGCATATAGATCTTCTTCGCTAGATTCGTGGGACGGGGCAGCATGTGGAGTTTCCCGTGCTCCCGACTCATCCCGTCGCCATAGTTGTTCGAGGGGTTCAGCAACCTTTCCTTCCTGCCTAGGGGATTTCGAGCCGGCGCTTGGCCCACCGTCTGTCCACAGCTCTTCAAGGGGTTTGACGGGCCAGGCTGCTTCTACTTGCGCCCTGCTTGGTTCATCGTCCCTCCGTAGTTCCTCGAGAGGTATAGCGGGTAGCGCCTTTTCCGATTTCGACGCCCAAGATGGAATTGTCGCGCTGCTCGAGCTGCTGCTTTCGAACTGGTAATGCCGGCGTCGCTCCTCCCCCGACAGTCGCGCACGAGATGCCGGGCTGAGTGGCCTGTTTCCGAACGGCCCTAGCGCGGTGCTGTTGGTCGATGGCGTAGAGACTGGAGAAGGAGCGCTGGTGATAGGATGCGAGGACAGCGGCTGCGGGACAGCAGGCTGGATGCCGATTTCTTCTTCTTCGCGATTTGCGTCCATGCGGCGCGGGGGCGGGGTAGCAACGGGACTCCGCAGAGCTTTTATCAGATACCCGAGATGCTGGATGTAGAGGATGGTGACGATGTGTCCGACTGTAGCTAGGACGAGGAAGATTTGAGTGAGGATGAGGAGGGCTGATAGGAGTTGGTCGTTCATGGTGAGTCTCTGGCTGCTGGCGGGAGGAGGGGTGTCGCGGGTGTATTTATCGCCGGGAGCGCGTTCGTCGATGCTGTCCTGTGGGGAGACGGTTCGTAACGCTGTTAGAGCGGACGAACGAGAATCGTTGGACGGCGTGTAGAAGTTCTGCGCCCGCAATCCCTTGCGAGTAGCTCCGGACGCTATAGAAGCTAAGAAGTCCGTCGCGAATGAGTTTGAACGTCCCGTTTGCACGCGCGAATCCATTCCGAAGGGAGAAACATCCAGATGCGAACCGTACATGCATTCTATACATAAGAAAAGCCGTAAGCCAAGCAAGAGAGTCAAAAGTTCAGCTACAAAGAAGAAGAAGAAAAATACTCGCACAATCAAAGAAACAACCCTCGCACCAGATCCCCACCGCTGCTACCAGACCCACCCCTCACCACCCACCCCCCATCCCCCTAAAACTCCTCCCCCTCATCCTTCTCAATCACCAGCCCATTGCACTTCGCAATCTCCTCCCTCATCGCCACCGTCCAAGCCTCCTCCTCCTTCCTCTCCAACCTTACACAAACAAGCAACAGCCCATACCCCGAGCCATAAATGCCCAAGCAAGCCAGCGGCAGCTGCGGCGAAACCAAGCTCAGGATCCCGTAGAGCAGCGCGATGTTGAGGAAAAACGCGGCAGTGAAGGCAGCGACCATTGAGAGCGCGAAGACGATGTTGTTCGACGATGACGATGACGGCGACGACGACGTGGACATGGAGTGTTTAGACTTTGCTTTGCTCGCGCGCAGCTTGCTGAGGACTTGCGAGGCGACGGGGAAAGCGCGCATGCTGTTGTTGTTGCTGGCGTTGACAATTGCGGTCGACATTGTTGCGCCTCGTTGTTGTTGGTTTGTTGGAACGTGCGACGAATAGTGGGGGTTTTTCTAAGGTTCTGCTAGCCTTGTTTAGTAGGTCGATGACGTGCTAGGCTTGGGATTTGGACGAGTCGTTTGCGCTGGGTAGGTAAGGAGCGTGTGTCGCGTTGCGGGCGAAAATCAAACGGTGCGGGAAGTAGAGACGAACGAAAGGAGCGCGGAGAGCCAGCGAAAACGGCTCTATTAACTCGCGCGCACTTTATTCAGCTGCTGCTTCTGAGGGCGGAAATTGTTGTCAGAAGGGCTGCTGCGCTGCGGACCGGACTTTTCCTGTTCGGGGGGTGGTTGACGGACTTTGCGAAGTCCGTGGGGACGGAGTGTACGGCGGACGCAAGCCACGAGACTGAGACGGTGCGTTGTGCTTATTGGATGGGAGTTCTAACCGGAGTAGCGGAAAATAGGTCATTGGTGGGCTGGAGGACCGATTGCGCCACAGACCGTGAAGAGGGCGCGGCAGCGCTGCGTATATATGGTCATGGTAGCAGTAGATGTGATACTGGAGCCTGCACTTGTAAGAACTCTAAATCCTAGTCAGCTCCCACGTCGCACGTGAGTGTGGAGATGGCTCGATAAAGAGACGGACGTTTCTTAAATCAGTGGGAGGAGTCACTCATTCGACCAACAACCCATCGCTCACGGACTTGGCACTGTCACATGATGAATCCGTCACTCTGGAGTTGCTTGCCCAAGCTCATCCGGACGCACATTTCCTTGGCCTAGGCTTAGCTTTTTACTATTGGAGCGCTATCTGGTTTCAGAATATGCTCCAAGTCAGCTGGTATGGGGGAGAAAATAAAGATATGTTGGCCCGGACCGCGCCAAAGTTATTCGACAAGAAGTAACCCACGTACTAGAAGGTAAGAAACCCCTCCGCTGAAGCTGCGCCCTATGTGTAGCGTTTCTCTTAGGCGGAGCCGGTATTAGGGTGGAACTACATCTCTGTGCATCCCAACTTGTGTCTCCAAAGACTCTAGAGAACGTACGCGGATGATCAGACATGAATTCAGGTCATGGAGATAGGGGTCGCACCCTAACGGGTAATAGATCAAGTCTGACGTGGTGGCTTGATTTGGCTCGCTGATGGTATCTTCGGATGGGGAACGATTCAAGGTAATTGCGCTTCCACTTCTCTCACTTTGAATCATTTCCTTTTCCGGTTTTCGAGTCGATTCATGGCGCCGTCTGAAGGATTGAATGGGGCATGATGTCCTCTAGGACGGTTTTGATAAGCAAGTAGATCGGTCCGTCTATGGATAACTAGTTCAGGGCTAAAATACAAGGCTGAACTCCTGCGCAATAACGTGGAACTTGTGGCCGGACCATTCAATCTGTACCCTCAATTTGTTGGGGCGTTAAACAATCACTATTAGAATAGAGCGTCGACGGTTTCTAATGGCCCCGCCAATCGCGTTTCCAAATTCCACGAGACTGCGCCCCTACCCTATGTATCGTGTTCCAGGATGTACATTCTGCGGATCCCGTCCTTCGCGCCCTACGGTGATTGTTCAGGTATAGTGCAGCTTAGTATCTGGGTCGACTAATCGTGGCTTCTCCTTCCTTCTCTAAGGCTACAAGCCTTGCCTTAATAAGTCTGCAAGCCGATCTCGTAATCCCTAGAAGAGATTTGCCATAATTACGCCGTCGTAGTTTATAACAGTCTAGATACAGATACCGGTCCCGCGAGAGGCCGGAATACCGAAGTGTGGGGTAAAGCAAGATAAAGAAGCTGCGTGTGGGACCGAGTGCTTCCTTGGGCGTTTGCATTCTGGTACTATGGTGCGAGTGGCCTTCTCTGATGTGTTACAGCATCTCGTCACTTAGGGGATTCAACAAGCAACCATTTAAGACTCAGTATGTGTATATAATGAACCATAGCAGTCAAGGAAACGGGAACATACATTCTTCAAATCACTGAACGTCTCCGAATATATGTTGAAGACGCCCATAACAAAAGTAAATAGCAACACTCTCCCGAACCCTAGATGTACACACCTTTATGCCCACCTGCATTCACCTCACATTATGTCCCACCAAACCTCGTTGTAGTACATTCACCTCACGCCGGTCCTCTCGCCCCTTTGATATGACCTTCCAGGCTCAGCCAGCGTCTCATGACCCTGCGCATCAGCCCGTACTTCTCTTCCTTGCTGACTTTCCAGCTCGTACGCCTCTCCTGCACTGTATGCAGGAGGAGGATCCTCGTGCGTATCCGGTCTTGGAGGATGCGATATGTGGTGCACTTGCTGCGATCGCGGGCATGGATCCGCGTGAAAGACACACCAGACGAGCACGAGCACGAAGAAGACGAAGATAAATATGACAAGTGTGATAATATCTATCCTGAGGACTTCAAGTTGCTCTTTGCAACTGAAGAGTTCATCATCCAAGTACATCTTTGTGGGAATTGGGCTGCGATGGGATGAGTGGGGAGCATTATATACACTGTCGTAAGGAATCATCGCCTAGCGTAGAGTCTACGCTTCCCTAGCATCCAGCCGCTTAGCATCAGTGCAATCGTTCGGGAAACGCTGGGAGCAGCTCGCCCGGCGCCTCAGTCGGCGTAAGGGGTACGCGGTATACGAGCCAGCCTTCAACGAATCGTGACAACTGTACGCTGGCGGATCGTGGCCTGAAGCGTCGCTACTTGCATATACACCCTCGTTGATGATCCCCGTTGCCCGCTTGGCGTATCTTTCCAAATACCGTTTCCATAGTTGACTGGTGAGGAAGCATATGGAAATAAAGGATATGACGCTGTTTTGTTGGCTGCCACCCATTGCGGTGTTCGGGGTGAGGAGAAACGTCGTATGAAAACTGGCGGCGCATGACTGGTTGAGACTTTTGTACAGGCCTTGTCAGATAATAACGTGCGTTCGTGATCCTGTGTCATAAGCCGCCTCCGTTTGCATGGGAGTAGGAGTTCCGGAATTCACTGCTTGCAATGCTGAGTAGTTTATTTTCTTGTCCCGTTTGTTAGGACGGACTGAACGATGGAGTGTACGGGTGCTGTACTGTGCTCAATGTAGAGGCGTCATGCATGGGCGTTGGCGCCGCCTAGATCTGATCAGCGACAAACTTGGGCGGGCACAATGCGTAGAAACTCTCCCTGCTCTCCCTGCTCTCCCTGCTCTCCCATCACCAAAACCTGCTACGCCGCGACCCATCAGATTTTCCTGTATTGAAGCGAGGTAACATCTACACCACGCACACTTTTAAGTCACAACCGTAGAACATCACCCGTCCGCCCTGACGTTTTGCTCCACGCATCCATTCAAAAGCAGCATGTGCGCTTTCCGCCATGATAGTCGGGACTCGGGCCGCAACTATCAACTAGGAAGCGCACAAGAACCAACGTGGAAGAAATGATGGGTCGGGGTCCTCAGTGAGAACTTCACCCCAATGCCGGAGCTAAAGAATGAGGGAGTTTGACCACGCGCTCAAACCTATCGACCAATCAACTAGCAATTACTGTCAGTGGGGCTACTTATGCTTCATGCCCACGCACGAAGCCTGGGTTGCACTTGCGGATGCTAAGGACTGAGCGAAGGACATTCGCGCGCACCGTCGTTGTGCTGCTGTACTTTTAGTGACTGATGAGGACCAGATTCTAGGGCGGACAAGCGGTAGCTTGAGACGGCTTCTGACCAACCAAACACATGTCGCGCGGGAAGTCCCGGAGGAGATCGAATACGACTTCAGGGTGTTGTTGGATGTACAGCAATAGCGGCTTGGACGTACTTCGTACATGTCTCATGTCAGCTCATTAGCAAGCGATACAGCTCCAAGAGAGTATGCACACTTATTTGTTTCCAAGTTTCATCCTGAAGTCTCCCATTCACTAATCATTTCCACAGACCTGGCTTAACTGGCCGCCACAGCCCAAGTTAGCAATGGACAGCTTCGAGGAGGTGCACGAGATCCGCAGGTCGGCCAATATCCGTGAGCATGCTATACCTCTTTCTACTCTCGTTATCGAAGGCGGCGGTCAGTCTGGAACTGAGCTAGGTCTACCTAAGCTATGCTTCGCTTCGGTGACAAGCCGAAGAACGTGAGGCGTACATTTGGCCAGGGAGATGGACTAAAGCCGAGAGTGAGCAAGACTGTGTCGTTGGATAGCGAGGCCACGCAGACTGGATCGGACGGTGTCGCTGGAAAGATTCCGCCACATTCTTCAACCATACATTGCAAGGAGCGAAGTAGAGTCCCGATGATGAGGCGTGTATCTTTTAGGCCTTGGCTCAGATGAGAATCATAGAGCGCTGCGGCGATGGCGATGGCGAAGGCCCGTTGAGACGGGCACATTCGAGCACGTGGTGATTCCGCAGTTAGCAGCAGGTTACGGAGCTAAGGAAATGGCGCATGACCGGAATTCTATACGATACCCCTTTGATGAAAATGGAACGAGAGTGGATACAACGCAATCGGTATGCCAGCTTGGCGTTGTGCGTGGTGCAAGTGCCAGGTTTGAGGTGTTGAGTTCCCGGCTGGCCCGAGCGCCGCCCCGCCCGCACACTCAGCCATCAAAAATGATCTCCACACCGAACAAAAAGCTCACAACACAAAAAGGACAAAAAAAAGCAGTGTGCCAGGTCTAGCGACCGATGTGGGACTCGAACCCACAGCCTTGGCCTAACCTAAGTAGGAGGGCCACGCGCTACCATTGCGCCAACCGGCCCTTGAATTTAAGGAATTCTGGGTCTTGCAAACCTTATATACGCAATAAATGGGCAGGCGAGAAAGCCTCCCGAACAATTTGAAGAGAAAACATGCAAGAAGGGTTTGTGGCAAGCTGACATGTGGGGCTCCGGCGTTGGGTCGCACGAAGACCAGTCAGACATCGAACGCTAAGCCGCCCAGGGCTTGACCGCAGGCTAGATCACGTGACGGTTTGTTCATACCTTTTTTGAGTTTGTTATTCCCTCAGGCTAATGGCTACACTCGCTGTCCCGAGGAAAAGAGATTGCGATAGTCGTTCATTTTTGTCGAAGGTATTACCGCCGAGCACCAAGGCGGAGCAGCACTACTCTTCGCGCGAACAAAGAACCCCCTCCCGCCGCCGGTGATAGATGCATGCGTCCTCAAGGAAATAGTACACTGTCAGAGATAGCAGCATGATACACCATGTTGTGTCAGAGTACTTCAAGACCCTCAGATCTGCCTCGTCATCTACGACCTTCTCGGAGTCTCTCGATCGAAAACGGGCATTTGCCGTACGGGCATACGCATCGGCGGCCCTCCCGGCCTTGGCATCTGTCGAACAGGAATGGGTTCTGGAGTGGCACTCGGCCGGGGTCCTGAACGAGCGCGCCTATGTCCGAAGTGTTGCGGCGTCCCGTATCGCAGTGTTGGCATCTGCCAATATGGGAGCGGGCTTGGAGGTCCACGGTACGGATGGGCCCCTCCGGAGCCGTAGTAGCTGCCGCTGTCGCTCCCTTGGTCTTCCGCGTAGAAGAAGTATACGTACAGTATCCTGATGAGAGCTCCGAGACCGATTACGAAAGGTATCGTTTGACCGGCTCCGGAAAGCGTGTTCGCACCATCGATTTCGTTCCAGGAAATGGTGAGCTCAACTGCTGCGGTCACAGTCGCGACAACGATGAGTTTTGACCAGGTATCCATGTTTTGGAGACGACGAATGTGCTCCCTTTTATGACGCCTGCTGATAAGCCGCTTTCGTCTTTCGCTCGGGTCGGGAAAGCCGACGGCATGTCTGATTTTCAAGACAATGATGTAGAGGCAGACTATGCCGAGCCAAAAGTACATAAGAATGTTCAAGACGACTGAGACTTTGCTGTTGAGTCGAACCTGAGCGAGGAGGAAGCCGTACTGCTGGCAATTGTAATCATCCAAGTCCGGTACTCGATCGAACCAAAACCAGTACTGGAATACCAGCGCCCCGATGAGCATAAGAAAGTTCAGATTCGCAGACCGCGACCCTGGTTTCACCAGCGGATATCGGGTCGGATCCCAGTACGGGTCGCATCCAGTGAGAAGTCGCCAGAGAAAGATCGGGACGAGCGCCAGGTATGCACCGAACATGAGTAACAGAATGATGTACGTGTCGACCGGTTCGAGACTGTTGACATCGTTGCCCGTGGCAATGACTAAAGCCAGGAAGGTCGCTGCGACGAACAAGTCGATGCCGAAACGGAGGCCTTGGACTTCGGAAGGGGCTATCCAAGCCGCGAGTATCGCTCCGAACCATTGAAAGTAGTATCCCAACCGTATTCCCAGCCCATACATGTCGCTATTCCCTTCGAAGTCGCAGACTGCCATGTCGTCCGATTCAGACTCAATCCGGCGGCCACGAGAGGCGGGAGGGGCATCTCCAAGGCTGAGGTGGGCTGGATGCCTGAGGATCCATGTGGTGCAGCGGATGCTTGCAGGTGCAGCGATAACTAGATACGACTGCAGCTGATGCTGATCAAGCGAGATGCAGCTACTGTGGGAGTGGAGTGTGGGAGGCAGGGGACGGCCGACAAAAGAGGTTAGTCACGGCATTACGTCACACGAAGGTCCGGACCGAGTTAGCCCTGTACCGAATCCCAGCCACAACTATTTCCGCTCCAACCTCTGCTCATCGCCAGCCAACCTCTTTATAGCAAGCCATAAAAGGCCTTCCATCCATCAGTTCTGCAATTAAAGGTCCGAGGATCGAGAACCTCGGCACTATGCATCAAGCACGCGGAAAACGAGGCTACAAAAGACCATTGCATTCCCTATCAACAAGCCCGAACCCTCCTGCAAAACATCGCTCCAACAGATTCAAAGAGACACTAGCATCAGCTTAGAGCACCGAAACCTACGTCATGTGCAAAGGATGGTGACATGGCATCGTCGCATACTACAACTGCTAGGAGGACGCGTTTTCTACCATCCTTCCAAACAACAACGAGATGCCCCAACTAGTACCAACAAGCGCGTGCTCCTATACGAATCCACTTACCATGCCAGGAGTAAGCGTTATTCTTCTTCAGCGATGATCGACTCATCACTCTCGCTCTGCTTACGTGCTACCTTCCCAAACTCGTCTAATCCAATGAAAAGCGACTTACAAGACTGTAAATACGGGAACGGACAGCGTGAATAAGAGCTGAAGCTGAGATTCCTAGGTGCGTTAAGTAAGAACCTTCCCTTGGTGCAGAATAAGACTTTCTGCAATAACTCTAGGGCGCCTCTTTCCCAATGGTCTCGACTCTAGACGTCGTTCGAAGAGGTTCGGGTCCGCCTTACAATTCTTGCAGCGCATTTACCTCCACATCCACCTTCCCTTTCTCTACTGCTTCCATATCCGGCACATTACTATGCTTCGCACCATCAATGACTTCATCAATCTCTTCCATGGTCCGCCCCTTCGTCTCCACCCACCAGTAAGCAATCATACCAATCTGCAGAACGTCCCAGCCGCCGTTGATCATGTAGGTTTTCCATCCGATACGTTCGAGTGCGATAGGGAAGGCCATTGTAACCATCAACCTAGGGAGCCATCGTCAACATATGTCAGGAACTAAGCATTCAGTTAGAGAGACGTACCCTAAGCCAGACTGGAACGTCGTGAAAAACCCCAGCCCCTGCGCTCGGAGCGAGTAATTCAAAACTTCAGGACTGTATGCCGTGTTCAGCGGTGTCATTCCAAAGGCATACGCACCGCTAAACAAGAACAGACTTCCGACCGTGGCGTAAATACCGGGTTTATACGTCGTATCGCCGTACACCTTCGTCAGCGCACCGAGCAAGAACATGAACACCGTCATCAGTATCATGCTTGTCAGTCCCAGCGGCTTCCGGCCCATCTTGTCGATCAGCAGTGTGCCAGACACAGCGACGATAAACGAGAACAAGTTGAGGTAGACGTTGATTTGGAGCTGCGTGTCTGTGTCCGTTATCCCAGCATTTGTCAGCATGGAGCCAGTGTAGTAGGTGACGATGTTGTTGCCGCTGAGCATGCTCACGCAGTTGAGCGTCACGATGATCATGAGTCGTTTTCTTGCACCCTTCGTCTTTAGTAGTTCCCAAAAGGGCGTCTTGCCCGCACGCTCGGCGAAGGACTTCTCGAACGCGATTGTGTCTACGATCTCGCGGTACTGGATCCATACGGTCGGGCTGTCGATCTCGCCGTTCGTGTGCGTCGCGGCGAGAATCTCGAGCGCTTGGTTATTTTGGCCACGGTTAATGAGCCAACGCGGCGATTCGAGGAGGAAGGGTAGAAGGCAAAGACACATGAAGGCGAGCGCGGCTTGGACGATGGAGGGTCCGCGCCAGGTCCAGGTAGAGTCGAGCTTTGCGGTGCGCCAGGTTATGCCTGCGGCCGCGAGCCCTCCTTTTGACGGACGGTTAGCAGCACTTCGAAAACTTTCTAGTTCTACCTACCAATCATGTATGAGCAGTTGAACAATCCGTTTGTTAGACCCCTCCTTTTCCACCATGCAACCTCACTGACCCACCCTGGGACTTGCGCAAATGCGACTCCACTGCCAATGCCAATCAGGAACCTCGCGATGATGAACATAGCCATGTTTTGCGACGCGGTTTGCAACACAGCGGCGATGATATTGGTCACTGCCGCAAACGCCATAGCTGCTTTCCGTCCATAGCGGTCAGCGACCCAGCCACCTGGTGGCCCGGCGAAGAACTGGCCAATCCAAACGATGGATGTGTTGAGAGCTGTGGTCACAGTGTTCAGATGGAAGTAGTCCGTGTACGTGGAAAGGATATTGAGTCCGTTCATCATTGAGCAGTCGTAGCCTTGGTTCTGCAGAGCGCACGGTTAGGGGTCGGTCCTCGAGAGTGGAGATTTACGTACAGTGCATGATAGCATTGCGGTGAAGATGATCAGAGCTAGCAGCGCCTTCGAATTCCTCAGGACAACGGGCGAGAGGCGCGACCCTCTGTTCGTACCGTGGGTTTCCATCTTCGGTCGATATCTTCTGACGATAGAACTGTGAGCGCTGTGAGGCACTTTGAGGGGTAGCAGGAGTTATACCTTGATTCGCGAAGCTTTCCCAAATTGGATGTGACACGCATTTCTACAGGTGGTCGCGCGTGCTAGCACGTCATTATCCAAAATCTCGTTGCAATTAAGCAGCGATAAGCAGATCCACCCATACTCTATAAGATGTTGTGAGTATGCTCGAGCCCGACAGTTTGGTATACGAGAGACAAGGGACGGATAAATAGGTTGCTAGGGGAAGACCGTACCCGATTCTTCGTGAAAATGTGGCATGGCGAGGTCCGACGTGCGAATCAGCTATAGCATATCGCTGGCTATAGACTCGTCACACATTGAACGACAAAAGAGCTTCAGTCTAGCTTTGCCCTGCCGCTGTCGTCTGTACCACAGGGGCGGTTAAGGCAAGATGGACGCTGGAATGATCGGTTCTGTGTCTAGTACAGCTCAATCTGCGTTGGTGTATGGCCGGAGCGGGGGAACTCAAGTAATCGGAATGAAGCACATCTGTACTTGTCCATGAGACTTGGTACCTGATAGGAAGCTGATACCTTCGTCGATTTTCGCCGCACTTGGCGTACTCTCGTGGATAGAGCTTTGAACCCGAAGCTGAGGCTCTTGTCCGGGCATATTTGTTCCAGAAGAATGTATAGAAGAGATTCAACGATAAGCGGAGATTGGAAGTGGAGCAACACAATACCTAGGAGCCCAAGTGATCGGTAGACGACCTCGATCGGGATACCGATTGCGTTACTCCGATACCACCCCAGGTATTTATCATCTAGCTTTTAGATACCCGACCCAATACCAGGCAGACCCAGCATGTTGCGTATAGACTTGATACGGTGTACAGTTCGCATGTCTGTAGTTTCGTGCTGTTGCTGAATGCTCCTCGGATTCCTCGCATCGGCTTCCTAAGTGGTTCGGACCGGGATAGCCCGGCAGCCCTACCGAAACTGGGCTCTCGTGCGCCGGACCGAGTGAGTGGGACTTCACCCGCCGGTTGGGCAGATGCAACACACCTCCTCTTTACATACATACCTTCGTTTCAGAGGGCATGTCGACTGATCGAGAGGGAGGAGGCGCAATGGCGCAAACGGAGTCGACGGTCCATGTGCGCCCATACAACCCAGATATGGACTACGACGTTGTTGTTAGAGTCGTAAGTATTTCGTGCTCTCCTGCATACAAGACGAATGCTGCCATCCTGTGTGTCCCACTAAGATGTTCAGTTCCGCGAAACCATAGGCGATAACCTGCACTTCGAGCCGGCCCACACGCTCTCCACATACGCCTGGTGCAGACCCTACCTGCTCCTATCGCCTTCTACGTGTTTCGTACTCTCCAGCTCTTCCTCAGACGGGACATCGTGCTCTCCCGGTGAACCCGTAGGCTTTATTCTCGGGACGCCTAGTACCATGACTTTCGCTCAGCGCTGGCGCATTTCTTTTCTAGCGAGTGTGGATAGGATGGTGTGTCCTGAGCCTGCGATTCCCGACGGCGATGAGCGAGGATGGGATTTGAATTGGGATGACGATCCGGTAGGGACATTGCAAAGGGTGATATGGGGACCGGAGAGAGTACTGTTGCATGGTGGCCGGCTATCTGGGCTTCTTGAGGTAAGGATCAAGATATTCCGATCTCCCCAATGTACCGGAGGATTTGCAACTCATTTGAGGGACGCTGCGTGCAGAAGTACCCCGCCCATCTGCACATCGATATTCTGCCCGCGTATCAGCGAAAGGGCTGCGGAGGGCAGCTTATGACTGTTTTCCTGCAGAAAGTTAAAGGTACCACCAAACACTTTCCCACCCGTGCGCATTCTGGAGACTGACAGTGCGTGAAGAAGAAGGTGCCTCTGGCTGCCACATCATTATGCCCGCCTCAAACATCGACGCAAGAAGATTCTACGGTAGGCACGGCTTCCGCATGTATGAGAAGAGCATGAACGACGGCGGATCGGGTGAGCCAGGGATACTGAAGGATGGGTCGGTATGTCTAGTGCGGGAGCTTTGAGAATCACGACGGGGTGCGTTTTACGGAGAAGAAGTGGCTGCCGTTAGAGGATAGAAAGCCAATTCCGGGCTCCAAAAGGGAACTGGAAGAGCTTCAATGGATAAATAAGAACCTCGTGCGCTGGAGGACTTCGAGATTGTATTCCGTTGAGAGCATCGTTGATAGAATAAGAAAGGAACTGTGACGTCATCTTAGGGACCCCACCACCACACCATTGCAGCATTTGACTGGGGGAGGGATTTAAAAGGAAGACAATAACCACCCTATGGCCAGGGACGGTAATTGCCCATACTCATTCATGTTCCCTTTCGAAACCGTCCACTAAGCATACATGGCTAACTTGAGAGCCACCTTGCAGGATATCGTCGATGTTTGCCATGTCCATACCCTGCGCCGCCAAACCATGTTTTCCAGACCCACCACCTTAAGTCGAAGAGCAATTCCATACGGCTCATCATTTCGTATCATTTCCCTCCTCTGTCCACAGAAGCCACTCCTCCTTCCAAGTCTTCCCGCTCATTGGATGTAAGATATCAAGCTCCTCACGCGTCGTTCGGTCGGGCAACTCGCGACGGCCAGTTCCCCGCGGAGTAGGCGCCAGATGCAGATCCTCCAGATACTTCTCAGGCAGAAAGCCTGCCACGGCGATCTTGACGGGTACCTCGCTCAAATGGAAATTGGTCTTACCTCTCAGATCCGACAACAGCGAGATGCGCTCCCCCGCCATTCCAATGTCCCCTCGGTTTGCAGTTGCGGGGTTGATGCACTGAACCACCTGGATACGGGGTGAGAGGCCGTTGCGCGTGGAGTGGATTATACGGTGCGCTGTATGGGCGATCCAGAGGGCCACGTCGTCGAGGAAATCGGTGCCGAAGGTCTTCTTGAATTCCGTGACAAGATCTCCAGATGGACCTTCGCGGAAGTCGCGTAAACACTATTCACGTCAGCTCACTTTGCGTTAACTGGTGTAAACGGGGCTTATCTTTCGCCAGCTCCTTCGTCCAATACAGCGAGTTGTGGCTTCTGAGCTCACGCTTGTACGTGCGCCCCAGTGACGCCAACAAATAGCCGGGGAAACTCGTACTCCAGAACTCGGCACTTGCGATCAGTTTCGGTACGGGGCAGCTCTTGGCCTTACCTCGAGTGAATTTTTTAGCCTCGTAATGAATCGTTTTGCAGGTGGCGAGCATGGGCACGGGCACTGTATCTAGGGCTAGAATGCCTAGGGTCTTCGCAGGGTCATCAGGTAGGCGGATGTTGGTGTGTTTGCGATGGAAGAGAAGCTCGTAGACCATGAGTCGAACCTCCTTTGGCAGGTCGAGGAATCGGAACGGTTGTGCGCTCATCGTTGTTGTTTGCTTGTTGGGAGGAACGTGGTGTACTGAAGTGAGTGGGGGAGTTGCGGGGGCTCCGGGTTTTTATAGACCGAAGGTCTCGTGGGGCTTCACCGAGAGATTGTTGCTCACCGAGAGATTGTTGCTCGGTCTAAGACTCGGTCTAAGAAAGCATCAGGCAGCACTGTGCCGATACCCGAAATCACCCACAGAGTGAAAGAGTTCCGGCTCACTGAGTACTTAAAAAAATCTCAAAAGGTATTTCCCGACCCATCGGCTCAGCTCGGCACAACCACGCGCTTAATATTCCACAACTCGTACAGGCCTCACAAAGCGACAATGGGTCTTGCATCCTCGAAGCCAACCTTCCAACCCTTTCGATTCCTCGACCTTCCAAGGGAAATTCGATACATGGTGTACGAGCGACTACCGCGCACAACGAAACACATCACCATCGTCACGCACCCTCACCTCGGAGCCACTCTCACCCTCATCATGCACTCGACCCCGACCTCGATTCTCGCAACATGCCATCAAGCCTATGACGAAGCTCGGCCCTTCGTCCAAAAAGCGATATCCGATTGGGTGATAGAAGGAGGCGTCAAACTCGTCGTGAGCTCCGGGCCACACAGCATTCGCGTCCTCGAGGTCGTGGCCCAGGGCTTGATGGAAAAATTAGACGCAGAGCTGTTGTCCAACAGGCAGGCGCTTGCCGACGAGCAGGCTGGCTACCACGGCGCGCCTGCCGGCCATGTTTTTTGCGAAAAGATCCCTCCATACGTCAACGATATTCAAGGCACTCTTTTAAACCGCGCAGCCTGCATCAGCTTCACCAACCCCGCCTATTACTGGTCGGGCTGCATCGCCTGGTTCCGATTTCTCTGGTTGTTTTCAAGCAGCAGCCACGCCGTCGTGCCCTGGATCGACAAGTCTGCCGCAATAATAATGAAGCAAAAGCTCTCCACGGCGCCTGAGCCTCCAGCAGCTCCGCAGCTCGTAGATATCGTGTTCCGAGTCTATCCTTGGCAGAGGGCGGAGGATGTGACGATAGGAAACCTAATATATGGCATGGCGGATTTGGATGGCATCCAGAGGATTTTCCAGTTGAGAGGCGTTCGAGCAACACCCTGGGGCTGGATTGAACCGAACGCGGAGTTGGGGAGTGCGCGTCCGCCAACTTTTGGTAGAGTGCTGTCTGGGTCTAAGAATGATCAGATGTGGAGGCGGGGGGTGCTCGCACAATACTGGAGACATAGGTGGATTTGATGAGAGAGACGCGCGGGGTTGGCGTGCTTAACTAACCAAAGGAGAAACTACGTTAGTCAGTCGCGAAATGGGGTTGGATTTAAGCATTGAGAACTATGGTAGGTACTGGGTGAGGTGGAATATTGGTTCGTACCTAGGTGGTCCAGCCCTCGTACTACTACTCCTGGCGGATTTGAAAAGTTTGCGATTAAGGAACTAGACAAATAATGGGAATACTCATCCCACCTCTCCAAATTCGATACCAAAATAGAGTGCATGCGAATGAAAGGCCCTTTCGCCTCAGGTGTACGTCGGTCCCAGAGAGCGTGGTAGATGAAGGAGTGCTCGCCATTCGCTCATGTTTGACTTTTTATTGAAGAATAACAGACTCCAGCCACTCTTCCTCCCATTGCTCTTGACTGATAGCGACTCCCTCGGGTACCCCATAGCCTGAACACCTTTGAGAAACCGTCGCCACTCCATATCCACCCTCACCCGCGCTCTGCAACGTCGCAAATAGGTAAGGTGACACAACGCTGCCCAATGCTGTTCTTGATGGTACCCCAGTTGCATGAAATACCCTCTCATACTCTTCGACCTGTAGGATGCCGACGTAGGACCTAAGTGTCCAGCTCTTGGTAACCTCTCACGATGCTCAGTCGGAAAAGTAATAGTCGTAGTCGCAGTCGTTAATGATGTCCCTACAGCTAGTGGGACCGTCGTCAACCCAGGACTCTGACTCCCAAGAGAACTCCCCTCTTTTGAATATATTGTCGGCCGCGCGCAGGCGCTGAAAGCGGCAGCGTCCCGGCATCTCTTTTTCAAAAATATGAACTGTATCTTCCTCCTTGTTCGCATCCACCACAATCTGAGCTGTCTTGGAAAGAGCTCGGCTCAGATACTCTAAGATCGGAGTTAACCATGCTGTCCATTCCTTGAAGACGTCCTCCGGTTCCACTTGCGGCGATGCGTACGGAGAAGGCGGGGCCGGCTGCTCTGCGATAACGCCTAATATCGAAAGGTTACCGAGAACACCATCCCAAATCGTCTGGTCCATGCGGAAATCCCGGCAATAGGAAAGCCCCATGGGTCGTAAGACCAATATCATCTTCCGCATTTTCTCTCTTGCCTCAGGACTGAACAACCGCGCGAAATTCGATTGATCGTCGTCAACATCGACTCTGAAAGTATTCCCTCCGTACAGCATTCCCTTCACCTCATCAGTAATCTGGCGGCAAAGGAGAAGGAGTCCGGGTAAGGCACTTCGAGGAGACGGAGAAATTGCAGGACGTTGTCGCAGGGATGCTTGACAATAGTCGTCCAGCCGAGAGGGCTCGTATTCGTCGTCTTCGTTGCTATCCTCCCCATCTGTCGAAGAGGCTTCAACACTCTCCTCCAACTCATGCCAAGGGCGGTCGTCTTCGTCGAAGAAAAGATTGGCTCCACTTGTGTCGTACCTATCCCAAGTTCTGTCCCAGCGCCATGGCGGCTCGACCCATCCTTCGTGGCGGTTTTGGCGGTACATATTGCCAGAACATGTGAAGCAAAGGTTTTCTGGGATGCAGAATCGATAGATCTGCTGGCGGAGTTCCAGCGGAAGGGCCAGGAAGGCAATAGAGTTCGAGGAGGAAAGAGTAGGCACCATTGGCGTTACTGCAGCTCGCAGTACAGACGAACGCGATGTCGTGTCACACTAGGGTTCAAAGCCAGATCGAGATCGGGAACAAGGCTGTGTATTGATGAAGAGATGAAGAAGAAGAAGGCTACGCGGGGTAAATATACGTCATTAGCGCACGGACCCCCGGTCCATCACGAGACGACGACCTGGGCAATCAGCGCTGTGACACATGACGTACCTGGGGCTGCACCGAAAGCAAACCCCAAAATTTCCTCACTAAATAGGAAATACTATTGGCTTTTCCAAAAATCACTAGAGAAGTCCTCATGCCGCTGGAACATGGGAATTAGTGATTTCCCAAAACGTGCTGCGCTGTTTCACGTGACGCGGCGGGCATTTGGTCACATGAAATGTTTAATTCTGCGGCCATCCGCAGACCGCTCTCCATGAGTCCCGGCAAGAACCTCAACGCCCTCCACAAACTCCAGAACCTATCTCAAAGATGACGCCACACCGGTACACTGCGGGACGCAGGCAACCGGGAGTGCGAAGGCGCTACAATGGCTACGCCTCTTCGAAGATGTTTGGAGGGTTATATAAGAAGAGAATGATATTTGCTACAGAAGCTGAAGCGGATACGAATGGGGGAGCAAATAGTTAATGACTCTTTGCGGCAGACGATGGTGGCTGTGCTGATAAACTAGAAAGAGAGGGATGATGCCCGCCAGCTCTTCCCGTCACTCGGCACAGGGCGAAGGCTAGATGCTCTGCGCTCTCCAGGGCTCCATCGCGAGCTCAACGCCATCCGTAATATTGTAGCAATTATCATAAGCTTTAAATCACCTCTCGAAAGGGACGTACACTAATATTACTCTCTGACCTAAAAGTCATACTTCCCTCTTTCACCCAAGGCCGGAACATCGGTTTCTCCGAGGTTAAATATCGCCGTAGAACATCAGCCTGCCTGATGGCCAGCCGACCGCCGATGTTTCCCCGAACTCTTGTTTTGGCGCTTGATAGCAAGCACCACGTGCCGATGCAGCTGCGGGAAACGAATCCTCATTCCCGCACTCTTTAGCACAAGCAATGCATACCCACCATGGAGAGATACGAAGAATTGCTCCGTACTCATCCCGCTTCACCACACCGCAGTCTTCCCAACCTTCATCACCGGTAGCCTCACCGGGAAAGTCTCTTCGCGCTTCTGAAGACCGTGGCAAGCTGGATACCGACGCGAATCGATCCCGAGAAAGCGACCAAAACGAGTTTCCAGATAGCCGAAAGCGACAACTGGACTCTCTCCACAACGACGAGGGTTAGGAATGAACCAGGCGCGGATGATGGTGCAGTACTGACGGAGGAAGAACGATCCCGAAAGATGCAGGTGCGACCTACGTCTAGGAAATCTAGACCGCAGGCTCCAGCCGTAATTGACACCGTCATCGACCTCACAAATATTCCTTCGCGCAGTTCGGAAGACGAAGCGGACAGAGATATTCAACACCCCGAGACGCGAGATTACGCACAAGGCGAGGATACCGCGATAGGCAATGGCGACGAGGAGGTAGAAAGAGGCATTCGCCCCGACGGTGCAGTGGAAGACTACGCTGACGAGCTTTATGACGCCATGCGGAAAAGAAGTGGAACCAGATTCGAAGATGCGGTATCCGGCCAGCTACGCAAAGGAGGCTCCAACGACGCTGGGGACGAGCTCGGAGAACGCATCCGAGCCGCTATCTCTTACACTCGCTCTCAGGCTAAGAAGAGAGAAACCCCACGTGTGTACTCAAACTTCAACGTCCCAGTTACCGACCCGCCCTCTGATGCGCTCACCCTCCTGCGCAACACCGAAAGCGAAGGCTTCGCGACATTCATCTTTGGCACACCGATAAAGGAGTGCTACTCGCTCGGCGTTCCCCCCACACCCAAGCCCTTCAATACGATTGATCAGCAATGGTGGATAGGCCTTTCCCGTGCCGAAGTGCGGGCCGGACCGCTGAGGACGGAGACAGACGTGAAGGAGGCCAAGAGAGAGGTGTCGAGGGAGATGGACCGGAGGAAGAAGAGCGAAACCGCGCTCAACGGTCATCTAAGAAAGGAGGAGGTACACGCCGGAGAGTCGTGGAGGCGGCAGGAGCTGGGATTGCCGATGACCGGGCAGCTGGATCAGAAGATGGTGCGCAAGGCCATGAGTGAACATGGTTGGGACTACGATTCGGGCAATCCAGGCGGCACAAACGGCGACGACGTGAACATTGGGCCCGAGGACGGCAGCGAGGCGACAACAGGCAGGACCGAGGATGGCAAGAGCATCAGTCGGGTAAACCGAGGTTGCAAGACACCGGCGCTCCCCGACGCCGAGCCTCATTGTGCTGACCATGGAAAGGAGCCAATGGCGAAAGCAGCCTGCCAGCGATGCAAGAAGCACAAAAAAGGTTGCGATCGCGAGCGGCCCTGCGAGCGCTGTAGAGATGCCGGCATCGGCATCGAAGGCTGTATTAGCGATGACGAGGTCAGAAGAAAGGCAGGACGTCCTAAGAAGGCGGATAGCATGGCCGTCAGAACTGATACAGGTGCCGGTCCGGGAGAGGTGAGCCGGGAGAGGTCGAGTACATGATAATAGCAACGGCGAGAGGGTTCCTGAAACCTGATTGAATGTATGCAGCCACTGGAATCTTGTTGTTCTAGCCTAAAAGTCGCATTCTTGGTAGCCGAAATTGATAGACTTGGATAGAAATTTCGCAACGATGGTCCTGTGGTGATTCATCATTCGAGCCAGCCGGTTACCCAGGTCTCTTCCAGCATCTGACCTAGGGAAGGTATATAACATCCGAGACCGTACGACTCAAAATCGACATGATGTGGTACGAGTACGTTGCTAGACGCTCGGGATGTAGCCTCTGCGACGCCAGCAGTAAGCACTCCAGCGCACACAACCGCAACCCCACGCTCGCAAAGGCGGTTGTTCAAGGCGTGCAGATCTGCGCCAAGCGCCCAATGCCGGCCGAGCCCCGACACGGCCAATGTATACTTTACAAGGTGAACAGGTCGCAGCCCATGAATGTAATTCTCTGGGTTTCCGTATCTCAACTGATGGCCGGCCTGGTGGATGAATTTGGCGACAAAGCGGCTGGATCGCTTGCTCTCGAGGGCGGTTCGTAAGCGACCCTCAAACAGCTGAGGAAGCGTTAGGCACGGACCTTCCCCGAGTCGGTAGACTTCTAGGGCATCGTACTGCTTCACAGCAGCTCGCACGACCGCGTCCAGCATGCGGCCTTCGCCGCGGCCGCTGACGCTGTCGATAATCCTGGGTGGGTTGTCCAGAATGAACTCCGCCGTCGTCGCGGCGACAATTGGTCTTGCCTCATCGTGAACCAGCTTGCACGTCGCGAGTATAGCGACTGGAACTGACCTCACAATGAAGGTCACGCGATGGGATGGCTCATCGGGGTGTCGCGCCTGGTGATGCCTGATTTTCCGCGGCAGCTGCTCGTAGACGATGAGACGAATTTCCTTTGGAAGGTCCAAGAACCGGAACGGTTGGGTTTCTGTGTTGGGTCTCATGGCTGGAATGTTGAATGTTTTCGTGGCTGTGGAACAGGTGGACGTGGTGTTGAGGTGATACTGGAGGTGGGACCGGCTTGTGATCTAGGCGCAGGTGGCACCTGGGCAGTTCGATTTGGCCGCCTTGCGCTAGTCCATGTACGGACTAGCATGGGCTTAAAATAAACCCCGCAAGCCTCAATGCTCACCACTTGCTCAGCGACTTACTTTTGACCTTAACAACGCCGCTCAGGAATAACCCCAAAATGCCTTATTTTCTTAGCGCACGCAAGCATATTCTCAAGCGGTATTACATCAGTATGAGACATCGCAGTAGGCCTCAGCTCATAATCCACAACCCACTGGATTGATAGCAGCCGGACACGACAGAGTCCAGTATCCTATTCAGAATTTCGAGGTGGCTCGGCCATCTGTACTAATTAGGAGCGGCGCTCTCGACCTCCTTACACACCACACTCTGCCTTCCATGTCTCCTCATCATTTGCTCCAGAGTCCCTGTCCGTCCTCGATACTACCGCGACATAACGCACGGAGGCCCACAAGAGCGCCCGGGGGATATCCCGCCGACACAGAAGAGATATACCTCTTCATCCGGGATCCTGGTCTTCAGCGCACGCCTAGTCCACTAACGTAAAACACATCCAGGCAACCTTCAGCAACGAATGCCTCTTCCGACAAAGGGGGAGATTTTCGGGGAGGGGAGGGGGAGGAGGGGGGTCCGCTCGCTCGTCGCCTAATGCAGGTCGTAGCAGCACCATGATGTTGGTGGCGATGGTTGAGCTATGTTGTTCTAAACATCCGCTTGCTGTGCACGGACGATGGCTCAACAGGAAGGCACTCCACAACCTCTAATGATCCTTTCAAGTTAAGCAACGGTGGGCCTTCGGAGCTCGGACTTGCTGGGACCAGGATGTCATATAGCCACATGTCTCCGTCACCGTCGATAAGCACACGACTCTACTTGGTCCAACCAGAGATGTGCCTCTCTCATCCAGTCCCCTCGCATGCTCATGAAACCTGCTTCCCCTGTCCTGCATGAAATCATCCCAGATTTGACGATAAGTCTTGTCCTTCGGTAGCTGTCCTAGCTACTCCTGGCATAAAGATCGCATACCATCACCAAGACCATGGGTCTCCACCTTCGCTTCCAGCGTATTCGAATCAGTGCTGAGACCGAAGTAGAAAGCGAGAAGCTGCTCCATCTTGGTACCCTTCTGTAGCCTCCAAGAGATCTGGCTAGGGAAACCATACCATCCCGTAATCGTCAATCACCTCAGCCATGGCGTCCACCAAAGCGGTTCGAAATTCAGCGCCTCGCTCGCCGAGTTGTAGGCTATATCTGTACGCGCGTAGAAGGGGTGTGGACTCTTTGTATCGAAACTCGTGCATGCCGCGTCGCTTGGTGAAGATCTTGCCGGCCAGCTTCCAGCGGCAGTGTAGGCCCCTCGGAGTGAGTGCTGGGGAGGGCTGCGATTCTTGAATACTGAGCGCGTATCTGGGTGGAGCCTCATCTATGTCGATGCAGCGCGTTTTGGGTGTTTGAGCGTAAAGTGGAATGAGCTCTGGGGGGTCATAGAAGCATTCGTCAATCATTTTTGGCTCTGAGGAAGCGGTGCACGCGTTGAGGAAGATGCTGTTAGTATTTAGTGAGGCTCACTCCTTAGCTACAGGAGTCGACGTCAATGTTTGAGTGGTTTATTGTAGATAGGTAGCCACCTTTGGAGGTCCCGGTATAGAAGTGAAAGTTAAGTTGCACGCCCCGGTATGTTGCAGGGCGTTAAATAAAGAAAGGCGCTAGGGATAAACGCATTTTGTTGAGAACCATGCTCAAGGTTGAGTAGATCGACACTTAAGCATTTAAGGTTAGAAAGCATTAGACTACTCCACTTTCCTTCGGCGGCGCTGAATCTTTCGCTACCATACACGTTTTAACATGCGAAATATGTCAATCCGTGGTGTGGGACCCTACGCCCATCATTTCGTGGTCGACATATCCCCTCGTTTCCTCAATTTGTAGCTCGTTCCTCCAAACAAACATGGGCAAATAATGGATGGAGAAGGTATATTCTAGTGATGAAATAGCTTCAGAAAATTTTGAGTGCATCTAAGGAATTTACGGCATTTTTGGGGAAGAGTTGCGTCTCGTACCTCATCCCGGTTGCTTCCAGATATTGCGTTAGTGAATAGACACGTATAACGACATGAGTTAATTGTAGGAAGCTACTGATGAAAGATCTATATACAGATGCAATAATATCACATGAATAGCAGCCATATCCAGTCGCCCGGGTGGTCCATAGGTAACATGAGACTTCTATGTCACGTGACTTCAGCTGTGGTGCAGCATAAATATGCGCACCTGGCTTCTGCTTCAGCTTATGATCTGAAAAGTCCGTGTGTAATCATCCGTGATGAGAGAATGCAGATATGGAATCCGGATATACTTCAAAAGGGCTGAGCAACGGAGGCTTAGTAAGCGGCACAGCCGGGGGTGGTGATCCCCGGTCCAAGGCCTGAACGACTATCGCTCTTTCTCCATCAGCGCCATCACCACGCATCCCACCCCGGCTTACTATATCCTACGCCCGAAGTACGAGGGCTTCGTGGCACCTTTGTCTTGACCCAGAACGCAATGCCGCCGCCGTACACCCCACTCAATGCCGACAAGGACGAGATCCGCATTTTGACGCTGCTGCCTGGTCAATCCTCGGATCCCATAGATTGTACCCTTCAAGTCGCTTCGCTCGATGATGCTCCAAAGTACGAAGCCCTATCGTACGTGTGGGGTGATGCAGTTGTCCAAAGAGAGGTTTTCGTCGACGGCCACCCTACCAACGTTACTGTCAGTCTCGAGACGGCGCTTCGAGCTCTCCGAAATGAGGACAAGCCTCGTGCCCTGTGGGCTGACGCCATCTGCATGAATCAAAGCGATATTCTGGAGAAGAACTTCCAGGTCCCGCTGATGGGGAGAGTGTACGCCGAAGCGGACTCCGTTTTGGTATGGCTCGGAGAGCCAAGTCCAGAAGTGGAACTTGTCATCACATGTCTATCGCGACCCGGTGTTGACCAACCGGAACTGCTGTCTGGACTCCTTTCAGAGATGTCCTTCGACGACCTAGTAATGTTCTGGGAAGGGCTCAATCAAATGATTACGCATAAGTACTGGACGAGAATGTGGACCTACCAAGAATTTCGATTGGCAAAGGCGGAACCAATTATTGTTCTTGGGAGGTCCGTATTGTACCCTTCTCAGCTAGAGTCAGGCAGCAAAGAGGTCATGGATGCTCTCGAGAGCGCATTGGACACGTCAGACCAAAAATATGACCGGGCACGGTTTGGAAAGGCTTGTCGCAGGCTTCGCTGGCTCTTTGAACGGAGCAAGACCTTCGCCATGGTCAAGAATCCTTTAGAGCAATGTACCTTGAACAACCAATCCCCAGAGACCCTATCACAACTCCTCATCGACACTTGCGTCCGCCGATCTGAGGATCCTCGGGACCACATTTATGCTCTCTACGGGCTGCTCCCCAAAGTAAGGCAAGCTTTACCTCCAGATTATGGGAGACTGCCGAGACATATCATGCATGACAGCACGATGTATGTCATCAATGAAAACTCGGCCGCTTTTGGTGCTCTGTTGCGCATTTACTGTCTCCAAGGCGACCGCCTTAGCGACTGCAGCGTGCCATCTTGGGTCCTTAATTTCGCTTCTACTTTGCCAATATGGGACTCCCCATATGCCCCGCCAGAAACCATTCACCATCTTAGTCCGAGCGTTGGTTTGACGGAGCAAGTCGCTGAGGATAACTCGCTAGAGATTTCGGACGATGGGAAATTGCTCTTCATACGCGCGCGATCATTGGGAAGATGCAACGTGCATTTCAGGTTCAGCGACGACTTGAGTGAAGTAGCTAGCCAAGTGCGTTCGATACCTTCCATGGCCCAGGCCCGATCGACTCGAGACCAGAGAGCCAATATAGATCGTCGCCTGACAACAATGCTCCTAGCCCACGAGGGCACTCAGTCACAAAACTTGGTTGAGAAAATCACCCGGGACGACCTGGAAACCTTACACGTCAAGCAAGATGACGGAAGCGATGAACAACATGAAGTACGTCGATGTCTTCGACGATTGCCAGGCAAAACAGTTTTCTCCACACCCGCTTGCACTATGGGAATCACTGTGGCAGCTGTACAGGATGGAGATGTCGTGGTTACATCAGGCGCAGTTTCCTCACCAATGATCCTCCGTCTGGAGGAGGGAGAGCGGCGCTCTGCATTTGGGCGTGAACAGATCCAAGCCTATCGATTGGTCAGTCCCGCCTACGTCGATGGCATCATGGATAACGACTGCATGGATGGCGCAACGATTGAAGAGATTCGAAAGAAGCGCTTGGAAGATTTCATAATAAGATAAACGGATTGATGGGCTTTGCCGGGATGCTTCAAGCGTCGCCTCCTTCTGCCTCAATCTTGGAGCTCTAACGCATCAAGAATATAGTTCGCGCTGAGCCAGGTCGCGTCACCACTGCCATACACCCCTAGTGTCAGTGTGTTCGAGCCCACTTTGAACGCGCTAGAAGGCACATCCCACGTGTACACGTCGCCCCATCCGCGATACGCCCCGCGAGTAATGCCACGAGAGTCGATCAATACCTGTGTACGAATCAGCTTGCTGTCCACGCTAATTGCAGTTGCTGCCTACCGGTGCTCCCGGATCATTTCCCGTCCAGCTGTTGATCTTAACCGACGGTCTACCGCCCTTGAACGAGAGCGTCGTCCCAACGCGAATGACGTGCCCTTTCACTTGGTCCTGCGTCAAAGTGAACGTTACACTAGCAGTACCACCTTGCTTCGACCACAGTGCCATTGGAAAGTCCTTCGCTTTCAACGATTCGGCCGCGAATGAGCCGCCCCAGCTTCCCATGCGCGTATCGGACGGATGCATGCGCTCAATTTTGTCACCATTCTTCAAGTCAAATGGCTGGCCGTCGAATTCGCCGATCCTCCAGATCACCGGCTTATTCTGCTCTTTCGATGCGATATCCTTGGTGGCAGTCTGGCCAGCAGCCACGGTGACGGTGTCGTTTGCCACAAGGAACTCCTGTTTATACAACCTCATGCTGTATGCCCCGGGCTTCATCAGCGGCGACGTATACTTCCCATTGCTGGCTTTCGTCCAGTATTGCGCATCTTTGTTGAACCAATGGACGACAGTCTCAAACTGACTCGGCACGCCGGTGGCACTCCCAGTTACAGATCCACGACCGCTCGCTGCTACGTATCCTTGGATGCTAAGGCTCCCGAAGAAGCTCATATCGAGGTCCTCTGAAGGCTTATTGTTGGGCGATGTGAAAGCCATAGCATACGGTCCTTGGAGCCCAAAGCGCCATGGCTCGGTCCGCACATGGCCGGAGTTCATGTACCAGTAGAGTTCCTGGTCGCTGTCGCCGGTTTGGCTGTTGATGTCCCGCATGAACGGGCCGCTCGCAGATGTCTCATATGCAGTTCCAGGCATGATCATGCAAACTTGGGCTTTCTATGAAAGCGTTAGCTTGGTGTTAGTCAGGACACAAGCCGTCGTTTCTTACCGATCCCGACACGCAGTGCACTTTATCATCGATGAAGCGGTCCGAAGTGTACATCTTGCATCTTGTCTCCCCATTCGAGCACTTAAACGTATCTTTGCCTTCGAAGGCAGTGCAGCCGCGCGTGTCGCCCACATTGCCATGCACGCCAGTCGGAAGCTCTGACGTTCTCAGCCTCGCGAGCCATCTCAGCTCTCCCGGGTCGACTTCCTTGGAATTGTATGTCGCCATGTAAATGATAGCTTCTTTAGGCTTGGCGACGAAGTACTGCGTGACTGGCAAGGAATTCGACTTTACTGTGATCTTGACATAGCCATTGACAGTCTCGCCGGTTACTGAGGAGGTTCCGAGGCCGGAGTTGATGGCAGACGCTTTCCCGGTGCCTTGATATTCCACGCCATTGTATTTGAGGCTGGTGATGTCGCCGTTTGACCTGCACAGTCGGTCAGCACCATGAGTTCGGGTTTCTAGCACTGGAGTTAGTGTACCGGTTCACCTCGAACACCAGGCCGCCGTCCGTGTCCACGATATACCGCGAGCTCGTTGACGTCAGCCCGAACGCAGCATTTGCACGCTGACTGAGCGCCAGCAACGCGGCGGCACCGCTAAAGAGATGCATATCGGTTGTTCGCGAGGCTGTCCCAGGATATCCTGCGCGGACATCGCGACGCTCAAATAAGGACACACAAAGAAATAAAACGCCTTACCAGTCCTATTCTGTCAGATTATATCCCCGGATTCGAATATGCTCATATTAGCGGCGCGAATTTCTTCCAGCTATCGGGCTGGACGATCAGCCGGCATCGACAATTATCCAGATCAAAACGGGCATCCATAATTTAGGTTAAGCGACCAGTCTCAAATAGAACGCGCATCCTAGGAATCACTTCGGTGCTTTCTGGCACTGTTCGGTGCAGATATGCCGGGATTGGCATCGTGGCGTGGTGAATTATGATGTCGAAGGATATCTTGGATCCAGTCGGAAAGTCGCACTGTCGCAGTGGTTAGAGGAATGGCTTGCCCGAGAGCAATGCCACGCAGTGAGGACGATGTCGCCTCGGAGAACCATCTACTATCGGTCGCAGATGAAAGATATTTTATAACACGACTACGGACGCTGGAGAAAGATGTGTTGTTGAGGAGGAACGAAAGAAGCGGCCCCGGGGAGAGTTCTGAGACGTGGCGCTAACTGCATTGGGACGATATGCGCCCACATTGAAATGCCACCACGCCACCACTTCTCCACGGTCTAATCCCCAACACGGTCTCCTGGAGGTCCTCCATGCGCAACGGTAACAACGCGGGTGCTACGGCCGAAAAGCGGAGCCACAAGCCACCCTCCGGATAGCCCTACTTCTCATTGGACTTCTATCAGGTCTGTCTCCGCTATCTCCAGAACCGGCGATGTGGTCGTTTGATTTGCTTCACACACCCAGCCGCCGTCGGAACGCGAGCGTCTCAGATCGTTCCTACAAGCGCCATAGAGTAACACGCGCTTCATGAAGGCTACGAAATGTACTTGGCGCGTTAACCTGGCGGCTTTAGGTCTTTTGGAGTTGGATCTGCATGTGCGTCGCCACTTTCGGACCTTCCCGCTCCTCGGCTGCAACCTTGTTCGCAAAAGGCAAGGTCGCCACCAATTACAGTATCACACGGGCGGGAACACGGGGCGCTGCAAGCCGACCTGCAGTTATCGGACCATTTACTCTCCAGCTTCGATAACGAGCACGCCTTACAGTACAGCGAACCGCCCCAAGAAGACCGCACCGCAGCCTGGAGAAGCAATCCGTTTACAATTACCGGGCATGGCGGCATGGAAGCTGAGTTGAAAGAGTATTCCGAGTGCTGCTGATTTCGCATCATCTGCGAAAATCATCTGCGAATCAAAATCGCCCTACGCCCTGCATAACCGTCGACCTCTCGCGTGCGAAGGTGCAACCCAGCAATACGGCCCGAATGCACGACTCCTGCAGAGGATATGCCGGCCGTATCGCCAAAGGTTTTCCCAATCCCGTGCCCCTCATCTGGGGACTTCGAACGCATCCTCAGCTCGACCTGCAATCCCACCTTTGCAGCGTGAATGATGGCATCAAACGATGAGATAGATCTGAAAGCTACGACAAACCTCGATGAAGTCGAGCAAGGGTCTGGCGCTGGTGAAAAGGCGGTCGTCGGGGGCACTAGTCAGCTATCTGGTACGAGACGACATGTCCACAGCCTTGAGGTTGGTTTGTTACTTTTGTCGTTGTAATTATCTAGTGACTTGCTTCTCGATCAGCGATACATCAATCTTTCCTCCGTCGGATTCTTCGGCGTCATTGTTCTGGCTTCGTGGGAGTCTTTCGCCGTTACGTTCCAATTCGCACTGGCAAATGGGGGTCCAGCATCAATGTTCTACGGGTCTATTCTGGCTGGCTTGGGATGCTGTGCGGTCGGCTTTTCGTTGGCTGAACTGGCTTCGATGTAAGGCGCGAGGCGCGCGGCGCGCGTGTTGGGAAGCTGGGATGGCATCTGACTTATCCCAGAGATCCGACAGTCGGTGCACAGTACCGTTGGTCAGCGAACCTTGCACCATCTGCTAACAGATTCTGGGGCTTGCTTCAAGGTGGGTGGATCGCCCCGGAATCCATCTCTGAGTGCTAACGATACAGTAGGATGGATCACTACTGCAGCATGGTGCTTTGCCTGCGCCGGACCGCCATCCATTCTAGCAAACATGATCACTTCTCTCGCTATTTTCAACAACAAGACATACGAGCCACAGCGCTGGCATACCAGCCTGATTATGATCGCGACAATGGTCCTCGCTTTCGTATTCAACCTACGGTTCCGGAACCTACTAGATGCCTTCGAAATCACCGGAGGCGTGCTTCATTTCGTTCTCTTCGTCGTCATCATTGCGGTAATCGCTGCGCTGAATCCACGTAGCAGTTCCGACTTTGTCTTCAAGACGCTCACTAGCGACGTCTCTGGGTGGAGCAATCCTGGCGTGTCTTGGGGGCTTGGACTGCTGACGGTTACGTTTTCCGTGTCCGGATATGATAGTGTTTTGCACATGAGTAGGTCAAACTATGGTCGCTTCTATTATGCATACTTACTATTGGTTTCAGGCGATGAAGTAAAGAAAGTCCGCACCCGCGTCCCGCAAAGCATCATCATCGCCTGTACCGTAAACGCTATCATGCTCTTCGTCTTTGTTCTAGTCTTGCTCTTCTACCTTGGTCCACTAGACGACACCGTCATAAGCGCGCCTCTCCCCCTCATCTACGTTCTCTACGGTGCCACCGGATCGAAGGCAGCCACCAACACCCTCATCGCGCTCATATCCTTCATAATCTTCTTTGCGCTCTTCAACGTCTTCGCCTCGGTTTCTCGGCTGGTTTGGGTCTTCGCGAAGGACAATGGACTGCCATTCTCCGACATCCTCGCCTACGTAATTGCTTCGGATTCCTTGTTAAGGATTGTTGACGCTGATGCCCTTCGCAGGTCCATCCCACGCTCAAACTACCAGTTAACGCTCTCCTCCTCCTCTGCGCGGTCGTTACCGCATTATCGCTTATCTACATCGCTTCCGCCACCGCCTTCAACGCACTCATCTCGCTGCAAGCCCTCGCTCTGCACGTCTCATACTTCTTCCCCATTATGTTCATGCTCCTCCGGAAACTGCGCGGCCCGCCCCCGCCTTACGGCCCGTTCAAGCTCGGCCCTTTCGGCATCCCACTCAACGTATTTGCGCTCTGCTATCTGGTATATGTGGTCCTCTGGATGCCCTTTCCGCAGATATTGCCTGTTACGAAAGATAATATGAACTATGCTGGGCCGATCTTCGGAGCTGTAGTGGTTGGAGCACTAGGAGACTGGTTCATTTCTGGAAGGAAGAGGTTTCAAATGCCTGTTACGCGGTACGAATAGATGTACAGAGCTATGGGGAATTAGAGAGTATGGCGATCCGTGGGTGGTGTTTGTGCTTTGGGACGCCACGCAAGAGGTAGACGCTAAATCCTGTATTGATTGATGAAAGGTTACCGCTTCAATCTCGAGATGCACACCCTAAAAGGAGGTCGCGACATCGAGTTCTCAAACCCCAGCTCTCTACTTCTTCCTACTCCTAATTACCTCTACTTCCTCCAGCTGCTAAACTACTACATATAAGGATATTTCCCCCGACACGTACATACTGTCACCTTAAACACGGCATGCCCTCTTAAAACCCAAGCTAGAGACACGCAAATGGCTGTTCGGACTACTAAACCCCGACCCACCGCAGACACGCACCGTGCTGCCCTAACCCTGGAGCTCACGCACATATGGATGACGCTGCAGGATTGGCTCGTACGACAACTGTGCCTCAATATACATGTGAGACAAGCCACCCCAACGGCGCTCAGATAAAAGCTACTTCCAGCATGGGGACCGCTTGGGTTCCGAAACAGATTCGATTTTGTCTTCACTCATCCTCTTTCTCCTCAGGTAGCATGCCTATCCACATTTCAACCGCGGACTTCGACACGGACTGGCCTGCGATATGGCAAGTCCTGCTCGAGTCGTCCGAGGACGCATGCCTATCTTTTGACCAGCATCGGGATTTCGCATCGCAGGCGCTGAAAGAGACTGAAGATGAGTGGAGGCGGAGGATGGTGGAACATGTAAAGAAAACGTACGCGACCGACCCAACGTCCTATATCGTGAAGGCCGTCGACACCAACTTTGGGAATATAGTCGGAGTCGCACTATGGAACATCTATACTACAAGCAGTGGTTTGAAAGGTGCCACTACGAAGCAGAATAAGTGGAAGATCTATGGAGACGAGGACATGACGCAAGATGCCAACGGGGTGCAAGAGCGCCAGGTTTCCGCGATGAAACTGGTCGGATATCCTCACGTGTGTAAGTCGGCGTTAGGAGTTGCGCATTTTCCGAACTGATCATTCTATGAAGTTCTCGTCGCAATCGCAGCGCACCCGCGGTACGAGACGCCAGAAGTCAAGCGCTTGTTGATGCAGTGGGGACTGGATAGGGCAGACTCCTTGGGCTTAGAGGCCTGGTCTTACTCGGCTAATCCAGATGCGTCTCTATACGTCTCGAGCGGCTTTCAGTCCGTTGATCAGAACACTCCGGATCTGCCTGATTCTGGACCCTCCACTCTCTGGAGGATGTGTAGACCGGGGGCCAGGAATCGACGCGCGCACAAGGACTTCTATCTCGATACCCAGGGATTCTGGTAGGCAAAGAGGTCAGAACCCGGTTACTCGGGATAAAAGGGAGTCTCGTACTTGATGATACTGCCCCAGGAATGAGCGATAGAATGGATACGACAGTTTTCAGAAACGGTGCCCTTGCTTGAAACAACGGCTAGCGTGCTTTGATGCTGGTCTTAGGCGCTACGGCGCCATAAGCCTACTACTGGTGCTCTGTATGTCGCACGAGAGACGGCACATGCTTACGTGGGACTCAGGTCATTACAGTGCCTAACTATACCTGTTGCGGCTCAGCATACGAGAAAGGCCCAACCGGAGAGTACCGAGATCCGGGATCCCATCCAATCGTCCTCGTGAAAAGTGGGCCACTTCTATTCGGCGCCTCTATGGGACTTGCGGTGAGGTACAGGCTGCATCACCCTCTCCGATGCTGCAGCAACAGCCGTGTCCGTGAAGACATTTAACAATATCTGACCTAGGCGCACGTTCGTAGCTCTAACGCGGTCATTATGGATAGCCAAACGTGCAACGAGAAAGGGTCGACAGTGACTGAAAGTCCCGCAGAAAACGCTGAAGGGAACCAGAGCCGCCATGAATATGTAAGTTATCCCCAAGATCCCATTCCATACCCTTCTCACTGACCTATCGCGAGGGCAATACCTGGCGTGGTATCTTTAATGCCGCTCGGCCTCGAAATTGGAGCCGACCGCGAAAATGGACAGCCACGCTCATCCTCTCCGGCTTCGCCTTCATCCAGCCACTATCCGAGACCATGCTCGCACCAGTCCAGCACCAAATCTCGAAGGATCTTTCCATCACCAGGGGATACCAGTGGATGCTTGTTAACTCGCTTATCCTCATCGGCGTCGGATTCGGCCCACTCCTGCTCGCGCCCCTCTCCGAGATTTACGGACGGCGGCTCGCTATCCTCGCCGGGAGCGCTGTGTTCATTATCTGGAACACAGCGTGCGGGGTTGCGCAGAGCCTCGGCCAGATGCTTGCATTCCGTCTGCTGGCTGGCTTCGGCGCATGCACGGCTGATGCGATTGCGGGAGGAGTAATGGCAGATCTCTGGCTGCCGCATCAACGAGGCCGAGCATTTGCCGTGTATATGGCTGCCCCGTTGCTCGGTCCGGGTATAGGCCCCATCATCGGTGCGTACATAGCGACAGGTATTAGCTGGCGGTGGGTGTTCTGGATAACATCGATTGCGTGTGGCGTCGTGTTCGGGACTGCGGTCCTGTTCCTCAAGGAGACGTACGAGCCCCGGCTGGCAGATCTGCATCGACGCCGATCAATCGCACGCGGGGATACGCAGGGCGAAATGGGAGTCTCTGTACAAAGGATCAAAGCCTCATCGATCTGGCGCGAGTTATGGACGAACATCCAAAGACCGCTCCGCATGCTAGCAACGCAGCTCATCATTCAGCTCATCGCGGTCTACATGGCCCTTCTTTACGGCACCATGTTCCTGTTCCTCTTCTTGTACTCGACATTGTGGACCACTAGGTACGGGCAGAGCCCTCAAATTAGCAGTCTGAACTACATCTCCGCGGCGATCGGATACATCGCAGGGGTCCAAGGTAAGCACAATGTTGCCCGCCACCCTCTAAAAGCATTCAATCCCCTCCTAACGCGCCCATGCGTAGTTGCCGGCCACCTCAACGACAAAGTGTACACCACACTCAAAGCCCGCTCCGCCGATGGAAAAGGTCGCCCCGAATTCCGCGTCCCAGTCATGTCCATCGGCACGCTTCTCATCCCCCTCGGCCTTCTATGGTGGGGCTGGACAGGGGAGAAACACCTCCACTGGATATTACCTAACATCGGCTGCGCTATCTTCACCGCAGGCTGCTACATCTGCTCATCTTGTGTATCCGTCTACACTATCGACGCTTACAGCACGTACGCTGCCTCGGCGGTGTCCACAAACCTGGTTTTGAGGAGCAACTTCGCTGCCTTCTTTCCCATTTTCGCGCCGTATATGTTTGGGGCTGTGGGCTTCGGCTGGGGCGCAACTATATTGGCGGGAGGGTTTGGTGTTGTTGGATGCGGGACTGTGGTGGTGCTGTGGGTTTGGGGGGAGAAGATTAGGAAGAGGAGTCGGTATTGTGCTGCCGAGGAGGATGGAGATTAGTCACAGGCGTCGGTATTACGATCTTGTAGTCTTGAACACTTCAGTATTGCTACAAGAGATCTTCAACGTCTTACCCCTAAAACATCGCCAATGCGTTCGGCGGGCTTCCCACACCACCTGGCACGTTCCCCGGCGCACTTGTCAGCAAGAATGTCCACCTCCCCAACACTTTGCACTTTGCGCTCAGCGCCTCGAGATCCCAGAGTTCCCCAATAGGCATCCCCCAAAGCGGCAGCATGGACGCGTGCAGGCTGTCCTCAAAGCTAGGTGGCGGCCACGCCTCGAAGTTCGCGTTGTCGGTCGCTGCAGCTGCGAAGTAGGTGTCGTGAAGAAAGTCTTTCATCTCCTCTGATGCCTCGAGGCCGGCGTATTCGTGCTTCATCATGTCCCACTTTCCCCGTTCTTCCTTTTCGGATTGGCTGAGCGAGAGGTATGAATGCACCCAGCCTGTACGCACGAGGAGGATGTCGCCGGTTTGGAAAGTGATGCCTTGTGCTTTCGCACACGCTCGCAGGTCAGATACTGTGATGTGATGGGTCGCAAACGGATCGTAAGCCTGCCCCTCCTTTTCCGCCCAGCTGAAAACGTCGAGAAGTACTCCTCTGCCAACAATCCCATGCTTCGCCCACGCATCAATGCCCAGTTTCCGCGTCGCCTCGACGTCTTCGTCATCGTCTCCCGAGATTTCGGACGAAACAACGCCGTTGTAGAAGTACCCCGACTTCGGGTCTGCAAAGTGCCGGAAGCCATCCCATTGACTGCTCGATTGCGTATTGAGGCAGTAGGTGTCGTCAAAGGTTCCGGGGCCAATGGAATGTATGTCGTGCTCCAGCGGTTTCCGGTGGAAGAAGGGTGGATGAGGCGTGTCCAGTGGAAGGTTGAGCGCGACGACCTGGCCTGTTTTGACGTTTTCCTGGGTTGCCTTTCGCGTGCGCTCCGGAGTGAGAAGGTTGAGCCGACCGAGCTGTAAGACTATCAGTATGGCCCGAGATCAGTACAGGCGAGAAGAGATGATACCTCGTCACAACCACCCCAGAACCATGCTGAGCCGTGGGGTGTCCCCGCGACGTGTGGAAGTGCAGCGCGCTTGGGGAAAGTTGAGGCGTCGCCGTTGGGATCAAGGCGCATGGTGATCTCCAATTGCTTGGAAAGGATGTAGGAACAGAGAGGCGGCACATGTAGTCGAGTGAGGTGTGGCTTGTGCGGGTGTCGTCATTGTTAAGCTACCCCGCGCCCCACTTATGCCACGTTCTTTCCTCGTGCCACTGGCCTTGAAAGCAAAACGCAGCAACAATCTCCCTTATCTACAAGTTATGCAGATATACCACGGGAAAAATCACATTCACCATGTTGGACCCTCTTAGACGAGCCCAAGTGTTTTCTTCGTTCAAAGATGGTCTACTAGGACATCTTTCGTCCGAACCTTTCCCCGTGAGGAAAAGCCGAACCCTGAAGAATAGGGATAACAATCGATTATTGTTATTCCTTGACTGAAGATTGCATTTGATGGTCCTGTGTGAGTAAGATGATTTTAGTGCCGACGAGCTCCGGAGGGCTAGAGGAATTGCTTTGGTAACTCTGTGGACTAGGAGGACATAGAGTGCCACATTGTAGGCCTCGCCTTAACTCACGCTTCATACAGCTTGTCCCTTCCCAATAGCCCCTGCCGAGCGGATTGGATTCCCTCGCAGCAATTGCAAAGACAGAAGCTTGGCCATAGCGCATACGGTGAGTCTTGCCGAGCCTGAGATGACGCTACTAATCAGAAGCGCTCTCATATGCTTTCTCTGATAACTGATTGTTGGTGGGCAATGAGGATGGTGGTGCCGTAGTTCCAAGTGGCGTCTCTCACCGATCTCAGATCTTCCCGGTGCGTGGCGTGTGGTCAGTGCACGCCTCAAAGAGAGGTTTCAGAAGACACTCGAAGACAAAGCATTGTACCGTCTCCGTAGGGACATTGTAGATACCATAAGAGAGCACCTTTCTGCGAAAGATCCCGAGGTCTGCCCAGCTGGACAGTTTAGGCTAAGCGCACTTTGAGCTTAGCGCCGGGCTAAATCACGTGCGGCGCACTGTTTACATCTCGCGCCGCGTTGGACCCCGAGCTCTTCCATCTACAACACGCCAGCCATCGCGATAGAGCCTCCCCACATCGCCTCTATTATTTGTTTGTATACATATCTGTGATCGCCACACTCACGCGACTCCATCCGTGCTCGCCACCATGTCTCATTCCTGGCTCCAGCGGAAGCGCAAAGGCGAGCTGATCGAGCTTGCACAGCGCGCCAACTTGCCCGAGTAAGCATTGCGCTCGCATTCCATGTGGAAATTGATGCCTGACAAACTGTACGAGCAGTGCCGATGCTCTCCTCAAAGATGACCTCGTCGCCGCGCTCGAAGGCCATCTCGAGGCGAACGAGACCGTCTACGGGAAGGACCCCGAGTTCAGTGACTTCTACGGATACGTCCGTAGCGGATCGCCCGTGAAGCGCGAACGCCCATCCCCTTCCGAAGGTGCCGCGGTCACGAAGCCGCGCAGGCGCCAAACGCTGGCCAAGACTACGGATTCGTAAGTCCATGTTTACCTGACGCGTTACGGGCCGAAGCTGACCGCTGCTCTGTAGTGAGGACTACACGCCCGAGAGGTCTGCCCTCGTTACGCGCACTCCGCGAACCGTGTCCCGAGTAGCTTCGCGCATGTCCCAGGTCGACATTCCCGCGTCGCCCGCTCAGCTCGCCGAAGTCGCCGACCAGTCGTTCCAGGCCGCAAAGACGAAAGCTACAGAGCTTTGGCAGAAGACGAAGGTTGACGAGCTGAAGGAATTCGTGCGGGACAATGCTAGCTCCGTCGGCGCGATCCAGACCCTCATCCTGCTGATCGAGGCCGTCGGGCTCCAGCTGAAGACGCTCGACACGGTGCCCACTACCGAGTGGACGAAATCCGTCCCTGTGCTGAACTCGTACAACACGGCTCTGCCGAATATGTGGAAGCTCCTGACAAGCGACTGGTGGGCGCCGGCTACCCTGTGGTCGTTGACCAGCTGGGTCCTCCCGCTCATCTTCTCGTACTTCTTCAACCTGACCCTGCGCTCCAACACGCGTCACAAGTCCTCGAGCCGCCAGTACACGGTCGATCCGCTTACATTCAACATCGTGAAGGCCATCCTGGCGTACAGCGCCTACTGCGTTTCCACGACGGCCGACGCGGAAATGGCCGGCATTCCCGATGCAACCTTCGCGCAGAAGCTTGGCTGGGGACCGTTCTCCGAAGGAACAGTCTCCGCCGTTCGCACCAATGTGCCTGGCGGATATTACGGCCTCCAAATTGGTGCCGTCGTTGGCGTGCTGATCAGCTTGTACGATGCTGCGTTGAAGAAGTAACGCTCCGTTCAAGACGAGCACATAACGTCTGTAAATGGCTATCAGATTTGGAAATGAAGCGGTATGATGATACGGGTTCGGAATTGGATGTTGAATTTTCCGGCGTTCTAGGCTACTTCTGCTTCTCACGAGTTGGATACTCGACCTAGCATTGGCGGGGATGGGACGGCGTTGGAGGCGCTTCGCCAGACACCTGTTTCAGGTATTGTTGTCCTATCAGTTTGGAGCTGAGCATGATTTAGTTTCGCGCAATAGTACAGAGTCGTTTCCGTCACACCAAGAGCTCCTCAACAGGCTCGGTCATGCAGGGTTGAGCTCGTTGCCAGATTGGGAAGGCTGGCCCGAGCTCGTTCCCGTGAGTTCTCCCCGCGACCTCTTTCCCCGCAGCTTTCCTCCGCACTATCGCGCCACCGAGCTCTTGTCTTCGGCCTCATCCCGAGCTCGCCCTTAAGTTCGGTCCGAGATGGTTCGAGCTTCGGAGTTAGAAATACTGCCGGTTACCTAGGACAGCAAACGAAGGACTGAACGGCATCATTCCGTCCTAAAGGGCGGTGCTTATGTAGTACCATCTTCCCCACCATCCGATCCGCTGCCTATTTCAACAATCTCGATCTCCGTCCTCTGTCGTCCTTGTGATAGTCTCTCCTCTCATGTTGCAATAATGGCCCCACAACTCTCCATCGTCATCGTCGGCGCCGGCCTCTCCGGCCTCGCAGCATCAATCCAGTGCGCGCTCTCGGGCCACGAGGTCACAGTTCTAGAGAGCGCAAAGGAGCTCGCTGAAGTCCTGACCCACGTCCCCTTCAACTAAGTGCAGTCATCCTAACACCACTTAGGTTGGCGCCGGCCTCCAGCTCACGCCGAACGCAACCAAAATCCTCCAGAAATGGGACGTCTACCAGCACGTTAATAAACCCGCCGAACCCAGAACATGCACCGTGTACAACTACAAGGGCAAGGTCCTCGCGCATGAAGACAACTTCGACAAGAACAATCGCAGAAAGTACAACGCTCCCTTTTCGGACTGCCATCGTGTGGATCTGCAGCAAGCGCTCGCGAAAAGAGCGCAGGAGCTAGGCGTCGAAGTCCTCCTGAATACCCGCGTCACCGACATCAACTTCTCCGGCGAAGAGCGGGACGGCATCAAGGAAGCCGCCGTGTCAACAGAAAGCGGCACGACCCTCTTGGCCGACCTGGTGGTTGCCGCCGACGGCCTCTGGTCTACATGTCGCTCTGTCTTCCTCAACCGATTTGCCCCGCCGCTTCCGACGGGAGACTTGGCGTACCGCATTGTGCTCAATCTGCCGCAGATCAAGGACGAGAAGCTGAGGAAGATGGTGCAGGAGCCCGCGGTGCGGTTCTGGGTTGGCCCGGATGCGCATGTCGTCGCGTATAGTATGCGCGGTGGGGAAATGTATAATGTTGTGCTCCTCGTGCCGGACGATTTGGACGAGGGCGTTGCGAGGACACAGGGCGATTTGGATGAGATGAGGAAGTTGTTTGAGGGGTGGGATCCTGTGTATGTATCTCTCCCTCCCGTATCCCTTTGCGGCTTTACTACGCGAGGGAGGGGAAACAGGCGCTGGGACGGATCTGCTAACGATGACGCACAGGCTGACGCAGCTCCTCGAATGCGTCGACAAAGTCGACAAATGGAAACTGATGCACCGCGAAGAGATGAAATCCTGGATAAACCCGCAGTCCAACCTCGTCCTTATCGGCGACGCATGCCACCCCATGCTGCCCTATCTCGCGCAGGGCGCAAATTCGTCCATTGAGGACGGCTGCGTTCTCGGCCTGCTTTTATCTCCCTCCGTCAACCCCGGCTTTGCTTCAAAGTCCGATCTCCCGTCTACGCTCCAGCTGTTCCAGAAACTGCGGAAAGCAAGGGGCGAAGCGATCGCGCGGGAGACGTTCAAGCAGCGAAGGGACTTCCATATGCGGGATGGGCTGGAGCAGGAGAAGAGGGACAAGCTGTTTGAGATGTGGTTGGAGAAGGCGAAGGGCGCGGAGATTGAGGGCGAGGAGGAGTTTCCGAGTCGCTGGACGTGTCCGGTTGTGCAGCCGTGGTTGTATGGGTATGATGCGTTCAAGGAGGTGGAGGCCGCTGTTGCGCAAGCTTCGAAGGAAAGCGCGAGCCTGTGAGGAAGTAGGTGGGAGAGGTGGAAATAGATTTTATTTCCTGCTGCATTGCCGTCTTCCGATGAGTCCAGTGCCCCTGCATACCTTCCACTGCGTCACACTTTCCCATCCCATCTCCCTCCACTCTATGCCTTTCGCCTCATCACGCCCACCGTGCCACCACGCATATAATTTCCCATAAAAGGCTAGCGGGACTCCTTCCATTACCACATTTCGCGCTACGCGGTCTTCAGTGAGCGAGGAGAGAAAATCTAGGACGTAGCTGTAGGCGATAACGAGGACGAAGAAAGCGACGAGGACACTTTGGTGTGTGAGAGGTAATGGCTTTGGGGGTTCAGTTGATAGATCGGCCGAATAATAGGAGGGAAAGGTTTGTGGTGGCGGTAGGGAGGCGGTGTTAACATGCTGACATGTTGACGGGTTGATGCTGAAGAGCCGAGATTAGATGAGATTGGAAGGGAGAGCCAAATATGTTACAGCAGAGTTTTCGGTGCGCGCAAACGAAGTCGGAGCGTTGTGCAACGTCGCACCTCGTCTCCCTCTACTTCTCAACCTCCACCTCCACCCACCCCTCCGCATCCTCCCCCTCCCGCCGCTTTCGCACACTCTCCTCCAACTCCTCTTTTGCAATGCACTGCCCACACGCCCAGTACGCGTACCCTACCAGCAGAGCCCATGGGAGGGCGTCCCATATCCGCCCGTCTACCAGCAGGCCGATGACGCAGTAGAGGGAGCGGAACATAAGCATGATATGGACGACGGGCATGACTCCGTCTAGTATTTCGGACAGAGTCGTGGCATTGGAAGGCGGGGAGGAGTTTGTGTGTGAGGTTCGCGTGGTAGCAGGAGAGGTAGCTTGGGAGGAGGTTGAGCGGCGTCCTGGCTTGTCTTTCCTTTCGGCCAGGTTTTCGACGTGGGAGAGCTACTTTGCATCCGGTGGAATATTCACGCACTCGTATTCGTCTGCCTCGGCCATCTTCTGCATTGTTTCCTCCTACTGCTTTTTGATATTCCGTTGGTAAACCCGGTACGCCTGCGCCCTAAGCGAACGGATAGCAATGATTTCGAAAGCCCTCCCGCCTCTCCCGTCGAAGAAGAAACACCTCACACACAGGACGGGGATGTTGAAGACAAAAAAGGCGAAGACTATGTCTATAATGCTAGGGTTTCGGGAGCTTCTTGGGTTTCTGGGAGGGAGAAGGAGGGAGATTGGATATCGCGAAGGGTGGCGGATGACATGAACAATCCAGGATGCGAGTACAAGGCTTTGAAAGGCGAGCAGTGGATGGCTTTACTGGCCGGGCTGTTTAAATGCTCTCGCGCGCATGGAGATGCCGGGAGCTGTGCGACGTCGAACTGCTTTGGGCACTTCAGTCTAGGTCCCTTTTCATACCCACCGGTGCTCCCTCCTTGCATTTGTTCGGCTGCCAAATTTCCGCATCTTTGATTTGAAAAGTATGCCTGATCTTGCTACGACGTGGAGAAGCAGAAAACTTAACACTTGGTTGCACTGCGCGTTAATGCAGTTACGGCGGGAATGCTTCGGCGACATGATGGTCAGAAAGGTGTGGCAAAGGGGTTGAGCAGTTCGTTGAGAACAGCTAGGCTCTCGGACGACGGGTTAACCTGTGGAGATTGGGAGTTGATTATGTTCTTCCTTAGCTGGAAGGCCCCTTTCATCACGGGAGCTGTGTATGTTGTTAATGGAGGTCCGATCCGCCGGGGTTGTTGCCACTGGAGGGAAAGCGAGTGATAATGGAGTGAATAGTGGAGATGGTTTGGCATTCAGTCCAAAGTGGCTCCGTCAGCATTTGGCACGTGATTTTGGCGCTAAGCGGCTGGTGCGCATCTCGGAGATCTCGGCGCGGGCGGATGCGGCTCTTGGGTCTCGGCCCAAATTTTCGAACTTCGACCGCATCATCCAAACAACCCACGTCGCTCATTCACCATCCGTTCCTGCGCCATCGCAATATCTTACCTCTCCTTCTCCTTTTGTTTTAGCAAGCGCAACCGCTGAGACTGTTTTCCGCCCATGGTTCTTGCCCGCGTGGCTAATCTGTTCAGCCCTGGAATCCCAAGCAGTCTCGTCGATGATGGGAGGAGGGGAGGAGGCTTTGCGATGGAAAGCATGGAATCGCTCCCGGAGATTAGAGAGGAGACACCAGTGCGAGAGGAGGTAGATCACGAGGCTGTGCGGCCGCCGTACATTCATGTAGGGCGACCTTTTCTGGCAGCGAATACCGCTCGATGAACGTCAATTGATCGATTACCGCAGGCTATGTTGGCAGGAGGGATAGGAGGCACGACAGGCGACATGCTGATGCATTCGCTCGATACCGTCAAGACACGGCAACAGGGCGACCCGCACATGCCACCGAAATACACATCCATGGGCAACACATACTACACGATATGGCGGCAGGAGGGCATACGGAAAGGCTTGTATGGTGGAGTGCAACCAGCATTTTTGGGCTCGTTCTCGGGGACGGTGCTGTTCTTCGGCGCATACGAGTGGAGCAAGAGGTGGATGATCGACTACGGCATCACGCCGTCAATCTCGTACTTCACCGCCGGTACGCAGCACGCGTCCATATGTGCGGAGAAAGCAGGAAACTGACAATCTCGCAGGCCTCATCGCAGATCTCGCCGCCGCACCCGTCTACGTCCCCTCCGAAGTCCTCAAGACGCGCCTCCAGCTGCAGGGTCGCTACAACAATCCTTTCTTCAATTCCGGATATAATTACCTCTCTACAGTACACGCAGCGCGCACAATAGCGAGGATCGAAGGTTTTGGCGCGTTGTTCTATGGATACAAAGCGACTCTCTGGCGGGACCTGCCTTTCTCCGCCCTACAATTCGCGTTTTACGAAGAGGAGCGCACGATCGCGAAGCGCTACGTCGGCTCGAATAATATTGGCCTGCCCTTGGAAATCCTGACGGCAGCGAGCGCAGGGGGCATGGCAGGCGTGATAACGACTCCTCTAGATGTCGTGAAAACGCGCATCCAGACCCAGGTCAATGGATCGCCCTCTGCATCGGTGCACCCGGCGACGGCGACGCTCTCTCCCTCCTCGTCCTCGAGACATTCGAGCGCCCCCAAACCCGGTAAACCACCTCCGACGCAATCGAATCGCCCGATATCCACGTCCTCGCCCTCCACCACGCTCCGTGCCCACAGCGCCGCTACCCTCGACACATCATCCGTAATAACAGGGCTGAGGATTATATACAAGACAGAAGGGATATGGGGATGCTTCAGGGGTGTAGGACCGCGCGCTGTTTGGACGTCAGTGCAGTCCGGGACAATGCTGGTGCTGTATCAGACGCTGTTGAAGTGGTTTGAGCAGCACCCGCTGGTTAAGATCGAGAATAATGCTGTGTAGGATTAGCATATTTGTATACTAGGAGGATGTGTGACGAATAAGATTATGCATAGATGGCGTTCAGGAGGAAGTTCGCCCGCGAGCGGCGTGCGATAGACATTTAGAAGCTTGGAATACTATACTCTTGCCAGCAACGAACTTAGTCGCTTTCGAGGGTTATTGTGACAAGGGGTGCATCGGGGCAGGCCATATCAAACGAGGCGGAGGTAGCTTCGGCGGGCCTAGAGGGATAGCTCGTGAAAGAGGGATGTTTGGCAAACTAGAAGCCTTCGGGGACACCTCTCGCTCATGGATGGTGCTGACCAACGACCCATATCGCAGGTGCTTCATCCCGGCCCATGTCCAGGAACAGGCTCACTTCGTCCACATATTCCATATTCCCCCGCTGTAGACCTTTTGTTCGCCCTAGCCTCGGCTAATTACTCTTATTACTCTATTACTCATCCCATCTCCTCCCTCCTTCCCTCGTCTATATAAACGCCCTTCTTCCTTCCCAGAACATTTCTTTTTCTTCACACGTTCGATCTCCACTCGTAGCACTAAAATTCCGTTTGTCTACACTTATGGGTTGGTGTCCTCGCGACTTTCAAAACAGAGACCCTACCAAAATGTCTTCGGAACCTCCCTCGCCTCTCTAAAACACGTTACCATCTCTTTGTATCTTGGTGCTGGTTCCGGGGGTATATAACTACTCCTTTCTCCGCAGCGGTTCTTCTTCCCTGCCCACCTTCCGTTGACTTGGAGAACTAAAAATCCCCCCCGACAGATCCATGCGTGCCTTCTCCCCCGCTTCTAAAGGAGTTGGAGGACCTGGATTATGCGCGTGGAACCTGCGGCGTCTTCTCCAAAAATGGAAAAAAGGCACATATTGCTCGACACCATGTGCACCAAAGCATCTGCTTTGATGTTGTACTTCGTCTATGCTTTCCAGAATAGGCACTGTTCTCAACATATGTGTTTGGAGCACTTCATGTTTTCGAAAATCACCTTACGACTGCTTGTATGGCAAGATCCCAGGCTTCCCTCTTCCAAAACAACTCCTCGAGTGCCCATGTTGTTCTGTCCTTTCCGGAGTTCGAAGACAAGACTACTCAATCAATTACTCTTTACTTGCTCATTTCCGCGTCTATATAAAGCTTTTTTTCTAGGCCGTCCGACGACTTCTTTTCCCTACAATACTTCCTATCGCGAGGGAGACTAAAATCGAATACCCGATCACGATATGGCGGACTCCCTCCTGTGCTTCCTCCAAAGGCTTGACCTATATGTGAGGTGTGGTTGGAGCCTTCGAAGTCTCTTCAAAAAAGACGAGCAGGATACCATGTCCTCGGCCCTGACGTTCCTCTCTCCAAAAGTGAATAACCAAGCGCGCCATGGGCGCATCCCGGCTTTGTCGCTTAAGCTAGACAGCCCGGTGCCCATTAGGCTTCGACTGTCCATATGAATCCCTTCCGGCGACGCGAGACTCTCTTTCCTTACTCCTGAGATCCACTTCGGGCTCCAGAAAAAGCTTGATATTCGCCTCTATGGCGGACCTTTCACCTATCTTCCTAAATCCGCTATCGCCTCGGTTCATGTCCTAGAGGGCCCCCTGCTGCGCGTCTCCAAAAGGACAGAGCTCACCCAATTATTGGCCAGAATCTGCGGTTTTGTCTCAAAAAAGGGCCTGGGTGTTTGCATGTGCGGCTGGCGCTGCTTATGGCGATATGACGGGACAGTCATCCAATCTTCATCCAGTCTTGTGCGGTCTATATAAACCGCTCTTCTGGCAGGCTATCTTCTCCATATATCTCTACCTACTAGACGAGAAGCAAAACCAACCACAGAAGGGGTATAGACGAGCTCACGCCTCAGTGCCTCTGAAATCTCCAATCATTCTAGTCATGTCGTCCGAGACTCCAGCGTCTTCCCACATATCAAAAACTTGGGCACCGATGTTCAATGTTTTGCCCTGTGTTTCTCTCTTTCAAACTCTTGGGATCATTTTGTGTCGTTTAATCGCAGTCTTTCGGCGATCGCTGATTAGGTGGCCCTCTCATCTTCGGCAGCCGTTGCCCTGTCTCTATAAATCCTTCCTCTTCCACCGGAAACGTTTTCTTTCTCTACAAACCCATTCACTGGCGCCGTACTAAAACTCTCACATCCCCCACTATGGCCGAGAACTGTCGTGTCTAAAAGCATGGCACAGCAGTTGATCTATATTTCGGAGCATCCCCTTGTTCAAATTGGTAATAATGCAATACCATGGTTCAGGCTCCGCGACTTCCCTCCAAAATTTTCGACAGACAGTTAACGCGCTTTTCTGCGTCTCGTTCCATTAGATCATCGATGACGTTGTTATTCTGCCTTATGTCCTGGTTTCTGGGAATATAAATCACTTTCAGCTCACTGAACGATGCTCTTCTACTTCTACGTGCTTTTACCAATCGAGAGACAAAAAAATGGAGGATTTAAGCATATGGGCAGGCGCTTTCGTGATTACTAAAAGCTTAATCCGACCTGGCCCATGCTTGGAATCTTTCACTTCCGAGATCATTTGAAAGGAAGTCCTTAGCAGCGTTTATGGCCGGAGTGTGCGGCCCTTTCGTACGAAAATGCGCCAAAGAGTTCGCATGCGTCGATGGCTGGGCGGTACAAACAGCTTGATCTTTTTAACACTTGCCGCCGCTTCGTCTTCCCCTTCACGCGGGGTATATATTTCTCTTCGGCCTCCTCGGGAAGCTAGTTCCTCACACTATTTTCCTCACACAGTTCCGGACCGGGCTCGAAATTAAAAATCGTACGCCAACATGGCATGTTTGAGTGCTGTCAAGCCTCCACAAATCTGTCACCGAGCCGATATGTCTCTTCGGATTTTGGCACCGTCCCAAAACCGATAACGGAGAGAGCCATGACGGGACCTCGGAATCTGCGGTCTGCTTCTGTTGGAAATGCGGAGAGGCAATCTTCCATGCCTCCGTCATCGTTCGGTTCTCGATATATAATTTTCTTTCTCCCCTGACCAACTGTCCTCCTAAAATCTCGAAGTCGCTGGGCACTAAAAGACATGCACCCACGGTGCATGGTCGAGCCTTCGCGTTCGTTCTAAAAGCCGCAGCCCAACACACCATGACTCTGGAGGCTTTTTCACTGTTCAAAACAAATAGGGGTGATATTTGATGATCCAGTCGTCGAGGTTCCGCTCTTAAAACTGGGACAACTTGTGTGATGGCCTTCTCTCTCCTCTGCTTAGACCAACTATTCGGATCTATCATGTCTTGGAGTTTGGTGTCCGAACAATCCCGTCTGCACCGATGGTGTCTAAGTACTCAATATCACCACGGTCCGATTCATGCCTTCTCGCATTGCCAAAACCTTATATATGGTGATCCATGGAAGATACTGTCTCGTGCCGATTTTATTACATCATCCCAGGTTGTTACCTAAGCGTATGGTGTTCCTTTTGATCATCCCTGGATCCGTCAACCCACTGTTGCTCTGTTGGGCGGGGTACTAGATGTATAAACGTCTGCCTTTTGTTATGTTCTTTCACTTTTTCACACGGTTCTCTGCGCGAGGCAAACGAAAACTAAGATGACTATCGCTACATGGTTGGACCTTTCTAAATGCATGCTCCATGTTTACAATGTCTTGGAGCCTTTGAGTGCCTAGGGAATATACGTGTTGAATCAAAATCGGGGCTAGAATTCGAGCGTTCTTTCAAAAATCAGCCGCTGCTTCTGCGAATGCCTGCAGTCCGCCGTTCTTTCTCTGAAGTGGGAAGGCTGGTGTTGCCTGTTCCGAGCTCCACTTTGTAAAATATTGCCAGATATGGTTACTGGTTCTGGTGACCAATTGGCTCATATATATAGCTACTTCATCCCCATGTCCGTCAATCCACTTATACCTCACTTGCTAGTTCCCTGATTACAATCATCCGAGAGCCTGCCAATGGCTGGGGCCTACTCTTCTCTTCAGGCTAAAATCGATGGACATTCCAGCACATGGGCATCTACTGTTCAAATAACCCAACCTACACTCCATAGTAGATGATCTGGCCTCCCCCACATAACCGCAACATCAATATTCGTTAGCATCATCTATAACATGCGTAGATCCAAATCATAAATTCTTTTTCTAATTTGCTACTACCATGGGTGTCCCTCTTGTGCGACCATACGAAGGTAGGGGCCGTGTCAGTTTTGGTCTACGGGAACCATTGAAGTACTGGAATCATCCGTGTCCCTACATAACTCGAAGCCATTCATGGCTTAGCACCCTTCGCTAAGGCTTCATCCCAGACGCGGTTTGTGAACTCCCAAATCTTCTCACCCCATCCGTTCTCTCGATATTGCACGAGCACGTCGTTGTCGGGCACGACTTTATTGAGGTGATTAACGCGCCACGAGCCAGGAACAAACTTGTCGCTCGTCAGCTCGTATGCATGTCTCTCGCCAGACTCCTTTACCGCCATGCCGAAATTGCGAATGATCCATCCTGACACAACTTGCATCACTAACACGATGGCCCACCACACCCATCCGTTCGCCTTCGAGGGATAAGCGGTACGAGGGGTTCCGGTGTGCACCAAACCAGGCGTGGCATGCAGGAATGTGATATGCTTCTGGCTGTCGTTCGCGGCAAGATAATCGAAGGCCAGGCTAGTGCATAGAGTGGTGTGGTTGATGACGGCAATGATGCCCCAGCTCTTCTCCAGACCGATGTCTTCTTCGTTGATTTTCTTCTCCTTGGTACCGTTAAGAATGGAGAGGATGCGCGGATGGGAGGACCGGTGAAGAAGGGGCAGGAGATTCGAGATGAGACGGAGACGCGAGTAGTACGAGACGGCGAAGCATGACTCGAGGCCTTCTTCTGTGTCTATGCTGTCGGTTAGATGTTCGGAAGGGCTTTCTGAAGGTTAAGAATGATACATACAGACTGCTCCTTGAAAGGGCATTCCACCGGGGCTCATGCATATGATGTCAACCTTCTCAGCAGCGGCAGAGATCTGCTTGCATGCCGCGTCAATCGCCGAGATCAGGGCTACCTGGGTCTCGATGAAGACGATGCTGTTCGTGGGGTCGATCTTCTTCAGCTCATCGAGTTTGTCTCCGTAACGCGACGGATCCCGTCCTAGAATGTAGAAGGTCGACGAGTGCAGCAAACCCACCATCTCTCTGAGGGTTGCAGCGCCGATGCCTGCCGTAGCCCCCGCGAACACGCACACTAGGCCGCTATGGCCCTGCGCCGCGAAGCTCGCGTTGCTCTTGCGGATTTTGGAGATATTCACCATTGCTGCAGTTGGTGACCGTATTGGCGTGGGTGGCGTGAAGATGCACTCGGATACGAGAATGGTGGTAACAGGTAAAGGTGCTAGGGGAGTCAGATGTGAGCGGGGTAGCGGGGCGTATTCGCTAGTGCTTAGAACCCCCGTCGCGTCACTTTGAACAGGGGACGAAATTATATTTCCGTTATTTGCTGGATCATCCTCTGTTCCATGGGAGTCGATCATGCGGATGGCGCAGACACCACTGCAATGGTTGTAGCTGCCGCGACATTTAGTGCGATGGAGGCCATGCTGAGATGTGAAAGAAATCATCTTGCACGAACAAGCAGAGCTTTAGCTCCATATCTACCATCGCAGACGGAACTACAAACTTTAACGCTCTGAAATGTTGCGCGTGAAGGCTTTCCAGTTATCCCCAGGACAAGGCAAGGAGAGCCGGCATATAGAGTGCTGTAAACTACGCATAAGGTGACCACGCATACACCACGTTACTTTCCGCTTCAAAGCAAGTATTATCGCATTAGGGTGAATAATCTCGAATCCTCCCGAGCACCAATAAACAATACCTACTAAACTTCAGCTCCTCATACCAATTCTGGAGTAGTCACGCACCGCCCTTCAAGGCGGAAGGCGGAACGGGAGAGACCAGTGCCGAACGGGACTTGCGCGCGCGTCAGCCGCGACCACCTCACGTGCCTCCGCACCCTAGAATGAATCCTTCTTTCTATTCTTCTGCGAACCAGCGTAGAAGCACAGCACGAAGGATGCGCCGACTCTTCCGCCCATGCGGCTATGGGCATTGTTTTATAGCACATTACCTGCTACCTGGGCAGCACATGCCAGGGCCAGTGACGTTGCACCTCATCGAACAAACAGCAGCAGTAATGATATAGACTTATATTTAAACAACATATCCGGCTCTTCCATACTCTCGAATACTCTTTAGAATATCGACCATTGTCTTGGCGTACGTCTTCCTCCTGGATACGGCCATCTCATCCGCTTCAGCCAACGGAGTGTTCGTCCTCAACAACACGCTAGGATCCTGCGCCGATGTCCACTGCTCAATTCCCTCAGACGCCGGTGTTATCGCCTCCTGCCAGGTCACAAACCGTTCATGGGGCATGATAGGCCTCGATACCTTCCCGTCCTTCGCTGCTGGCGATGAAGGCAATTTGACCTAGACGATTGGAACGCACGTGTACGACAACACTGACCCCAACGACGACAAAGTGCGCATCATTGAGAAGGGCTTCTACTTGGGCACTCCGTCTTCAGTTGACCTAAGCGTGGGTGGCTATGGCGGGACTTGCGAGGGCTGCGCTGTCTTTATGTACGGAAACGAAATGATGAGGCCGGCCCGAAACGGGTCATGGCTTTGCGAAGATGTGCTAGGGAAGTCATGCTACGAGTGGGTTATGAAGGAAGCAGTGTACTATGCAACCAAGCAGGAGATCGGCAACGGTTCGGAGACCAGATCGATCGAAGATAAGTGTCGGCGCTTGGAGGATGGGGTTAGAGGGTCTTTTCTGTCTAGCTGTGGCAATCTTACCGGGAACGAGAGGGGCTGGGCTAATGTCACTGCTATCCGTGAGTCCAGCTACTACTCCCTCTACCTTCGGTCCTGGAGTCGCTAACATCCTACCGCAGCACTCACCGGGCCGAATGCTCCCGAGCCACCCTCCCAAGAGCAGAACCAAAGCAGCAACTGCCACCCAACGCTCCCCAAATCCAACGACTTACACGTACAATGACACCGGTACCAACCACTATGACTCCACGACCCAGATGTTCTGGTAGGTGAACCTCGCCCTCAGCGTCTTCTGGCCAAAGAACGACTCTATCCCGGCATTACAGATTCCGGATCCGCATTTGAGCTGCCTTTGGCCGATTGATTTGAACAACAAGATGTTGGAGACTATGCAGTCGGGTTTCACTGTGGCGATGCTCGCCACGCTTGTGGTGGTTTTCATGGCGATGGTTTGACTTGGTTGATGAGAAGCACTTCCGATGTATAATACTGAGCGTTGGAATGGAAGGTTACAACCTCAGAAATTAATTAGTTTAATGCGACCATAGCAACTTTTGCTCGAATTTCCATTGTATCACGTACCACATTTCGCCTCAGCCACTAAAGCTCCCGCAAACCTCCTTAGAAGTCTTCACTTCCAGAGGTTAACTTATGAATACTGATCCGCAAACATGCACAGAATTAGCGCCCATTTACTTTTTGCAGACATGAAGCCCGAAGCGCCACTCTAATTCGAGCTGGCTCCATCAATCGTATTAAAGGGAGCTACCTGCAACTAATCGATGAGCGAAGAAGAGTGCGAGGCTGCACTTATACACTTCTACACCCGCTGTGGAAAATGACTCAAAGAAAGGGACATGCATCCCAGGGTGAGTAAGCCCGGACCCAAGAAGATAATGCTCCTCACCACTACCGAAACAACCCGTGCTCTCCCACCTGGTCCTCACATAAGCAACATCCTCGCGCTATTCTTGTTGTCTTTTCCTCCATGAGACCGAGAAGAGAGTAATTGTGTGGAATCCTCTCCCCAGCCCGCCGCCACATTTACAGCGATGTCCTTTATTTAGAGTCTGGAAGCCATCGCTCGGATGGATAATGTTTTTAGACATTGAGATTGAATACTTGTGAAGAAGAAGGTGGACTGGCGTGAGGTTGATATACTTATAAAGTGTGAGGCCGAAGGGGTGGGAGATGGACGTCTGCAGGCGAAGTGTAATGTGATGGTAGGCAACACCGGTTTCCTTTTGCCCTCGCTGGGTGTTATAAACCCTCTAAATCTCTCTTTCGGTTCCTGGATTTCAGAACAACCCATCGGTTTCAAGTCCAGGCGCTCCTGCAAGCCATGAGGCCATGTTCGATCGGTTTTGGAAGCCCCCGAAACATAGAGATAGTGGCGTGGAGAGGATCAGTGGGGGCTAAGAGAGTCGTGAAAAAGGGCGTTTATATAATCTTTCAGGCGACAAGCCTCGCGCATGACTTGGGATCGCTGTTCAGGGCACATCTCCTGCACACTCCATACTGGCAACACATATGACTGATCCTGGAAATTTGAAGAAGCACAGCATAATGCCCCTCTGCCTCATGCTTTGAAGATGCTCTTGTCTCGGGAACTGCGGAGAGTATCCAAAGGATATAGAATATGGGAACCAAACTGGCCAGCCGCAGGCCTCCGAAGCCATGGTATGGGTGTTTTTATTCTTTAGAACTAAAGAGAAAGTTGCTCTAGGGACAAAGGCAATTAGCACGGGAAAACGCGTCCGGAAATGAAGGCCTCCTCGCCCCCACGGGCAATGTTCCTTATGAGTCGCGGCCCTAGCAGAGCATGATACATGAGGTCCAGTAATGGACGTTGTTGAAGGCGTTCCCGTGAGTCTGCTGATGTAACACTGGAGCCACCTAGGACATATTCGTTGCGTTCTGGAGATTTTAGGCAGCGAGAAGCATGCACATCGTAGACCTAGCTTTTAGAGCCACGGATTTGCATCTGTGAGGAGAAAAGGTACAATGAGAAGAGGGGCTTATATATTTTCCTCTGGAACAGGAATCGCTTTTATCTGATCGATAGGTGGATTCTCTGATGCGAATTCGCCTAGGGTTCCTTCGAAGGAAGTCCAAATTGGTGCTTTTGGGAAGCCGCAACATGGCAGTGGCAGAACTTTCCTTTCGCAGCGTCCAATGTGGCCTCACATATGTAGCTATTCGCTCTCGTCCAGGACATTGTGTTGTCCGATTCGGCTTTTGGATACCTCGAAGCATACGCGGCACCCAGAGACACTTTTAGACCTGCTTTTGCAAAGTTTGTGCAGGATGATAGGGGAAGAGGAGTGGTTTATATACTCCTAGCGAGGAGACCTTGGCGCGGAGACTCGGGTGATTGCGCGTAGTCGGGATTGGGGAGAAGTGCCATACGGCGCGGCATAGAGGCTAATGTGGAAACCTCGGTCAGTGAGGCGGCCGAGCAAGGCATAGAGCTCAAATGCATATGCTGGATCATAGAGACGATAGGCCGATCCCATGAGCGGGACCCATCCGGATTTTTGCCAGGTAGAACTTCTGAATTCCAAGGATTGAATTCCATACACCCAAAGCTCTATGTAGTGGCTTACTGCAGCCTTTCGAGGAACTTTCGGATGCATTTAAAGCTCTCCACGGTCTCGGAAAGCTAGACATAAGCTAAGCAACAGTTCCAGGCGGGTCTGAATCCATGTAGATTTGCATTTTGGAGGCACTCATGGAAACGGCGGCGCGAAACTTTAGAACATCCGGACATGTCAAGTAGCCCCTGAGTTTAGTGGACTGAAGAAGCGTACGAGTGAGGAAGGGAAAGCGAGCGGTATCAGGAAGGGGTTTATATACCCAAGGATACTCGTTTGTGAGGAAGGCTGTGACCGGAGATCTAGTGTCGCACATAGAATGTGTCTCCTAGCTCTGCGAACCGCGAGCGCGCCATCGATGCCTTCCTTGTGTATTTTCGCCTCCTGGGTGATCCGGAAAACTCAAATGAACCAGCCATTATAATCCCCTGCGGATTTTGCAAGCCCGAGAGAAACAAGCGATGGGCGGTTCAGTTGACTCAATCCAAACAGGGCATACGCGGGATTGGCGCGGGTTTTTAGACTGCCCAAAACATATACGTCTACGATGATTTCTTTAGAGAGAGCCAGAAGGGCAGTAGTGAAGAGGAAGAGTAAGCACAGCCGGCGGACGGCGGGTTTATATACACGGGAAGAGTCGCTGAAAGAGAGATGTGGCTGGCCAGCATATCGAGTGAGAAGGTTAGGTTTTACGACTCGCTCCGCAGTCTCCCCGAACACACCATGCAACATTTTCTTCATGCCTTTGAGTCCACTGAATTTGTATGCCGGAAGAGCTATAGCGTAGCGAGATATGATACGAAATTTTGGCGAGAAGAGAAGCGCGCCGGCATGAAGCTGCCTTAATTAAGATTTTAGAACAGAACATGGCCGTCTTTTGGGCATCTTCCAGGGACATACAGACATGCCACTATGGATCGGTAAATTTGGGAGAGCCGAGCAGGAGAAGCGTGTGGGACACGGGGTCGCTTCCCGGACGAGCCGAACCGTGCATGAATATGAAGTCTTTATTTTCGTACCCACATAAGAAATCCTTCAGAACCTTTTAAATCACCCAAGAACATGAGTGAGCTGGGGAGTACTTTTTAGACTCAGCAATGTGAGGGTGTGGGGAAGAAGTTCGCGAGGTGGGAAGAGCGGTTTATATACCTTCGAGAAGGCGGGAATCTTGCTCCGTGCATTTGAAGAAGACATGTGCGAGCGCACATCGAAGGAACTTCCAGGGGCTGATGGAGAGCCGTCCTGAGTAGGATATCGACACGTGTAGCTCGTTGAGATCGGAGCATGCAGACGTGAGTTTCAATTGTCGAAGCCCTTCCAACGATTCGCACGCTCGTATCCACCTATAGCGACACCGACTAATAAGATATTGTGAGTCTACTCCCGACGCAGCATATCGATGTACTTGCTATGCCTTTTCAGCAAACTGGATACCGTATGGGCGTTGAGCGGAAAAGTCCAAGCGCGCATGGGCGATCGCGAGGTTTCTCTTTAGCGACCAAGAACCATGCCTTTTTTCTGCGGTAAGCTTTTTTAGTCCCAGAGAAACGAGCGTGTGGAGAAGGAAAACACTACAGCTTCGAGGGGGATTTATATACCCTCCGCCGAGCGGGCCGTGTCGGAGCGTCGTCAGCTTTTCACTTGCGAAGGACATAGATCCGCGAGAAAGACCGGATGATGAGCGCCAGGGCTACTCCTTTCTCGAGCTCTATCTCAGGGCCCTCTTCGAGTATTCCCAAGGGGGCGACACACATGTGCTGGCGGAGCGCGACTTTTGGAGGGCGGCGGGAAGGACATGCGAAATGGGCAATCCGGTTTTTAGTCGCCACATGGGTATAGACTGCCCGAGATTTAGGAAGGGCTAAGCCATGAATGTCCAGGGATAAATTTTAGTCTCTGGGTAGAAGTGCACGAAGAAAGGAGGAATGAGAGCGCCGAGAGGTTTATATGGACGTGTGAAAGGATATGAGGTCTGTGCACCAGGTGTTCCACGGGGATGAGGCTGGAGAGGAGACGAGACGGATAGATTACTGGACACTGAAGGCCTCGCGAAGATATCTAACATGCACTACGAAACAATAACGGTTACTAATTCTTACCATCCACGCTCACTCACAGCTTCGCTCCCATCTCCTTCTTTGCCGTCTCCCTCAACACCCTCTTCAAGATCTTCCCACTCGCCGTCTTAGGAATCGCATCTACGAATTTGACACCCCCATCAAGTCTCTTATACTTGGCCAGCCTTCCTGCCGCATACTCCACCACCTCTGCCTCGGTTAGCTTCGCTCCGGGACGAAGGACGACGTACGCGCGCGGCAGCTCGCCGTCGCGCGAGGTAGCGGAGATGGCTGTGGCGGGAATGCCGATGACGCCGGCGTCGACGATGTCTGAGTGCGAGAGGAGGGTGGCTTCAAGCTCGGGGGGCGCGACTTGGAAGCCGCGGACTTTGATGAGCTCCTATGGGGCGTGTTAGCGGGGGAAGTTGCGCGGACATTATGTAGCTGGAAGGGAAGTGGGGAGGATACCTTCTTGCGATCCACGATATACCATAGTTCTGTCTCGCCATCCATATATGCGATATCTCCAGTGTGGAAGAAGCTGTCACTGTCAAAGTCCCGTGTGTTCGCCTCTTCATTCTCAAAATAGCCCCTTGTAACCGTCGGGCCACGGATACACAGCTCCCCGCGCACGCCTGGTGCACTGATATCGATACCGTCGTCAGCAACGAGCTTAACATCCAGATTGTTCAACATCCTCCCCACGCTTCCAGTCGTATCATGTTCGGATGGCGAGAACATGCTAGCAATGCAACTTGTCTCCGTCATCCCCCAAACCTGGGTAAACGGCGCGTCATCCGCCAGAAGCGCCTTAAGTCTCGCCTGCGGTCCTTTATCCAGCGGCGCGGCGCCACACATAGCGCTCTTCACGCTCTTCAAATTATATTTGTTCCTGGCTGGACTCATGATAATCGCAATTGCCATCGGTGGGACCACAAGCAGTTCGGTGGCCTGGTACTCTTGGATGTAGTTGAGGAAGAGCTCGAGGTCGAAGCGGCGCATGATGTAGGTAGTGACACCGTCACGAAAGGGGCCTATTATGGTGGAGGGAGTGCTGGCGACGTGGAAGATGGGGAGAGCGAGGAGACGGGTGGAGGGGAAGGGGCGCGGGTAGTCTTCAAAGACGATGGTGTGTTCGGCGATGAAGTTGCGGTGGGTTAGTTGAACGGCTTTTGGGAGACCAGTGGTTCCAGAGGAGAACATCAGCATACAGTTGGTGGTTGCGCTGGCGGAGGGGTCTGTGAAGCGTGGCCTGTTTGAAAGTCGTTAATCACAATCTATACGCGAAAGACGCCGAAGGTGGGGGGGAAATTGCATACCAATCCACTTCACCATGCTCCAGTAACGTCTTCCATCCTTTGAATCCATTGGGAATGGTCTGGCCCATGCTATTGAAGATGAAAATGTTCTCCTTTGGCACATCGTGCTTCGCCTCAAGCATAGGCTTCAGAATTTCGGGCTCAGTAATGATGAACTTGGCATGAAGCGTGTTCACATGGTGTGTGAGCTCGTGAGATGTATAGCTTGGGTTAGTGCCGGAGTAGATTCCGCCGGCAGCAATGATGCCTAGGACGATGACGGGATAATAGATCTGCAAGCGTCGTTAGACGATAAGGCCAAATGGGAACTGGAAAAGTTACAGCGGACATCGTTGAAGGAGGCCACGACGACGCAGTCGCCCTTTTGAAGCCCATGCGTTAGCAGGCCCGCTGCGACTTTGCGGATCAACGAGCGGCCTTCCCTTCCAGATATTGAGCGCGACGGATTAGATGGATCGATGTAGACCTACGAAGTCCGTTAGAAGCGGTCTGCATCACACGCATTGACGACCTACAGGCTTGTCTAGATCATACTTCGGGCTATCGAACATCCATGACAGCAAGTCCTGAGATGGAATTGGGGAGTGCTTCTTCGCAAGGAAAGGCATGTTGTGAGGGCATTCGTACAAGATAGCTTGAGAATGTATAGGATGGATTTTGTACAGCGCAAGCGCATCAGCAGGCGATAAGCTGCCGTATTTAAGGGCCGAGGCTGTCAGCAGCTATTGATCTCCCTGTTTATGGCTTGACACAAACTAGCTGGATCAGGCGTGCCAGGGACGTTACGTGTAAGACGACGCCCGAGCCGTTGAGCGTCATTATTCCCGCGCATATCGTTTCGGGATAGGAGGGCTGCCGAGCAGACGTCCGGCCTTGAAAGCTGCGAGGACTCTTAACTTTTCGGGGCGGGCGATTCGGCGTCGGAGCTTCTGGTTGGAGCGGCGAGCTGTGGGTGACTGGAGTGCGGAGGCGGACGTGGCGGGGAACGTCTTGGCGGTGAATGGCTGACGCTAACGAGGCGAAGTGGCCCAAGCTCCAGCCCCACGCTTGCCGCGGGTTCCCACACCTGCACAAGAGCCTCTGCCTCTCTTTGATGCTCCGTACACTCTCGTCTCGGTTTATTATACGCCCAGCACCCCTCTACCGTAAGCAAGCCCGCGCGCTCCGATACAACCGCAGAATGGCCGAACCAATCCCATTGAGCGAGATTCCCACCCTCAGCTTGCTCTACAAGCTCAACCGCATCGCACCCATCGACGACGACACCTCGCCCGCATACGCACCCAATGCCACCTACAACGACAAGATCTCCGTGATCCGGCAAGACATCACCGTGCTCGCCGTCGACTCCATCGTCAACGCCGCCAACAACTCGCTGCTGGGCGGTGGCGGCGTCGACGGGGCCATCCACCGCGCAGCCGGTCCGGAGCTCCTCGACGAATGCGAGACGCTCGACGGCTGCGACACCGGATCCGCGAAGATAACAGACGGCTACCGCCTCCCCGCGAAGAAAGTCATACACGCCGTAGGCCCAATATACTGGTCAACTAAGTCAGAGGGCACGCATGCCGAGCTGCTGTCAGGCTGCTATCGCAGGAGTTTAGAGCTCGCGATCGAGAATGGGCTGAAGAGCATTGCGTTTAGTGCGCTGAGCACGGGTATCTACGGGTATCCGAGCGAGGAGGCGAGCGAGGTCGCGCTAGAGACCGTGAGGAAGTTCCTCGAGGAGGGGAACGCGGATGAGATGGAGAGGATTGTTTTCTGCAACTTTATGCAGAAGGATGAGGATGCGTACTTTAAGAACATCCCGTGAGTGGACGTGTGTGCTCTTCAAGGCCGGAGGATTAACTGTCAGGGATAGGAAATACTTCCCACCTACAGCTACCGAAGAGAAAGCCGAAGAGAACGCGGAGGAGGACGCGGCAGAGAAGTCGACCGACGAGACCGAACTCGCTGCCAAGCTGCCCGATGCCCCCACCGCCGAGCCGAAAGATCCCGAGGAGCCATCACAGAAGAAGCAGAGGACCGAGATGGCAGAGGATGACTTCGTAGTCGTGGACAAGGAGGATGCAAAGGAGGCTAAGGATGATGCACCGAAAGCGGACCTGTGAAGCCAGCATCTCTTACGAAGGGCATGATATGGTTTGTTTGCCGGGTCTGATGGCCCTAAATACGCGGCGTTATAGGGGATTGCATGCATAGAGTATACCCTGGAGATGAGTTGAAAGGGGACATTATGATTGAATGCCTGATAGAGAGTGTGGACGTATCTTGTCTGTACTGCTTTGTTTTCATGCCGCAGTTTACGCCACTCGAAGACGGAATCCGCCATTAGATGCGGCCGTGGCTAATGCAAATATTGCATGCTTCCTAAGGTTCTCATCTCTCCTACCGGTCGTCGCATCAGACTAAACGGCTAACAATCGGCTAGTCCGACCGCATCTTTTTCTGTATGCGGCAGAGAGCAGTAAACCTCAGCCTTGCCTCCTGCAGATTCCCGCCGGACCGGCTCGACCGGGCTGTGCATTCATACTTGCCTTCGAGCGTGTCTGTATGGCTGCAGGCGATATTTTCATTTTTAGAAGACCGCCAATCACCAAGGCCGATTCCGCGGCAGTCAGGCTGCGTTACATTTTCAACGCATCGTTATTTGTTGGCAAGTCTTGAACCCGTCAGCGGCTGATAAAATTACAGTTTGTTTTTCGTCTGTGTAACGCCCAGCGTGGCTTTTTGAATGTTCGAGAGGTTCTTAAAATGGCCGAATCTCCACTTGCTATCAGTCCGCGACCAACCCAAAATGCCTCAGCATTCCATATACAGCGCTATGAGTGACCTAGACGGGGACGAGTCGATATCTAAGACGGCCCGAGATGACGTCAGCGGAAAGAAAGAAGAGGACATTCCCAAGGCTGAGCTGGGGCGGTGGGACTCGCGTCGCTGGGCAGCGCTTGCCCTGAACATCCTGCTCAGTATCATTCCGCTCTATTTTATAGGTATGATCTGTCGGCTTTCGCTCGCTCGTGCATTCCTAAGTTTCTTGCTAGGTCTTGCCATTATCGCGTTTTGCCTCCATGGAAGGCTCGTCAGGCCGTTTGGAATGGGTATCGAGCGTGTCAACCGTTTCTCACCTACGATTTTCCCAATTGTCTTCGCGGCTATACTCGGAAGGCTTCTCAAGGTTATTGGTAGGTGGCTTGCCGAGTGCGGCAGCCGCTTAAGCGTAGGACACCCAGGTTGTTTGTGAAATGGTATCCTGATGTCGCACAGACTTTAGAAAGACTTATAGGATGCAACTCTCTCTTTACTGCGCTCGATCGACAAGTCGCTATCCGTCACGTCGATGCGATCGGCCTATTGATTATCTTTACCTGGGCTTTATCACCCTTGGGCGGTCAATCTTCGCTACGGCTACTCTCTCGGGAACCTCACCTCTACCGGTCTAGAACTGCGATTCGGTACTTGCCCTTGGAATTATTACAATGGCACGGTTCCTTGAACTGGATGCCTGAGGAGAAGGATTGGATCGTCTTCTCATCCACCTACATTTCAGCGTTAGGCTCCAGTCGCGGGCGCTTACACGCAACGCAAGACCCATGGAACAGTATCAGGATTCCGACCTTGGATAACGTATCCCTGGACGGACCGAGCGACGAATGGCAGCCGATTGATTACTCGCGCAATGTCTCTTATGCGTCGCTGCTGGGCCTCCCTTTTGTTGGGATCGATCAAGGGCGGAATTTCTCCTTCCAGGTAGGCAGCCGATACTGGAAGGTCAATTGTCTCGCCATGTCTTGGTTCGAAGGTCCGGCGGATTGGAGCAATGTATCATTAGGCCTTGTTCCAAATGACACATGGATCAAATGGCCTTCGACCTTCAAAATGGAGATTGCAGAGAAGTACCGTTGGAGTGCAGCTGCACCTAATCTGCAGCACTTCACCTTCACTTCACGGAGTGGGGACGATGGCCAAATTGTGCTTATCGAATCGACAGGCATGAGTTCTACGGAGTGTGTGGCCAAAGCGCAAGGTATAGAGTGTTCCGTGGAGTGCCTGGGCGTCGATTGTCGAGTTGTTGCAATCCGCCCCACGGTCCTGTCTGAAGGCCTCGGAGCTATCCCATCTCTGGAATACGCTCTTTTGGCATTATCGTGGACGAGTGTCAGCCCCATATGGCAACATACATCTGGGATCGAGGTCAGTTCTCCAACGGAGCGGTGGTTAATGGACCCGGATTCATCATCCCTGTATGCATCAAATGGACTGGTAAACCTGTCTGAGGTACCTCTGGACGTTTTCAATGGTCGTCTTTCCGTGGTGCTCAACACGTTTTGGGATGCCTCGTTTGCGTCCGACTATCGACTAGGCGGCATTCCTCAGAACACAGACTTCTACGACAACCCGCCGTATCCGGGCGTATCGGAAAGAATTCCTTGGAATACTACCGAGGCACAGGTTGCGGAAATAACGGGCGACATATACATCTGCAACTACGCCTTCGCGGGCATATTGCTCGTCATTTCCGTCGGCCTTTTCCTGGCTACCATCACCACCGCGGTGGTGAACACATGGCTTCTGGCACCCGATGTCCTGGGATACGTCTCCTCGCTGACTCGGGATAATCCTTACGTATCCGTGCAGGGGGCTTCACATCTCGATAGCCTGGCAAGGGCGAGAGCTTTGCGCGATGTTCGTATAATGATAGGCGACGTCGATGCCAATGCGGAAATTGGACACATAGCTATCACGGAGGCTCGCGAAAGCGGTCAGCTGTTGAGAAGGGGCCGCCTTTACGACTGAGATAGATTCTGTTCCCGCCTTTGCAGCCGATTCCATGCCGGCTTGGAGTGCGGATACGGAGTTTTAAGGCGGGCTGACGACGCGAAAAGTACACCCTGAATATGAGCTGGTTGCGAGCACAGTTGGTCCTATCACGAATGCCCTTGTGTCTGTAGGCGCTTATATCTATACTCGACACTTACATGTATACAGGGTCATCTGATTAGGTTATCTCAGGTGCTCAGACATAAAGCTGACTCCAGACGGAGAACGTCGAGCACACCAACCAGCTCAGTACCTTGTGGCCCGTTGCCTAACACCAGCAGAGTCCTGCATGCCCCAAACCAAGGATTCTGGGATGTCGCCACAGTGCATGCAGCCTAGTCCAAATAGGAAACAAGCTGCGACCATCCCTGCACCTCCAAGCCCAAGCCTCAGCAAACAGGCGTTGCACTCACCGCCGGCCTTCGGATCCAAAATTATAACTGGATGGGGGATCTACTCCTAGATACCGCCTCTGTACCTGCAGGCAGATTTACATACCCGAATAGGGGGCGCTGGGTGGCCTTATGACGTCGGACTTTGCACGGCGACTAGAAGCACTACAACATAGGATATCGGCTATAATACCCACAGCCATGGACCCCCAAAGTGTATTATCTGAGCTTTCGACCCCTTCGTCATGATGCAAAAGAAATTCCTCAGCCTTATTGTGGCCGCACTTCCTGGTGCTGCTCGCTTTCAACACCCTATCCCCGTACCCGACGAAGTTGCAGCACAATCCGCCTCCGTAACGGCAACGCACACGATAAACCTCAGTGCCTCTCGTCCTTCAGATGCCTCCGCAGTCCCCGCCGACTTCGTCTCAGTGGGCTTCGAGTCCGCCTTCCTCCCCAGCTATGCCAACGATTTCTCCGCCAACCTCGTCGCCTCTCTGCAAAAGCGCATGGGTGTTCCAATCGTCATTCGCGTCGGGGGCACAAGCGGTGATCGACTTTCCATCAACCCAAACCAGACCGAGGACACCAAGTGCGTCGGCAGTAACCAATGCCCTGATGGCTCCGCCGCGACGTTCATTCTCGGGCCCGGGTATTTTGACGGGTTCAAGAAGTTCTCGGGCGCGAAGTTCTCGATTCAAGCCCCTATTGATGATAAGAGTTTGGCGGTTAATGCGACTAATGTGAGGCTGTATGTGAATGGTGTGGAGAAGGCAGTGGGGAAGGAAAGGATTGGTACCATCCAGGTTGGAAACGAGGTGCAGCTCTATGAGCCAAACGCGAAAGCGTATGTGAAGGATGTGAAGGAGGCTATCAGGGATGTGGTGAAGGATTTGGGTCTCGGTGATGCGGATAGGAGATTTCAGGTTCTAGATACCGCGAGCGGTGTGGTAAAAGGAGGAAATCAGTTTGGCGTGTAAGTGCTATACTTTTCCGTAAGCGTACGGAGCCAGCTGCTAATAGTGTTTAGAAAGGGTATCTTTACTGCGGGACTCCAAGACGTAAAAGGCCGCATCAAATACGTCGGCGAGCACTAGTAAGCCCCTCCCCAAAACTCGAACCCATGGGCAACCCTGACCCTAATCGCAACCAGCTACCAAGTCTCCGGCAACATGCCCACCGGCACCATCCAATCCTCCCTCCTCAACCACAACGCCATAACCACGCGCTTCAAATCCTACACCCCCTCCATCACCTACCTACGCAACAACTTCCCGGCCATATCCTACGTGTTCTCCGAAACCGGCAGCGCGCTAAAGGGCTCCACAAAGTTCCAGTCCTACTTCGGCGCCGCGCTCTGGTCCGTCGACTTCCAGCTGTACGCCATGAGCAAGAACGTAAGCCGCGTGAGCGGCACGCAGCGCCCTGTCGCGAAACACAGTCTTTGGATACCGCGGGCTAGGCTAAGTGAGCCGGGGCCGCAGGTTCGCGCGCCGTTTTATGCGCAGCCGTTCGTTGCGGGTTTTATTGGCAAAAGCGCCGCGGGGAAGAGGGGCGTGGTTAATATTGATCTGAGGACGCCGTTTGTGAGCGCGTATGCGATGTTTGAAGGCGAGGTGGTTAAGAGAGTCGCGATTATTGGGCTGAGAGAGTATACTGGGTCTGGGCAGCGTAATGCCGTACAGGTGAAGCTGAAGGGTTTGAGCGATTCGGTGCGGAGTGCGAGGATTGGGAGATTGCATGCGAATGCTGGGACGGACGCTGGTGGGTTTGATGTTAATGGGAAGAATATCACGTGGCAGGGGCAGCAGTGGTCGTATAAGGTGGACCAGGGGAAGGGGCATGGGGAGATGACACGGGGGTCGGTTAATGTGACGGAGGGTGAGTTGACTGTGAGGCTGCCGGATAGTGAGGCGGTTATTGTATATTTAAATGATTGAGGCGGAGAAGAGGAGGGTGTCAGCGAGTTGTAGGATAGGAGGTTCTGTATCGCGGGGATAGTGTACTCGTTTTGGTGAAAGAAGCGCTGAGGTTGTCGCACAGAGCGGGCGAGCCATGCGCCACAGCTAGGGGACGAGCACAAAAAGAGAGTATCAATACAATACACGGCCTCCTCGAAGACCTAGTTGCGTCCTCGTCGACTCCACGGCTCTCGACCCATCGAAATCACAACACAAGCACAGGAGAATATCAACAACAACTATCCTCACTACTTCCGCCTCTGAACCTTTGGAGGTACTGTCAAGATGTCAAGCACGCCCCCATCCCGGAACGGCTTTAGCAGTGGCCTTCCGCGGACGCGAAGCTGCTCTACTTCTTCACCGTCCTCTCTTGGTCTTGAGACAGACGTGACGGACGTTGGCTCCAATGCTACTCTCGACGATACGGGTAAGTCCATGTGCTAAAGTTCTCATATCGTGAATCTAATTACTTGGTAGGCCGCCTACTTCAAGGGAATGATGCAACCATGGAAGTTCCCCGAGCGCCTGCTCCAGGTAAGCTCTCGCCTATAGGGCACTTGATCGCTCCGGGAGCCAACATGCAGGGGAAAAACAACGCAGTTGACCCTCGCGGGCTGACGAAGAAAAAAGCTGACGGGGTGATCGAAGAAGCTCTGCCGGCATCTCAGACACCTCTTACCGCATATGCCATTACTCGGGTCAAGCGGGAGACGGATGCGGAAGGCCTAGACTTGGACTCCGAGGACGGCAATACCCCAGCTAAAGAAGAAGGCCTTACCATGGCCCTCGTGACATCTTCGAGCGCCCCCTATCAGTCGAGTCGGCAGTCCGGATCGTCCCTTATGCTGTCGAGTCCAAAGACTTCCTCCGATCAGTCTCGTACGCCGTACTCGGTGGCCGGCGTGACTGCTCCAGTAACCCCAGGACCGGGCGGCGTCGACCTTCGATCGGAAGCCGATCGCTCACATTCACTCCAACGGCGCAAGACAGCCGGCAATAGCCCACCTATGGAGCGCAGCCAGTCGCAGTCGGTCGAAGAGTACGAGGTCGGTCATGCTTGTGATGCGTCGCAGCGACCACGTCCACACTATATCGCAGGGCGTGGGCACATGCGATCTTACCAACAAGCATTCGGCACGCCGGACATAGGAAGGCGAACGAGCCACAAAGTTCCTCGGCCCGACCCGTCTTCTGCAGCGTTTGTTTCGCACCCTATTCCCCGGATGCTACCATCCGGGCCCGTTTTGCAGCTTCCCGACCCATCGATAACCTACTCTATCGGGCTAGGGCCTGTGGGGGCAGATCATGGCATACCGCTGGTCTACTCGAGACCTGGTCCGGGCATGTTCGACGTGTTTCAGAATTTGCGGAATCGAGGCGTTGCGCTTGGAGAACGGGGAATGGTCCGCCAGTCTGGTATTTCGAGTGGTGGTAATATCTTCGCTAATCTGAGGGAGAGGGGCTGGATTGCTAATGTGCGTCGCGATCCGGACTGGCAGTTGATGGATGGGGACGTAAATGGGGAAGAGGGTGATGAGGAAAAGGATGACTATGATGAAACTGGAGAGATGGTAGAGGGAGATGACGAGGAGAACGAGTTTCCTGACGCTTCTGATGGTTCCGGCCTGGAGGCGCAACCGCGGAGTGGAGTTGAGGGGTTCGCTGGAGGAACTACTACCTCATCCAATGCTCTTGGTGAGGAGTGGGAAGGAAATGGAAAGGCTAAGATGTAGGCGGAGGCACTCCGGCATCCGCCGGCATATTCTCCGGATAAGCTTTATGGGTGTGAATGTTCTTGAAGTACTTTGGATAGATTCTGGTTCGGACTTATTAGCGTTATTGCTCCTCTCGGCTGCTGGACTTCAACGGAGGAAATATATGGAATAAACTAGGATTCTGGACAAACTTTTAGGGCCCCAATATGTTGTGGTGTACGATGGTCATGTGGATGCAAGACGTTGATGATGAAGAAGCGGCTTACCCCACACACGTGATCGTCCCTTCCCCGCTCCTCCACCTCCACTCTTCGGCCTAGCCAAGCACACCATCCACACCCTCCACCAGCGGAGAGGCTTGCCAAGTAATCTTCATCCTTCTTCCTCCCTCCTCGCCTATCGTATCTTTCTAGCAAGCATGCCAACTGAACCCCAAGACTCATCGCCGCGTGCCGCCAAGCTATCGTCCCCGGGAATAGCCAACGGCTATCCAGATGCAGCAGGTGTCAAAAAGATGTGCAACCTCGTGCGGCTTCCCCGCGTTGTCCAACGTTGGCGGTGCGATGGTATATTATCTTCGGACGGAACCGCGTTCCGCCCACGGTTATCCTTTTGTTGAGCTCCCAGCGGCTGGAATAACTGCCTACACTCAGGAAACGCACGGTGACTTTCCACTGCATTGGAACAGTGACAACTGCATACCGCTCACTCACGATGGGCTGGAGTATCCACGCAGCCGGCACTGAGGATCCGCCCGAAGTGCGCAACTGGAGGATCCATCTCATCGCTCTAGTGGCCTCCATGTCGGCACTCGCAAGTACGTTATTGTTCCGGCATCGATTTCTGTCTTGCATTAAACGTGAAACAGTGGGCTACGACACTGCTGTCATTGGCGGCACAATGGCGCTCGACTCCTTCATTCGCGACTTTGGCTGGGAAGACGTGTCGAAGAACACTCGCGACACGATCCAAGCCAACATCGTATCGACATTTCAAGTACGCAATTACTCCTTGGAGAGTCAACTACATTAACTGATATCTGCACAGGCTGGCTGCTTCTTCGGGGCTCTGCTCACCTTTCCTATCGCCGAGAAGATCGGCCGGAAGAAGACCATCGTGATAGCCGGGCTAGTGTTCCTTCTCGGCGGCACATTGATGACTGCAGCGCAAGGCAGCCTAAACCTTCTTTACGGCGGTCGGGCGATCGCAGGTCTTGGGATCGGAGCTTCGTCTCTGACTGTCCCAGTATACATCGCCGAAGTTGCACCTCCTTCCATTCGAGGCCGGCTTGTGGGCATCTTCGAGATTGCTTCACAGGGCGGGGGAATGCTGGGCTTTTGGATCAACTACGCAACGGACCAAACTATCAATGTCGAAAGACAAGCTCAGTGGATTATTCCCTTAGCAATCCAACTCTTCCCGGGCGTGATGCTCGTCTTGGGCATGTCGTGGTGCCCTGAGTCGCCGCGGTGGCTCGCCAGAGGCGATAACTTTGAGGGTGCTGAGAAGATACTGACAAATCTGCGCGGCCTACCATCTTCGCATCCATACATTCTGCGCGAGATGGGCGAGATTCGTGCGCAAGTCGAGGAACGAAGTACGAACCATCTCAGCAAGTGGGCACAGTTCCAGAAGCTGTTTCAGAAAGGTACCCGAAATCGCATGGGCATTGGCCTTGCACTGATGTTTCTTCAATCGTTTACAGGCGTGAGTAGCGCTAGTCTCTGAGATCGGTGATCTCATCGGCCACTGCTGACGGCACGCAGGTCAACATCATCACCTACTATGCTCCACGCATTTTTGAGACTCTCGGCATATCTGGCACGTCTCTCAAGCTCTTCTCAACAGGCTTCTACGGTATCGCGAAAACCCTCGGGATGATCACATTCACCGTCATCGTAGTCGAGAGAGTCGGACGACGCAAGGGCCTCATATGGGGCGCCGCGCTAGGCTGCATTCCCATGTGGTATATCGGCGGCTACGTGATGCGAGCGGACCCAGCCGCCGCGGCCGCTAGGGGAGACGTATCTCGCGACGGGTGGGGATACCTCGCTATGGTATGCGTCTACGTGAACGCCTTCATCATCTGTGCGACCTGGCAAGGCATTACATGGACATACGCATCGGAGATCTTTCCCTTGGATATCCGCATGTTGTGCGTATCGTTGACGACGGCCGACACGTGGCTAGGCTCCTTCATCATCGCGCGCAGCACACCATACATGATCTCGGACCTGGGCTATGGTGCCTACTTCTTCTTCGCCTCCATCTTACTTCTGATGGGTCTTTGGTCGTTTCTTTTCGTCCCAGAAACGAAAGGCATAATGCTGGAGGAGATGGACGCGCTGTTCATGAAGCCGATGCACGAGGCCGTGTGGGCGCAGATCAGGAAGCGACCAATAATAACAGAGGAGGAACAAGCAGCCAGGAGGAAGGACTATGATTCCAGTAATACACAGGAGAAAGATGTCGGTGTTGACCGGCTGGAGAGCGTGCCAAGCACAAAGGAAGGGCCGTAAATTGGGGCGTAATCCGAAGGATCCAACGACCATGCAAGGTAGATTGAAAATCTCACTTCGGGCGGCTTTTCAGTTACTTTCGTACGAAAACACCCATGGAAGTATGCTCGCTTATCGCTACACCGCAACATTGATCCCTGGTCTTGCAGTGATTCTCTTCCACTCGCCAGTCTTCTTTCCGCAGTTGAATCCGGTACACGGCTCGGACGTCCCGACTTTTTCGCAGTATCGAAAACGGCTTCCCTGTTTGCCTCTCAAAGTGGCCTCTGGTGGGTGCTCGCTCTTCACGTTCTAGAAGTATGGAGATAAGACCGCAGGGCGGACGTAATTAGGCGTATGTTCCCACGTGGCCGGGCCCTGGTCGCAATCTACACAGTATACCCACAAGGTTTGATCGGCAATTGCTCCGCGTTATAAGGTCAGCCTTTTCCCGGGATACGGGATGTTCACAGAACGGCTCGGCATTATCTTAGTTGTACATCGTCTGCTCGCGCTCAAACCTCATCGCTCATTCTTGTCTCCAACCTGAGTCTCTAATCGTCCTCTACAGTTTGGTCGTTTCCTTCCGGTAGCCCTCGTGTCAGGAGGGCTTTAGTCCGCGACCATGGTTCTTCCAAAAGACATCGCCACCGTCCTAAGTGGAGCGTGGGTGCTGCTCAACAACACTCCGTACGTCCTCCACGCCGCGTACCAGCTGCCCACTACATAACCTCTCCAAAACTCACCCTCCTCAGCACCGATCTCAACGGCGTCCCCCTAACCACTGACCTCCCCCTCGGCTCCAAACCCGTCGGCATCCTCACCTACCACGCGACCGGCCACATGTCCGCGAACCTAGCCTCCACTGACCCGGATCAGCGGCCCATGGACCTCACCTACCCCTCTAAACCCAACCAGTCGGACGCTGAGTGGGCGCTGGTCGGCAAGCACACGCTTGCGTATGCGGGCGGGTTGTCGGTAAAGGAAGGCTCGACGTGCGAGAACGGGACATTGTACCATGGCCCGTTGACGGTGGCGAATGTGCCGAGTTGGGTGGGGACTAGTCAGGAGAGAAATTATACAGTGTTTAGGGCCGATGAGGGGGCAGTGGTGTTGCATATTTATACGAGGGATGAGGTTAATAAAGTGATGGGGAATTTGTTTTGGGAGAGGTTGGATTGAGAGGGTGGATTGGGTGGGTGTGCAGAGGCACTGGAATGCGGATTGGGAAGCTGAATTGGCTAAGTATTTTCGGATGCAGAGCTCATAGTCGAAGGATTCGGAATTTCATTTATTTCTCAATTTAGATGTTTGACTATTTGGCTCGCCGTAGGAGCTTTCCGGTACCCGCGCCAGCCCTCGGGCATTTAAGGACCATGAAGGAGCTGCAATTTCCTGAACTAATGCCAAATAATAGTTTCACGTCCAGTGATTTCCTTTCATAGCTTTCTACTCGACCAAATCCACTATCATTGGGTCCTCCTCCCGCTCCGTCTCGCTAGGCTCCTCGTCGACTGCGTTTGCGGCCCTCCTCGTACGATCGAGCTCATGCCGAATCTTCAAGATGCGCTTCCTATCGATCTGTATGGCCTGGTGATGGCGCCCGTGTGCGACTCGATCCGGACACCGTCCATCGGCTGGGCGAGCAATCGTCGAGGATATGCCTGCCGTCGAAAGAAGGGCAGGCACTTCGCTAAGCAGAACCCGGTGTTGAGCATTGTTCTTGCACCACTGAATGAGCTTTGTTAGTGGCCCTGCGTCGTCGCCCTGTGGAAGGTGCACGACTCCATGCTCAAGTGCAAGGAGTGGATAGTCGATGGTCTTAGAGCCGGTATCGGGCGTCCATTGCTGCGCGGTGAAGTCTCTGGTCGCATTGTTGTCTGCTGTACAACCGTACCGCTTGAAGGTGTGAGATAGCCGGGACTCGTGGAAATTGGATTTGCCTGTGAGCTGCCGGAGCATGTTGATCAAGCTCACGGTACCCACGCTGCCCATACCAGCGCGGCGGAAGCGTTTCAGATACTCCGGCCGTATAGCCTGACGAGGAAAGTACGCAGCGCACTCGATCAGAGTGAGTTCGACGTGGCTACCGAGATGTTCGTGGACACCGACCTTCTCGGGAGGTGTAATGCTCCTGGTCTGGCAGAATGGCAGCGCGTCTTGGTCCTTTAGTTGCGAGCCGATGCCCGAACCCGGTGGTTTTAGAGCCACCATCATGAGCTCGGGGATTGGATGCTTAACCTTGTGGGCCGACTTTAGGCGTTCATCGGGCTTTCGGTTAGGAGCATGGTATTCGGGCGTTGGGTTTTGGGCCATGTGTCGAATCCAGGCCCATGCGTCTTCCACATCTATTATGCCCATGGGACACAACAGGGCGGCATCGCCATCCGATTCCTGCTCGATTGACCTGACTACTGATGGGGATAATGGCCCCTGAAGTTTACGTTTCTTCGCCCGCACTGCTCCTTCGTACGCTACTTTCGGAGGTAACCCGCCTAAAGGGTCTGCATATGCTGTCAGTTGGTCAGGGTCACCCCGGCGCGAATTTGGTGGCATGAATTCCGTTAGCTCATCGTCTATTAGTTCAAGATCGATGACCATAGGGTCTGGATTGGACTGAGGTGTCCGTCTGCTACGGGAAACCCCTGTTATTCTATATTGAAAGACCTCCGCCGGGGTCAATGCAACAGGTCCAGCGGGTGTTAGCCGAAAAGCCCAGTCGTGAGGGTTGAGGACAACAGGCTCGAGATCCACCCGCTGCATGGAGCGCCAGCCCTGCGGAAGATCAAGTGGAACGAAACGTGGAAGATGATGACTATGTTCGGGAGGCATCGGCTGTGCATAAAAGCAGAGACGAGGATCGGATGCGGCAAACGAGTTGGACGCTTCAGCTATATTGCTCAGGGGTTCGTGTACGTTGGTCTGGTGCTTCTCAGCACCGGAGGACTGGTGCGGTGGCTTCGTTACTACATGAGACTTGCCGCCGGCTTCATTATGGTTGAGTTCCGGCGCGGAGAGTTCCTGGGGGTGTTCGGATACTGGAATACCATACGCCGCATGGGTTCCGTTGAAGAAGTTGACACCTCCAGAAATATCGAAGCTGTGGTTCGAGTTCCAGCTGTTGTTGCCCTGGAATAGTCCTTGCCTCACCGAGCTTGAAGACCAGTTGGGATGAGAGCCAGGGGTAATCGTGCCTCGATACTGGACTGGTGGAAGCGGAGGACTGGACTGCAGCTTAGACCAGGTCTGCTCAGCGTTGCTGTACAGCGGTGCAGTAAAAAGGGGCAAGCCATGGAAGTTGCCTTCGTCAGGATCAACATCCTGCTGGAGAGGTTCCCGGCTATTTGGGACCGGTTGGACGTTGACGGAAGAATTACCTGCCATTGTGATTGGGCATAACCTCGATAGCAGTTGAAGCTAGTTGCGAGTTTGTGAGTATGCGGGTAAGAGTTACGACTCAAATTCGAAGATATTCTATACTGCTCGAGTTCAGTCTGCGGGTGAACTACGGAAAAAAGCGCATACAATGCGTTTTGCCAAGACATCTTCATGGTTTGCGATTGGGTTTAAGTTAGTCGCTGCACTAAGTTTTCACCGCGTCAGGAGGAGGAGAACTGATAAAAAAGGTCAGGAGGGTTGTGAGGTTCGCTCTCAACTAAGTACATGTTTGGGTAAGCCTAAAAAACCTCCTACAATTCTAGCATGAGCTTGGTCCAATTACGCTCAAAGAACTAATAGGCACAAATCTGTTTACAAACTAATAAGATTAGCGAGGTATCTTAAGCAAAATCTCATATAGTGTTGCTCATTTTCACAACAGATGAACATTCAAATCCAGCACAACGCAATTATGTTACAGACACCACATAATTCGTGAGAAATGCTTATCTTCATTACAAAGTCTGTGGCATCAGTGCATACATGAAATGTATTCCAGGCGGAAGTGGGGAGGCCAGTAATAAAAGGTCTTCAAAACTCATGTACCTAGGTACTCCAATTCTCTCATTGTTCTATTTTCCCAACGGCATTTACACCACCCTAAGAGGAATAGGAACAGGTTCATTGTTCATAAAAACGGGTAGTATTCACGCTCCTGCTCTTTACGCAAGTCTACAGACCTTGAATCCGGTGCGATGATAATCATCCTCGGCGTGATCTCAAGCTGGAGTCTCGCATCAACACATCTATGTAGATTATAGGCAATCCAAAGCCGTGTAATTCTCAACAACTCTCGAGACGCATACGCGCATGCATATGCTTACTCTCTATCGACAGCCATGGCATTTGCCTTTCGCTTGCGGCGGGACCGCTGTACGCGGAGCCGATCTAAGTTCACTTGATCTCGATGGCGCACAAAGGCAGCTTTATCGGGGCACGAACCATCCGCTGGCCTCACGATAAGTGGCAAGATGTGTGCTTCATCGAGAAGCATGGGAACCTCGCTCAGCATGGCACGATATCGTCCGTTCGCTTTGCACCAGGCGATCAGATGGGTCAATGGTCCTGCATCCTCGCCCGTGATCTGGATTTCGACGCCGTGGGCAAGGGCAAGCAGCGGGTAATCCATGGTCTTGATCTCCGTGTAGTTCCAGCCTCGAGCAGAAAAGTCAACGGTGTCTAACCGGTCGCGCTGTTCGATCTTCAGCTTCCGGTCGTGAAGCTTGCGACCAGCTTCTTGGGCGCGCTTTAAGACCCGGATATGAGAAAACGACGATTTGAGACCAGAAAGCTGGCGCACCCAATTCACCGTATCGGCGATCTGGCCTTGATTCATACCCGCGCGGATCAACCGATCAAGGCACTCAGCGCGAATGATTAGCTGAGAGAAATATGCACAAATCTCGATCAGCGTGAGTTCAGTGGTACCGAGGTAGTTCATCTCCAGATTGTGGGGCGCCATGACTGCCGTCGTCCTCATGAAGGTCCGTCCAGTCTGGTACATGAGCTCGGTGGACGGCCCAAAGCCATTAATCTGCATGGCAAGCATCATAAACATCGGAATTGGGTGCTTTTTGTGCCTATCACAATAAGTCTTAGCTTCTCCAGACCGAACCTTCTGGACCGTAGGTTGGAATCGCATCGTTGGTGTCTTAGCCATATGTTCGATCCAGTCCCACGCATCCCCCAGGTCGACGATGTTCGACGGACATAGGATCTCGGATGTTAAGTCGCCGGGAGGCATTGTAGGCGGATTGCTGGGTAAGGTCCGAGGCACTTTGGATGTCTTAGTTCGTATTGTGGCTGATTCCAGAGGCAATTGCACACACTTAACCAGGTGTGGTGGTGCCGGATTGTTCGAAATGTCCTTCGGATCATTCCCTTCAACGGACCGCGTTCGAGCCACCGTCGCCTGCTGTTGCCCCAACCGGATCCGCTTGTTCGGCTGGGTGTCCACCTCGGAAGCCACTGGTGCTGGCTTGGGTAGTGGAACGGGGATCGCGCGAGGGGCTGGCTTCTGCGAAGGAGCCAAATTTGAAGAATGCACCATCGGTGTCGGTGCATACTCTCCATGGATCGAAGCGCTTATCACAGCTTTAAGATGGGCGAGCCCGCCCGGCGGTCCGTTCGACAGCCTTAGCCTCGTTGATTCAGTTAATCGACCATTTCCTTGGTCCGAGGCTTGACCATGGACCCACGGCCGCTCATAGGCAGGCATACCAGTGTTGGGGCTTGGCGTACCATTTAGGTGCCACGGCGTGGAAAATGTGGACATACCCGAGTGGGTGTACGGCTGCTGAGAAAACGTTTCCTCGTCTTCGTAGCCTGCCCAATAGGGGGAACCCCCTTTAGCATTATTCCGACGAGTGTGGTTGTACGAGTACGCTATATCCTGGAGACTCAACGGAGCATGGCTGGCTTGCGGTGGCTCTGCCGAAACTGGCTCGGCGAGGAATGGATACGTTGGCTGGGCATCTCGAAGTTGCGGATCCAACAAGTGGTCAGGAATCGCGGTAATAGGGCGTTGGTAGTTCGTGGACAAATACCAATCCAAGTATGTATTGGGATCGTACATTGCGGTTCGTGGAGCTTCTGGATGGGAATGAAAATCAGTGGTGATACGCTTTTCCTCGGAATCGCCACGCTCCACGTCGCGCATGTTGACATTCGCATATGTATAAGACGACTCAGTACCATGAGCCTCGAAGGATCCAGTCCGCATTGTCGCAGGTGTGTTAATCTCTCCTTGCGAAACAGATCCTGGAAGTGAATTCAGTGGCTCTGCGATTCCACCTGACCCACCATGGTGTGATATTGGCTTGTTAGCTGATGCGAGATCTGAATCTGCTCGAGGAAAGAATATATTCTCCCGGCGATACATATTCGTGAATCTGTTCCGAGGTAATTGTGATTGACGGGTGTCGTGGAGAAGTTCTCGTTTGTGTTGGGTTAGATGAGGAAAGGAATTATGATTATCGATTAGCTACTTTTTACCGCTCAGATGGGAAACGGTGAAAGCTCACAAGGCAATAGTTCGCCCAATACACGTGCACAATGTGCTTTCCTTCCGGTTTTGGAAAGCTTCAGCCAGCGCTAGTCTCAAGGCAAAGGGAAAGGGTCCAAGAGACGGTGAAGTATTATTTCGGGAAAATATGCTTAGCGTATTTGCAGCGGGGTTAGTGTTCCATACGCATTATTTCAGGAGCAAAAGGATCACAATCCTTCTGCTCTTTCAGTTATGAGGCCTTATATATCCGCTAACACATTACTATGACGATCTTTCAACACAGATGGGTAATGATATTTGGGAACTTAATGGCCTCGTTTATACGAAGTCAAGAAACCTGATATATGATTAAAGCATGCCTGGACAATGAGAAGGATGATTGCCTCAAGCGTCACGTGGAAGCCGTGTGGTACGCAGTCCCTGTCACGGTGGGCAATCTGATCATTATCCAAAGTCGTTTGGCCAAAGCTCAAACAGGAGCCCGTAGTCAGGTTCATGAAATGCTCAGATTTTCAACATGCGTGATTGATATCACGCGAACCGAGATCATCCTACTACGTATGTATGTCAATTGGCCCTTCATCCCACGCCGCACCACAAAAATTCGTCGCTCGCAGATAAACTATCCTTCACAGTGCGAGATTAAAGCTTGACATCTTAGAGGTTTTGAGTCGCGCCATTCCACCAATCTCTCGCTTATCGATTCATGTTTGACCCGTTTTCGGCAAATTTTGCGATATTCTTACACAATACGAGGCAATGGTCCTCGCCATCGGATATTCGTTTCAGTTAATGGCTTTACAATGCGCCCTTGAAAATCGCGACGTGATCTCACGGAGTTACTGTTAGCCATCATGAGCGATCTTATATATGTTCCCCCTTAAGTCCTTTTCACTAGTACATCAGTCACCTTTAAGTCAAATTAGTTTGTAGTACTTGCAACATGACAACAGCACCGCAACCCGTTCGCCTAATCCTCCACACAACCGCCTCAGGAATGGCTTCCCCACATCATTCCGCACCCTTAACGTACGACACGCTATTGTGTATCCTTGGCGACGCCCACCGCCATACGGAGGAGCAGTACGCCGGAAAGCCGGATCTGTTGGACCAACTGAAGTTCAACATTGTGAACGCGATAGAAGAATGCTACAACGTCACTCGCGAGCGTGGCTTGCAGCAGATTCTTCAGGGATATATCAACAGCGAGCGAATCACCATAGACGCGTGGAATAAGCATCGTCTGGGAAAAGCGGCGTACCGTCTCAAAGGCTTCGCAGTCTCATTCGACGCCGAGTTGGAGCCTTATCGCGAAGAAGATAATGTCATTGAAGTTGACCCCTCTTTTCCCATTCGGCTCGCGGCCCGACGACACTGGGTCGCCTTCAAGCAGCCTACGCCTGTTTACCAGGTATCCGGCCATACCACTGGCAAACAAGGCGCGGATGGAGCGATGCCAGTGCATTTCGATACCCTCTCGCCCCCTCCTAAGAAGACAAAGACACTCAAGCCCGGCCGAGGAAGTGAGCACCACGATAAACTTCTCGATTCTCCTTCTCCTAACCTCCATTTCCCACATGGCAGCATTACCGTCGCGGAAATTGCGTGCTTTCTACCCCAGTGGTATAAGTCATGGGACGTCATCGATCGCGCTATAAGCAATGGAGGTACAGCAGCGATTATTGCTCGCCTCATAAACACCTGCCGCGATATGCCAAATGGAAAGATCACATCCAATACAATGTATCGGATGATGAAAACCTCGATCGAAAAGCGTGCACTACAGGATGAAGCGTACAAAGGCTGGTGTGTGAGTTCTCATGTCGTGCCAGAAGACTGGGATGCAACTAGCGTTTCTGTCGCTGGTTTTAGAATACCCTACCAGACGCATCCTTTCGTCGTCAATCGCAACAAGTCCCCAGATCCGGTCCCATTCAAGGACCTCACAGTCGGCGTAAAGCAGATGCCGACTGGCTTCGATGCGTTGGATCTTACTCGCTGCGTCAAGTATCACCTCGAGCATGATGGAGAGGAGTGGAACTTTCCAGATGACTTCGAGGCGCTCATCAACGTTTTGGGTGGCCCGACTCCCTTACATCCGGAGCATTACGATAATGCTGTCTTCAACCGTTGGAGTACGACTTCCTCTCGGTGTGCAACAGTCAACATGTTCCGTCTCCCCCGCGATACTCATGGTCGATTGTTGAAACCCACTCATGACGAGATCGAAGGAGACTTCACCGACCATGAGGAATCTGACGAGGGCGTAGATTACGATGAGCTCGATGGTGATAGTGGCTCGGATACCGGCCTGCGACACTCACAGCGTGTCCGAGCAACCAAACGTGTTCGTATTCTTTCTCCTGAAGATTCGGATGACAGCCCTCTTGCCAAACGTCGTCGACTTCATCCAACAGCCGCTCGTCGCGTCCGAGCTAACGTAGACGAACCAGAGTCTAGTGCTGAAGACCCATCGTTCAAGGGTTCTAAGCGTGCTCAAACGGCCGGCCGTAAGATGCGTCGTGAGTCATCCGGTCGTCGGTCAGCTCGATTCTCTGGATCTTATCGGGTCGGCGATGGCCGAGACGAGGAGATGGACGATGGTTCTGAGGTCCTGACAGAGGACGAGTCGTATGACAGCGCCTAAGTTGAGGTTCCCCCGCCGTCCGTCTGTACGAGGCGTGTTCCTTAGACACCTGGCATTTTGACTCAGACTGTGTACAACCTGCTATTTACAACTGTTCTGTTGAAGTATTTCTCCTCGGGTCCGGGGGGGTGCAGATTGTTGCTGGATGCCAGACGATAGAAGAGTCATACAAAACATGGCGTAGAAGCGAAGCCGCTGCTGACGTGATGTTTTGTTGCGGTGAAGTCCACTTGAGGCCCAGGCCACATTTCGACTAACTTCACTCGACTGCAACAATAATCTATTCAGGCGCGAATGAGAGACCTCTTACTATGCTCCTTCACTAAGACATCGACTTCAAATAAGCCATGTGACTTATTGAGCTAACCTATTACGAATGTTGCGTCCTAATCCTTTACTGCCTCGCCCTCGTCACAATCTGTCGTATAGCGCGATGCTTCCGCACTCCAGGTTCGCCCAAAGGGTGCTAAAAGATTCGGATCACCTTGATCATTCTATACCGTATGCGGATGTTTCCCCTCCTCCATTTCGATGCGCTCCCCTCCCTGTCTTTCATCCGAACCATCACCAATTAGCGGATTCAACAATCCAATTATCCTTCACCAGGCTACCAGGACTTTGCGGATCCAGGATGATAGCCTTGGCCGTCGCATTTCTTCTCCATTGCCATTCCAAGTACGCAACTGCGGCCTTGCCGAACTTGCCACCGTTAGTAGCTGGATATGTGCCAAGGTGTCCTGGCAACACATTAGCTGAGTTTCTGCCCGTTGAAGGCTGTCGGGGGTGACTCCTCAGAGCCAAAATGGGACATGTGGATGTTCAGCAAAATTTGCATACCGGTGTCGAGGTTCGCGCGGAGCCTGGGAAGACCGGCGTTGAGCAGTGCATAGTCTTTGGCAGACTGTGAATCGTCGTTAGTGTACCAAATAAGTCGCCACGACCCTTCCAAGCACTTTATGAAGGCTTTCGCTTTACCAACTTGACTGGATGCTTACCGTGTTGTAGCCCATATCGGTCTTGCCTCCGATGAAATACGCTACCGGGACCTTGATCTCCTGCAGCAGATACCTACGATCATCCTGAAAGATCGCGATATTGAACATCATAATCCTCTTCACCCTATCATCATGGTACGCCGTACTCATCGCCTCCAGCCCACCGCAGCTATGCCCAGCCGTCGTAATCTTCTTCGAATCGACGTTGCCATATTTGCTCGCCTTCCCGGCCATCACCCAATCCAGCGAATCCCGCATATCCTGCACCTTAGTCTGCTCAGTCGTGCTCCCGTTCGGCGTGCCATCCGCCGCAATCACATAGCCGTAACTGGCTATCTCCACCAGGAAGTTCTCGTACTGAGTTGCGTTAAGTCTGCATGCGCCGTTGCCCCACGCGATGAAGGGCATGGAAAGCTTGCAGTCGGGTGGAACCTTGGGCGCGAAAATAGTGTGACCGGGGAGGGAGGAGTCGGTGAGCATCTGCGCTGGGTACGGGCCGCTGCCACAGGTCTTTTCACCGGGGCCTTTCGGCAATTCGGTACCGTTGCCGTCGCCGTAGGGAGCGTAATTTCCGACTTCGCTGAGCGGGATGCTGAAAATGCCGCCACCATAGTCGCCGTCGCCTGTTGCGGGGAAGTTTCCTGGTGAGGGGACGAAAGAAGGTTGCGGGAGCGCAATGCTAAGAGCAGACGCTATTAGGCCGAGTAGTAGAAGACTGTAAGCATACATCATCATCGCGATGGAGAACGTGCTGATTCGAGTAGTTTCAGCGAACAGGCACGTAGGCTTATAGTGGGAGTTTATGTCCCGACGGAAGTGCGGGCTCTGAGCGTTCTTCCGAATAATCCTTCTCGCATGGATAACCTTTCTAGGCTAGTGACTTAAAATGAGAGAAAATCAATCAACCAATCCTTCGCCCAGGGGTTCGGCGACATTACCCCAGTAGACTAGCGATCGGCGATCAGATTACTAATACAACTTTTAAATATACCTGGTATCTTCGCAAAATACCCGGCCAATTCCTCCGATTTCCAGATCTCGGATCCAAAAGCTGCACTGAGGCAGGCGCCGGAAAGGGTTTCGAACTCACTCACATCTTCACTATCGGGAATATAATCGCCTTTCAGTGCCAATATTTTGGATGAGTTCGTTAACATTGTTATTCTCTCCCACCACTTCCATCCGGTCAGCGAAGGGGCGATCTAAGCTCGTTCCAGGAAACAGCTCAGATCGGGTCGCACACTGGCGGAAACTGGCCTACCGAGGACCGCCTTAGCAAGATATGAGTTCATTCATTCATCTTCAAGCCGACCGACTTCACATAACCTTAGAAGGTATCGACGGAGGGAGTTTGCTCAACACTCCGACACGACCCCCATAAGAATAACCGAATGTAGCGCCTGCCTATCCAGCGGATTCTCCCCCTCAATCACCCTCTCCAAAACCTGATGGCTACAGTGCTCGATATGCGCATAACCTCCTTTCCCATCCCACCTAAACTTGCCCTCCCTCGCCCGCTCAAGCCGCCTTAACATAAACACGCAGTGCGCCAGATGCTCCTCCTGCGTTGTGTACGTCTTCATGCCCACGCGCTGCGACAACTCTTCTTCGCTAGCCACACGGTCTGAAGTATCGTTCGAGCGGAAGAATGGGAAGGCGCCGAATCGTAAGGTGGGGGTGTGGAGGAAGGTCCGGAATTCGGAGGCGGTGGCGCTATCATAGCACTGGGGCGGGACCCAGTTGTAGCCCAGGGGATCGAAGACGCAGCCCGCTTCTTTCGCAGATGTTGATGTGTTGCCACATTTTACGGATGTTGGAGCGGCTGGAGTTGGTGAAGGGCGAATGGAGAGGCTGATGGACACTAGGACGAGGAGGACGAGCAAGAGAGCGGTTTGGATAATGCTGAGTATCGTCGTGGTGTGCGGTGTTCGCCGTCGTCCCAAGCTCCTGGATATCGCGGAGCTGAGTGGGTCTTCGGATTCTAGGGATTTCCTCTCTGAGCCGTTCTCATCGTCTCCTGGGACCACAGCGTAGCGCTGAGATGTTGATGACATCGTTGCGAATCCCATTTTTCACATAAGCGGCAGTGCAAATTGTTGAGTTGAGCGACAGAGGTTTTCCATTAGAAGCCTTGCCACTGTGTTGAGAAGTGTGATGAACTGCGGAATGCCCGTTTCGGAAGTTGGGTAGGTCAGCTCGCATTTTCCCAAGTAATGTCAGATATCTGACGCGAGTTTTCTGACAAGTCATTCAGATGACCGTACTGGTATATTCGTATGTGCGGTGACAAGATGATGCGTGTAAGATGCTTGCAGATGCTAGGGAGCAGAGAATCGATGTTGAAGTCCATTTTTTCGAAGTCTAGCGTGCGGTTTACCGCTGTGGCCTCTTGCCCGCGAAACTCTGCTTCTCATATGGGTATGGTCAGCGTGTAGCTGTTCCTTTCGAAGAAGTACATGTATATCCAAAACTAAATGTTAATATCGAGTGACTCAAGCCTAGACCACTGCTAAATGATGCATTTCGGAGTCCTTCCACAGCTTCCTTGACTCCCATGCCGCAACCATCGCCGGCAAAGCCCCCAACTGAATCACCCAGCCCGCGCCCCCATCTATCCCGAGACTCTTGAAAACTGCGAAGACAATGGCGCAGACGCCCGCCGCTATAAGTTGCGGAGAAGAAATTGCGACATTGTGCAATGCCATCACCGCCCCAGCTTCGAGCTGCGTGTCGTTCGCATCCCTTATGATAGCGCACTCGTCACCTATGATAGCGAACGGCGTGAATTGAGTGATGGAAAAGGATATCCCGATGTAAAAGGTAAATAAGAGGGACACGCGCCAGGTTGTGATAAAGAATGTGGATGCGAGAGTTAGGGCGTGGAAAATGTGAGAAAGGGACCAGACTTTGGAGATGTTGGGACTAAGTTGGGAGTTCTTGGTGCGCTTTCTGAGGACTTCTGCTGCCGATAAGTCTGGAGTTATGAAGGCGTGGATCGAGATACTGGTGAGGAGCGATGCGCATGCGAAGAGAAGGAAGCTTAGGGTGCCGATGCGGTTTGCTGTTTGGCGAATGGCGTCTTCGGCTGCAACATGTAGCGTTGCAAGATTTCGGGGTGCGACTGCGTTGCGTCAATATGTGGGCGCATAATAATATTAGACAGAGTGTTCCCTTACAGAGCTCACTGACGTAGGTAGAACCGTAGTATAGAAATGGGAACCAGGCCATCCAAGAGAAGAATTGGATGATGCAGACTTGGCGCATGCGTCTGGTCATGTTCGAGTATGCCGTCCGTACCTTGGTGCATAGATCCGGGAAGCCAGACGTCTTGGACCTAGGCACGACCGGCGAGTTGTGGGTTCTTTCCTCCCTACCAGCAACGCACCCTATGGCGACAGTGAACGTGAGGACGCATGCTGCAATCAAGCAGAGACACTGAAACTGTCCCCATGTAGCGATGCCGAGAGCCTGGGGTAGTGAGAAGAACCCGGTACCGTAGCCGATAATGTTCCCACATCCCACCCAGTAGCTCGCCCAGGCACTCGCTCGTCCCTGTTCCTCCTGTGGAAAGGACTCGACGATTAGGGCACGCATGCCCATTTGCAATGGCTGAATCCAGAAATTCAAGGCCCAAACGAGCACAAGGGCTGCCGCCACCGTGATCGAACTCTTTTCCTTCTCGTCGAGGATGAAAACAATGTCTAAAGACGAAACGAGTCGCTGAATTGCTGCAAGAAGAAGCATGCTTAACAAAGTGCCTATGGTTCCAAGTATGATGAAGGGTCTTCGCTGACCGTATCTGCTGCTGTAGTTGTCGCTGGTGATGCCCATGTAAGGCTGGACGAAGATGCCGCACAAAGGACCGGCCATCCATGCGAGTGCAGTGAGAGGTTCAGGAAGACCGAGAGAGAGGAGGTAAGGTGTGCCATTTGCAAGGACGACAGACCATATCACTTGGAGCCTGAGCCGTTGTCAGTCGGGGAAGGAAATGAACGATGGGGAGCTGTACCCTCCACTGATACTTGTTACTGCATAGAGAGTCCAATTGCTCTTCGGGGCCGCTGGGATGTGGTTGGCTTCTGGGGCCATGTCTGTTTTCGCTCGAGTTTGAGGACGAAGTGCTTCTGAAGATTGCGTTTGGGGTGGTGCGGGATTTGTCATACCCAAATGTACGGAATCTGTGACCATGGTTGCGCGCCATGGAATCTGACATGCGTGACCTGCTTCTGACGCACATTCCGAAACCATCTTACCACGTCTGAATTTCGACGGATTCGTATTTTCACGCACCAGACATCCCATCCCTAGCAACTTGCCCCTAGGATGCGGCTTCTCCTCCTTTCTCTCGCCAGCCACGGCTATGCGACATCGCAGCAATGTGGTGTATCAGACTCCCCTACATTGACATACGAAACCCAAAAAGATGTTTTAAGGTTATATCCACCTCTCTCGCAGGTTGCGATGCTCTCGCATGGTCGCATCGGCACGAGCGAGTTCGCGGAACGAACGATTTGGGCCACTATCGAACGAATACCGCGCTTTTCCCTATTCGCAGCGCTACTGAACGAGCACCACGACATCCGAGCGAGACTGAATAGCACGCATCAAATGTCGACTCTTTTCATACCAACAAACGACGCCATTGTGTCGAATACCGACTTCTCGCGTTCGGGACCGCATGAGCGGTGCCACGGGACGCTAGAGTACCATATAGTGCCGTGGCCTTTGAGCACCACGAACTTATTCTGCACGCCAACGCTGCCTACTCAATTTCATCCGAACAGTGTCAACGGACCACAGCGGCTAAAAGTCGATATCCGGTTCACTGGACCGATTATTGATGGTCGCGCTAAAGTCGAATATCCCGATATCGCGGCTTCGAATGGATATATACACGCAATCGACACAGTGCTGCAACCACCCTCCCTATCGACGCTTTCCTCGATTATGCACATGCCGAAAGCTCAGTTTGGCACTTTCATACGCGCACTTCATCACTCAGGCATTATTACTGAGGTGAACGGTATGCAAAGCTCCGGCTTAACGGCATTCGCACCTTCAAACCGCGCATTTGATGAACTGGGAGAGGAACGGATACGGCACCTCTTCACGCCAGAAGGCCGGGGAGAGCTGAAAATGATCGTTGCGTCACACTTTGTATTGAACAAGACCTTGTATTCAAACGCATACTACGGTCCCAGAATTCCTCCTGTGGGCGTTTTCGGAGATGGCGGAGGAGTTGGTCGTGGCCGATCACTCCAGCATTTGGAGGTGAATCTTTGCGCGCGTGGAACACGTCACTTCAAGCTAGAGACTCTTCAGCCTGACGTTTCGCATAAAGTGACGGTTTTCAGGTTCGCAAGGCTCATTGAGATGGCGATTGACGATTTCACGTTTGTTGCTCATAAGGATATCGTTGCGAAGGATGGTGTGCTGCATGTAGTTCACCGCCTTCTCTCAAGGTGAAACATTCATTATGACGGCGCTTAAATGGTTGCGTGTCGTACAGAATTGATGCGTAAGTTTGATGGCAGCGTGCATGCTAGGTCAGCGGGATGCATGCCTGCTCCTAATTATTCTCCACGCATCTTTATTAAAATAAAGCGGATTTGACCAGGACCGTACAAATCCAGTTGCGTGGAGATGCAAGCCAAAACGTTCCTGGCATAAACGTTCGTGCTCTTCGGACACCGACGATTACAGGGATAGATGCTGTTCTATCTACCCGCCTTTCCTTATCCAATGGCCGGGACCTCCCATCATTTGATAGCAACGTGACCTCTCCCAAAGTTCTGTTCGTGGAAATATGCTCTTGTCGAGATTGCTGATGTACTGGAAACTTTCGTCATCGCGATGTTGATGGATTTGGCGGACCGGATTGAACTGTGGTCGCGTCGTTTGATGCGGTTCCTCATAAGTGGAAAATGGTGCAAGACTTGGAATGGAAGGTGCGATTCCGTCTCGCGATAAGCAACATGGCTTAGTGATGGGCGGGGTAGATCCTCCGCATCCATGGAAGCATTGTGCCGCTGCGCTTCTTGCGGGTAAGCTTAATCTCGGCCAATCAATTCGAGTTCTACGAATATCAAGCTTTATTTTACCCTCAAGCCGAGAGATCCGTCCAATTCTACGGTTCATCCGCCAGATCCTTCTTTTGATCCTTTAAATCCTCCTGGATGCACCTCAGGTGAGATGGCTTCGAGATTTCCAATGAGCTTTGCCGCATGAATACCAGAACGGTTGGCGTAGGATTTCTTGCGCCGAATGCAATCTGTATATGTATAGTTTGGGGCCAAAAACTTACTAGACGGCGGTGTACGCGAGACTGGAGTTCGAGTATCGGGGCTTTGGTTGAGGAGTAGTGTATGAGGCCTCGGCTTTGCAAGCCATTCTCGCAATCATTACCCGTGCAGAGTACGCCGTGTGCGCTCTGGGTCCCATGTAAAAGAGAGGCGCAGCTCTGTCTTAGTTCGAGCTATGCTGTCGGCGCCCCATCTTTAAGGTGCACATCATGGACGCTGATGATTGGCGTTACGTTAGCGATTCGCAGGACCGGAAGAAGATACAGAATCGACTGGCGCAGCGAAGACGACGTGAGCACTACACCTACCGGCTATCGCACAAAAGAGCTGATCGCTTTGAAGGACAACGCCTGAAGATGGGCCATTGCGACGGTGACAAAGCTCCGCGCAGCAGGACTGGAAGTCCTGTGAGTGATAATAGCGGAAGGTGGGAGACAAACCTGGCAACTGTAACGAAAACAGAAGCTGATCATATTCTTGCGCAAACCAGACGTTCAACCCTAGACTCCGGTAACACCAACCATCACACAAATCCCGCCCAAATCAGTACAACGAGCCGGGACGAACCAAAATCCACAAGGGTACAGCAAGAGCATTATCCTTTGGATGGGTTAAACGACAGCCGTGGCCTTCTCACGTTGCCCCATCTTGACCTTGATGACTTCGCCGATCCCTCCTTCATCATAGACGAGTCTCCAGACCCCTATGCCTTTTCCGCGACTGCATTGAACACCCTTGTGAATATGACATGTTCGACTCCAGTAACACGGGACGGTTCCAGGCCGTCTGCAATCGATCAATATTTTCCTTTGGCTACGACACCCCACATCGCAACCAGAGACGACCTCTCGGACGGAAACATTACCGGGGATGAATTGTTCTCACCGAGACACCGAGGCGCATACTCAACACGCGACCGAAAACTCGTTCAACGCAACTTCGATCCCAAGGATCGCTCTTCTGTACCCGAAGAAGCAAAGATGGAAGATGTCCAACAGCGCATCTACAAATTGAGAAACGCGCTCCCGAATTCCATGGGTCGCTCAAATGATTCAAACGACGACTGCGCGCGCTTCAGCCATATATTTAAGGCTATGAAAGCCGCCGGCTTCTCCACATTCGACCAAATGGCCGCAAGTTACTACACTGCCAACTTCGCCCGCTCCTCAGCTGCATACGACATGCAACGCCAAAGCCGCATCCGGAATCTTCGAAGCTTTCTCTCCACCATAAAATCTGAAGCCAAGTCGTGGGGTACACGAGAGCGGCGAGGCTGGACCGAGGAAATCATCGATGCTGCGGAGGAACTGCATGCTGAGGAGGTACAGAAACTACTGAAGGGAATGAAGACAGGGAGTATAAGAGATGTTAGGCAGAACGGGAATAGTACAGCAGCGCAGAAAGCCTTCTTTCAAGAAGAGTTACCGGACCTTTGGTCGTTATTCAGCCAGATTGTGGCTGCTTCGGGATTGGAACAGCCGTATTCTTCTAAGATCGTCTTGTCTGCACTGCAGGTTTTGATAGGGTCCGGCTGCACTAGATAGAGTAGCAAAAATGACGAATAATAGCACGTAAAGCCTGCTCCTCAGTGATATTATTGGTGACCTGACCGCTAGCGGGGATATTCTGATCCACGGTGACTTTCTGACATGTGTCTGTCATACAGACGCTATCTCTGACATTGTGATAATGTGTACGCGGGTGTGCCAACATGCGCAGCCATGTTCGGGGGCCCTCATCGCGCCCCGCCAACGCTCCCGTTCATCGTACAATGAATTTCTTCCGCCGGCCTAGGTCCCCGGTGTACGCACCTCTCGACGGCAAGGACGTCGAAGGCATATTGAATGCTAAAACGAACACTCCACACTCCGTTCGCGTATGGAATACGCTTCTAATATCCGTCGTCTCTTTACTTGCCCTTGTCTCTACGTTCTCTCTAGGAAGATGGAGCGTATACGAACATGATTCTCATTATCCAATCCAACGTATGTTTGTCCCCTTCCTCAGAATAAAGCCATTTCTAATCCCACGGCAGTTCCCACAGTCATCACAACCTTTCAATACACCTCCAAGTCCGCAGCCCGGCCATCCAATGCTTCAGATGCGGCTTGGTCCTCACTGTACCCAAAGGGTGGCACCTTCTTTTCCCACGCACCCGAGGTCCCCACCCGCTCCACGCTCTCCGTATTCCACCAACTCCACTGCCTAGACGCGATCCGGCAGGCTTATTACCTCGCTTACGACGCCGCTACTGCCGGTGATCAGCTCGGCAAAGACGATGTCCCTGAAATGGTCGAAGAAGTGCACATCAGGCATTGTGTGGAGCTTCTAAGGGTGAGCCTCATGTGTGTGGCAGATCGCACGATTGAGAAGAAAAATGAGATGGGTGGTGTGACGGGATTCGGCACCGAGCATAAGTGCGCTGATTATGATGGGTTGGTGAGGACGATTGAGAAGTGGCATCGGGAGAATGGGGATGATATGGCGAAGGAGAGCGGGCATGCGCATCATAATCATCATGATGCATCGCATTGAATAGACTATATGCATCATTTGGACTGGCGTATAGCGTCCCGAACTGAGATACTCCCGCACACAAAGCACGTTTCTCACTACCCTTGAACGCCCAGTCAACTCTCCTTTCTCAGCCTGCATATGCCTTGTTGGTACATCCGATAATTCGTCACTTACCTACAACAGAGTGTGATAGCAGCTATCGAAGATATTTGGGACAAGTGCCTTTGAGTAAAGGGAAGTGTCGGGGTCGGATGCCGATTTCTTCGCATCTAGAGAAAATTTCAAACTTTTGCAGTTTGATCCACAGTTACAACGCCTTCGAATTTCTGCTTGAACACCTAAACAACGCAGAGCTGACCAATTGATAGAGCCGTGCTGAGATGTGCGTATTACATTCTGAGATGTGCGCACTTTGATCAGCGGGGTACCCAAAGGTCACGCAGCAAACAGCACGCAGTGCGCAGGATACAGCATTGAGGCCGAGAACACCCATGGGAGCATTGGGCGGCGCACACCGAGGCAAGAAATTCACAAGCAAACCCACGCGCACATGCAGAAGCAAGATTTTCATTTACCCCGCCATTTCCAAACACTAGCTCACTACAAGCCCATCTGATCATGAAAACCCCTTTTCCTTGTATCCCAATCTCAATCCCTCGTCCGCTTCAGATAACCTGACTCCACCCAAGTAGACGCTCGGTATAACTGCTACGAGAATTAGCTCAGAAAAGACCGCTACTTCGAAAGATCCTTACTAGTGAGTGTCGGTATCGGGGAAGGGGCTCGTGATGAAATCTTTAACCACTCTCCTCACGCTTGTCCCAATACTGAACAACAGCCGCTTCGGCGGCTTCGGCGGGCTCACGCTTGTCCCAGTATTGAACAACGGCAGGTTCGGCAGCCTCGGCGGGCTCACGCTTGTCCCAGTATTGGACAACAGCAGGTTCGGCAGCTTCGGCGGGCTCACGCTTGTCCCAGTATTGAACAACGGCAGGTTCGGCAGCCTCGGCGGGCTCACGCTTGTCCCAGTATTGGACAACGGCAGCTTCGTCACGGCCCTCGAGCTTAGCGGGTATGACGGCAGCGTGAATGGTGGCCGAGGCGCCTAAAAGGCCGAGAATGGCGGAGAGTGTCTTCATGTTGCGGGAAAGGGCGATTTTTGGTGTGCGTAGTTGAGATATGGAAGAAAAGAGGCAATGAGCTGCTGAACGCTTTCCAATGGAACGATACCTGGGTAAGTATATGCCCACATTATAGCAGAATCGTATCATTGAATCCTTGCACTGTCACTCTACACTTTGGAACCATGACTGTCAGCGCTACCTTACCAAGTCAATAAAGTCAAGCTCATAGATTAGTCCGTGGTCAGATTCACTTGCTTGTCACCTCTATCGTACAATGTTATACCAATTGGTCAGCTCTCAGATACAGGGTCAGATGTCAGATGTTACGAAAAGATGCAGTGTAGCGGAGAAGCAAGCGAGGCACCGCTCACAAGTGGTGAAAGACGCAGAGTGCATCCGCATGTACGGACACGAACACTTGTACTGAAAGGGAAGAAAGACTAAGACGTCAGTCGAGCAAGCTTGACGACCTCGGAAGCGAAGAATAATTCGTCTTCACATATTTGGGTTACCAGTAGCATGCCCCACACGTGAGTACAGAAGATGCGTGGAGAGTAATCGTTGACCCCTCCACTTTCTACTCCAGTCCCTATGCAGGAAAGTCGTCGAGTTCCTTTTCACCACCCTTCTTAAAAATATGCTTATGTACAGGTTTGGCATTACTTTTCGCCCACGCTAAAACCTCCTCCGGATCCCTACACTTGTGGCTAGTACTGAAATAAGGGCTCGGCGTCGCTGTTTTCTTCGTCCAGTGAAACACTACCAATCCCGTATCGGAATGACACATCAAAACTTGTCGAATGATGTCGATGCAGTGATCCGTATGCTCGCGAAGATGGTACTTGTTCGATTTGTGCCAGAATGGATCGATCTCCTTGTAGTGGTCCAGGTGGGTCCACTTTCGCAAGACGTTGAGGCAGTGAAGATGGTGGAACATTTCCAGGGATGACATGTAACCGCCGCCTCCATTGTCCTCTTCGAGCTCAATAGCGGTCGATTGTGAGTAGTCGTTCTGGGATCGGTGCAGCTCCGAAGCGGTTGCGCCCAGGAGGAGAGGCGTCCCTGACATCCATTCTATTTCGCGTCGATTAGCTTTTTGTCACATGATGACGGAGCGAGGGTTGAGAACTTGCCATAGTCGGTAAACCGGTCCCACTCAGCATCCAGCTCCTGGCTCGGTGGGCCTCTGTACTTGTTGGTGGAATATAATGATCCGTTAAAGCGTGTCCATACGGCACTTAAGTGGTTGATATCGTCCGCTGGCGATCGCTCGTTAGATTCAGACTCACACCATGCCATGTCGGTTTTGGTACCTACTCCATATTGGCGAACTCGCGATATTGCTGTTGTCGTGGTTGAAGCAGTTAAGATTGGGCTTGGAGGAATACCAGCGTATTGCGAGTAGTGATAAAGCCAGACCCGCTCCGAGACCAACGACGAAGGTTGCGAACAGCGTGAGAAGGATTGTAGGTGAAGCGCGCAGAGGCGGTCTTCTCAATTCTGAATCGTGCAGCGTTAAGTCGGAGGCATCCTCCATCCATTTGCTCTCTTCCGGTGGGAGCGACGTGTAATCGGAAGGACCTTTCATGGTGCAATGGTGCTCCCAAAGTGGCCTGAACGAGAAATCACTCCTTGCAGACAGATAAACACGGAAACAGTGGAGGCCGTTTCCGGGATAGCGTAATCTGTCAGAGTCAGAGTCAGACTGTGTGACCGGTCATAACTCAACACCTGGGGAAGCACAGGCGAAGGCATCTAGGGTGGCTGAGGCCATGGCCACTGCCTCTTCGAATCGTGCTCACAGGAAAGTGGTACAGGCGTGATCCGGGGAGGGTTGACGGTGATTTCAGCTTTCTACGACCGCCATTCAAGCGCATTCCACTCCACAAAATATCGCTAACTGCCAATAGATAAGATTCATTCTGTAGCCGCCGAGTGATACAGTAACATTTTGCACGCAAGTCTGCGCCGAGTCGCTCCATCTGCATCGATTCAATATCCACACCTCCAGGGCGCTCAATAATAACCACAACTCGTAAACCCCATAGTGACCTTCACCCGTTCACATCGTCCCTCATTGCAATCCTCTATTTCATGTAGCCAATCCTGCATCAGTACCTGCCCACAATGAATCGTATGCTCGAAGCTCATCACCTTGTTATCCAACGGTAAGTGCTTCAAAAGCGCTTCGTGCATCTTGCTCAACATGAAGGCGCAGTGCACGGGGTGCTGCTCCTTCGTTGAGAAGGCTTCAGACCAGTCGCCAGCATAGATCTCTTCCTGTGGGATGAGGGTTTCGGTGGAGAAATCGCGCGAGGTGTAATACGTGATGTTCGAGCGTGCGCGGAACGACTCTAAGAGGTCTTCGTGGTAGCAGGCGGGTGGGACGAATGAGTAGGATAGGTTATCGAAGATGCAGCCTTTCGTGCGAGCTTCCGATATGCTGGAACCGCAGTCGCCGAATTCTCTACCTCGCGGTGCGATTCGTAGTGCTGAAGTGAGCCCATAGGCAATAAAGCCGGCAGCAGTCAGCCCTATCAATGTTGCGCCGAGAAGTATCTGTTTGCGTTTGATGATCCATAGCGTTCCTCGGCTAGGTGATGGTATCTTGGTGCATTTCTCATCGAGTAGTGTGGTGGTGCTTCCGGGATCAAGATCGTCGGGTAGCTGGTCGCTGGAAGGAAACCGTGAGTAGTCGGACGGTGACGCCATCGGACAAGCTTTTGACAAGCGAAATTAAAAGTCTAAAGCTATTCAGTAATGTGACATCTCTCAACAGAAGGTACACATACGGTGGGGCAGTAATAACACCGAAGTTCTGTGAACTAAACGGGGACGAGCCGATCGGTTGAGAGATCCCCGCTCGTGGAAAGCTCAAAAGACCTGCAGGTATGCTAGAGGGTACCCAAAATTCAAGAAACGATGTTGCGCAAAGCTTCTGACAGTCATGCGAACCTACGTGGGTCACTTTCTGACGCATGGCGACGTGACTGCCAAGACAGTCATCCTAACCCAACTCGGTAGTGCCGCCGGATGAGGATGCGCAGACATAGAGATATTCTGGCGTTTTGGAAATTCCCATCTTCTGTCCAGCTGCGCGTACATTTTCTGCAGCAACGCAGCTCGGAGTAATGGCGATTGAGTCACATTCCGAGAAATTCGTGCCCTGCATGCAATCCCCCCGATCGAGCGACGACGAGAGTCTGAGCAAAGAATCCCTAGAATTACTGGCTTTCGAATCGCCTTCATGGCGCAATGTCTCGTCATCGCAGTCGCCTTGGAAGAAAGTTCTCCTCGCCAACACTCTTTTGTTCTGCTCCTCTCTCGTCGTCCTCTCCGTCGCACTCTTCATGATCGACTCGTCCGCCCGTTCTTTCAGCCCGCAAGAGATAGCCTGGTCTCCAGTTCTCGATGCAGTACGGGTGCACACATTGAAATTCAACGAAACGTTCGGCTTCCCGTCCACATATCCATCCAAATTCCAAGGCGCACCTAGCGAGGACGTTGATAGGGAATGGGAACGATTTACCAAACATCCGATGCTCGACGGGAGATCCGGGCGCTTAGGGGTGCCGCTCTCTGTGATTAAGCAATCACCCAAGGCGGCAGATGCGGACTGGGTGGCTTCAGCGGTCGAATTGGGAGAGGACAGGTACATGGCGAATCTTGAAGTTTTCCACACAGCACACTGTCTGAATATGCTGCGCAAGATGATCTATCCGGAGTATTACGGAGTGTATGGAGCAGCAGAAAGGGGACATCTGGAACACTGCGTTGAGACGATCAGACAGGCGCTGATGTGCAATATGGGGATGGGTCTTGTGACGTTCCATTGGGTTGAGGGATTGGAAGAGCCATATTCGGATTATAACACGTACCATCAGTGTAGGGATCCAGACGCGGTCTTGGACTGGGCTGTGCGGAATGCGGTACCGGTGTCTGCTGGAGGGATGAAGCGACATGGTGGAGTAAAAGAGCTACACACACATCCAGATTAAGCCGCATGCAAATTCGAAGATCAAGTACGATGTGATGACCCATGTGGTCATTAAACGGAAGTGAATGCGTGACAAGTTTAGAAGGCATGCATGGACGCTACGTGAAGGCCACGTACCTTGGATGACTACTCCTGCCCCGCCTCGATGCTAGGCTGTCAGTGGCTGCTCAACATCAAAGTAGCACAGATTCATGAAGCTTTCAAGCCCCTCGCATTCCTATCATATTATTCAAAAAGGCTCTCTTGGAATCTGCGCCCCGATGCCTGGCCTGCTCGACGTCCCGCGCGAGCTGCGTGACGCCATCCTCAGCCTCGCTCTCCAGCCGCGACAGAAGCTCCATCGCCCGATACCACTGGACATATCCGAAGTTGGCGCATGCTTCTGCACCGCCTCCTCACTACTGCTGGCCGGAATCGTAGGGGAAATGCCGAAGAACGGTTTTCACTCCGGACAGCGCTTTCTGCAGCCCTGGTGGCGTTGGTTCTTTGAGATGTAGCACCTGTATGGCTTTCCTCTGGGCGTCCATGCACCTCAAGAGGAGGAAGTCTTGCATGCAATCGCTACTCTGAAAGGCCCATGCGTTAACTTTGAATTGGAGGAAGACTGTCTCTTTGTATAACTGGCGGCATACACGGTGCAGCGGAGCTGTCGGCTCTTTCCTCAATTCTTCGCGTCGAAAAGGATTGGTGTTTTGCTTCCGCCTCAGATAGCGAAATTTGTACGAAGTCCGGCGCGCGACGGAGTCGACCACGATCGTGTTTCCTCCGATGGCGTATTCGCAGATGGCGAACTTCGGCGGAGAGACGGAGGGAAGGTGATTCTTGTGCGTTGCGATCCCATCTAAAGGTGTTCAGCGTAAGACACGTCTTGGAGCAGATTGCAACTTACGTCTTTGCCTGGGCAGGGGGGATCTTCCTCCTCAGGACATCACCGCGCCTTCTTTTGCTGCGTGGCATCTTAACGGATTTTGTTTTGAGCTATTGAACTAAAAACGCAGGAGGGGCACGCTTTTTTTCAGGTGTTTGCTTTTAGGCCGAATAGCGTTATACGGCGTCTGCTGTGCCGTGAACGCTAACCCTGACTAGGCAACGCTTCGCCCACCGAAGGCCTTGAAACCAGCCGGCCCTTTATTCAATTTGCTCTTCGTATTTAAAGGCTAAGAAATCCAGTAACCCTAGCTATCAACGTCGCTGCATTTTAAACCACCTCGACTAGTTACGCACAGTTCGCCTAGCGTGGACGACAAGTTCGGGACCGGCGTCCCTTCGTTCCTTCACTCCATACTATGGACTGCCTTTTCATAGATTTACACGACGCTAGCAAAGGCGGAAGCGCAATTTCACGGACAAAGCGACTACATCAGCTATACGTTTGTTATGCCAAGCAGACTAGTGCATGGCGTGCAAATGGGTCACGAACACAGCACTGAGAAGCAGCAGACCTTTATAACCTGCGCGGACTTGGCTGCCGGAACGATTGAGGTGGCGAATGGGGAGGGTGATAGGTGGGATATAAGGCATGTCAGTGTCGTGCTAAAGGATGGGAGAAACGCGAAAACTGAATCGCGACCCTCCGTATTTGTGGTTCTTCGTAGTGTTTGAGCGCTTGAAAGGACGCGTTTGGCGACAACGGGTCCTCTACGTGCTATCATTTAAGGCGAGCCACACTTCGATACACATCGAGAGGCGAATGGTTTGTCTCCTGGACAGCATACACTACTGGTCCTCCATGACGCGTTCGTTTGTCATGACCCTTTTCATCGTGCATGATATATGTTATGACGGAGTCCCGGATTCTCGTTCAGCACTACTTCATGTTCCATCGACGACCTTTCAAGATGAAAAAGCAGAAAATATCTTCCAACAGCAACAGCAATTCTCAGGCCACCAGCCTAGCCGAGCTTTGGGAATCATTTGATACGAGTGCCACGGTAGTGGGCGGCGAAATCGAGAGACTTGAACAGGAGATCGATAGAGCCAGGCTCCGTATTCCAGCGAATGAGAACAGCGACAATGACGAAGTCGTTCGAAGGAAGCTGGACATACTTCAGGGGGCTAAAGGAATACTTCCTCGCTCTCGGAGATTGTTTGCACGAGCGCAAGTGGAGGCTGGTAGATTTGAAAGGGCCGTTATGTCGCCGTCTGCACCTGTGCTTGGGGTCATTCCACCAAGGTGCCCGATGGATGATCTAATTGCTTCTGACGAGGGATTGGCGCAGGCTACTTCGGATGTTATGGGGTTGTAGACTACCTAGTAGCAGTATGCGATTTCTTGATGGTGGTCTATTGGGCAGGCTATCCTATAGTCAAGCGTTTCCAATCACGATGCATGGCTTACTTCGTTTGCATTGCTTTTTGCGGAACTATTTAAAGGACTTAAACGTGTTATTGCAGTGTCGTATGAGCTACAATTGGCTTTTTTAACCACTTCAGCCATCGTAAACGTCTAGAGATGATTGATGCTTCGCCTCCGGAAGGCATTTGCTACGCCAGCTCGTCACTGTGGTATGCTAAGTCACAATTGTTTGCTGCAGCGTTGTCGGGAACTTCCCGAAGTCGCTTGGGATCTTCGTTTGGTAAGGTCTTACACACAAATATCACTGGTCATATCACTCGTCATTCCGCCCAAGCCATGTTATCCAGGGCATATAACGTATATAATCCCACACTTCTTCCAAACAGAACCTGCTCATTGGCAATACAACACCATCCATTTCCTCACAAAATGACGCTCAACCAGACGAGACGACTTGGGCAGCCACACTGGGAGCATTCCCTCTTCTTGGAAGTCAACTCCCTCGCCTCGAAGACGGATGACTGGCTCAAGCAAATGAAAAATTGGCATCAAAAGATCGGGAAAGTACTCCAGGAGTGCGAAGCGACGGGGTGGAGGGCGATACACGCACGAAATATCGACGACTACAAGACCGCTAAGCGGAGGCTGAAGCGCGTCATTTATGCATTGAAGGGTTTGGAGAACGGAAGGGTGAAGGTGGGACATGGTGGGACGCAGGCGATCTTGGAGGGGTTGCGTAAGGGCCGTTTCTGATAATCTGTGTTCACGCGCAGCGAAGAGGGGGATTGGAGGTGGCCGGCGTGGTGACTTTCGGAAATGATACCAGAATACAGGAAGGTGGTTGTAGCAGTATCTATAGCCAGTAACATGACACTACCCCGACAAGTGCACAGTGGCTTCTTCAACAGCCTACGCGTATCGATATCAGACGCTATCAAGATCATATTAAGGCAGTTCAACCACCGTGGGAGAGTTTAAAAGCGACCAACATGTGCCTGCTAACGTAACCTGTATCAAGATAAGGTCCATGAGGATTACACCACGATTTCGGGCTGTATATTCGGGAGATCATATGCTGCTTAGCACAAGGTATTGGCGTATGTCAAGTTCACTCCCGTCTCCCTTTTGAGTCATTCTAATGATGATAGGGCGACTAGGGAAGCACCTGTGGCACGATTCGTGACGGTTTCAGTAGAGATTGAGTCTCCTTGTCGGATTACAAATGGCGCCTAAGGTATAACCCAAAATGGAACTGCTGAAGTAGGCGGAACGGTGAAGCTTGCGAGTGTTACCAGCTCACGGTGACTGCGTGAGCAGGTTTAAGCTCGATGTGATGGCAGCTACGCGTTCCCTCTTGCCTCGACTCTCACTAAGATCCTTCCTCTAAATGCCCCACAAGCAGGTGCCGGACCCACCTTTATGCATGCGCCTTCCAAAAAGGCGGCTGGAATTGTTTTACAATGTGTGACCACATACTTTCATTGACCGAACATCCACCTCCTACCTCAACAATTTTCACAATATCCCCAACCCCACGCTCCTTCACAGCTTTAGTATATCAGCAATGGCGTCATTTTATCCGAAATTTGTACCCTGTTATGTTTATCCGGTAAGTTTGCTTAACGACTACCCAGACGGTAGGATCTGATTGTTCGAGTCGCAGCAGGCCCTCCACAACCCCAACACCCATTCGCTCCTTTCTACCCACGTTTCCCACCTCAACTACTGCAGTTGATACGCCGCAGTCCGCGGCCGCACCCCAGCCTTCACAGCGGCCGTCACAGATGGACTTCAGCACACTAGCAACAGGAGGTCAGCCTTACAGTTACCCTCAAGGACAAGCACGCGAGTACCGTCCCACCTATGGCAGTTACGCTACAGCAGGTCGCCATGATAGTCACCTTATTCCGCCTCAGCGCTCATACATCTTCCGAAAGCAGCACCCTCTCTCAGCCCAGGCCCCGGCTACACTCGTTTTGTGGTTGACGCCGGCCCAAGTGCGACTGTACCTACAACTAGTTCAAAAAGCTGAGCAAAAGAAGGCCAAGGATCAAGAACAAGATACGCTGAAACAGTGGCACGCAGAATGGACGCAGAGCGAAGCAAGCTCCAACGCGCCGAGCCGGTTCGCCCCGCATCAGCTTGGCTGCTTCTCGAACCAGCGGGGATTGATCTAGCACGGCACCCAGAAGAGTCGGCCCTCGGTTTTCTCCGCCACGGTTCCTTCTTGAGAAAGGAATCGCGGGCTGATGCGCTGCAACCACTCCCGGTGAGAAGGGCAAAGGCCAGACCGCGGAATTTGCGGATGAGGGTACCTCCTGGCATTGGGCACGGGACGACGGAAAACCCGACGGTAATCAGGTCAGCTACGGGTAATACGGGCAGTGGTGTGCTAGGACCTCAGGCTCAACTTGTCACCGGACATCAACCTTCCTTCGGCAAGCCCTTGGAAATTCCGCCCAACAAGCGCAAGCGGTAGAGGAGCATATCACAATAGGTTTCCGAGATCAGATGGCTTCGGGCAGGCAAACGCATAGGCTCTATGAAACTGACGGCCATTGCCCGGTTGATTTACTGGACAACGCCCTCATTGTACTTTGGAGTCGGCTGCACACCCTGATATTGCTCCTATCTGTGGAAAAATGGCAGTCATCCCTCTACTTGTACCTATATAAAAGCATTGTTCAGATGCAGCGACCGCTCCAGCTGAGGCTAGGACCCTACATCCACGTAATTCACTTACCCCAACATTGTGGACCCAAAATACTCTTCCCTCCAACACCGTTCAGTAACATCCAACCCATCGTATTCACCACCACTTCGCTCATTCACGATGTCTCCCACTCTGCCCTGTATACAAAAGCTTCCCAAGTCCGCTCCTTGGGTAGAACAACATCTACACAACCACACTCGTTACACGATTCAAAATGTCGGATCTACTCTACGGTCGCTTCCCGACCCCAGCTGCTGTTGCCGAGAATGTCGAGCAGTCATCGGAGCATAACATGCCCCCTCGACTGGTGCAAGAGCTTGACGATTATGAGCAGCTAGCGAGTGATCCGGTAACCCCGCTGCTGGGTGGAGGTGTAGGCCCTCGCCATGTCGTCGACGAAGTCCCGCAAGATGTTATGGAGAGCATCATGCAGGAGCTCATCGCCGAAGGTCACCTCGAGCCCGAAAACAACCAGCCAACGGAAGTTCATACCCAACCGCCGACTGCCTATCCGACCGAACCAGTGCAGCAAGCACCAACATTTTCGGTAGAAGCTGCCGCGCCACAAGACGATGCCCACATTCTTTTCGCCCAGATCCCGGCATACGACTACACCTTCCACGACGCCCTCCCCATAAACTTCACAGCCGTCGAGATCATCGTCTTCCTCCCGAAATGGTTCCACAACCGATGGATCGCGCGCCGCCTCTGCAACAACAAGATGACCAACCCGATCCACCACGAGATTCTCAAAACCCACTGCTTCTTCGACGAGCGCTGGGACGGCGGCGGGGTCAGCCGGGGCGGGATCGCGAACGCGTATCTCGACGCGATGCGCGGGCACGACTGGAGGAACCTGAGCAAGGATGAGCAGAAGGACTTGTGGAATCGGAAGAATCACAGGACGCCTGCGGAGTGGGATAATCGCGATATTTCTATTAACGGCTTCGTGCCGGACCGGATCCGCGAGCGGAGTCGGCATCAGCAGCCGCCGTCGGTGCCGTTTAGGGAGCTGTTGAAGGCGGTGAAGAAGGTGCCGGAGGGGGATGATACGGCGGATTTGACGCGTGCGGTTCAGTGGGCGGTCGTGAACGAGTATGTGGATGAGCATGGTCGGAAGGCTGAGTATCTGTTTCCGGACCATCTTTCGTGGATCCTGAACAATATAGGTCGGACTCAGGTCACGAATCAGCAGCTGGACGGTGCGATCGTGCGTCGCTATGACAGCGTGGTTCGTGCAAAGGCGGACGCTGCGCGAATCGAGGCTCATCGCGCGGCTGAGGCGAGCACCGTTCCCTCTCCTTCTCCAGCTCCACCTCGTCTGCTGGGTTTGCGGCATGGAGTTTTGCCGTCTCAGTATCCCCTGATACCTGACTCACCGGATGAGCAGCACCGGCCTCTGCCACCTCAGTATCCACAGATCCCTGAGGTTCCAGATACGCAGCATACGTCTCAGTCTCCACAACCTGCCTTCGCTCAGGCGATGCAGCCATCTATCGTACAACAAGCGCCTGTTACTTTCTCAAACTTCCAGGCGCCAGGGCAGGTAGACATGTGGTACTCCTCGCCGCTACCCGCCTTCCCCGAGTTGCCCCCGATGCCACTATCCCTGATCCGCAACGAACCAGTTCCCGCGTTGAACGATGTCTCCGACTTGGCTACGGTGATCCGCTTCAGCCAGCGCCCCGAGCAACTGCACAACGACTGGTGTTGGGACATCAACCATCTCGACGCGATCGAACAAATCCTCAAGCAGGAGCAGGCGGAATTCGAGCAGCGCTTTAATCTCCATCCCATTCCGTTGGAGTTCCGCGGTTGGCAGCACCCTATCGACACCAGCGTGGAAGTCGAGCGTCACCCTCCTCTAACGTGGGATGAGATGCGTGAGTACACTCCTCAGCAACTTCTGCGGGAGTGTCGCGAGGCCGATGATTTGGAGGATGGCGGTGAGTTCGCCCGTGCGGCGCGGTTCGCTGGGCAGCCTGATCAGGTGGATACGGATTGGTATGTCGGGAATATACCGCTGATCATGGATCTGGAGTGGGTAGGGAAAGTGATGGGGCATGAGTACGTTCATCGGTAAGGGCAGACGGAATTCGATAGAGGCGTTGTCACCTGTCCATCAGGAGCGGTAGAGCCGGGGTTGTGTTCGGCTCCTGAGATGACTGATACTAGAGCATGGCAGAAACGATGACGAGATAGCATAAGTAACGTAATGCATTCAACATGAATAATGGCATTAAACGAAGAAGACGTGAATAAGCACGGGTATGTAAGTAATAGTGATGAAATAAGAGAAACAAACTGGCAGAGCCGAAGCGACTGGTCACAACATACCGATGAGAAATCCCGCGCCCAACCCCATAGATGCCGCCACGGCTCCCACAGCCCAGACACCAGCCACGATCTCCACTCGTCCTGCACCGCCCAAAGCCGGGGTATTTCCAGCCTCACTCGCTGTCGTACTGCTTCCCGCCATCACAGTCATCGCCGCCTGTGTCACCTGGACCTGAATACCTTTCAAAATCGACGTCGCGGATGGTGCATATGAAGTTGCGGCGAACGAGCACTGGCTCATAGCGCTGCTGAGATCTGCTTCACGTGTCAATTATTCACGGTCGCATGAGAGTCGGGATCGGGATACAGACCTTGTGCCAGTACAAAGTTGCTCAAGAAGCCGACCTCAGTAATCGACCGTTGGCTTGTCTGCCCGTCCTGCTGCCCCATGCAGCTCGCGCATAGGCCCATGACAGCGCCGACATCAAAGGACCTGTTGTTGCAGACGCAGTCCGCTTTGAATTGAGCTTCTGCATCTTGTTCGTCGTTTCGCTTTGCGATCTGCCAGCCGTTGCGGTTGCTGGCGGTGCCCATGCCGCCCATAGCGTCCATGTTGCAAGCGGTGGCGAGCTGGACGACGGGGTCGCAGATGTCTTTGCATGCATCTGGTACAGTGGAGCTGGTTGTGTCTTGCGTGAATGCCGCTGGGAGGGAAGTGAGAGAGAGAAGGACTATTGCGCGGAATGGATGCATCTTTGTTAGGCCGACGGATTACAAATTATAATGTAATGATGGGAAGTCAGCTCGATGAGAAGGGACGATAGATCTGGACGCGACCTGCAGGACATCGCCCGGAATATATGGTTTCCATCCGCACTGCTCGTGGCAAGTCGCTCAAACGTGCCATGCTTTTCGGGGGGCTGCTCCCTCGCCGCTTCGGTTTCGCCATGCACGCTCGCTCCGAAACATCGTAGGCAAGCACTGCCACATCCACACGGTATTGGCCCCGCAAAGGGCGGGAAACACAAAGATAGGTCAAACAAAAAGAGGGTGTGTCGAACGTGTCGAGGATGGTGGGCCAGCGTTTCAGGATTCCGGGGACGTTTGTTTCCGGCGCTATCCTGTTTTGGAAAGGCGCGTGAACGGTGGGGAACCTTGGAAAGCTTGTCCACACCTCAGGCTTCGTCTCACTCATCACTCATCACTCCTCATCACTTTCCACCCCCAAGCCTTCGGCATTCATCAGGAAGATGCTGACAAGAGTAGTGACATCGTACTTATGATTGATACAGCGGTATTAGCCCACCAAGAATCCGTCAGCCAATTCCCGTACCCATTCATCAGCATGCGCCCGGCCGCATCTCCTCCGCGGCAACGTCAAACTCCTAGGCAACAGGCTCCGTATCCGAATCCCTAGTCAATGACTGCTCAATAGTCGGATACGCGTCCAGCCACTCCATTGACACCCACTTCTGCTCCACTCGAATGCGATGAATTCGCTCCATATGCTCCGGACTCTCATTCCAGCCGCCGGTCCTAAACGTCGCGGTCTGTTCTGCAGCCCATCTCAAGTTCTCCGCCCATCCACTGATGTCGCTCGTGAGTGGATGATCGATGCGATGAAGCGGCCGGTAGGGCGGTGAGTCGCGCGGGCCGAGGAAGGCGTATGCGCTGAACGGATCAGTCTCTTCCAGGCATCCTTCCTCTTCAAAGACACAGATGATGCGTGCGTCCGAAGGCTCTTCTGTAAGAGATGGAGGCGCAACCCAGTGCGCGAGACCGTGTATGTAGGTTGGGGCAGCAGAGTCCGATGCAGCGTTGATGCGCTCCTCAATCTCTTCCCTCGCAGCGCGGACTTCCTGGTCGTCTTCTGCGAAATCGGCGTCCTCTTCCAACCGCGCTCTCTTTCTCGGCATTCCTCGCTTGCGCCCAGGCTGCGGCGCTGGCGTCTCGTCTTCCGCGCTGCCCATACTCTTCTTATTCTTCCTACGGCCCACGGTCAGCGCATCCGGCCTCGGCCGCGGCGGCAGAGGCACGACACCTTCCCAGCGCTTGAAGGCAGCACGGTCCACGTGCTCTGGCGTGACCGTCTGCGGTCCACCTAGCAGACCAAGTAGCTTCTCGTAGTCCTTCGGGTACTCCCACCCCTCGACCGGATGCTGCACGCAATATTCGACCATCCTCGTCAGGTCCAATGCATCGTCTCCCCGCGGCATGTTACGAATATCGATAGCCAGGTCCGCAAAAGGTACGTCCCCCGCTTGCATGCCATACTCCCCGATCTCCCACGGCGTCCTGAATCCTCCCACGTCCAGATTGGTCTCATCCCACGTGGCGACCCTCGCAGCGTGCCAGCGGTCATGTATCCCTATTGTCCAGTTCTTGAAGCCCGCCCGTCGCATCGCCGTGTACGTGTACCTGCCGCATGAGTTCGCGTGCCATTGGTGTCTGAGGTCGCGGTTGTTGTTGACTATCGCCCAGAGGACATGACGCGTCGCCCCGTTTGAGATGAAGCGGTAGACGCAGTCGGCGGACTTGAGGCAGTTGGGAAAGAAAGTCAAGAGCTCGACGGCTGTGATGTTCGCGGCCGCGGGGAAGGGGAGGTTCTGGGAGGGGGCATGGGCACCTAAGCCGGCTTTTGTGTCGTCGGCATCGTACTGCGCCATGGTGCTCGGCGGCTTAAAGAGGTTGATGAGATGGATTGATCAAGATGGGTTATCAGAAGAAGTTGGGAGCTGCGGTCGGCGGCCGCGAGAAAGAGATTTGCGTGTTGCGGAGAGGTGAGTCCTTTCACTCCGAGCTGCAGCACCATGGTGATGGCCATCATCAAAACATTGAGTCGGCCTGAATCGGACGCTCGCCAAATGCGTCACAACCCCAACCAACACAACTGCCCGTGGCCTCACCACACCCCCACCATCCACCGCTTCCATTGCACCCCCTTTAACATTTTGTCCGTTGCTAACCCGCATCTGTCATTGAATAGGCGCTAGACCCCTGCTACGTGTTGTTTTGGCCGGTTGCCGCATCGTTGCGACGCCTCACTGCAACGATCAATAGCTGTAAAACAGCCTGCTAGAACCAGGTACGCATTCCTATGTCCTCCTCAGGGGCTCATTCCTCTGACTATGACCCTATTCTATCTGACGCCGGCATAGCTACCTCCAATAGAGTGTACTGACCGTTAGGCAGCACCTACAACATGCCTGCCCGTCAGGTCAACAACGCCTTCGGTGCCGGTAGCCCAAGCTGGAACCTCCCCTTCCCTAATGGCGACCTCACGGCCGCCGAGATCATCGCCTACTGCCCACACTGGCTGAAGAGCGTCGACGTTATCGACCGCTTCGTCACCAACGGCGGCAAGTCGCACGTCATCTCCGTCATGATCAACGAGTTCCGGTACCAGCCCGGAGGTGACACGACCTTCGTCCCCAACTCCGTGTGCATGATGATTCAGTACGCCATGCGGCGGGCGGGCTTCGAGGACTGGACAGTGGGGTCTCATGCAGAGTGGGCCCGCGATAGTGAATGGGACGAGACGCAGCTCGACGTGTCGGACTTTCGTACGCCGCGCATCACGCACCCTAGGGGAAACGGTGGTGGAGCTCTTAACTGCCAGGCTGCTCCAATTAAGTTCCGTGACCTTGCTCAGCACGTCAAGAAGCATCCTTCTGGGGCGGACGCTCTCGATCTCACCCGCTGCGTGCTCTATGCCGTCGAGCACCCAGAAGAGCGTTGGCTGTTTCCGAACCACTTTGCTCAGCTGGTGAAAAAGCTTGGAGGCCCGCAAGTCGCTACTCACTCTCACCTCGACCGGCAAATTTTCGCCCGTCGCTCAGGCGAGTTGATCTTTCCTCCCGCAGACGCGTCTGCTCTTTCCTTACCTTACGCGCGCACTAACTCCTGCAATACCAAACTCACCATGGCTCGCACCCGCCCTAGCGGCCAGGTCAACAATGGAGCCTCGACGCCACAGAAGCGCGCTCTTGCTGTCGCAGACGACAGCGTCGGCAGCCTCGACACCGGCAACAAGCGACGAAGCGGCCGCCTCGCCGGGAAGGTGAGCGCCAACCTGCACGAAGACACCGAGTCCAGCATCCTCGACAAGGACGACGCCGCCTCTGAGCGGTCCTTCGCAGCCAAGAAGCGCAAGCTGAGCGACGACGACGGCAGTGATGCGAAAGCCGACTTCCTGTTCCAGCCCAGCAACGTCACCTCGTCCAGCGAGCCGACCACCGCCAACACCAGCGACAGCCTCCTCACGCCCGCTCCCGTCCGCCCAGGGGCCCGCCGCTCCGCGCTCAAAGCGCGCCAGACGATCCAGAAGCTCGCCGCGCCTCCTATGCCAGCCCCAGTCCCAGCGAAGCGCGCCTCCCCACCCATCGACCCGGCCCTCACGTCCGCCGCGCGCGCCTTCCCCTCGCGTCAGCCCGTCTTCCTCAAGCCCCCGGTCCTCTCCTCCATGCGCCTCGTCGTCGACGAGCGCAGCGTGCTCCTCTACGCCGAGCCCGGCGCCCCGGATCTCTGGGCCAGCGCGCTCTCGTCGACGCGCTTCCGCGGGCCCCGCCGCCACCCGCCGTTTCGCGAGCTGTACCGCCTCACGGACCCGGATCCGCGCGATGCGAGCGACTGGGCGGAGAACATTCGTTGGGCGAAGGAGCAGCACAAGGTGTTTGGCAGCAAGACGTGGACCGAGTATGATTACCATCTCGAGTGCATTACCGAGCATAGGAGGGAGCACCTGTGGGTGAGCGAGGAGGCTATCTGTGCCGGGATGTGAGGTCGGGGGGAGCTCCCGGCTCTACGGCGTTCTGGAAGCTGGTGCCGCGCGCTGAGGGCGCAGGTCAAGATAAAATGCTCGTTTGGCTGAAGCAGCAAAAACATCTTGAGCTACTTGAAGGGAGAGATCTCGGCGGAGCTCGGATAGGATGATTGGGATCTGCGGGTCTTAGCGACTAGACCTTGGCCCTTGGGGATGAATGCTGAGGTGAACGGCTCTGGATTGCCCGATTGAAGAAAAGTTTGTTTGTGTGTTTGTCTTGCGGAACGGGTATGATGGTTTGGTATAGCCGCAGCGCTGCTGCCGAAGCGAAGAGCGCAAAGCATAGCTCACTTCATCACCGTACATACCCAAGAAGCTAGCTAGAATCTTGTAGCAATAGCTAGATCTCTCTGTCTATTAGACCTATGTATGCCTTGCGACGAAAATCCTGCAAGGCCCTCGTCACATGCGTATAAATGAACCCGGGTGTAGCTGACCGTCATCGCGATCGCGAAGTCTTCATATTCAATCAATCGACGTGGTATATAACCCGCAGAAAAAGCACTACCGCGCCTAGAACTATAACGCATTGGTATTCAAACCTGGAAAATCAGAGCACCGTCTAAGTAAATCGTGAAATAGATAAGCCATCGCGAGTCGCAGGGCACTTTCGCGCCCTGCTGAAAGAATGCCGAAAGAATGCTGAAAGAAAAGGCCGAAGCGACGATGCTAAGGCATGTTGATAGATGCAGATGACCCTGCTTCGGGGTATCATAGGAAAGATAAGAAAAAGATGAGCCCATATGCAAAACCCTCACATATATATCGAAATTGAGGTTGGGCGATTCGTCGATGTGCCGCGCGGCTTCCGGCGACGCGCGCTGCAAAACAATCAGCAGGCCGCCAAACTGTGCTGGAGTATTTTCCGCGGTAGGGGATGTGAAGCTTCCGAGGTGATAGGACAGCCTTGACTCTGGCGAATTGGCGGGAGATGGTCGTTGCACCTCGTCGTTGGGAAAGCGATCTCTCTTCGTATCCTACCGAGCCAGGTCAACGCTGATTGTGTTGACTCAAAGACTGGAGATACTGCGCAAGCCAAGGTGCATCACTGAGCCCGAACTCGTGCTGCCAATTCTCCGGAAGCTGCGCGAACAGCACAGCAGCACGAAGCCGAGGATGCACAACGTTGCTATCCACCTGCGTCATCAAGCACACCCCCACGGGGTTGAGATAGTTCTTCAGGATGTCGTGGAGATGGTGCGGGCTGTTCAGCCAGTTTCGTCCGAGCTGCGTCGGCAGCTTTGCAAATCGAACAGCGCAGGCCAGGGCGCTGCTGTCATCGAGTGCAGGGTCTGGGAATTCTCTCAGCGGCCTGTTGTCGTACATTGCAAGCACCCGAGGCAGCTCGAAGTAGTTGTACTGCTTGGCGAGGCCGAGGACGATTCGGAAATGCTCCGGCTTGCTGCGATATCCTTGGTCGAGGCCGGGATTCTGCTGGATGAATCGGATCGCTCGTGCCTCTCTTCGGGTATCTCGTGGATCCACTGCGAGATCGCGGAGGAAGGGTTCTGTCTGCGCATTTGTAAGTGGCGGTGCCGGTGTCCTGCCGGATGCCTGCTGGTGTAGAATGTGCGCCCCTGTTGCTGGTTGGCCAATTGCTGGGACGCGAGGAGTATGCGCCTGAGCATTTCTCTGTATTCCACCGGTGCTTCCCCTGGCAGGGGTTGGCACACCGCTATTCAGATTATGGCCTGAACTTGGGAGGCTTTGCTGTGCGCGAACTGGTGGTGGTCGAGCGTGGGGGCCTGTTACGGGTTGGCCAGGTGCTTGGACGCGAGTACGCGGTTGAGGATTTGCCCGTGCCCCACCGGTGTTTCCCCTGGCAGGGAGTGGCACACCCATATTTAAAGCTGCTCGTGGGGTTGGAGGACACTGTTGCGCGCGACCTTGTTGGGTTTGATCGTGGGGACCCGTTGCGGGTTGGCCAGGTAGTGGAAGACGGGGAGCCTGCGCCTGAGCGTTGGGTGGCATCCTGCGTCCGCTTTCGCCGGAGGAGTTTCGCTTAGTCCGATTTGGAGGCTGGGCTGCTGAGCTCATGGTCTGCGACGGTGGGTTTGCTTGTGCAGCTGGCATCGGCGGCGTCCCAGTATGCACAGGCTGAACAGTAGACGAGAGAGCCGGACTAGCATTCCCACTCGTTACTGGCGCAAGGGGGCTCTGGACACCCTTTACCATCGAAGGGTGGGCTGCGTTAGAAGGGGTGAAGTATCTCCGGCTTCCGTTTACGGTCGCGGATTGAGGCGGCGCAGAAAGACTAGTCCCTTTGGGTTGCGGCGACCTTGCGTTGGTTCGATAATTCACCCAAGAATCACTGCTCATTCTCCTTGAGTCTTGATCCATTGACGTGGTATAGCCCATGACTGGGGGATCGACTGGCTTCGGGGCGATGGGTGAATCAACCCTTTCACCCGGCTCGCATGCTTCGGTAGCGCGTGCTGCAGCTGCGGGGGCAGCGTCGTCTGACAGAACGATAGGATCCGCTGCCGTATTACCCTGCTCTGCCGGCAACATTGGACTCGTGCGGCCGGTATCCTGGCTATGCTCAGCCCGAGTGCTTGACACACCATCAGCAGATGTCACTGCCAACGATTCGCTCGAGCAATTTGCCAAGACAGGCGTGGGGGAAGCTGGAGGGGCCGCCGGTTTGTTGTCCCAGTCGGGCTTGAAATGTTTCAGAAACCAATCGTCAATTTCCTCGTCAGTCAGCGCAGATCTGCGAAGGGAGCCCTTCGGGACCAGGAATGTCCGCGGCATCGGCATATCACTTCCGCCGTTCCATGCCAACTTCTGTTCGTAGATCTCCGATTTGGTATAGCGACGGCCCACGGAGTCAACCAGAGTCAAATTACAATCGACTACCTGCCACTTATGGTAGTCGTTGTTAGGATCGAATACCTCGCCGAATATGTAGAGCACAGGTAGCTCAGGAGCATCGGTCGAGGGCTGCGGCTGCTGCTGAGAGGACGCGGCTGCACAGTTCAAGTTATCGGTGCAATACGAAAGGTGATAACTGGGGTTACACATACCAGTGCCCTTGGGCGGCTCTCCTTGACGTTGCTTCTTGTTGTTGGTTGTAGTCGGAGTACCATTCTCGTCCCTCTTGCGCTTCTGCGGGGGGTTCAGGTTTTGGGCGGTCGCGAGTTGCATCTGTCCGATTGAGTGTTCCATCCTTTCTGTTGCAGCTTGCTTTCTGGAGCTGGAGTGGAGTCAACTGTGGGTGCAGAGAGAGGTTTCTGCGTAGACGTGATGCTGCTTTATAAAAGAGCCTCTGGCGGGCGCGCCCACTAGCGCGGAAGGGCTTACCTAAATTCCACGGGTAGGGCTGCGCGAGGAGCCCTTCTTTGAGCCGGTCACGTGAGCGCCAAGACGTGCGGCGCATAGCGTCGATGCAGCAACGCCGACGTAGAGTGACTATAAACACCTCAGAACGCCATCGTGTGCTAGCGCGTGGCAAGCGGTGGCAAACAAACCCTCCGGGCGTATGTGAATGCTAGCAAACGTGACAGGCGGAGGTGACGAAAATCCGCCAACCGCGCATCGTGAAGCACGACCATGGAGAGGGAGAATGCAGCTATCGCTTGTCGCTTCTCTGGTATCGAAACTGGGATGTACACCTTGGCTTCTCTGGATATGCAGATGGCGGGGCGTTGGCTCCGGAACTGGGAGGACGCTGGATGAAGGCAAGGAGGGGCGGTACTCTCGCACCTGTCGCGGTAGGTGTCATCCATGCCTCCTGACTAGAGTCAGGAATCCGGAATCCCAAGATCGATAATGAGTTTCACGGCTAAGCTAGAGTAGCTGTGCTGGGAGGAGGATGGTACGTTCCATGGCGGGTTTCCGAAAGACGCAGAACTTCCAGATCGAGAGCTGATAACAGAGTGTACCACTAGGTTGTAGATTGTAAACTCTATATTTCTTATAAATAGAGCTAGGCAGAAAGAGGTACTACAGCAATGTCGTGGCTGTAAGGCAGGTCGATTGATTGATTGATTGATTTTCCTCGTTTTGAGTCACCAACCTATTGCTGACTAAGGCAGGCCTTGGACCACTTGTTCTCTTACCTAATTGCCTAACAAGATCTTGGTCTTCGAATCTGAGAAGCGCAACTTTAGGTTTGGAATAGTTCCTGCATCAGAGCTCTCCTTAGCAAGGTTGGCCGTCTCCCTCGAGATCGACTTGATGATTGGTACCACCTGTTCCAGTCAGCGGACCAAATCTAGCATTCACCAACCACACCATGACTGTGCACGCGGAGTCGGAAGTAAGTTTCACGTACCTAGGATGGGTGCCTCTACCATTGATGGGCTGCCCATTGCGAAATTGAGGACTATCACGCTTTAGTGCAGCGGCGAAAGTTGAGGAGACGGGAGACGGTAATAAGACCGATGACGAGACCGTGAAGCTTCATTGCGCAGGAACGAAAAAGAATGGCAGTTGAGAGGGCGAACCCAGTCCTGCAATTTTGGAAGACGCCTCTTTTATACCCTACCAGAAGGACACAGGACCCGGATCACCGAATGATCGACCTCGCAGCGCGTCGTGCGTTTGCACACCCCGCAGAGTGCTTACCTAGCAATCACCCGTGCCCGATGTCCCGATGTCGCTCGGAGATTTGATTATTACGAATGCACATTCAACCTGCTTTTCGACCTCCAACTTTGCGGAAAGTCTGAATTCAAGGTTGTGATAGTCGCCGCACTTCATCGGCGAGGACTAGGTTCGTCATCACCGCCAAGGATTTCGTGATCCTCAATATGCTTGGCAAACTGGTGTTGTAGGTGCCGATCGCGACTATAATGGGCATTTCAGGGCTAAGCTAAGCTAAGCTTGTCGTGATCTGCGGTTGCTTTTAAGCTTAAAGACTTGTGCGGGACGAGAGAAGGACGTGCTTTTTCTGTGTTGGGGAGATGTCACCATTTTGGCACTCGATTCTCCAACGTCGGGGTAAACGAGCTGCACGTGGGCTTAGATTGTTAGTCCTGCTATGGGAAGAGATTACCGAAGTCCCCTGGCAGTATGCTCTGCAGCTGCAACATCCCCTGAATCCTACGATGCGAACACATGATGACGGGAGCATTTGGAAACCGATATTGAGGGTCGTCTGTTGATATAGGAAGGTCATTTAGATGTATGACAGAGCTTCCATGTACTGAGGATTGCTGCTCCTGCTGAGTAGAAAGAGGGACCATACGATAGAGGCGTATTGAAACGACACAGGCGACACGTCGAAGAGTGGCTTCTCGGATCCATCTCTTACTCGCGAAGAACGCCATGGCCACACAACCGTCCTCGCTCGGAAACACCCTGTCCCGACATCATCATATCTCTCCGGAGGGTCCGTAGCTCCCGTGCAACAGTCAACGTTACCGCCCCCAAGACCTACACCCATGTTACCAACCCCATAACGGCAATTCGCAGTCAATGCTGCGTCCCGTCTTGGTGCCCCCTGCCCCTTCCCATATCCCTTTCAGCTCTAGCCTCCATGCAAACACCTGCACTCCGACGATCTCTATGCCCTTCGCAGTCCCTGATGCTCTTTAATTTCGTGCCGGGCTGTTGGCGTGCCTTGGAATAGTGTGCTTTCTGGCCCTAGGTCGGCGATGTTCACCGGGAAGCTCATGTCCCTGACGATCCGTTCGGCGCTATGGAGAAATTTCAATATTCGTCGTCAACACCAGGCTTAATCGCAACATCGACGCCAGTGAAGCTAGAAATGAGGATTTTCAGTAATTGGGCGACGAAGACGCGATGGTTTCGGAGGGAGGGTGAAGGGGTGAAAGCGCGTGAGGCCGAAGAGTGTCTATAAGTAGGGGGAGGTGGGACAAGGTAAGAAGAGCAACCAGCGCAGAACCTGCGCAAAAGCTCTCGGATCTTCTCCTGTCTCTCTTCTATTGGTCAATATGCTCTCGAAAGCGCTCTTGTCAGCGGTGCTGGTCACATCGGCCAGTGCTCTCTCACTTCCTCCTCTGATTCCCTCCATCCCTGGTGTCACTGAGCCTCTTTCGAGCAACGCTCCTCCTCTGCCTATCTTGCAGGTTCCCACTCCTCCGCTTGAGAGTCCTCCATTTGTCGGCAATCAGCAGATCAAGCCGAAGAAGATTGGGTACTTCTGGACCGCTGCTGGAGACAACCAACACAAGGACTTCCTGGCCACGTACTCGCTTGACGATGATACTTTCGGTACCCTTCTCTGGGTTACCGATGTCCCGTCGAGTGGGAACAGTCCGCATCATCTGGGAACGACCTTGGATGGGAAGACGCTGGTTGGTGGAGGGCTTCTGTCTCTCTTGAAGACTCAGGTATGTTCTCGGTGCAGCACCCCGAACTGGAAATGCAATATACTTACCCTTGCCAGGACACGGCGTACTACTTCGACACCACCAACCCGTACCAGCCGAAGTTCAAAAAAAGTAACCGTGGCGTGCTCTCGTCCATCACGGACGAGATCCGCGCTAAGCCCGATGGGGGCTTCTTCATCACCTACATGGGCTGTAAGCCACACCATTCCCTATCCCGACCCAGGTACAACCTCGCTAACATGTGCCCAGCTGCTGTAGGCTCTTCTCCAGGCCGCCTCGTCGAGACCGACGCAAACTTCAACATCATCCACGAATGGCCCGAAGACGTCTCCTCCACGCTCAATATCCTTGGCGAGCAATTCTCCCCCCACGGCCTCTCAATCGACTGGAACAAGAAAATCATCCTAACCTCCGACTTCGTCGTCCCCGTAACGATCCTCAAGCCCGCTTCAGCCCTCGGCATCCAACGCGCCAACACACTCCGCCTCTGGGAGCTCGATTCGCGCAAGATAATCTCCACAATCACCATCCCCAACGGCCAGGGCATCCAAGACGTCAAGTTCATCCCGGGCAACGCCGAATCCGCCGCGCTCGCGACAGCGGTGGGCCCCGGCCAAGTCTGGATCATCTACCCGTTCCGCAAGAACGCGCAGGGCCAGCAAGGCGTCGCAGAGCTCCTCTTCGACCTCGGCCCCCGGGCGCGCGACAACCTCGCCATCTACAGCGACATTTCCGACGACGGCAAACTCGCCTACTTCACCCTCACACTCGGCAACCACGTCGCCGCGCTCGACATCAGCGATCTCGCGCACGTCAAGCGCCTCGACGACCCGGACGCGGACCAGGGCATCGTCGGCCCGCACTACGTCAAGATCTCGCCCGACAAGAAGAACCTGCTTGTCACGGACTACTTTGTGCAGACGGGCGATATCGGCGTCGTCAACACGCCGGCGGACTTCAAGGCGCAGTGGATTGATATCCTGAGCGATGGGAGCTTGAGCTTCAATCGCAGCATCAACTTCCCGGCCGAGTTTGCGAATCGGGGCGGGGCGAAGCCGCATTCGGCGGTCATCTTTGATTTGTCCGATCCCGCGCATCCGAAGTATTACTGAGCTGGCGGGTTGAGAAGGGAGGCGGATACGGCTTTTCTCGAACGAAAGCTCGGGAAGGAAACAATATACGTATGGAAGTAGGCTTGGTGGTGTTTTCGTCTTCTTGTCTCTTCTTCGGCATGCCTTGGAACACTCGTTTGGTACTACGGTTATCTAATTAGTAATGTTTTTTGCCTGTAAATGAAATGTCTTCCACCGCGATCTGATTGAGGCTACCTTTTTCTGTCCGAATGCAGCAACGATGCACTAAGCGCAGTATCAGTCTGCTCCAAAACAGCCGAACAATCAAACGTCCCTAGGCCGCCCAGTGCATGCAAACGCAGCACCATATAGCCGCTCCCCACCGCAACGCTCACCAAATTCCCGACATTGCAATGACGGCTGTCCTTGGCTGCCATGTCCCACCCCCGCCCGGAACGCCTGGCAGTTCTTCGCATCCGCCGCGCTCTTCTGCAGGGTGCCGGCAATCGTGCCGATCAGGAGGCGCCGCATGGCTCCAGACACGTGGTACAACTGCTAGATCCGAAGTCCCAGGAAGGGCCCGTAGTAGAGAGCGCGGCCTTGGAAGCATTCGATGGCGAGAACGGCCGTGTCGAAGGCGCCGTGGTTGTCGCGGCAGTGCGCGGAGCCCGCGGGGCATAGACGCTTCCAGGGGAAAGAGTGGGGACTCATCGTCTTCGAACGAGAAGGTGGACATGTGCGGACTGCCTGGAAAACAGGAAAACACAGGAAAGGAACGAGCGAAGAAGTGGGGTGCGCCTACTCACGATCCAGCATCCTAGAAAGATAAGAAACCTACACCCAGCCCTCCCAAACCTTCGAGGTGGGCACATGCTACCATTATACCTTGACTGTGTATAACTGCAGGGCAAACCCTTTTCTAGGGTCGGTAATTGTCTGCTATGCGATTGCGATGACAGGTCTAGGCAAACGCAGCCCAAGAATTCCATAAGCGAGCATCACTGTGATTGAGCGGAGAAAGGGCTCTGAGGCGTGGATTGATGTAGCGAGAAAGAGATACGAAGAAGAAGAGAAAGACACGGAATGAAGTCGAGAAAGAGTCAGCGTTTGGCGATGACACGTTGCCTTATTGAGCTAGAGGCGGGATGACGGCCCCACTCTGGTATTACTGTTGAAACGCGAAAGATATCTGTGCGCTCGAAAGAAAGGCTAGGCCGGAGACGCCAGTAGATACCTAGGTAGACAGAAGCTAAGATGTGTTAAACCAACCAGTCAAGGCAGTCGTGTTTCCAAGGTTTAGAGGGCGCATGGTAGCACGAAAGTCCTACTCAAGACGACATGGACCGAAGAACTCATTCTATATTCGGGCATTATAGTGCTGGTCATCTAGCCCAGTCGTGTTTAATGCTCAAAAATATCAGTCAGTAAGTCTTCTTCACACTCAGACCCCACAAGAGTGTTTCGAATGCCGCTGTGTAATAGCGATTCACTGAGATAATGTGTGCATCCTTGAGAATCCTATTCCAAATGCTGTGTACTGGTAGCCTTCTTTTGTTCACAGTTTCTCTACGTGAACCGCTGTGCGAGCGCTCTGTAAGGTTCCCTTTCCGCATTGATGGGAGACGAAGTTCTATTGGGACTTGTGAGTTCGGGCAGGTCGGGGTGAAGAGAGGGCAAAAACGGCTTTTGCAGAGGCGCATGTAGTCAAGAAAGAACACAGGAAGCGTCAGGCAACGGAAGGGAGTAATGACCGGGGCCCAAAAAGAAAAAAAAAGGTCACCGTGGGAATTTAGGTCGCGGACAGCGGAGGCGAGCCCATATGCCTGCCCTGCTTTTTATAACAGAGAACGATCGGGACTGCTCGCCAAACTTTTACAACAGCCACTCCTCAGCTTTCCGCCAGCTTCGTCAACCCTTCTCCTTCCACGCGCAACCCCACCCACTCCTTCTTCCGCTTCGCGCCGAGGCTTTCATAAAACTCCAAACTCGGCGTATTCCAGTCCAGACAACTCCACTCCAGCCTTTTCCCACCCACCCGCACAACCTCCCGCGCACACGCCTTGATCAGCGCCTTGCCGTACCCCCTTTTCCTGTATGCCGGCTTCACGAACAGATCTTCGAGGTATATGCCTGGCACGCCCGTCCATGTGCTGAAGTTGTAGAAGTAGAGCGCCATGCCGCAGATTTCGCCTTCGGGGGCGGTTAGGAGGAGGGTGCGCGCGTAGCCTGGAGTGAACTGGTCCGGCGCGGAGGAGTCGTGGAAGGCGAGGGTTTTAGAGAGGATGTCGGGGGTTGCGTGGACGGAGGAGGTGGAGTTCTCGTAGGCGGCGAGCTCATGGATGAGGCCGAAGATTGCGGAGACATCTTGGGGAGGGTTAGTGGTGGGGGAGGCGCGAATGGTTCTTTACGTACCTTCGCGGGTTGCGTGGCGAATAGTAGCGTCGCTGGCAGTCATTGTGACGGCGTGCGATCGATCTTTGCAATTGACAGGCTTGGGGACGAGGCAGAGCTTTTATGGTGGTCGAACGCGCCCTTTCGTGTCGGAGTGGCAGAATGGTGGAGTACATATCGGCATTCGGACTAGTCACCGCCGGCCCGAGCCGCCGCCGATTGGCTGCGCTGGTGCCGGAAAGCCTCTGCCTCTTTCCGAACTGGATGGTCCGGGGACAAGAAGTCGGCATAGAAGGGAAACCGCCCATATTGCTGGCGCGCTTTCTCTTCGTTTTGGGCTTTGGGTAGTGGCTCTGCTGGTGCTTTGACCACATTCCCCTCCTCGTCCACTCCGGCAAAGAGAGTGGCGTCCACAGGAGTGGAGTAGAGGCGAGGACTCAACCCATGAAGCGGACTACCCCACACAGCTACCCACTTGTTGCGCTCATCGTTCCATTCTAGCTTGCAACAGTAGGTGTGGATCTTTGCGTACAGTCGCTGCATGAAGCGCGGATTGAGGGTGTGAGGTCGGTCGACGCCTGCTGGCCGGTCGGCCTTGCTCGGCTTGTCCAGCGCAAGAGCGTCATGGACTAAAGTCTTGAATTGGTCCTCCTCCTGTCTGGGCTCGGGGTCAAGCGGGACGGCTCGCGTACGCGTCTTAACGAAGCTTATCCACTTCTTTCCGGAAATCATGGCCTGAATGGAATCCCACTCCTCGTCAGGCAGCGGTGGAAGCAGCCTGGTCATCGTCTCGGCGTACCATCTCCTCACGTTGTTTCGCGCTCTCTTGACAGGCATCGGACGCTGCCAGACATTGTAGATGGGCGTCACAAGGTTAGGTCGCTTCAAACCCCTACCAAGGGCAACGCCATTTTGACACTGCGACTTTACTACTGCCTTCAACCTGGAGTAGCGGTCCGAGATGTCGATGACGTACTCCGTGTTAGATTTCTGCTTTGGGGCGTCGAAGAAGGACAGGAAGCGCTCGTTGCTATAGTAGAGCTTCTGCAGCGGAGCGAGTTCTTCGTCGGCAGCGCCCTCTTCAGTCGTGTCCTTGGCCACAGCATCCGGTCTCAGAAGGTGCTCCAACAGCGCGTATTTCCTCCTTCCCATGCGACCATATGTGAACAGCAAGATCTTCTCAAGACATGGTGCCTCTGCTAGATTCGCGCGTCGAAGGTAGTTTAAGCCCTTCTGCGCCTTCCTTTGCATCGCCCGCGTGCGCTCGTTGATTATGGATATGTGCCGTCGCCTGAAGCCCCGATGCCGGAGCTTGTCAACGGCCTGCGCGTGTATCGAAGCGGTGGCATTGTGGGTCGGCTGGTAGGCGCGGAAGCGGTTCACGATGTAGCGGCGGAAGTACTGGCGGGCGTGCGCGTCAGACAGGTACGAGGCCTCGCGGAGGAGCGCGCGCAGCAGGTGGATCGACCTGAGATTCGATGCCGTCTGCTGCAATTGCGGCGGCATAAGGGGGTCGATAAAGGGAGAAACAGACGAGTGGTGTTGCATTTGCCGGCCTGAAACGGGCCCCGCGGTGATTGGCTGCCGTCACGGGTCCGCGCTAGCCCAACGCGCACGCACGCTGAACACGCGCCTCGACTTCTCCGCTCTCTCGAGGCCCATATTCGCGACCTCCCCGCGCAGCTCCACCCGCGACAGAGGCGTCACCCCATCGCGCACTGCCGCAGTCTTCAGCCTCCAGCGCGCCGTTCGCATCTCCTGCTGCCCCCATTGCTGCGCCTGCGACCCCGCGACTCCCTGATGAGCACACCCGCGCCCGCTTGATCAGCACCCAACGCCCGCCTGCCGCAGAATGCAAGTCGCGCGCTCGTCGCTCGCTGCTTCGTTCCCCTCGGGCTCGTCCTCGCAGCCTGCCATGTACGCCGGCTCGCCTCCCGGCATGATGGCTGCTCCCAGCTTCACCCGCTCCTTCTCCGACGTGAATGGCTACCAGCAACACGCCATGGAGAAGCCACAGATATACACCGTATGCACAGACATGCACTCCTCTGCGCGCACACACTAACATGCCAGGCCGTCTACTCCGGCGTGTCCGTGTACGAAATGGAGGTCAACCGAGTCGCCGTCATGCGCCGACGCTCCGACGGCTGGCTCAACGCGACCCAGATCCTCAAGGTTGCCGGCGTCGACAAGGGCAAGCGCACAAAGGTCCTAGAGAAAGAAATCTTGACGGGCGAGCACGAGAAGGTCCAGGGCGGCTACGGCAAGTACCAGGGCACCTGGATCAACTACCGCCGAGGGAGAGAGTTTTGCCGGCAGTACGGCGTTGAGGACATCCTCCGGCCACTCCTAGATTACGATATCAGCGCAGACGGCAACGCTGGGCAGGGTATTGAGACGCCGACCAAGGAGCAGGCTATGGCAGCCAACAGGAAACGCTTCTACACGCAGAGCATGGATGGTCGCAGCACATCCCAGAACGTCGGTGGCACCTTCTTCTCCAATATCTCGTCCACCGCAACGAGCGCTCTTGCGGCCATGAACAAGGTTGCCAGACTGAACTCGCCCGCGCCCCGTCCCGGAAGCTCCTCGCAAGGCCGCAGATCTATGGGTCGCCCATCGCAGGGACCGATTGGGAGCCAAGAGTCCTTCCGCGCAAGCAGCCAGCAGAGCGTGCCGAGTCTAGCCTCGGAACGCAGCTTCGGCGCCAACGGCCATGCCGATTCTGCATATGCTACCGGCATGGATGACCCGCAGGAACCACCGAGGAAGCGCATGCGCGCGTCGCAAGAAGAGTCTTTCTCGCAGCCGAACGGGTCCGATGTGGTGATGCGGGATCACGGTTCGCCGACCGAGCCAAACGAGTCCTTCTACCAGACTGGCCATCATCTGACGACGACAGACGGCGAGGTTCCCACGGCGCTGCCTCCCCTGCCCCATCCCAGCGACAAGGTATCAGAAGAGAAGCGGGCCATGTTGACCGACCTCTTCGCAGACCAGTCGCGGACTGATTTCACGAACCATCCCGCAATACTCCACCTATCAGGCTCAGACTTGGACATGCCCATCGATAACAGTTCGAACACTGCGCTGCACTGGGCGGCGACGCTGGCTCGCGTATCACTCATGCGGCTGCTAGTCTCAAAAGGGGCGAACATGTTCCGAGGCAATGCCGCTGGCCAAACCCCTCTGATGAGCGCTGTCTCCGTAAACAACAGCTTGGACCATAGTTGCTTCCCGGAAACACTGGAGATCCTGGCTCCGCTGATCGAGCTCCGGGATGCGCAAGGACGGACCATCCTTCACCACATCGCAGTGACGTGTGCCATCAAAGGTCGTGCGGCGTCGAGCAAATACTATCTGGAGGCGCTTCTTGAATACCTCGTGCGGAGCAACATCGGGAACAGCCAGTCGAGCTCGTACGAAGGAAACGGCAACTACCCGAAGCCAATCGGCCTGATGCGTTTCATGCAAGAGATGGTTAACGCTCGGGATAAGGCTGGGAACACCGCGTTGAACCTGGCAGCGAGGATAGGTAACCGAAACATAATATCGCAGCTAATGGAGGTCCAAGCGGATCCTTCGATACCGAATCACAAGGGCACACGTCCGATCGACTTCGGCGTCGGTAGCGATGCGGACGCCGACGCATCTGCTGCGGTCAGCAGCCCGAGCAAGGGTAAGGCACCGCTGAGCAAGGTGGAGGAGACAAGCCGGGAGATCCAGCCTCGTAGGTCATTCCGTATCTTGCTTCGCTATCTCTACTAATCAACATAGCAGTCATGAGCGGCATATTGCAAAGCGCAAGCATGCAGTTCACACAAGAAGCGCGCCTCAAGCAAGACAACATCGACCGCACCAACGAAGCAATAGCCCAGCTCTCGGCTTTGCAGAAAACAGAGCAACAGCGTCTGGAGACCCTGCGCGCTCGCATTCGCGCGCGGCAGGATCGCTCAAAACGAATATCCAACCTGAAGCGATGGTTAGATCTCCAGCGCCAGAACCTCGCCGTAAACACCAACACCAACCTCCGCGAAAAGCGCACAGTTGGCTACGCTGATATGGAAGGCGCGAATGTTGTCCTCTCGGGCGATGAGCTGCCCCCTGAACTCCGTGCAGCTGGCGACCATCTCATTCGCAAAGCATCAGACGGCGCGTCATACCTCTCTACTCCGCTGCCCTTCGACACTACCCTCCTCGCGCAAAAATACGCCCCGCTTCTTGCTCAGCTACCTTCTATCTCAACACTCCGGCACCGTCTTGAGGTGTATACGCAGAATAACAAGGACCTGGCCGGCCGGAGTAGGATACTCAAGGAAAAGGACGGTCAGCTTGAGGTCATGTACAGGAAGGTAGTCAGTCTGTGCACGAAAGTCGATGAAGCGAGAGTGGACAGTGTGCTGGAGGGATTGGTGCAGGCGCTGGATAGCGACCCGCTTGACGGCGTGGAGGTCGGTCGCGTAAGGGAGTTCTTGAGGAAGGTGGAAGGTGTTGAAGGATGAGCTGTGACGTGTCCGCCTACGTCGCAAGTTCCAGCATGACGAAGGTATGTCTGTATCATTTCTCTTATGTGCTTTTATCGCGAGCTGCCACCCGCGATGTCCCTCACGACCTCTATTTGGATACGATGGGATTCCTTTGTGATTGTTATAGCGTCGGCGTATGAAGCGCGGGCGGCTCTTCGGAGCGATTAGCGCATGGAGCATGGAGGTTGAGCAGTCATGGTGTGCATGTTCCCTTCGTGTGCATATGAAACGAGAGATATCTTTTTCTTTCTAATGACATGCCGTTTCGTTCGGTGCAGCTCATCCGCTTGCCGGGGCATAGTATTGTCTGATGTGCTGTGCTTCAACGCCGAAACTGCTAGATGATGTGTATCATCATCACCATTCCGCATCAATGATTATCACTCCCTTCCTTCGTTTCTTCCGGGTCGTTCATCGGTCCTTTGGAGCCCGCGAAGGACACGCCCATGGATTGGCGCCGGCCCCGATTTTCGTTTTGGCTGTCTTCCTCCGCTCCCCGCCAGCCATGCCGTGTTCGTTGAGGAATTTTTGGCCCAGGGAGTGGGGCTAGACGACATTGCTTCCAGGACTCAAAATTTTCAGGTCAGGAGGAAGTCTGAGGCGTGGGCGTGCGAAGAGCAGGAAGGAGGGAGAGGCGCTTTTATATACTTGTCCGCCCAGCAGTGGGAGTAGCGGGAGCGCGCTGTTTGGATAGATGGGTGCGCACGCTTCGATGTGAAGACTAAGGCGCGTGGCGATGTGCAATCAACGCTTCCAAACCAACACGCCCGTCTGCGCATCCTCAGCGGGAATGCATGATGTGGAGTAGCGCGAGCTTGCGGACACATGGACTTCTTATCTTTCAGGGTTTTAGTCTCAGCGATTGGGTCTGCCTGCCCATCCTCCTCAGCGGGGGTGCATGATGTGAAGTAGTGCGAGCTTGCGAACACATGGCGGCTTCTTCGCGAGTTTTAGTTCGGCCCGTGCGTGGGTCTGCCGAACATTGGGAGATGAATGAGGCGATTATGGTCGGCCCCGAGGAGACCGGAGAGCATATGCACCGTTCTTGCACATTTTCGTTGAGGAAGTGTGGAAGATGCGTGCAGAGAGACAGACGGAGAAGGAGAAGGGGTTTATATACCCGCCCCGCCCCATCCCGGAGTCGGCGAAGAATAGCAGAGCAGGAAGAGTGAGCAGAAATAGTCGACGCTCGGCAGGATCCTTCAGCCAGGACGACGGGGTTCAGGTTCAAGGAGCGCAAGCGACTCCTCGGGCAAGGCGGAGCCCCATCGTTTGTAATCTCCTGAACTTTGGATATCAGTGCGACTAGACTTTTTTAACGCGTGCAGATTCTCGCAGTAGGGTTTTTGTGGCGGAGAGGGAACGGCATCGCGGGTCGCTCTGGAGCCTTTTGGTGTAGAAGCAGGGAGTGGGTGGAGAAACGAGTAGGGGGAGGAAGGGAGGGAGGTTTATATAGGTGACGTCTAGGAGGCTTGAGATGATGGCTTGGGAGGTCGGCGTGCTGGGTTCATCTATGACTGGTTTTCAGCAACCCTTCCGTCTAGGCTGGTCTGTTCGGTACGCGAGCGATTTTCTTTCCATGAGCGTGGCGGCCACGAAAGGAAAGCACCATAGATGGTGTCTTGCAGGACTTTGTTTTAGCTCGATCTTCGCTGGTCGCTCAGCCATAGATTTCTTGGACGCGTCGTTTTGGTGCAACGAGAAAGGCTCCATTTTTCCTTCACAATTTCGGTTTTAGTGCTAGAGAAATGCGAGTGTAGGGGGGAAGGAAAGGGAAGTGGATCGGAGCCGCATTTATATACATGAGTTTTGCGGACGCTAATCGCGCAGTGCGGTGAGCAATGGCATGCTCTAAGTCTCGCCGTCGAATCTCTCCATACGAGAATGCTTTTAGACTCCCTGGTCTTCAAGACCACATCGGCTGACGGGATGGATTTTTTAGTCCACGGGAAGAAGAACGCTCTTCCACAGCGATGTAGACTCGGAATTTTAGCGACTTGAGTATGGGCCATGTGCGAGAGTCAGGAGAAGGAAAACAAGAGGTATTTATACAGGGGAGCCTTTCGAAGGAGGGAACAGGGCGAGGAATGAGCGGCTTAATTGAATCATTAAGCATCAACGAGGAATACCGCGGGTTAGACTAAAATGTAGGGTGGAACTTTATGCCAGTACATCTGCAATCTTTAGACTACGAGCCCATTACGAACCACAGAGTCATGCAGAACTGACGCCGGCTCTTTTAGTCGCACCAATCTCTTCAATCCTCCACATATGTATCCACGACATTTAAACTTTTGGAAGCCCACGCGCAAAGCTCCATTGAGCCACAGCGGTTTTGTTTTAAAATGCGTCTTGGGAGGTCGTGTTGGTGCGTGGAAGGTGAAGAAAGGAGGAAAGAGGCTGGTATTTATATGCAAATGCGTGGTCGAGAAGAGGGAAGACCGCACAGTGATTTGCATCATCGCTATTAAGTGATGCAGGGCGGTTTTGCATCTACAGCGATAAGGCGAATTCCCTCGTTTATAACGCGCGATGGTCTGGACATGGAAGAGAGTAGCTTTCCCCGACATCGTACTCGTCGGTGTCCGTTTTAGTCTTCTAGTGTTGTCCGCAGTGTGCCTCGGAACATTGGCCTAATGGCCCACAGGTTTGATCGGAGCGGGAACCCGGCCCCGGCTCAATGAGCCCATCCTTATTTTTCTTGTAGAAAGGAAATGGAGATGGACATGTGAGCGAGCGAAATAGAAAGCGGGCAGGCTTTATATATGCTAGTGAAAAGAACGAGCGAGGAATGTGTGAGCAATGCGTTATCGTCAGCTGCATCCTGGGTAGCGAGGGAACTGTTCCGGGTTCGAGAGCACTTTGCGTGAAGGATTTCGATTCGATAGAGATTTTTGAGCATTGGCACGGGCTTTTAGTTGTGGCCTCTTCCCAATTCCACCCCCATGTATGGCGGTAGTAATGCGTTCGGCTCGCAACGAAGAGGCCAACTCCATCTCAATTTTGTAGGATCAGGTTTTGTAGGTAAAGGTGTGGATAGATATGTGGAGCCAGAAGAGAAAGGGATAAGCCATTTATATGAACGATGATGGTGAGGGAAAGAGGAGACAAGCGGGAAGTAGGGTGATGCCATGGGTCATCGCCGCAAGGCATAAGACTGATTCGATCCCATACGAAGTTTCAGGCATGATCTATTGCCTCATGGCGCCAATTCCATGATCCGGAGCAGCCGAATCATCGAACACAGGGAACATAGGTTCGCGATCACGACTATTTTAGTCACACTTCCTTCGCAAAACTTTCTCACGTCAACGTTTCTGATCCACCGCAGAGAAGCAGACCCCATGGAGGTCGAGTCTTTGGGTTTTTGGTATGAGTTGTGAAGTTGGTGCAGGACTAAGGAAGGGGAAAGTGAGGCGAGCTTATATAGATGAAGCAGGAGGGCCGACCAGTCAAGCAGCGCGAGCACTTAAGCCTGGTAGGCCTGTTTAAAATTTTGATTCCCTCAAGTTCCGCCCGAGGTCATTGTAGCCAGAGCGTGTCCAAGTTGTCCTCAGCACAATGATTGTGGCTTGTAGCGGATTCGCACATCGTGGATTGGCGCGATGTATTTTTGACGACCGCATCTTGCTGTGGCAGGCCCTTGGGCCCACCATTACATGCAGCTGCCCCGCATTTTCTCCAGTCCCAAGCAAACTATACGAGCCCCATGCTCGCTAGGGTACATCTTTTTAGTGGACACTGGTGGCTGGAGGAAATCGTGCAGTAGGAGGCGGGGAGGGAATTGGCGTTTATATATCCGGACTAGCCCACATGACAACATTTCGGTGACGCGTTCGTATACCCAGTGGTGGCCATTTGCCAGGGTCTGAAGTGATGTGTAATACTATCCACTCATGGCGCGGTGGTGATATGGTACCCCCATGAACTCTTCATGACCTTTCCTCATCCAGCCTCACTCGTGCCGAGTCTCAAAACTCTACGCCTTGAAATGATCCACTACACTAAACGGAAGAATCCCTTCCCCTCGACTCCTCCTCGACGCCGGATACGTCCATACCGGCATCGACCAAGCCAACCAGGCCACCACCCATACAAACCCAACCCCTTTCTGCCACCATCTTACTCCACGCGGATCCCCTCCTTCTTTCTTGATTCCAACCGTCCAAATTCCTACAACGGCGTCCTCGATGAGAAGTCCCAGCGCCTGTGTGACGAAAAAGCGAACCACGCCAGCTTCGGAAAGCGGGATTCCTGCCGTGACTTCCCCGCACACGTGCATGCAGCCCGAAAGAAAGAAAACGATTGCCGTGAAGATGTAGCGCGCTATGAGCGAGCTTTTGGAGAGCCCAAATAAGCCAAAGGTAACGTATTTGGCTGGTCCGGTTAAGTTGGAGATTGCACTCTGGTGCCAAAACATGCTTGATATGGAGTGTTAGCTGAGATATGTTCTGTGCAGAGATGCTGCAAATGGGGACGCAGGGGACCGGCTTACCCCCATGCGCGACGCAGAGACCACGCGTCCGATACGTCTCCAAAAAGCGGCCGCCATCGCTCTGGCTTGCTGAGACCCAAGGTGACAGTTACAACTGCCGAGCTCGCGTGCACGGCTTGGAAGAGGAGATATGTGATGATAACTGACGCAAGCGTGGTAACAAAACGCATCGCGACGTCTTCTGTCGTTACAGAGCCCAGTCGAGCGAAGAAAGGGACTTTGCTCTCAGCGAACAGGATGGCGTTCTTGGTAGTGTCTGCACTGGGACGACCTAGGTCGAGCAGAGTGACGGAAATTAAGACGCGCAGGATATTGTTTCGTAGAAAGATGCTCTTTGAGGGAACGTAGCTGGGGTCGTTCTTGTTGAAGGGAGGGACATTTTTAACCTCCCAGGGCGTTCCCGAAAGGCGGGTATCCAAGAGGTGGGCAATGCCGAAGTGCAGTCGCCGCCATATTCCGGTCACGGATGAAGGATGATCGCCCTCTTTCTCCTTGTGCGGCAAGAGTAGCGGGTTGCCTTCTGGGGTGGTTGTAGGGCCGCCGGCTTCGTAGGTTGATTTGCGCAGGACGACGGTGTCGAGGTACTTCAGCAATAAAGAGAAGATGCTACCGCCTAGAAGATTTGCGTACATAGGGTGTGTATAGGATACTTGTGTCGACGGGCGCAGCACCAGCCAAACGTTGAAGAGTAGGAGAGGAAGGCATGCCAGCCGGATGATGGATGATGGAGACGAGAAGCCCACGACAAAGACGCCTATGGAAAATGACAGAAAGAAGAGAGCAACGGGATGTTCTGGCCAGAGCACCATCTTGTTCGTCGTGGGTTAGTTGGATTGATGAGTTCCAGGGGCTTTGCAGCCTCATATACTGGGTGGTTGATGACGCTTTCGTACGAGAGAAGTTGCGGCGTAGGTTGCGCATGGGGTATACTGCTTACGAAGGATTCCGATGCTGCACCTTTGCGGCATGGTACCGGGACACGAAGCAGATTGTAGAGAGACTTATACCGGTTATTCTTAGCGCCCCTCTACCGTACAAAGACGAAGCATACTGTGTTTCCGGCGAAAAAAACGAGCCCAATACTAGCGCTCTTCGATGTTTTGAGTCGATTTCCTGTATCTGTGGTAATATAGAGAAGTAAATATAAAGAAGAAAGGACGTAGTACCTTGTCTTGCACAGTCTCACTCCAACAGATGCATCCCAAAAATATGAAGATCATCCTGCGTCCTCCATTCCCCAGCGAGGAAAATTTTCCCAGTCCACTTGTATATCCCGCGTCTCTTCATTCCAGTTTTGTCCATCACTCGGAAGCTTTTTGGATTACCCCCATTCACGATCGCTCTGACATAAATTTTCTCATAGGGTGCCCAAAAAGATCGTGCCCTCTTGCAGGCCTCAAATACTGCTGCCACCGATTCGGTTGCGTACCCCTTACCCCATGCGAAGGGTAGGAACATATAGGCCAGTTCGACGGTCAGTGTCGTGCTCGCAGCTGCGGCGGGCAGCGTTAGGTCCTCCGGTAACGCAAGCCCGTGAGCACCTAGTGATTTCAGAGTTATGAGGCCTACGAATTGCGTTGGTTTGCCCTCTTGCTCTGTGGGTTGCGGTTGGCCTTCAACAGAGCCGTCCCTCGAGTCCGGGATGCTGTGTATAGCATAGGCGACTCTGTATGCCTTCTCTTCTCCTTCAGTGGTGGGCAGATAACCTTTCATGACCTTCTCCGTGTCTTCCATAGACTTCGCCCGGCCAACGATGCTTCACAAAGTCAATTACGAAAATAATACACAGAAGTAAATTCACCATGGGCGGAATAACGAAGAGCACAGCGTACCTCCACCACGTAGCCTTCTCGTCGCTGTGCAGTGCATGAAGCCATTCGAACTCTGGACTTCCTCTTTCCGCTTTCGTGACAAGACTTAGCTTCAGTCGTGGGGTGGAAATGATCGGGTCCATCGGGTCGTTCCGCTGCTACGCTCGCCGCTATCTAAATGTCCGCCGCCGTCGATTGCTGCGTGTTCCTCTCGGTTTTGCTTTCAAAATTGTGCTGTAGGAAGTTTAGGAGAGAAAGCGTACGGAAAGGGTTTGAGCCTAAATCCTTGGGAGTCAGCATATGACTAAGCAATCCGTGATTGTCAAGGCGCGCAACGTCCTATCTCCGAGGAATCACCACAACGGTATGCGCGTTCCCAGCCCCAACGTCCCCTACAAGAAGCGAACCGACCTAACGTACTCAGCAAAGTGTCCATTCTGGCCCGGCGCAAACGTGAACGAGTTCCCGCTCACATCGCAGTTTGGAAGCAAACAAACCTTCATTACACCACCATAACTAGCACACCCCCTCCTCGAAGCGCGTCCACTCAGGCAACCTAGTGGCCTTATTGGCATCTATGGCTCTCATTTGGTGAGTTGCCCATTGCGGTGGCCCGAGAAGAGTTATTGCGAGTCACTGCGCAAATACGAGCACGAGGCACGTAGACCTGAGCACGAGCCGGCCCATGCCCTGGGAGGTGTTATTATACTCATTGGAGATGTCGACTTCAGTAAGGAAGAGTGCGGGTGAATATAGGTAGCCTCTGATAATGCGGCAGAAGCCCGTAGTGCCGTGGTACTAGAAGATGATCGCTGAGATAGATCTATGAGACCTACCTAGGTATGTTAGTACTGCGGTGGAAAGGGTTCTAAAGCCAGAAGCAAGCGGCCCCTGAGGACCTCGAGAGTCAAAAACCGTCAAAAGGCGTCTTCTTCCGTGAACGCGATGGACAAGGAAATATAGCTGCGTTGTCTGCTACGAGCTCAGTGGCGACGAAACGCCCTATCTACTTAGGTACATGAACAGAGTCGTCATGGTTTACACTTTGCTCTCAGTTGGTGCACCCGAACTGTGGCCGGCCAACTTCTCCTTGAGATCGTGCAATTCGTGCTTTGCAATCTCCCTTCGTCTTGCTGGCAACTTCTCCTCACCGACAAGCTTCTGTGGGAAGAACTTATGCCAGAAAGACCATAACAACGCCGTAATGAAGGTGATCGGCACTGCGACCACCCAGTATACCCAAAAGTCTTTTGCCACTCTCCACTCGCCAGTATCAGGATTGTAATTGAAGAATGACATGCTGAAAATGGCACAGATGTAGGTCGCCGGTAAGAACGTCAGGGTCAAGAACGCGATTGTCTTCATAGCGGCGCTGTCTGATTGAGCGGCTCGACCGATCTCGACACCGATGCGGGAATCATACTGCGTGACTGTGTTGAAGGCGTATTGGATCTCATTACTCAAGCGTTCTTTGTTCGAAGCCGCTCGGTAGCGAAGGCTGCGAGTCATGTGGTTGTAGAACTGAAGCCTGGATTGGAGCCGGTTCTGCGTGTTCCTGGTGGCCTCGTCGGTTGCGTGCTGAGAGCGAATAAAGGCATCATGAGAGGCTGTCATCATCTCTACTGTGGTGACCGCAAGGTCCAGTGTCTCGGACACATGAATTGCATGCCGAGCAATATCGTGCAGACGGAGGAAGTCCGGATGCGGGGAGTTAGGAGAACTGCGATGGATTTCGGTCTGTCTGACGAGATTTCGAATGCCCCACACAGCGTTATCCTGGAGCTGTAGTAGTTCTTCGAGCAAGATCCCATGAATCCAGTAAGGGTCAGTCGAAGCTAAAGGGTCGACGCGATACAACTCGGGAGCTAGTAAGCGATCTTTCACAGCAGGTTTCGGATCGAAAATCAGTATGACAGTCTGCTTCGTAGCAGGTAACCAGCGGGTGAAAATGTTGTATTTGAGCCAGATGTAGTCCTTTTGGCCTTTCGGAGAATTCTCGTACGTCTGCTTGACCAGTGCTTTTAACCACGTGTCTACAAGCTATTAGCTTGTTTGTTGCTATTATCGAAAACCAAAGCTTACTGTAGCCGCTGAAGGACGCATCTGGATTCCTAGTGCTTTCGCATCCGAAGTAGCCGTTTGAATTCTTGCAGCAATGTGCCCACCACATTTGCGGCATTTGGAATGTAAGAGTAAAGAATTCTCGCCACTCTTTATGTTCCCTGATGTGGTCTGCTTGAGCTATGCTGGAAATTGCAAGCGTTAGCATGTTTTGAATTTTCTCCTCACTGGAAGTAACATACATAAGGCTCAGGTCGAAGTGGCCGAGCAGGACAGAGCAAGGGTCTTCACAACCCTGAAACCTGGCTAACGAAAGCTGATCGCGATCCCAAGATGTGTCCTCTATGGTACAAAATTAGATATTAGTTTTCAGCATTGCAAAGGAAGCCATGGACACTCTCTTACCATGCCGCTTTCTCAACACCTCCAGGGAAGGAAGATCACTGCGAATAGGAGTAGCCATGAGGCCCTGGACTATCGCCAACTCAACTAGTGAAGAACCGGCGAAGGTACTCCTGATAAGGACGCAGAAGCACGCGGACCCAGGTTAGGTCTACTTCACACGCGGCTCCTCCCGAATGAACCAAAAGGCGTCTCAGCCTTGTACCCCGCTCAGGCCATGGCGATATTGCGTTCGAGTTCAGCTCGCGCTTGAGCATGCAGCCAAGGTTTCTAAACGAGACGTGGCTTGCTCAGCCGCAGCGCGTAACACGACCACAGGAATTCCCATTGACGCCAAAAACAATATTGATCACAACGGAAACGCCCGCAGGCTAGCGAGAAGGCAACGGGTGGAACTCACCCGGCGTCAGCGCCACACATGATTGGACAGCCTTGTGAAGGACCATCACCTCAGCGCACAGCCCCTATCATCAGATCCAGAGCGTCCGAAAGGCGCACCCATGCTTGCCTGTTCTGAAGAACGGTAGCATTGGTGTGAGGCTCTATGCATGTAGAAAAGGGCTGCCTGCCTGACATCCCCGGGTTCAGCCTGACGTCCTTATCGCCCCGCAGCCTGAGCCATGGCACCAACGACTCCCAAATTACGACTCCTTCGAAATCGGCCCTTATGTATTATGTGTGCACGAGATACTGAGGCAGAGGAGATTGCGAAAGCCTTGGGGATTGCAGACAACCGCATATCCGGCCACGAAGTCCAAAAAGTGAAGGATGGCTACACGTTCTATCTCGGCTCTTTCCGCCTGCTCTCCGGAGAAGAACTCCAGTACTACGTGACGAGTGGATTGCGCCAGGGAATTCAGTCTTTCACGATTCATGCTAGCATTCTTTTCAGTATCCTGCGTCCTCGGTTCGTCATCCATGCTGGAGTGTGTGCTGGATATCATGATCTAACGGGCAATGTCAAGTAAGGCGACTGGACATGTCACAATTACTATTATCTGTACGCTAATCACACTTGTAGGATGAGCATCACAGACGTCATCTTCGGTGAAGCTGCAATCAACTACGAGGAAGGCAAGATGGAAAACGTCGCCGGCCAGCTTCTCTTTCGGCCAGATTACAATCGTGTGGCGTGCAATGCGGGTGACCTGAAAGCCTTTGCGGAAGCATCCTCCAGACCAAATTATCACTATGGAGAGTTCATCTCCGGAGCTTCTGTGCGCACAGATGCTGATGTCATCTTTACCAAAATCCGGAGAGAGGTTAGTCCCCTCTAATACAACATCGAGCCCGACTTAGCTAACGATTCAGGTTAACCGTAACGCAATTGCGCTTGATATGGAAGCGAGTGCCTTTATCCAGTTGTGCGAGCACTTCGAAGGCGATCAAGTCATATCGCTTGGCGTAATCAAAGGCATTTCCGACTTCGGGGACTCGTTCAAGGGTACAGTGGAGAATGCGTACACGCATGCCTTGGAAAACACTGCGAAAGGCGTGAAAGAGTGGGTAGTCCACCGCATCAGGGCGATAACCTGGGCCATCAAAGAGGGTGAGTACCGGCATTCTGACGTAGCTTTTTGCTTCAGCTAAGAGCCAAATGAGATGACGAGCCAGGGGCCAGACTGGTACCAGGCTACTACGAGAACTTCATTCGCAGGGTTCTGGATAACTATCTCTCAGGGTGGCCTGTTACGGACAAACTTGATTCCAACATTGTGGTGAGCACTGTCCGGTCCACGTGCACTCGAGATTCAAGAGACTTACTGTGTTTCTTAGATCCCGCGGAATGAGATTAAAGGGCTAAAGACAGTGTTGCCGAAGAGTTATAGTCCGAGCTTTGTACAAGAGCTCGGTCATGTCCAAGCGCTCGTGCAACGGTTCCGGATACCAGAAGTGAACGTTGGCGGAGTAAGATCACCTTCCGACTCAGGTATATTTCAGGTCAAATCTGATGTCCATCTAGGATGCAGCTGGGAGATATCTCCACTACAAAGGCGGCTACTTCATGGACTGGTCGCGCACTGTCAATAGTCTGAAGATATGCGAGGATGGCGAATACCAAGTCCAGGTTTTCGGAAGGGTGTTGAGCAAGTGCGACTATTATAGCGGATCTGATGAGTCGCCAGCTGTTGCTTCTGTGGTGACTTGGGAAGATACAGTCCAGTGGCTGAAAGAATTGGAGAAGAGCGAAGAAGACGAACGCAAAGAGAAAGCAGCACAAGCCGCAAAACTGGAAAAGAAGGAAGAAGAGGAGCCACTAATAGAAAAGACCGCGGAGCAGAACATGCGAGAAGGACGCCAACTTGAGAGGGACAAGCCTCTCCCCTCAACCGTGCTCGGGGAAGGAAGGCAAGAAAGCCCGGCGCCAATCGAAGATCCTGCAGCTTCAACTGACGGAGGCTGCGGCTTCCCACATACACATTCCGCTGCTCACAACGGTGCAGCAACGAAGGAACGCCACAAAAGTGCACCTTCGGAACCAGTAAAGAGCGCAGGCAGACACTTCACATGGACTACCAAGCGCTCCAGAAGCAAGGAGCCGAACGCAGAGCAGAGAAATGCTGCGCTTCCTTCGAAGCGCCCACAGAGCAATGAGCCCAAAGGGAAGGGAAGGAGTGCTACCTTGTCGCCGAGAAGGTCAATCACGCGCTTGCTTCACTCTTTCCGGAAGCCATCTTCGGCGCACGAACAAGACGGTGTTATCCCGCCAATGCCAGGGAAGTAACGGCGCGCGATGCAAGGAAGACTGTGGTTATTTATAGCGGGAACTTGGAGGGCACACTCGGGCAAACAATAGGTTTCGTTGGCTCGGCGTTTGGGCTTCGCGATATGGTCCGTAGTCACTACCTTAATTCTTCCTTGTCCCACTTGAGTCTTGCTTCTTTCTCCGCTAGCAAATTCATCCACATTGCCAGCCTTATGCCTGCCCTAGTGATCTGCTGTTCGACGACTGCGACTGAACCTTGGTAATACTCTCCTGATAGCTCTTTCCCCCTCACATCCTCCACTCCATCTTTCAGCACGATACGACACACCAGTTCGTTGGCTTCCGTGGCCCAGCGTAGCAAAAGTTCTTTAGTGCTCGTAGCTTGCTCAAGGTCTTGTAGCCCATGGACACCGACAAGAGCGGCATTACCGTATTCATTCGTGCTCTTGTTATAGAGGCGTTCGGCCCAGGCGTATGCCGTTTCGACTTCGTTCAGTCCTTCCCCGCCAGCGATATCTCGCGGTATGAGGACATCCCATGCAAAATGCAAGTTCGTTTTGATGCCACGATATAAGACGAGGATGTCATTGCCGCCGCGTTCGATGCTTTCGGCATGAAGAGGACAGTGCAAGTCGCCGATGAGATGCAAGAGAAACTTCAGTGCCTTCTGCCTCTCCCTTGATGCTATTGTGGTCTCTGATATTTTCTCGGTCATGTTCATAGTAGCAGTTATGATACATGTCCGGTTCGGATGGCAATCTCGGTGATAGTCGACACTGCACGAGTTCGGTGGATCATCCAGAGCATCCACAAAGTGCCAGGAAGCGGTGTCGCGGCCCCATGGAAGTAGTTTATAGGTGTCTGCCCAGATGGCCGCGGAATCGATAGTTTCCTTTCCCAACAGATCTCTTGTATACCACGATGCCTCGGGCGTGAAGTACTTTTGGGCGAGCAAGGCGATGGTCCGATGGGCCAGGTTACCCCAGGCGGAGCAAAAAGGGAAACCAACGAGCAGGTAAAGAATAAAAGTGAAGGACTTCATTTGTGCGATGCAAAGATATGATGGTTAGGCAAGGCAGATTAAAGAAGTTGTCTGAGGGCGACAACAGGGTGCACGAGCAAGAGCGCCTCAGGAAACACGGGAGCAGGTCCCATCCAAAGAACGCTCTGGGGTGTCGCTCGTCTCTCGCTCACCCCCGTCATGCATATAAGCGGGTGGATGCAGGGAGGCTTGGCAGCTGAGGTACGTGGTGTCACAAGCCTCAGCCACAGCGCCCTGTGTTTCGCGGTCAGCTCATGGCAATGTGTTGCTGCCTAACAGCTCACTCTACCGTAGTTTGACATCTCCTAGGCATTCACGAAGCTGGCGTACATGAGCCGCATTGCTAGAATTTTCCGCTGTCATCAGCATCTCAACGTTTCTTGTTTTCGCCCGGCCCCGAGAGCCTTTCGCGCCGTTCGTTCTCAAAGGTACCTGTTTGCCGTGCACTGCCCAGCCTTCCCAGTCCCAACGAATATGTCGGGAACAGCCAGAAAACGAGCGGCAAGCACTACTGGAGCGTCCTCGAGCGGAGACCAGCGCGGAAAAAGACAGCGGCTTCCTGCGACGTGCGAATGGATCCTGCGCGAGGCAGCCTACCGAAGTTGGAAGGACATTGAGAATGTTGAATCACCTGTCCTTTGGATCCACGGTCCCCCAGCCTGCGGTAAAACGTTCCTCACGCAGTTCATCCTCGAGGATATCCAGCGGGAGGAGACAGGAGCGGTAACACTGGCAACACTGTCCTACTTCTGCGACGCAAACTCTACTCCCGCATCGGTACTCCGATCGTTCCTCGTCCAGCTTCTGCAGTCTCGGGCACTGGCGGACAGAGACCGAGCCATTATTACCGAATTCGCTGCTGAGGTTGCGCCCGGCGACGACGTTTTGCCTTTGGATGAGACATATAGGCTATGGGACGCATTCTCCAGCGTCATTCCTGATCTTGACTGTGTACGCATTGTCATCGACGGCCTAGACGAGCTCCCGGATAACAATGCGCAACCCTCGGCTTTTGACCTCCCTTCCAGGCTGGCAGACTTGGCGCGAAGTCATGCCGCGGTTACGAAACTGCTCCTCTCAAGTCGTACGGTGTCAAATATCCGAAGAGCGACAGCGGGCTCTGCCAGTATTCCTGTGACAGCTGCCTCAGTCCAGGAAGACTTGGAGCTCTTCATCCAAACCGAACTTGCGGAGCACCCAGGATTGAATCCATGGAGACGTAGCGTCTGTGCCGCTGTATTGGAGCAGGCTGAAGGCAACTTCATCTGGGCCGTTCTTGCGGTGAAGAAGCTGGCCGAGGAAGCTCCTCTTTCCGCTTCGCTCGAAGAGTAAGTGGAACCACAATCTACCGCTCGGTCCCATGCATTTCTCCTTGAGAGCGGTGCCTGTATCCTTTTTTTCCCCCTCGATGTACCCTACATCCTTCTCTTGCTGACGGATATGTCCAGTGAGGAACAGTTCTCAGAAAGCCTGAAGAGCATACCCGCCTCCCTCGACGACCTATACCTTTCGGTGTTCTCAAAGCAAGCCGCAGGCCTTACCAGAAGCCAGGTTTTGCTTCGTGATCAGATTCTCCGATGGATCTTGTTTGCGGTTCGCCCACTAAGTCTTGTCGAAACAGCCAATGCCATCGACGTTGAGTCAAATGCCTTCATTCAAGATCTTGAGGCCCAGGCAATCGAGGTCTGTGGCTCGCTCATCAAGATCGAGAACGGCGTCCTGAAGCCCGTCCACCACTCATTACGCGAGTTCCTCCTGAGAGACCACCCGGCGCAAAAAGAAATACTGAGCGTCGAGCGAGGATCCAGCAATCTAAGGATTGCCAAGTCCCTCGTAACGTATCTCGCCCATCCTTCTTTTTCCAGCATTGAGGACCCTCTAAACAGCGCGCACTTTCCAACCACACACCCGCTTGCGGAGTACGCGAGCCTCTACTGGGTTTATCATGTCAGCAATGCCGCCTATGACACAAACCTGCAGGCTTCCATCAGTCAGTTTTTCAGCAAACCCACGAACTGGGTGGAATGGGCAGACAAATTACTGCCCCACTTTCTTCCACGGTCAAGGTTGCAGATTCCGCCACGCCCGTTCAATACAGCTCGCTTCCTCCACCTCTTCATTTTGAAAGCGCAGCTCGTCTCCTACTTCAAAGAGCCGGAAAAGACAGCATTTGCAAACATGGTGGAGGATTCGTTGCGGCTCACCTATGAAAGCTTCGTGGCCCAAGCCCAGTCAAAGTCGGGCCCCGAGAGCCTTGAAGCGGTGCGTCGTCTGCTCGATCTTGCCGAGGTATACAGCTGGCTGCCGAAATACAAGTCTCAGGGACTGGCCCAGCTACAGGCTGCTTCGTTCATTATCTCTGGGGCTTCTGAGCCGGGTGCCCCAGATCTGGGCATTACAGTATCCCAGGCACTGGCGGATGATTACAAGCGCGCAGGGAGGTACAAGGATGCGCAGCATATTCTTGAAGGCCTGATATCGAATGCCCGCCTATCATCGAAAGATCCCAGACAAATGTTCGCCATCGACAGTTTAGGCTGGGTGGCTATGCGACTGGGTGACATGGAGGCAGCTCAGACCTACCTGGAAGATGCCAAAACCCTTGCAGCCCAAATCTACGGCACCCAGTCACCGATGACTCTTCGCTCAAAGGTGACGCTCGCCGAAGTGCTCGGCAAACTCGGAAGGCATGAGGAAGCCGAAGCTCTCTGCAGTGAGTTAAAGGAGCAGTTACGCCAGCATCGCGACGATGGAGTTCCCCTGCCAAAAGATAGCATCTCGCAACTGCACACTTTAGGGGCCATTTTCATGCAGGAAGAGAAGTTTCGAGAAGCGAGGGATACGTATCGGGTCGTTGTCGATGACAGGAGGAAGATATTCGGCGGCGAGCACGGAATGACTCTTGGGGCGGAGATGCAATTGGGTATTGCACTGGAGAAGTCTGGGGACCAAGAAGGAGCGAGGAAACTGTTTGAGAATCTCCTTCCGAGACAGGTTAAGGCGTTGGGAGAGAACCATCCAGATGTTAAGCTAGTGAAGGGGGAGTTGGAAAACATGTGGTAGCATGCTTAGGGGACTGTACGTTAGGTTCGTCGTGATACTCAGGGGCATCAAATCCAAAGCAACTCATCCCAAGTGAGACCTGAGCGGGTCGTCTGCTTTGTGGGTCGCGGCCTGAGTGTGAGGGCAGCCGCAATTTCCGCTCTCCTAGGCAACGCCGGATCCACATGCTGGGCAGGTTTTCGGGGTCTTCATGGCAGCTTCAATGAAGCCTGAGTGCGGTGGTTGATAGATGTAGAGCTTGAGCAGAAAACTCTGAGCTGGGCAGCCCCACCAGGTTATGTAATCCTTTTCACGTGACTGGCTCCGGGACTTCAACCTTGGGAAAACTGGCTTATTCAGTGTTACAGTTATCTACTTAGCTTCTCACTTCCTACCTATTTATACGAAGCTCTGTATGGCTCAAACCCCGCTATCAAAGATGCGCAGTTCGGATGTGCACTGCCCGAAGAAAAGGGCACTGCAATCCACACCCTTCCACAAAACTACCCAACATGGTAGTTTCGGGCCATTTACGATCCTGCGAGCACGAGAACGTCGTACGCGCCAGACTATAATAGGCTCCCAAACCAACCGTTGCCTTCCCGCATGATCTCCTCATTCGACACCCCTCACAAACTTTCCCAATAAAGGCCTTCAGCACATGCCGTGCAACCTAAGCGTAAACATCGTATTCCCTCCGGACATTTATCTCGCTCCGAAAAAGCCCCTCCCGGACCGAAGCACGCCGACGATTGGCCCACAGCCTATCACCCAGCGTCTTGGTGAACACGGCTGCGTGTCCCCAGCAATCGACGGTTCCACCCCGCCTTCCCAGAACGGCAGTTTGAGAGTACGCGTGTACTGTAAGGGCGTTGGGCCAAAGGCCGGGCTATCCGCACTCCGCAAAGTGAGGCTTCGCATCGAGCCGTGCTATCCGCACTGTGATCGATGGTTCGATGAAGAATTACTGGAAGCAGCATGTTGGAGAGAGGGGCTGGTACGACGATGTTGGGGGTCGCGGTCTAGATCGTCAGGCACGGATAACACGGGCGTCAGCTCAGAAACCCCCGCGATAGCACGCGATCTCACGTGTGCGACGGAGCTAGGGTGTCGGGATCGCAGGATTCGATGGGGTTTGTAAAATTGCCCGGATGGGCAGTTTGGCTTAATTTCAACTAAGCTGTGCCACATGCGGGTGTGTACTCCCTCCTCCGCTAGCTACCTATTGCATTTAAGATAACACTTAGATCTTCGACTCAACGTGCGCGGCATAGCCTTGCTTAGCCTCAACTTCCTCCACTCTGTGCTCGAGATCGTGCGTGTCAAACTCGCCCTTCTTTATGCCTGGAACGAAGAGTGGCGCATTGGTGAAGAGGTAGTTCATCTCCTCGAGCGGACGCTTGGCGGTCTCGGGGAGCACGGCCCAGAAGAAGATTGCATTCGTGAAGTTACAGATCTGTAAAGTAATAAGCGTTGGATTGCCATGCGACTGAGTTCAGTACTTACGATGAACAGGAAATAGTAGCGGTACCCGACTTGGGTCATCGCCGGCTTGGTCACCTGGCCAATCATGGTGTTGAAGGCAAACGAAACCATCGTCGCGAGTGCGACACCTTTCGCACGGGTTTTTGTGTCGAAGATTTCGGCAGGAATAATCCAAGACAGCGGGCCGCATGTGGCGCTGAAGGAGAAGTTGTACACCCAGGTTATGACGATAAAGCCCCAGGCGGCAGCCTTGTTGTCGCTCGCGCCAGGAGGGAACTTAGCCAGCAGAATCGTCGCAATAATGAAGGTCACCATGTTGCCAAGGTTGCCGAGGATGAGCGGCCAGCGACGTCCGAAGCGGTCGATTAAGAGGATACAGAGGAACTGCGCAACAAGAGCGATGACCGAGGAAATGGCTTGATACTTCAAGGTATCATCTCCTTCAATTCCCATGAGGCCGTAGATCGTGACGGAGTAGTACTGGATTGCGGAGACACCCGTCATTTGGATCGAGGCTTGAATGGAGCAGGCGAGGAAGAGACGGCGGAAGGAGGACTTGTCGGTGAAGAGTTCGGTCCAAGACTTCGCTTCGTGTTCATGTTCGAAGGTGATAGCATCCTGGATCTGGTCGTATTCCGCGCGAACCCAAGTGTCATTCTCATCGCCATGGGCATGGAGCCTTGCCAGCGTGCGTAATCCATCCGCTGGCCTGCCGTGATCGATGAGCCAACGGGGTGATTCGGGAAAGAGCAAGATGAGCGCTGCAAGGAGCACGGCCGGAAGCATCTGGATACCAAGACTCGTGCGCCATTGTCCATCGTTGGTTGGGTCGAAGCCGACGTATGTTCCTAGGGAATCTCAGCTCTGAATTTCTACTCAAGGAGTTCGATCGCTTACCGTACGAGATCCAAGCGGCCGCTAGTGCTCCCACGCCAAGCATGAACTGCTGGAGAGCAGTGACACGTCCACGAATACTTGGATGGGAGATCTCTGCTTGGTACAGCGGGACGATCATGCAGAGGACGCCAACACTTCCGAGACATCAGTATACAGACATGTCCCATGGCGCAAGAAGAGCCTACCCGACCCCAGCAATAGCACGCCCAGAGTATAGGTACGATAGAGCTTGCGCTCCGGTCTGCAGAGCACCTCCGACGCAGAAGATGAGGGCGCCAATCAGGATTGTAAGGCGTCGACCAAGCGCATCAGACATCAAACCTGCTCCACCAGCTCCGAAGAAGGCCCCGCCTGTGAAGACAGACACAACCGCTCCAGTCTCATCGTCGGTCGGGTTGAACCTGCTAATAAACGATTGCGACGCGATAACTTGAGCGATAACACCCAGATCGTACCCGTAGAGGACGGAACCCAGGGAGGCGAAGACGCCCACGAGGAACTAGATATTCGATGTTAGCGCAACGCATACTGAGAGAGCAGAATCAATGCCGTACCTGGTACCACTTTGGAGGAATAGCCATGGTGCTTCAACGCCTTCGATCAACAGCTCCCGCAGCGAAAAAGATGCCAGACCCACACTCACGGTCCTTGCACGACTTTATAGCTCCCAGCAATCGGGCGGTCCCTGCCTGTCAACCATGCGTTGACCGGGAATTCCACGACTGATAGCCAGCGACGCTTTCCCCAGGTTCTCCATGTCCCCGCTTCCAGCCCACCACTTTTTTCCGAGCACTGCAGGCATTCCAAGGTTCCACCATCCGGCGGCAGCTCCCCGGCTCGCCACCAACGCTCCGAGGCATCGGAATTGCGCTCGGTATATGATCGACCGAATGACTGGAGGGAGAACGCTCGCTAGAGGCGGACGTTGTGCTGGGAGGAGTTTAGACCTGGATAAAATCGAAGGTTGAGGTGGCACGCAGATTTTCCGCGAATCATGTTCGGACGCGCTAGGCTGTTTTAGGTGCACCTGCTTCCAGATCTTCAACATCCCTCACGTTTGCATCGAACCACGAATTTTGATATATTTCCTCGCACGATCCAGTCTGGCAGTTGAGGAAGGAAGCGTGCAAGATGGCGACGTTTACGAGGATCGCGGACGATGAAAGCCCGTCTATCACCATCCATCCCAACCACAAAATCGCCAGGGTCAACAACAACATCTATGGCGGGTTCACTGAGTAAGAAAAGCGCCGAGTTCTAGATGCATGTGGAAGCTCACCCAAAACCAGGCACATGGTACTCTAGGCCATTATCCCACCAACGTCTTACGTCTGACACTGTTCTTGCAGGGCCGCTGCATTTACGGCGGTATCTACGACCCCGGAAATTCTCTATCCGACGAAAATGGCTTCCGAAAGGACGTCATAGAAGCGATGAAAGAGTTGAACGTCCCGGTGGTAAGGTATCCGGGAGGTAACTTCGTCGCGACCTATCATTGGCTCGATGGCGTTGGACCTAAAGAGAACAGGCCGAAGAGGTAAGGACTATTTCTCGCTCTTCGTACACTGGAGTACGCTTAATCCTTTGACAACGTCACCGCCTATTCACACTCGTACTTATCTGTTTTCAGGCCTGAGCTCGCATGGCTCGGAATCGAGTCGAACGAATTCGGGACCGATGAGTTCATGAAATGGTGCGAGATCGTTGGCACTGAGCCCTATTTGTGCCTCAATTTCGGCACTGGCACTCTAGATGAAGGTCTGTGTGCCCTATCTTCCCGCACTGAAACCACATCTCTAATGTATTTCAGTACAGCCCTAGGATGGCTAGAATACTGCAACTCCACCCAAGACACACACTACGCGAACCTCCGCCGCAAGAACGGTCGCGACAAGCCCTACAAGGTACTCCTCTCCCTACCCTCCCTCTCCAAGCTCTAACTCACTCCGTAGGTCAAATACTGGGCCCTAGGCAACGAATGCTGGGGCCCCTGGCAAGTCGCCCAGCTCACCAAAGAGGACTACGCGAAGAAAGCCTACCAATGGGCCAAAGCGCTCAAACTTCTCGACCCCTCCATAACCCTCATTCTGTGCGGCGAAACTGGCTACTCCTCGTGGGACTACTACGTGCTGAAAGAGTGCGTGAAGTGGGACGTCCATGGGCTCAGCGGGGATAACACGAAGAGCCTCATCGACATGCACAGTATACATATGTACACCGCAGATAAAGAGCACTTACCCAATGCGACAGCGCCCAGGGGTGCCGAGCGCGCGATCCAGATGGCAAGCGCGCTGATCGATCTCGCGAGAATCGAGAACAAGGTCCCCGAAACGGTGCCCAAGCAGACGATCTGCTTCGACGAGTGGAATGTCTGGGATCCAGTGCGTGCTCCCGGTGAGCAGGGAGCGGAGGAGAAGTACACGCTCTCGGATGCGCTCGCAGTGTCGGTCTTCCTGAACGGCTTCATCCGGCAGGCGAAGGATATGGGCATGGCGAATATCGCGCAGTCTGTCAATGTCATCTCGCCACTTATGACGAGCAAGGAGGGGATCGTTAAGCAGACGACTTGGTGGCCGCTGCTGCTGTTCAGCAAGTACATGCGTGGGCACAGTGTTGCAGTGAATGTGCGGAGCCCGGAGTATACGGGGCGCACGAATCCGAAGTGGATCCGTGGGACTACTGAGACACCGTATCTGGACTGCAGTGCTACGGTGTCGGATGATGGGTACGTGAGTCTTGCGGTGGCGAATTTGAGTGAAGAGAAGGCTTTTGAGGTGCCGCTAGAGGGTTTGAAGGCGGAGACGGTCGAGGTATATACGGTGAATGGGGATAGTGTGGATGTTGTGAATGCGGCAGGGGAACATAAAGTGGGGATCAAGGAGAGTTCGTGGGATGGAAAGGGTCCTTTCAAGTTCGGAAAACACTCTTTTACCCTGCTGCGATGGAAAGCTGGCGCGGCATAGATGCTGTCTCAGACGCGTAATTATCTTCAATTCGCCAGTGATAACTCCCGACCTCAACCATAAAATCCATAAAATCCATGCCTTCACCCAGCTACGTGCGGCTCAATCTTCGATCTAGTTATCCCATACAGCCAGTGATGGCGGGATGAATGTCTTACTAGCCAGCATAAAACCGTTGACTATAGATGCCCGAGTTGAGGTTGAGTTCGTAGACCATGCGCTCCCTCCCCAGTAAGCGTACCCTGCCGTATCACCAGCATTGGTAGTAGCGAATTTTGGATGAGACTACCCAACCGAGGCATTGCACCCGAATCCCAAGCCGAGGGATTTTGGGTATGTGTTGGGGTAAGGTATCCCGACGAATATGCCCTCGGCGCCTTCGAGGCTGATCTCGCTGGACAGGAGGTTTCTCAGCGGCGTACTTAGCTCCGGGGCTTAGGGGGTAATGGAACTATATATATCAATCTCCTAGCATGAAGCGATGTTCTTCCAGAATTCTTCAACTCTGCGAGTTTCTCTGAGATTCCAATCCACCCACCAAACCCTCTCCCTCAAACTACTTCCAGAACGACAGCGTCAACGTTCACACCAACAAACCTCCACAATGAAGCTCAACCCCACCATCCTCCTCATGGCCCTCATCATCATGTTCGCCTCTGCGTCTCCTACCCTCAAGCGCGACGACACACTCACCAACGTGAGCTGCGACGAGTGCAACAACAAGCTCAACGATTGCATCAGGGTGCGTCTTCTAATCTTCAAACGTTCTTCATGCGAGCTAACACGCCGGGGGGGGAAAGGCCCTTGAAGCTAAAGGCGACTCCGAGCGTCATGCATGGAGGGTCTGCCTCAGGGATACGATGCTCTGGCACCGCGAGGTGAGTTAGTCGGCTCGGTCCGAGAGAGAGGGATCTGAAGGGTGAGAGAAATGCTAACTAGGTCGCGATGCAGTGTTCGTGCTGCTTGGGCTTCAAGTGCTAGAGATGTGGAGTTCCTTGGGAAAAGGCCGGCTCTCAGTGGTCGGTCTTCGGATCTTGGGATCACATGGGTACCCTCCTCTCTGCTTTATAGATGTCATTTCATCTCTTCGGAGGTTGGATACTCCCCTTTTCTTTGGATATGGCCTTGGCTTGGATCCGGTTCGGGGACTGAAAAGCGGCAACCCATTTATTCAGTTAGGGCTTAGTTAGTCTCAATAACGCAGCTCCTAGCTCGTCACAGTTATTACGTCCCATTTTTGCCTTCACACAGTGTATACGGGCTGGAATGTCTCCCTACTCGGCGTGATTCTTGTTTGGTCCTGGAAGGGTCCGATGGAAGGAAGCAGATGGGAGTGAAGGTGCGCTGGCGCAACTAGAAAGCCTACAGAGACCCGCCGAGCGAAGTTTGGTCACTTTCCAAGGTGCGATTTGTGGTGCAGCGGCGAGATGTCGCGAAGTGCTGAGCGGAAAAGGTTCTCCTGCTTGCTGCCACCACAGCGAAGTCGTCAACACCCCAACGATCTTTCATCGTTCTTCTAGACATCTTCTACTTCTCAAGCCGAAAGCTAGGAGGTAGTAGCTGCGATTACTATTCCCCAAACAACTGCGTCGAAGTCCATATCGGCATGCTGACCAATCAGCGAAATGCCGGCCCCCGTGACTTCTTCCCGAGATGCCTCGGTACCTCTCGCCCCACAACCTCGTTAAAGACTCCGCCTCGGACCTCCGCATCCTCCGCATTTCTTCACCTCCAGCCCTCAACAATTTCTTCCTTTCCCCATCTAACTTCTCAATTGCCCTCTGTACAGCTAACGGTCGCCATGACGGAACGTCTAAAGTCCATTGTCTCGCAGATGTCGCCGTCTAAGAGCGGTCTGAGCGCTATGTAAGCTTCCCCGCGACTTTCCCGCTTTCACGAGCTAGAGGTTCGATGACGGTGGAATGGGGGAAGAATTGTGGGATATAATCGCATGGCTAATGAATGAATTCTAGTACGACGAAAAATCCTGATGATATCGTCATTACGCTCGCTATCCGAACGCCGCTTGCGAAGGCATACAAAGGAGGCTTCAAGGACACGCCGCTCGATGGCCTCGTCGTCAAGCTGCTGAAGCAGGTTATTGCGAAGTCGAAGCTGGATCCGCAACTTGTCGAGGACATTTGCTTGGGCAATGTACGTCTCAGCTCTCACCAGTCCTCCCACCACATTGCGATATCTACTTCCTCCCCGCCAGCCCCACCTCCACATCGACACAGCTGACGATGCTCAACACAGGTCTCCGACGCAAAAGCCGCCTACTACGTCCGCGCCGCCATGCTCGGCGCCGGCTTCCCCAACACCACCGCCGGCTCCTCCGTAAACCGCTTCTGCAGCTCCGGCTTGAAAGCCGTACAAGACATCGCCAACCAAATCGCCATGGGCAGCATCGAGATCGGCCTCGCAGTCGGCGCGGAGTCCATGACTGTCGGCGGCGACCGCCTCGAACGCCCCTTCTTCGGCGAGATCCTCGAAAACCAAGAAGCCTGCGACTGCATGCAGCCCATGGGCCAGACCAGCGAGAACGTCGGCAAGGACTTTAATATCAGCCGCGAGGCACAGGACCGGTTTGCGACTGAGAGCTTTAGAAGGGCGGAGATGGCGCAGAAGGCGGGCTGGTTCGATGACGAGATTGTGCCGATTAAGGTCATGCTCAAGGATCCGAAGACCGGCGAGGAGAAGGACGTTACGCTGACGAAGGACGAGGGTCCCAGATGGGGCACCACGTTTGAGGCGCTACAGAAGATCCGGCCGGCGTTCATGCCGCATGGCGATCGCTCGACGGGCGGAAACTCATCGCAGGTCACCGATGGCGCGGCCGCGGTGCTGCTCATGAAGCGCTCCAGGGCGGAGCAGCTGGGTCAGCCCATCCTAGCAAAGTACGTCGGCGCGACGGTTGCGGGTCTCGCGCCGCGTATCATGGGTATCGGGCCGAGCATTGCGATTCCGAAGCTGCTTACCAAGTTCAATATTTCCATGGACGATATCGATCTCATTGAGCTCAACGAAGCGTTTGCGTCGATGGCAGTGTACTGCTTGGAGACGCTGAAGATCGATCCTGCGAAGATGAATGTTAGGGGTGGTGCTATTGCTTTGGGGCACCCGCTGGGATGCACGGGCGCGCGGCAGATTGTTACGGGGCTGAGTGAGTGCCGGAGGCAGAAGAAGAAGATTCTGCTTACGTCGATGTGTATTGGCACGGGTATGGGCATGGCGGGTCTGTTTGTCAATGAGCAGAATGTGTAAGCTTGTTCGTATAGCATATTTATTTTATCAGTAAAAACTTCCCGATGTCCGGACAATGCCAAAACGACACAGTGCATGCAGCAGGTAGCTCTTTGGAGGGGAGGAGGGCGCTGCAGTAATACGGCACAGTTGCATGCGCGCGGAGAATGTCCGTTGTCCGAGCTCAGTTCGTACGTTCCACGAGCTTGCAGGCCTTCGCTGTGTATCTGCCAAGGTATCGCCCTCTGCACGATTGTGGCCAGCGTGTCCCGGGGTCAATTTTGGGACACCATGAATGAATTTGGAGCTTAGCTACGTAAGTATGATCTGCTTCTGCATTGGCATCACCAGATGCGCAGCGACACCCCCAACAATGCCTTCACGCGTGTAGACAGATCAGTGAAGCGACGAAGAAACGGAACCCCATGCTGATGCAGAATGGCAGAAGTCACTCCGGGAATAGCAGGAAGTCTGGTTGGCTGTGCCGCAATGTGTCTCACCAACACCCACGCTCGGAGCCAGCGTAATCGGGAAGCTGCACCTAATATAACGTGCATCGGGGTAGGCCACAACGTAAAGTTGCGGCGTAGTCTGAACATCACCGTGCACTCCTGGATTCTCGACTGGGTACACTCCACATGCGAAAGACTTCCATCCGAATCTTTCGGTCACCATCCCAAATTTACCCCCATTGTTTCCTGCCATCCTTTGCACATTATGGAAAATGGGGATTTTAACCTCTTGGAAGCCGAAGTGCCCCTCATTGAAGACCTGCGTCGTTTGAGTGGTGCGGTAGCACTCTCACTCGGTGTTTTCCACCATGGCCGCATTATCTATACTAGACACTTCGGTCGTCGAGATGTCGAGATTCCTGATCCTCCAAACGATGATACAGTCTACTATTTGGCATCCGTATCGAAATGCATCGGTGTCTGCGCTCTAGCGCGTCTGGTCTCGGATGGCGTTTTGGACTGGGATACACCAATCCGCAAATACCTACCAACATTCGAACGCACAGAAGACGAATTTGGACAGCAAGCGACATTGCGCGATCTTGCTTGCCATCGGACAGGGTTACCGCTGGCGAACTTCTGGTGGGGCCAGATGGAAGGCGAGCTTTTGCTCAACACGGCGCAGCTTGTTCAGCAGGCGTGTCATCTAAAGACCATCGCGCCCTTTCGATCGTCATTCTACTACTCAGCCTGGAACTACTTTCTCATTCATGCCATTGTCGAACGCGTCACGGGAATCTCGTTCGGCGAGGTAGTAAAGACACTCTTGCTTAATCCACTGGGCCTCAAAAACACCACGTTCGACACGCCCCCAGCGACGCCGAACTTTGCCTTAGCGCACGCTGCACGCAACGATGGAACGTCATCGAGAATACCCATGAACTCCTTGGATTCATCCACTGGGTTAGGTGCCAGCATGGGTGGAAAGGGCACAATGGAGGACATGCTCAGCTTCTTCAGTGCCTTTGTCTCAGCCTACCGCTACCAGAAAGAACATGGGGTGGATAGTACGCCAAATACTCCCTTTTTTCAACTCCGAAGTGTCCTCCAGCCGCAGATTTCCGTCAAAGAAGACTCACCCTCATCGTATTGTATGGGAATTTACCGCACGAAGCTTCCCGGCGTACTTAGCTGCGCAAGCCTCAACGCCCCGCTACTAGGGCAGAAGCTTCCAATCTTTGGATCCAACAACCCTGGCACGGAGATCTTTCATCATACGGGTAACCTTCCTGGGTGTTTTGGTAGCTACTTCCTTATCCCCGAGACACAGAGCGGAGTTGTCTGCTTAACGAACACGACACCGCTCTTTGACCCGACGGACTTTGCCGCCCAGATTGCACTCGGCGTGCTGCTTCGAGAGAGTAAACCAGACAACTTGCTAGCTCTGGGAAAGCTAGCCGCGAAGCAGCAAATCGGCTGGTACCAGAACATTAACAAGTACCTTGCCAGCAAGCGCACATCCGTTCGCCCCTCCGTGCCTCTCGCGTTGTACGCCGGGACCTACATTAATCGCGCAGCCAACTTCAAACTCGTCGTCACACCTACCGCTACGGGTCTTCGCATCGCAGTTCAGGGCTCCTCCAAGACTTTTTATGACCTGGAGCCATTGGACGGCGATACGTTCTTCTGGCCCGCTGATCGAGATCGCGGGCTGTGTCGGGGCATGTTTCCATATCCCTTCTCACCACTTCATACTGTGAAATTTTGGGTCAGAGAGAGCTGGGTTGATAGGTTGATTTAGCATACGGATATGCTGACGAAGCCGGACATTTTCCATAGAGCCTCTGAAGGGAGCAGCGGAAAGTTCTGAGATATTTCCTTTTCCATGTTGATTGCAATCGTTGCCAGATATCTCCAACAGTCTGTCGCCAATCGTTCCAGCTACTTGCTTGTCCTTCTTTCAACAGCAGTCGATCTTCACGTACTCAACATATTCACGATTTCTGAAGGAAACGAAGAACTGCTTTGGTCGCATTGGCCCTTCATTCCGGTCTATGTTCTGGGGCGGTTGGTGACGGGGTATTTTTCAGATTTAGGAATGTGTAGAAGTGACATTCTAGTTGTCACCGCTGCTACTCACTTCGATATGGCTGGTCAAGAATACATTAGCCCTGCTCATCTATATTCCCATACTCACTTGGTCGGTGCAAGCGGGTCGCGCGTCAACGACATACTGCCCAGCACCTTCATCAAAGCAGTGTCAGAGGGCTGCTCTAGGTAGGCGGCTTGCACGGCACACTCCACGTTGGGGTTGATGTAGAACTGGGGGACGTTGGGTTCTTGCAAACGTCACTGTTCAGGTGGCTAGGCGGACGCCAATGTACGTAAGCCTTAAAGTTGTGGGGCAAAGCTTTAGCTCGGCGCCATCATGTTGCACGTCAAGCCGATGTAAGTGTAGTAATGAATCGATAACTTCCAAGATTCGCGACTTGGCTGTATTGGTAGCAGGTCGGGCTTAGTAAGGGAGCATAGAGTGTAATCATTGTTCCCGTCATTGCAAACCTGTCCCATTGACCCTAAGCGCCCCTCCCCTCCTTGCGCCAGTTACCATTCTCCAGCCTCTCTGCCCTTTGCCAGCGGCCTCCATACCCCACACTCTAATTGTAAGCCCTCAACTCGGCCTGCTCGTCCGCCACCCTCCACCCCCGATTCTCCTTACTCATCTGCTCCAGCGCACTCATCTTCTTCTTTTCCGCCGCTGCTCCCTTCCTCTTCTGCTGAGTCTCAAAGCGCTGCTGCGCGGCTGCAGCGCGGCGCTCGCGCTCCTTCTGTATGTGAGCAAACAAAATTTAAATGGGAGCAGGAAGATGGGGATGAGGGTGCGAGAAAGGAAAAGGGAAGGGAGGCGCTTACTTCGGCTTGCATGCGAGCGCGTTCTTCAGGCGAGATGTCGGGCTCCGGGGTGGGGGCGCGGCCTTCGAGGACTTGGGAGGAGGATTGGCCCATTGTGTTGGTGTTCGCGTGAGGAGCCGATATGGAGGACTGAAGTTTCCAAGGGTGCAGACAGAGCGAGTGAAACGGAATCGCAGGGCGATGTGGACGGGCGTCCTCTTGAAGAAGAGGAGGCGGTGGAATGGAATTTAACTGCGCCCCGCGAGGCTGAGGCGGCACGGTCCGCAGCCCTTTCCCTATGTTTCAAGTAGTGACGCGGGTCCACGTGATTGGAGCATTCACAGCATTCACTCGATTGTTTCGAGCGCACGTTTGTGACGGGCGGATGAGGGACGGGAGAGGAGGGAAACTCAAGGGCGTATGATGAGAGCGCTTTGGGTTTTATGAGTTGATGGATGCACGGACGTTTGTTCAAGGCAGCAGCCCCTTCGGTGCGAAAATCCTTCGACCGTGTTGGGGTTGGGGGCCATCGCGCTAGGCTAAATCTGGATAAATATCACGTGCCGCAACGCTCACTTGTGCATGGAAATTATGATTCTCAAAAAGGATCTAAAGCAATTTCCTACGGTTACATGAAGAGACAGAATATTAGAAAATTGACCTGGAATAATAGACCCAATGGACCGGATTTTGAAACCATGAAAAACCCGTGTGTTCCGTAACCATACCTGGAACACTTCCTATCATAACTTTGGAGATATATCGACTGCGAGTAAGGCCGAAAGACTTCTGAAACGTTTTCGAATAAGAAGTCCCATGTTCTACTCGTGGAAGTGGCGCACAGGCTTGACCTCTAGCCCAATCCCCGTGTCCCTGATATCATCCCATAGCCTGCTCCTAAACCACGGTTTGTCCCAAGGCCAGTCATCCTCGACAAAGATGTACACGTGTTGCAGCTTAGTGAAACTCCCTGCTAGAATACTCTGGTAGAACAGTTCCAGCCACGCCTGTATCGCGGTATCCGCTTCGAAGATCTCTAGAGACTCCACATTCTCGGGCAGAAATTCGACAGGGCTAGTCGTTGTCATAGCTGCGATCCCGTCGGTATCGATAGCGGGCAAGGTGGGATTGTGGAATGCTTGCTGGGGCACAGCAATGCGTCGAAGCTTTCTGAGTCGATGCAGAGTTAGGAGGGGTTCAAGTGAACGGAAGAATCGCGTCGTCTCTTCGGTCCAGTCGTCCTCATCAAGGATAGGTAGAATGACGAAAGACTCTAGAGTAGAAGCGAAGCAATCGAAGGACCCACTTAGGAGCCCGTAGGAACCATCGACCATCCACTCGGAGGGGTCGACGACCCCCGCGTGAATGCGCACACATATGTGCTGGAGATGGATCAGCCTGCGACTGAGCTGATTTATATAGTCAATCTCGACTTCCAGGAATTGGGAGAACGCTCTAAGCTCCCAATCGATGGTGAAGGAGGTGATGTTGGAAGTCAGCGCTTCGTTGGCCTGGCGTATGTTAAGGTGTTACCGGTTATATAAGGCGTTATAACTGAAAGAGCAGAAGGATTGGATCCTTTTGCTCCGGATATAAGGGCATCCGGTGAAAGAGTCCGAAAGTCGAAGAAGACTACTCGCAGGCTCGGTAGCATGGCAAGCGGCCAGTCTATTGTTCCAGCAGGCACCACCAATTCTTTCAGCTTCTTCAATCCGAGAATGGTTGTGTAGTCGAAATCAGAGGCCGGAGTGCCGAACACCAGAGCAGTCATGAAATGCATCACGCCCGAACTCCGCGCGTCTTCGTCAATGCTACGGAAATACAGCTACGAGAGGTTAGGTACGAGAGCTAGTACTAAGCCGGCAAAGGCGGGTTCAAAGCTGCTGCTGATGCACCACATCCACCAAGAGTTCTTGTGGACGCCAAGGGTGTCAAGGAAATCCTTAGCTAGGTCTTTGGTTTCATCCAGACCACACTGGCAGGCGGCAATGCGGTAACAGTCTCTGCCGTGGACGATTTGACGCTGGTCCGTGTAGATTTTCAAGCCGGCAACTCTCCTCGCGAAATCCGGTCGCTCCATAAGGGTTCGTGCGAAGGGTATGATTGTACTCTCACCACTTCTCGACAGATATAGTGTGACGCAACTATAAAGGCCCTGGCTCCTGTTAGCGATACTACTACGCTAGAGGATGGTAGGAGAAATAGAGTACGAGTGTGTGTCTAGCTGCGAAAGGGAAGCGATAAAAGTGAGATTACTTACCTCCTGTGCAATAGGTCGCAGCCTCTGACAGGTGAGTGATAGAGCGCTCAAGTCTGTCCGCAAAGGCATATATGACAGAATGCGGAGTAGCAATTCGGCCGGCAGCTGAAGTATGAAATTCATGGCGCCCGGTCGCGTTTCTGCCGTGTACGGGTGCAATATGTGCACCTAGGGACGTAGGGTAGGCTCCGCCGTTCTGTGATGATAGCTCGCACGCTCGATGGGCCATATCGCGGAGACTCTGGTGGTTTTGCAGGAGGCTCGACTGATGCCTGCTGTGCGACAGTTGGCATGGTCAAAGCGCCGCGCGTGACGGGCTATTCACTCCTTCCTGGTACGGCTGTTGAACGAATCACACAAACTTCTCATAAGAAGTCCCGCTTTTCTTCCCGATTCTCTTACCCTGACACACACTCAACCAGATCGGCCCACACCGCCAAACGCATTCTACTAAACATTGAACAACACAAACCCCGAGACTCTACCACGCCGCCGACGATGGCTGTCCTCCTTAACTTGCCGGACGAGCTGCTACTCCAAATCGCCAATGACGTCCGCTCCAAAGACGGCATCCGTGGGAAGGATATTTTGCGCCTCTGTCTTGCCAGCCGCCGACTCCGCACGGTCGCCCAGGAAGTCACTTATGCTCACCCATCCTTTGCGGATGCCACCGCACTCCGACCAGACCAATCCTCCCGTCCAGTGTACCTGCTGGCTCGCACACTCCTAGAGTGTCGCGACCTTGCGAAATTCGTCCGCGCGATTGATATTGTCGTCGTCTCTACGGAACGCACTCCAGTCAGCGATGCGACAGTACGAATGTCCCAGAAACTGTTGGAAGGTCTAGGGCTAGCCAGCTCAAATGGAATGAACGCTCTCCGCAGCGGCAGGCCCGACGTATGGGCGGGGATTGTTCTCGCCGCGGTGCCGAATCTACGGCATCTGGATCTCAAACTATACGGGTGCAGGGATTTCGATACCGGATACCTTGTCACCAATCGTTTTAATCCCGCGCAATGGTTCACGTACCAACCCGACTTCGATGCTAAAACGGTGCCAGGTCTGGCCAATCTGACCTCCATACGATCAAGCGGCGTCCTGACTCCTTCAGTCTTCAACCTGCCAAATCTACAAGAAGCGCACTTTGCGGAATGCTCGGTGTCTCTCGATGTACGGTCCGTGGCTCCGTTAGCAAGTTCTATCACACGCCTCACCATCAACGTGGGTATTGCAGCGCTGCAGACTCGTGCGCTTTTCCAGCAAACCCAGAATATGCTCGGGGGCCAGGAATACTCGGAAACACTCCTGCCGCGCCTCACCGGGTTGAAGCACTTGTCCATAAATCTCACCACCGAGTCAATGCGGTACGGAGCTACTCACTTCCACTTACTTCATCACTCCTACACCGAAATTACGGCCGGTCTCGGGAGCACCAGTCTTGAAACACTAGTCATCGACACTGAGGAAGTTGAAGCACTAGCCAGTACAGCAGCAGGCGGCAATGCGTGCCGTTTGCTCAACGCGATACAACCGGCCCAATCTCTTGCACGCCTCCCGAACCTCCGGCGTGTTACTGCGCCCCAGGAACTATTTGGTCGATTTCCGGTAGATAGCATGCAGAAACATGTGCACGACGTTTGTTTGCTTCCACACGGGGTCGAAGAAGTCGCCATACTCTACACGACGAAAGTCATACATCCCGACGATATCCTTGGCCTGCTCAAGCGGAAGATGGCACTTCCCGCGCTGACGAAAGCTACCATTACGCGCAGCAATCGGCTTGAAAAACACCAATTCTAGATGGAAGCACAAGAGAGAAGCTGTTAGCCTTGGGTCTGAAAAAACTCGAAGTTTATGGCAAGTAGCAAAGTATTCGAGTAGGTAGAATGAGTGAATGCTCCCCTACGTAAATGAGCGGCGGGCCTTCCCGAATATGATTTATTTCAGCATTCTACGCTCACAGTCTCGCCCCACTCAATGACAACACTCCCCACCAACCCGTACTCCTCATACGGCATGGTGTTATACTTCGGCTGCCGTATACCAGCGACCCCTCCCACAACCCACGTCTGGTTCGCCTCGGCTTTGATCCGATTGAACAGCGTCGTCGTGATGTCGATCCTGAGCCCATGTTCCTGCCCACTCTTCAGTCCTGGAATAGTCAAGACGGGGTTGACGGGGTCGATCGGACCCAGCCATTTGCTATCAAGGAATACACGCGCTGTATGCTGGATAAGAGGTAGCTTGAGGATGCCGACCAGGCTTGACGAGTTGGTAGGAGAAGCGGGAACTGTGAAGCGCGTGGTGTAGTGCCCGACGCCGGAAACCGGGGTTATGGAGGCATCAAACTGGCTCCATGGTACGAGTGGTAGGTTCTGGTAGGTGTGGTTCGTAATCTCCGTCTGGATGGCGTAGCGATCAGGGGCCGAGTGGTAGTCTTCAATGACCCAGTCCCAAAACGCGAGATTCGTACGCGCGGGAAGCGACGAGTTAAACTCTGAAGTCTTTCCAGAAGATGAAGTGAGCGTCGTAGACCCCGTGATCACTGCTTCTATCCCATCTGAAGATGCATTCAGCGAGTGGAGACTACCGGATGACCTGGGAAAGGTGCATTGATGTACAGTTGAAGAGTGTTGGAGCGCGAGGATGAGGGTCTCATTCGACCGAAGAGCAAGCGGGACCGAAAGCGTAGAGTTGGTATAACTGTACTGAAGCAGCGGTGTCTGAGAGCTCGTGAAGGCGTTCAGGACGTGCGGTACAACGCCAGATGCGGTTATGGTCGTAGCGCATGTCACATCCTTGCTCTGGTCGTTAAATATGTAGACGTAGTCGATATCAGCGGTTGAGCGCCAGACCGAGTAGACGGGGTTCGAGGAGCAGTTCAGTGCCACTCTAGGTTTGATGCCTTTCTCTGCAAGTATGGCCGGGAGTTGGTCGACGGACTGGGTACTGTAGACGCCGCTCTGAGACATCAGCCGTGCCATGGTAGAGCGGAGCGCATCCTGACTGGATGCATTGGTTGGATATGCTTGGCTGGGCGGTGAGCCCACAAAGATGATCGGGAGACCGTTGGAAGCCATCTTGATAAGAGATTCTGTGGCGTCAACGCTAGAGACTGTCTGATTATTGATGATCAAGGCCCCATATTGGGGGACGCCCAGCATGGCGTTTTTTGCGAAAGCGTCGGAAGAGGCGAGGTTGTCTGGGCCGAGATACTCGTAAGTGTAGCCTACAGCCTTCAGTCAGTTCGAAACAACGACGTCAAACAAAGTTAGATGCAGCGAGAGGTAAGAGCAATGACTTACCGAGATCCCTTAGGTTCGTCGAGCTGTACTGCGTCCGTGGTGACCAAGGAGAAGCATAGAGGTAGAAAGCTAGATCCACCTTCGGGCTTCCCTGACGCAGTACCCACTGATTCCTCCCCACGAAATCCAGAGTGTCTCGCATGTGCTGCCAAGCGGGTTGTATTTGGTTCCACATCTCAGTGAACTCATACCCTACATCTGTCAGCTTTCGTGAATGTTCCTCGAGTACTTAGGCTTGTTACCAAATGTAGTATAACCAGGCCAAGTGGTATTGGGGTACGGAGTAGAAGACGGGAAGCCATGGATGACGTGCATAGTGAATCCCCCTGAGAATGAGCGCTTGATTTGTTGAAGCAGGCTCGGAATAGTTAGTTCATATGGCGGAATGTTCACAGCGCCCAGCTCGGTCGAGATGACGCTCTGGTTAGCGAGATGAGCTGGTCCGGAGAACTGTCGATAAGCGTCGACGTTCTGGGCAAATCCGAGCGACTCCCCTTCTGGCGCATCAATGAGAGGAACATCGCTAAGCTTGGCAAGGTTAGAATATTCACCAGCACAGTATGGGGGAAGATATTACCATCTGCATGGGAAGATTATACGCTGGCTGCGCGCTGTACTTCGTTCCGACTGAATGCGACCATTCTTGGAAGTGCGACAGATAGTCTTGATACCCATCATTGAGCACCCTGCGATAGTCGAGCTGGTGGACACTGTTACCAATGTTGGTTTCATTGCCGAACCCGTAAACCTCATCGTATACCGGTATATATCCGTTCCATGTGTTGGTTGGGCTGATAAGCAACGGAAGGTACGGGAGAAGATCGTAGCCGTATGTGTCTTTGAACCGGTTGAGGAGGTCTGGAGTCCAGTAAAGTGAAGCCAGTATCTCCATGCTATCTTCCCAGGCTACGCGGCGTTAACACTAGAGGCGCGACTGATGACTAGGGCTCATACCATAGTTCCCGACGGATCTTAGCAAGTCTGCCACTTCGTCATCGATGATGTACTCATCCCAGAAATTGGTAATGCGAGCAGCGCCAGCTTTGCTGAAATGATCGACCGTCCATGACCCATTACCGAGCCAGGTTGTCGCGTTGACGCCCCCATCGCATGATCTTTGGTTCGTATAGGCCTCCCAAAAGCTGAAGATCTTCCACGTCTTGCTGAGGTCAGGCGGCGTCCACACCAGCGTCCATCCATCCTGGACCAATGGCATCAGGTCGATGAAAGAGCTTTCATTGAGATGGATCGTTGTCGCCCCGGTTCTGTTGTCTCTATCTGACTCTGATGGTGTTAGGGCCCCAAAGGCATCCTTTTGGGTTTTCACTTACCGCTCAGCACCTGGTAAGCAATGACTGCCGTCAGGTTTGGCGTTCCAAACTGCTCTAGCGGATGCTGGAACCCGAGTCCACTTAACATCGTTGCGGACGGCTGTCGCGCTTGGGGAACAGGTGCTGAAAAGCCGCCTTGGGGAGTGATGGTAGTGTTACCCATCAGCAATTCCACTGCGAGCCCCAGAGTGCCAGGTTCTGCCGGGACACCTTGGCCTTGGTTGGCACCCACGGCATAGTCCAGCAGGATGCCAGAGTCCTGCGCCGCCTTGAGCGAAGCCTTGAACAACGACACGAAGGCGGGCGTCCCGAATCCATATTTGGACCAGTCAGGTAAGTCAGGAATGGGAGTCTGGTTCGCCCGTTGGACAGACTGCTCGCCCAGGCCATATAGATAGAAGGGGAGCAGCTCCAGACCACCCGCACCCGCCTCTTGCGCATCATGGATGTCCCGAGCTACGACATCGGACGAGACACTTGCATCTGGTAGCCTAAGTTCGTCAGCGGCCAACGCCTTTCGTGGAGTTTCATTAGCATACCAATAGCGGAACTTTGGTCGATACTCGGCGCGAGGATCTCGGAATTCACTGTCTGGCTGACCGAGGACCGGACGACACAGCGTCGCTGCGCCAAGGATGAAGGCGAGACCAAAAGATGCAGGTACCATCATGCCGCGTCTGCTGGTGAGATCCAGCCGAGGTCGCGTTGGACCAGTCGCACTTATACAGCTACATACGCGCATGTTGTTTCCCCTTTACCCGGCGGAGTCCAATAACCCGAGTATTAGATGGGGCCATCCCTTGGAATGCGGACGGACGATGATCCGCGGGCGAGACATCTCGAAAGCGTGCAAAGTTCCGATCCAAAGTAGTCGGGCCGTTGAGATCGATGTGGAGAGAAGGATGAGATGTGTGGCTTCGGCAGTGGATTGCGGGGTGCGAATAGCCCGTATCACAAGGCGCTAATCTACATTTGGGGAAGCGTGGATGACATAAGCCGGGCAGGACTCGTTCGGTAGCGGCGCCCTTTCATCTCTCCACAAACACCAAATGCCGGCGAACGTCGATCGGGTTAACGCCGGCCGAGGCAGAAATGACAGAGCGAGTTGCTAAGAGGAAGACGCATAGGAAGTCGCGCAATGGGTGCTTCCAGTGCAAGCAGCGTCATACCAAGGTGCGCGCTACGTTTCCCCATGTTCCTGATTTCTCCATCTTGCCTCCAATCGAATCACACGCCTTGCGATAGCAACCATCGGACGCACTTCTGACGCCGTATCAGTGTAATGAGGCCCGCCCAAGATGCGCAAACTGTGTGCGGCTGGACATCCACTGCACCTGGCCCAGTCGCCCTGATGGATACTCAACATCGTCAACTTATCCCACGCCTCCCGAGAGCCATGCCTCAACGCTTGTCGAGAATCACCCAGTCAGCAGTCCGGATTTTCATGGAGCAGCTTTCGGATCGGAGATGGCCTTAGCTGATTTACGCCTGCTGCATCAATGGACTTCAAAAACGTACAAGGTGCGTCGGCCGCATGAATAGTCATTCGAGAGCTTACCGTGTAAAGGCTATGGGTTCTGAACTTACAGCCAAGCACCCAGTCTGGCAAAATGATTTCATCGAAATGGGCTTTGAGCATCCCTTTCTGCTTCGCGGCATCCTCGCGCTGGCAGCCATCCATAAAGTGGTCTCCGATCCAGAAGCAGATCGAAGCACCCTGCTGCTGCAGGCAGATTCCCACATCAGCAAAGCCCTAGCGATATACCGACAAAACCTCGAACACCCCAGCGAAGAGGTTGCTATCCCAATGTTCCTCCTCTCGTCCATCCTGCTCATATACAATTTCGCTTCCGCACAACTGGAGGCACCGGAAGATCCCATTGCCGCGATTCATCACTGCTTCCGATTAACTCACGGAGTCAAGGTTGTTGTCGAGCCAAATTGGACGCACATCGCATCCAGCCGCGTATTTGTCCATATGGTTGAACTCGTGGAGGAACCCAACCTTGATGATGAGCCAGTTCGAGAAATCATCCGATTAAAAGAACTAGCGGAAACGAAGGACACTGTGATCAAAACCGCCTACGTCACCGCCATTGATGAGTTGCACCGGGCGTTCTTAAAGGTTAGGAATGCTCAAGACCAACTATCGACCGCTCTATCCTGGCCTGCACATCTTTCGGACGACTTCACCCATCTAGTCTCGGTTCATGATCCTATTGCAGTTTTGATCTTGGGTCATTGGGCTGTTCTTCTTAGCCAATGCCCCCCTAGATGGTGGATCCGACAATGGCCCCAACGCATAGTCTTCGCGGCTCAGAAAGTGCTGTTACTAAGACCGGAGCTCTTGAAATGGTTGGAATGGCCGTTGGAAGTTATCAACGGGACAGTATGAGGAGGATTGGGATCGGTTGCCGGCCCCAGCAACTGCTCTGAAGCGTCTCAGATCTACCTACCTGCCATGTCGGCCTGCTCCATAACGTCAACTTCTGCGCAAGCTCTGGCCAAAGTCTCGATACTCTTGAAGCGGCTTCAGCCTCCGCGCTAGGCCAAATTGCCCCTGCACTTTACAGTCGCTAGCGGCATGACATCGCAAGCATCGCCAAAACCGGTCACAGCCGCCGCGAATGACGGCCGACAGGAACTCAAATTGCGGAGCACGCGTCCCAGGGCTGAATGTTGTCCAAGTAAGCTTTAGGCGTTCCATTTCTTCCCTATGTTGCGAGGGCTAAGCTCAAAAGCTGCCGTCTGTGCAGCCAATGGCCGTCCCGAAAGAACGCAGCCAATCACAATGCGTGAGATACGCCGAAGTCGCGCCAATCAGCAACCGCTTAGTACGCGAGAGCCGATACGGCGCATACGGTAACGCTCTTGCTCAGCCTTCGCTTCTGGGTGAAACGCAAATAGTCGTCCCTCGAAAGGAGAACATAAGGTAGCCGGCTCGCGCAACCTGAAAAAACCCCTTCTGCCTAGCCGCCTAGGCACTCGTCGTCTTTACATCCACCTGTTTCTCAAATTTCGGATTTTCCACCGTTGCAGACCACGCGACGTTCCTTTCTTCTCTACATTCTCTCCCGCACCTTTTCCACAATGGCAAAACCACACCCCGATATCAACGACCCGAATCGCTTCGTACTCTACCGCTACAATCCCTCCCTCGAAGCCGCCATCGTCTTCTGCGTTGCCTTTGCTCTCACGACTCTCCTACACATCTTCCAGATCATCAAGAAACGAACGTGGTACTTCATCCCTCTAGCCGTCGGAGGCGCGTGTAAGTCTCCTTCCTACCCCACCATGTTCACTGCGGCGTGTGCTAAGCCCCCTCGGCGACACAGTTGAAGCTGTCGGCTACATCGGCCGCATCCAGGGCCACTACGACCAATGGGCGCTCGGGCCTTTCATCCAGCAATCACTACTCCTCCTCGTCGCGCCTGCCCTGTTCGCGGCCTCTATCTACATGACGCTCGGACGCATAATCCTCATGGTAGACGGAGAGCGCTACTCGCTCATCCGCCAGAGATGGCTCACCAAAATATTCGTGCTGGGCGATGTGATCAGTTTCCTGGTCCAGGGAGGCGGTAAGCAACAATCTATCCTAGGGAATATCCGGGGGGACGCACGTACTGACTAACTGACGCCCAGGTGCCGGAATCCAGGCCTCCAAGAGCGAAAAAGGCATGAAACTCGGCGAGAAAATCATCATTGTTGGGTGAGTCTCCGAGCCCTAACCTCCCTCACGCATCGCGCCTGCCGTTTTCACTTCCACCCATACCAAGCTCCTCGCACCTTCCCCCAACCCCGCTTACCCCCACAGCCTCTTCCTCCAACTCCTCTTCTTCGGCCTCTTCGTCGCCGTCGCCTCCATCTTCCACCGCCGCCTCGCCGCAAGCTCCAAGCTCTCCCCGCTGCCGCTCTCCAGCCTCCCCTGGAAGCGCCACATGTACATGCTATACGCGACCTCGGGCCTGATCCTCGTGCGCAGCGCCTTCCGCGTCGTCGAGTACATCATGGGCAACAACGGCTTCCTGCTGCGCCGCGAAGTGTTTCTCTACGTCTTCGACGCGCTGCTCATGTTCGCGGTTATGGCGCTGTTTAATTGGATACATCCGAGCGAGGTCGTCGCGCTGTATAGGAGGAGGCTGGCGGGTGGGAGTAGGGATGGGCCGGGAAGGGCGAGTGCGGATGTGCAGTTGGTGGAGGGTGTGGGGGCGCGGGGGCAGGAGCAGAGGTCGTAGCTCTGGGCGTAGGGGGGTAAGGCGTGTAATGTGTTGAATGAGGGGCGTGGCAGAGGGTAGACTGGCGTGGTGAGATTCCATGAGGCTGACGGGCGAAGCTGGGAAGAGAGCCACACCGGGGCAGTTCCTCCTTCACTGGGACGACGCCGAATGGCCGGGGATTTAGCCTTGTCCGTGACGAACGCACTTCAGGCCAGCGACTACGGCTCGACGAGGTGATTCTAGGGCCAGCCTTTTTTCCCCCTAGAGCAAGAGGGAACGATGTATACGAAGACTAATCGACTCCATAATTCATAATACTTTCCGAGCAAGGCGTTCACGGGGGTTCGCTGGTTCTAGCCTCCTACACGCAGAAACAGCCCTAGCTTTCAATTCTTTTCTATTATGGTTACCTTCCTCCTACCGGGGCTATCCTTTAGATTCGGAAAACCCTACCAGTCTCTGGTCGCTATCCCTACGCGAGGAAGGGGCATGTGATCCATACCCAGCGCACAGTAACAAGGTCAGGTAGGCCTCCACAAGCACCCTCCAGCCCCAAGCCTTCAAATTTCAAACCAGCTCCCGCCTTACCACTTGCAGCCGCAATGTAAGCACACAAGCTCAATCCCTCGCTCTGGAGAATTGGATAGCTCCCGTTCTGCTCCGAGAGCCTAGCCTGCGTTCCATGAACCTCGTGCCCGGTGTGTTCTGCTCGAAAGCCTTTGCATTTGCGGGGCTTCCGAGGAGGGAATATATTGCGCCTTCGCTGAGAGAACACGCAGTATGCCTTAAGCACCTAGGCAACCGGGGGATATTACTCGCGATGATTCTTGGCAGGGAGCGTTGTTCGGCTGTCTGCTTCCGATCCACTCCTGGCATGCGTCGCAACTATCAAGCGCCCTAAGGCATCCTTGGGCAGCGTATGCGTCACTCCGCGCTACAGTGGTTACTTTGTCCATAGAGTCCAGCGTGACGTGAATCGGTCCGTAGCTCGACTAGGTTGTGTGAGTACGTCATGAGCAGGAACCGGCAGCACCCCTTCCCCAGAGTCGGGAGGTAGCGAACCGCCCGCCAGACCGTCAGAGATCAATAATCTCCTTGCGCAGAAGATCAGCGGGATTCGAAAGCCTGGCTACAGCAATGAGTAGATTCTAAAAGGTGACCACAGGATCTCGAGGACGCCAGCGATCGGCAGCGTACAACCCTGCGGTCGCCGCCTGCCACACGACAGCAAACGGCAGACACAACCCAGCCGAGCTGCGCAAGAACACCGGAGAGCTCTGGTGGGAGCAACTGCAAGGGCGGAAGCAAACCTTTTTCTCACTCGCCCGGCCTCGCAGACCGCAACTAGCCAGCGGCAGGCTTCGGGAAGGGTGCGCAGCGAATCTAACGCGCCCGCACAACGTTCCCTGACGAGCACAAGGCGCGGCAGACCTCCCCATGACGTCTGACAAGGTCGCTTGTGTCGCGCCGCGCGACCCTGCGTCAGGCGTGGATCCCAGGGTCTTATGTGGAAGGACAGCGTCTATCCCCGGCAGACCTTATTGCAACCCCATTTCGTTCGTCGGGAGGGACTCGGGCGAGCATAGCGACAGGAGCGCATGTTTAGGGTCGAGATGTGTAGCGTGAGGATCGTCTTCGTTCGAGAGTGGAGATCCGAGTGGCGAATCGCTCTAGACAACGGCGCCAAGTGGCGAAAACGACTCCCGGTCAGCGGTCTTGGACACGGGGGGCTGTGGGCGCAGTGCACATCACAAGCTGGTATATTTCGTCCCGCGAGAGGCTGTTCGAATGCGCTACAGGCCTCGTTGACCCCTGATTAGTTGCCTTTCTATGCCAGACATAGATACACATCGTAGGGGTAATCCGCGTTCCATAGGAGGGACGCCTAGCAAGTGCTCTCATTCGCCATATTCCCCACCCAATTCTCCGATCGCTCCGACTCCGTGTAGTCGAAGATGTTCATGCCCGTGTACCAAATCTGGGTCCAGTTCGACTTGATAGATCGCACGTCGTCTATAACGCAGCGAACGAATTTGTTGTAGCACCAGCTGGCACTGTCGAACCTGGAGTTCCTGATTGATGTCCCGTCAATGTTGGTGTTCGCAATGAGCGAATTCGTAATGGTAACGTCGCAGAAGTCCACATCGGTAAAGGTGCAGTCGAGAAAATGAACGTTGGTGAAGGTCGTATTGCGGAACGAGCATCGCATGAATATACAGTTCGTAATCGTGACTCCATTCCAGGTGGAGTTGGATATCAGGGATTTGTCCGTCTTCAAAGTCCATATGCGAAGCTTCGCAAAGGTGACGTTGAACCCCTCCACCCGGCCATTCCCCGGTTTGAAGTAGCTGCAAAGAGTCAGCAATGGAGGCCGCCCGGATATGGCCTTTGGTGCGCCTTACCAACGGTACGGAATATCCCAGTGGATGGCGAATTCTCCCGTTGTGTCTGGAGTGGTCGGAATGCAGACGGCGTATTGGTCGACAGGATAGCCGTTGAAGATCCAAGCGCATTTTCGCAACACTAATTCCCATTCCATGCCCCAGTCGTACGCTTCCCATGACCAGGCCCAAGGGCTACAGAAGACAGCCCACAGCGCATGCGGCGCTGCCTCGGTGAGGAACTTTAGCAGCTCCGGCCGGTAACGAAGACGGTCGTTCTGTAGCAGCAGGCCAACTGCGACGTTGTAAAAGGTATCGATATCGGTGTCTGGCTTATCGGTGATCCAGCTGGTGGGATCGTCGCGTTTCTCGCAGGGACCGTCGACCCAGTTGTGCTTCGTCAGTGGAGCGGAGCAGCCGGTGATCGAGTCCAACCATTCGTCGATGTCTGTGTAATGTAGGCGTGTGCGGGCGGGATGTTGCAATAGGGTTAAAGGCCGAAAGTTGCGGGCATTGGCGTTGAAAGCACCGGTCGCCATGCCTGCACCGTCGAATCAGTCACATGTTGAATGCTGAACTAGGGCATTGGCGTCATCGACTTCACTCCCCAGACAGAGTGCGGTGGAAGGACTCTGATGGTGCTACGGTGATGGAGACTGATCTGAGTGCCGAGGGGATGAGCAGAGGCGCCGGCGAGCTGACGTGCCTCTTCTTCCTGTTGGTCAACAGCCTGCGTCCGTCCGACCTGGCTAATCCCTTACTGCGCGACCGAACGGAACCGAACAGTAGCTAGCTCTGTGGATCCTCAGACAGTAGACTGTTGCTGCTGCTGCGGCCGTCGCCTCACTGGCTGCGATCGAGCGGGCTCATTTGACCGCAAGGAAAGCCGTCTGGGTTGAGGATGCGGAAGGAACGGTGGAGCGCAGTGCCGGATTGCATGCAACAGTGGACGAGAGCAGAATATGTGCTTGCGGGCGCGATGATGATGAGAGAAAGGGTGCAGAAGAGAGAGGACGAGGAGGAGACTGAAATGGATGGCAGGCTCCGCCGAACGGCTGCCCCATCGGGAAGCAAACGGTGGGCACGGGCCCACAATGGCAGAAGCGGCCGCTCCAATCAGACCGCGAGAAAAGGCTGGTGGCATACTCCGACCGCCCGATATTCAGAGGCATGCATCTCAACTGGCCCGATTATGGACGAGGTCAACTGTCGAGCACTCCCCTCCTGGGCGTTGTTGACAGGGCGCTGTTTCAACGTCGTGCGCCTGCAGGGGCGGTGCGCTTCACGTCGAGCAGAGAACGATAGCTCTTGTCAAACGTATTATTGTCCAAGCACTGCTATTTCATCCGAAGGAATATTAAGCGCGCTTCAACATGTGACCGAGCGTGCCGGACGCTCGCAAGCGCTCCAGGGCTGTCGCCTCGTACTAACGCAACGCCGAACACCTTGATCGAGCAGAAGTTGGAACACAGTCGAAGAGCTCTGAACATGAAGGAGCGTCATAACCCGTGAATCATAGCCAGCTGATCTAGTCCGCAGCAGACTGATCGCGCGTCCGGCTCTTTCCAGGCATGCCGTCTTCGCGGTGCCATGTCAGCGGACCGCAAGCCGGAGCCGGGCGCCAGTGATCGTACCCATCGATGAAGATGTAGAAGTGTCGCGTCTAGCCTATCTTGCTCACTTCGATAATCTCAGAAATATATCCCAAAATACGCCGCGCAGGGGCCCTAGCGCTTGTCGAACGATGCCGTCTGGTCGGGAGAGGGAAACCCTAGAGCAGGCAGCTTCGCAGCTCCAGCTGCGAGCCGGTCCGCCTCTCGTTGCACGTATGTGCTGAGCCGGCTATCTGGGCAATTCGTGTGTCTTCCCACGAGCTCCATCAGCTCTCTCATGCCGTCCTTGAGGACCTCCACCTCTGCTTTCAGGGCCCTGTTCTTGCGCTCCACGTCGCGCGCCGTCTCAATGAGCTCCTCTTGCTGCTTTTTCTGCTTGTTTCGGCACTTGCTGGCAGCCTTTCGGTTCTTCTCGAGATAGACGGCGCGCGCAGACCCAGGCTCGACGTTTTCGGACTTGCGCCTCCGCCCCGGAGGCGATGCTGCAATCGGTGCCTCGGTGCCAAATTCTTGCTTCAAGCTATTGCAGCGACGTTTGTGGCGTGGTTTATCTCCGTTGAAAGAATCGTCCCAGGGCATCGACTTGACTGAAGTTGCGGAGTGGAAGGCGCCCTCCGTAGAGAAGCTCGCGTCGGATCCGAAGGACGAATTGGGCCGGTCGAAGTGCGTCTGTAGAGGGGAAATTGTGTTAGACTCTCCGGACCCGGATGCTCGCGCGTTGGTCGCCGTGAAGACGGCTTGGGAACTGTATAGCGGGGGTGGGGCGAAGAGCTGTGGTGCGGGCGCATCGTGTGGCATTCCCCCGCCGAAGCCAAATTCTCCGAAAACTGTCCCGGCGACCTGTCCGCACCCATCATCGCCGTCTGCATCTGCGGCATCTGGCTGCTCCATCACAGAGTCCATGGCGTATTGCGCGTCGACGGGTAGGTTGGGGAGGGAGAGATGCACATAGTCGGCGGCGGTAGGTCTCGGAGTGCTGTGCGAGGCGCCCCATTCCTCAGGGCTGCTGAAGAGACTGGAGACATCGGAGTTCATGTTTGAGTTGGACGCTAGATAATGGTACGAAAGTCGGCCAAGGGTTTACATGCCCGCTAGCTGAGCGGTGGCTGCGGTGGGACTCCGGGCGATATAAGCGGTGGACTTGGACGTAGAATAGTGAGAGAGGGCTCGCCAAAGCTTGGCTGGCACGATTCCGTAGTGGGATACTAGCGGGCAGCCAGGGCCGCATAGTACTTTCTTATATCAACCTGCTGGTCGGCTCGTCTACCGTGGGCTTTCTTAGTCGGCAGCTTGACGATCATGACGCAACGTCACAGGCTGTCAACTCGGATGACTCCCGACCAGGGGCCAGATGCTTGGATTCTGCGGCATCTCGGGTCAAATATTCGCTGCACGGCAGGCATGCTTCTCGAATAAGAGTGCGGCCGCAGTCAAGTGTCGCTGTGGCCTTACTCGAAGGCCAACCGGAGCCTCATCCCGCCGAGAGTCTCTCTCGGTGTACATGTCCGCTCGCTCTGCTCCCGCCGGCGAAAGGGCCCGCAGCGAATCACCAGAGCGGCCGCCTGCTCCCAGCGTTGAAGCCGTTCGCGCAGTTACACATTCCATCCTGAGGCCGCTCCGACTCATCGCGTATGAATACAGCGGCAGCATCGACTAGTGAGAGGCGATGGCGAGAAATGGTGAGCAGGGAGTCCACGTGCTTTTTCTCGTTACGAGGTCTGCAGGGCAGCCGTGGACGCATTGGGCCTCATGCACGTACGCTAGCAACGCCAGCCGATGCCCCAGGCTGGCAACAGCATCGACGCTGCGTTTACCTTGCGCCGACACCAGAACGGAGCAGGACGAGGTTTGTTGGGTCCCCCCGCAAGTCGTTGACCTGAGGAACGGCTTTCCGGTAGCACGCGCTAGCCGCTTTGGGCCTAGGCTTTTCGTCTGAACTTGTTTCTCCTCGGATTTCGACTCACCCTGCATCTCCTCCAGCACCACCATGCAAAGAGCCGATCTCCTCCTGCTTCCTCCACTCCCTGCTGTGCCAATACCAGGCGTTCTTGAGCCCTTTTGAGCCTTCAGGGGATCGAGATCACCGCAGCGACCCCGCGTGTCAGACCACACTTGCGCCAGATCGCAAGAGCCCTACGGAACCGTGTCCAAGAGACGAGGAGCTAGATGTTCGCTTCTTCGGCAAATTCGGAATGGTGGAGCCTCTAACGTCATGCGCCCAAATGCGGAAACACTATGGCGTTCCAGCGTTTCCCATCTGTACATGGATGCCGCTATCGGCCGTCCCTCTCGCGAACGATCAAGTCTGCCGTTGGACGACACGTGTGTTCCTTGCAGATCAATGCGCTGTTGCGGTACGGTGTCACGTCTTGTCCTCGGTCTCCTTGAAGGATCTTCTCAAATGCCCCTCGAGACCCATCCGCAGTGGCGAAGTGCGGCAACCCACGAGCAGCCTCGGCAACCCCATGCTTTGCATGGCTTATTATTGCCGCAAGCCTGTTGGGAACTCTTTTACCGTTGCAGTGCCGCATTTCTAATACGGTTTGCCACCATCGACAACAGATTTCCCTGTGGGAGTTCCTACCCTAGCCAATCATACAGCTCCTGTCGTCAGCAGCTAATCAAGTCGCTTCAACCCGCCAAGACCGATCACAGCGTTTTAAAGTCGGGGCCCCAACAGGTGGATAGTTCTCGACAGTTCTCGACTGTTCTCCTCTATCTTTTACCTCTCTTGCCACTTGATGGCGACGGTGTTCCCGAAGCAAACAGCTGTGGTGCAGGTCGATTGGGCATGTGCAACGAACCGAGCACGCCTTGGAGGATGCTTTGAGTAAAGACTTTGCCGAAAAGACAATGAGGCGGCTTTCGTTATTACTCAAAGATCTTGCTCTACAGATTGCTTTCGCTGGATTTGGTTCTCTCTCGGCTACTATCCTGCGGTACGCCGCCCCACTCATGCAACATTCAGCACCTGCTGGCTCCCGTTGAATTATGCAGTCATGCCACTGCGCCTACCCTAGATATTCGTCGTCATAGCACGTCGCAATACTGTGTATTGGCATCCGGCAACTCAGCGCCCCAAAACGAGCGAGACCTTCCGATCTCGATCCCGGCTCAAGAACTACTACAGGGTAGCTTGACTCCAGCCGGGGTTGTATCACGGCAAATCCATTAAGAAACGCTGAGCGGTCAGGAGTGACTATCCCTTGGCACTCGAAGACGGCAGACGGCTTGCTACGGTGGCTAGTGGCGCAGTCGCCGCTCGGCTGCTCAGCAGCCATTCAGTGAAATCCCTTCACACGAACCGCCACTTGCACCACTTAAAAAAGCGACGCTCGTCGGAGCACAAAAATTTACAGCCCCGTCACTTCGTTGCAAATGGTAGTGATAAAAGGAGCTTCTATTGGGAGCCTGTTCTGAAGACGGAATGCAAAAAGACGTAACGTTGCATGGACCCGCCATCAACTAGCGGCAGAAAGGGCAGCTTCCTAGATTATGGCGACGTGGAAGGTCAAGCCCCGACCAATCATCGGACTAGGAAGCCATGGCTTTCACGATACGCCGTCCTGGCGGGATACCAATCCCGTATCACCTCATCAGTACAACGGGGTAGCAGGGGCAGCTGGATTCACTGTCTTCTGAGGTTGATGATACGTCCAGAACTGCAAGAGATGGGTGCGGAGTGATCTCTCGATGTTTCCATCTCCCTCGATGGCGACAGCGTTTGTCACACACGGCTTTTCATATGCGGCACCGCAACCTCTAGCAACTTCCACGGGCTCGCGAAGTGGAGACGTGGCATGCAGGCTCTTGTGTGTCTTTTCGAGCGCGCTGCATATTGCGACCACAACATGCCCAGAGCGGCCCCTTTACTTGCTTGATGGGGCACACCAAGCCTGTTTTTTGGGGAGCTTTCGGAGAGCAGTGAGCGGTGCGAGGAGCAGCGAAAAAGGGACTTGGTCAGCGGGTCCTTTCGGCTGGGCGATGCCTTCACTCCGCGGAGGTCACGGAAAAGTCCGGGATCACAGGACTGTCTCGGTTTGGGTGCGGGATAGTTGCCCGGACGGTTTTCAGCCACTCCTCCGCGGAGTGCATGCTCGCCCTCCCGCGCCACGGCCCAGTATATATACTATTTAGAGCCTTCAAACCACCTGGGCCAGGGGCTACTCTATCGAGGCAGTCCGTCCTATGTATCTTCGCACGCACTTCACGCTTCCAATTTGCGGCTTCGTCACTGCTCTCTGCTGCCGCCCCAGCCGCCCTCGATCACCACGCCTGCATGCCCGAAGCGTCCAGCGAGCTCAGCATACCGATGCCCGCCCCGCCGCCGATTGTTAGCCTCAGACGCCTTACAGGGTGGGTTCGAAGAGGAAACAAGATATGCACGTACATGGTACGGGCTTCGAGGGAGAAGACACCGGACGCACTGAATCCGGTTTGGCAGGAGGAGCTTGCTCTACTTACACTGAGTACCAGCCGCGAAGTCCGCCAGTGGCAAAAGACACGTTTAGCTCTTGGGAGCTGGTGCTGGTAGCGATGAATGGGAGTTTTTGGATAACTGACAGCGCTTGCAGGGACGCCTACGACGATTAGCACCATGTCCCCCGCGTCCCGCATACGCTCCGAAGTCCTCAGCAGCCCGACAACTGCCTAATCATCTCAACAAACCGCGACATCCCGATATGCGGAGCTCGCCGACCCCCCTAGCTCTACAGCTCTCTGCACCTCCCTCTCCGCGATGACCTCCTCCAGCGTGGCATCCCAGTCTTTTCTAGATACGATCTTCGTCGCGAGCCTCACACTCTGCCGTCATGATACCCTCCAAACCGTAGCCTCCCCTCCATCGCGTCTCCGCCTCCTTAATCAGTAACAACATAAACCTCATCTCCCGATCTACCTTCCCGAGCCGGCCTCGGAGAAGGATGTCTCGCTCGGAGGTGCACACGCAGTCCGCTCCATCATACCCACCAACTCCATCGTCTGCATCAAGCAGTAAGATAGCTCGATGATCAGAGCTCATAACTCATAACAATGAGGCTTAGGGATCTACCCCTATCAGTCGTACGCACGGTGAGTTCGAAGGCCACCCTCCTCGAGCACGCCGATGCATTTCATACAACGCTCTGGAACGCCAAAGCAAGTACGCGCGCCTCCTGGATATAGCGTGCGCAGGCGTGCTTGCACAAAGCGCCGGATGGAATTCCTGTCCATACTACGGAAGTGGGGCTGGACATAGCGGTGCCATACAACAAGGCCATGCCGTACGTATAGAAGCGCGTCAAGGTATTCCGGCGTCTACGTATATGGAGCGCGCGTTCTTTGGCAGTGTTTCAGACGGCCTTTGGACGGCGTAGAACTGTCGAACACAGTCTCATTTGGTCTGCTTAACATGGAGCCTGCCCTTCCATAAGAAGAATGGGACGGTATATGTATTTACGCGACAAGCCAAAGCAGTAATATCAGCGACTTAGCCAGGCTAGGTTGACCAGCCAACCAGCCACTGTTTCTTCTTTTCAAAGTTCTCCAAGATCCCTTCCATCTTTCGTGCCACTGCGCAGCGCACTGCAGAGACTAGCCGCTGTTAATGCTCCAGCATTCGGATCCGGATCCTCATCCCGGCTCCTCTTCGCGAATCTACTTGCTTCTCCAAAGAGGACATTCCTACCCGCTTACCGAATCTACAAGTAACCGTAACCGCTTCTACACCGCCACGATGCCAAGCGATGCCATACCAGTTCAAGCCACAAGTGCGCGTCAGCAGGCCAAACCAATTACAAACCCTTTCCTCCCTCCCCGTAGTTAGATTACCCAGTCGCAATCAATTCTGAACATGCAAACTTTTAGACCCCAAGAACATTCTAAGTCCGAGGGGTGAATTAGCCTCACTCAGGCCATCAGACCCCTAGTCCCGAACCGCGCAATTCATTATTCTAAAAACAACTGAGCAAGCACAGACATCCTTAAACCTCCTTTCTTAATAGCCCAAATGCAAACCAAATAAAAGAAGCCTCGATAACCCGCTCCGCTCCAAGTACACCCAAATCTTTTCTTTCTGTATGCACTGGTGGTGATGCATCCATCTAGCTGCGCTGGCAAGCTGGTGTAACATTGGAACAGTTAGAGTAACGCATCGCTATTCTTATTCCTATTTGGGAAGGCCGAGTAAAATCAAACAAAAGCCGCAAAATTCTCATCTAGTCGGTAAGGAATAGATTTTTATGGTAGATTTAGAACGAGTTGGCAACGCGTATAGGGGTGTCTTGGAGTAGTTTAGTCGGTACGATGCGTATACCAGGGCTAGCCGACGACCGGCTGGGTACTGTTTCGATAATTGTTAGACGGTGCGTAGAGAGCTTGATATAGAGAGCTGCCTGCCGGTTGGGGACTAGAAGGCGAAATGTTATAGATATAATGAGAAGGGGGGAAGGGGATAGAAAGAACTTTTGTATGTGCTTCGCAGAATAAATCCATCAAGGCAGCTAAGCTGGTTAGCTCGTGACAGGATAAACGAAAAGCACCGAATGCAAAACCATCCCACAAAGGCAAGAAACTTCACCACGGTATCCTGCGATAAAGCCCCTTTCTCTGACCTTCTGCAGGATGTGGCTAAGACTGTATACTTGCCTTGTTCCTGCCCTTCCCCCGGCGGGTTTGCCTTCCCCTCCGGACAGGAGGCGCCAGTGACAAGTGCAGCGATGTATTGGATTGCTAAAATACTTACCAACGACGAGCATACACAGCCCGTGAAGAACAACCCCACGGAGTAGTGCGTATACCAGGCGTGCTATTTGACGCGCGTTCTACGCGGCCTTCCCTTCAGCCGCTAGCATAATGATACAATACCAGCACGACGGGTCGGCAATGCGTGACGGACGGGGTAGACTCCGCTTGTGGCGCTTACGTTCATGCTCGGTTGTCTGCGTTGGACTTCCCTCGGGCAGTGCATGGTTTTCACACAGGGTCCCGCCCTGTTCTTGGAGGGTATGATATCTGGCTGGGGAAATAGTGATAGCGAGCGGCAAGATGTCGAGGCAGGCGCATTATTCTAGACGAGACTAGGTATCTGATCTATCGCATCGTGCATAGTCAACCGAAGGATCCGTCTTTGCGCCAACGCCAAAGCCGCCCCAAGTCATGAGAAACGCTTACAAGCTGACGGAAGCTAATTCCTCATCCGGGTCTTCGCGGCCCAAACCGTTACAATATGAACATGGCAGGAGACCGAGGAATGTAAGACAAGTCGTCGTACCTTCCTCGGTCTCCTGCCATATTCCCCCGGCCCAATTTCCTTCTTGCGAGTGTTGAGCGCTCACACCACTCATCTATACCCCCCGGATCCACTCCGATCCAACACGCCCAGCCCCTCTACCGTAACCCCACTCCCCTTCCTCGCCGCCTCCGGAAGACCCAGTCCCATCGCCTCCTTCTCTCTATACTGCCTCTCTTCCTCCTCCCTCCTCAGCTCCTCGACGTACCGCACCCGCTCGATGCGTGCCTTCTCCTGCAACTCGCCAAACGGGTCAAAGCGCTCAGAACTGGGATCCTTGAATGGATTTTTGAGCCAGCTCTCCCGATTCGTCAGGGTAGTAGAAACAGGTCGGCCGCGGAGCTGTTCGTATGCTTTGCTTAAGGGCGGGTCGGCGAACGGGTTTGGCGTGGGCTGGGGAGGTGCGATGCGGGATCGCCCATCACCGGAGGAGACTGTTTCGGGGCGTTCGTAGTGCGCAGCGCCGAAGAGGGAGGTGCTAGTTGTGGAGGATTTGGTCAAATGCGAGGTATCGTTATCAGGATCGAAGCTGGTATGGACCGTTTCCGGGGCGTGTAGGCTGCCGACGTTGCTGGGGTTGAAGGCGTCTTCGGCATGGCGCATGCTGAGCTCATGCCGCTTTCTGCGCTGCCGTTTGAAGAAGAGAACAAGTCCGACGACGAGTGCTATAAACCCTGCGACGGAGTTAGAAATGGATATGCGGTGACATAAGCATTGACAGTTTGCTTACCTAAAACAGACAAGGAAATTAGAGCTGCTTCGGCACCCACGCTCATCGTCGGCCCGTCTTTTTTGGTCCCCTTCTGAGTGGGATTTGAACCAATAGCCGAGCCTTCTCCAGCAAGCTCGGATTGAGCCGGCGTGAGTGCTGTGCCGGTACTGGACGGCTGAGCAGTCACGGAGCTCGACGGCTCGGCAGATGCGCCCTGCTTTTTACTCGAGAACTGAGAATCAGGCACGACGGTGGTTGTAATGCTTGGCGTAGGAGCCTCAGTTGCTGAGCTACCTTGAGTAATCTGTGCGGCAGGCGCGCTTGTGCCTCGAGAAGAGGGTTCTCGTGTAGGAGCCAGGGGAGACGATGCCGGCTGCGGTGTAGCAGACGAAGCTTCTGCAGAGGACGAGATCCGATCCAGAGCTTGCGTAGATGAGGGTGGTGGTGGTGGTGGGGGCGGGATTGCTTGACTAGGTTGGCTGGCTTGGCTGGTCGCAGCGGGAGCTGTCGCACTCGAGGCGCCAGAGCTGACCTGCGCGGGAGCTTCCGTAGGGGACGGTGGTTCCTCTCCCTCCACCTCTCCGGCTTCGGGAAATGTCGTTTGAGTTGGCGATGGAGAGTCTGGGGAGTCTGGGCCGGCGGATGCTACCCCAGCTGTTGAAGGGCTACTAAATACAGAATCTGGACTCTCTGGACCTTCTTCCACCGCTTCCACCCCCTCGGCTGGTGCTTGTCGACGAACATATTTCGGAACGATCCTTATCGGAGAAGGGCGTCTTCGCTGATAGAGACCCATGGTGTTCCTCCTCTTCTAAAGATATTAAGCAGCAGGAATCCAATCAAACTCGCTCCACAGCGCTCACTAAAACCCCCAAGCACTAAACAAAAGGCAAACGCCCACAGGGCGAAAGAACCGAATGAAAGAAGAATCCGGTCAACGGAGAGAAGGTAGCCTTACTTTTAGACGAAAGTGTCGAGGCAGCAAGGCAAAACGCGAAGGAAAAGAGAAAAGCCCAAGAGAAACGGGAAATGCCAAACCTTTACATCTCGGCTCCTCATGCAGAAAGCATTGCCACGACAGCGCTCTTCTCTTTCAGCCACTGTCTGGAATTCCCCAGGCATGTGGGTCTGCCTGGCCGAATACCCGCGAGCTTAATCTGCCTATTAAAACGAATCAGAAGCATTATCGGGCTGCGATCTGCGCATGTAAAACTGAGGCTGAACGGTGCTCACGACACAAAGCGTGCGATGACGATGCGAGAGGGAAGGATAGCCGCAATGAGACGGCGTTTCGTTTCGATGCGGCTGCCGAGTTGGTTGGTTGGAGTCGGGATCTGACACGGCTTGGCGGTTTGACGAGCAGATGGTGAATCGCTCCGCGCCTCAGGAGCCCAGGGGACGCCCGCCTCTGCATAGAGAGCACGAGCACTGCATAAGCAATAATGGCAAAAGTGGAGAGAGTGGGTGAGAAGTCTTGGTGGTGCTTGGATGGAAGTCGCGCAACCGTTGGGAGGCGCGTTGTACGTGGGTGACGTACGCAGGCAACGTTGCACTCTGTTTCCACGGAAAAGAGTGGATGGCAGATGAAGAGAACGTCGATACTGTAGGAAGCGAGCGTGGAAGGTGACGACAAGCTCTGCCACGACAGCGCTTCGGTTGAAAGTTAACGACGGATGAGGTCGAGGCGCTGAGGTAGAGCGGGCCCTGCCCAGGTGATCGGCACGAACCGATATCCCAAAACAGCTAGTCTCCACGTGACCCACCCAATTCCCATTCTTCCAAATCAAGAGGGAGCCTGAAGCATCCGCGCTCGGTTGTCATGCCCTCCGGAACACCCCCACCGCATGCAATGCAAGGGCGTACTAAGCCTAGAGAAGCCAAGATCGGATAAGGCAGAATATGGGATGGCAAGGTATCAGTCGTGGGCTGGGCTGCTACATCGGTACCTTCTCTTTCTGCTGGCAGATCCTCTAAAACTTCTTGGCGCGTGGTATAGATAAGCAGTTGCTTGAAGCCAAGTACAGCGACGTGGGATTTGATATGCAGATCTTGAGCTCGAAATGCAGTTCCGATACCCTGAACCGCCCTCATCTTTTCTATTTATACAACTGGAGTGGTAAACCTCCATTCTATCATGCGGTTTCGGAACGCAAGAAAAGGAAATGCACGATTCTATGCAGGAATACTCCTATCCAAACTCTGGCCCAAACACATCTCATAGTACATGCCCCTCTTGGCCAGCAGACTCGCATGTGTGCCGGTCTCCGCAATCCTTCCTCTCGAGAACACGATGATTGTGTCAGCGTCCTTGATTGTGCTCAGTCTGTGCGCGACGGCAATAGTAGTGCGTCCGCTTTTAGCCGTTTCGAGCGCCGCCTGGACTACTTTCTCCGACTCGGTGTCTAACGCGGATGTTGCTTCGTCGAGCAGTAGGAGGCGGGGCGCTCGGATGAGGGCGCGCGCGATGGCGATGCGTTGGCGCTGGCCGCCAGAGAGCTGTGTGCCACGGTTACCGCAGAGGGTGTTAAAGCCCTGTGGGATCATTAGCCAGCACTCTGGGCACTATCGGCCTTGGGTACCTACCTCTGGAAGTGAAGCTACGAAAGTGTAGATGTTAGACTGGCGAGCTGCATCTTCGATCTGCGCATCTGTGACCTGCGCGTCGACACCCATGGCGATGTTGTCGCGGATGGAGCCTTGGTAGAGCACAGGCTCTTGTTGGACGAGCGAGACATGGCTGCGATACTTTCGCGGACATAGGTCCGTTAGAGCATGCCCATCGCATGCAATGCGGCCTGACACTGGGTCATAGAAGCGTTCCAGGAGCGCGATCATGGTGCTCTTTCCGCAGCCGGACGCTCCAACAAAGGCTACGAACTCGCCTGGGCGAACCTAGAGAAATTAGCGCATGGCTCAGACTCAGAGGGGTGTGTGTGCTTACGTCGACATCGATGTCTGCGAGAACTTTGGTGTTGGGGCGAGTCTCGTATGCGAACGCCACGTCTTGCACTTCCATATGAGCCGGATCCTTCTCGTCGCCGTCATCATCATAAGGTGGTTTCGATGGCTCCTCTCCTACCGCCGGATTGAGGCGACGAAGCCAGAAGATGTAGTTGGCGGCGTTCCCTCCTTTGGTCATGCTAGTGGTGTACGAGAAGAAAGAAGCGGCTCCCTAAATATCATCAACGGCTACTCTATAGTCGAAATTCAATCCTGGAGCACCAACCTCGCCTGAAAATATGACCGCAATGAAGACAGTAAAGAACTGCATCGTAGTGTACTCTCCGCGGCTGATCAATTGACCACCGTACCTGCATAATGTTAGGAATTCGTAACGCAATGTTCGAAAACGAGAACGTACCAAAAGCCAAGGGCCATTGCTAGGAAAGAAATTGACTGAGTGAGTGAATACCAGAACATCGTCCAGATCAAGGCTTTCATGGACTGCTTTGCGACGCCGTGGAGAAGGTCATGGTACTTCTCAATGATATGTCTTTCCAGTGCAAGCGACGAGACAGTTCGAATCGCAGAGACGGCTTCCGTCGCCAGCGCGGCGCTGCGAGCGAAGCGCTTGCCTGTGTCTTCTTCAAGCTTGAATTCAAGTCGAATGCGAAGGTAGCCCGAGAAGACTAGGGGCGGGAGGGCACCGAAAACTACCGCTAGGCCGAGCTTCCAACCGGTAGCGAGAGCCAATATCGAGCTTGAGAGAACGTTGACGACGTTGATGAATATGAGCATGACGTTGAAGCCCAGAAGCTCGGTAAGGCTGTTCGGGTAGTTCGACAAATTGGAGGCCAGCGAGCCAGACGCATTCTCTTCCTTGTCAAAGAAGTTCATATCTTGCTTGAGAATGAGCTCGAAAATCTCGCGGCGATATCCTCTCGAGACGTGCTGTACCACAATATTACTGAACCAACCTATTAAGGAGTAGACAGCGAGATTTCCAATCGCCACGATGAAGAACATGAGGGAGTAGAAGTCGCCTTGGTCTCGAGCGCGGTCGATATCTTGAAGTTCGAAGGCTCGTGCAATTCGTGCAAAGAGGACGGCTTGTGCAGGATAGGTGGCACCTCCACATAGGGAAGCGATCGCTAGGATCACGAAGGAAGGCCACAATCTACGGTGCTCCCAGAAAATAATGAAGATGCACTGGATAAGGTTGTAGTTGATACCATCTTTTGCTGAGTTTTTCGCAGCCTCACCATGAGCAGAGGTAGCTTGGGTCTGCGTCCGCACAAGTATCGGTTTCTCGCCAATATCGTCGTTGGGGTGACTCTCATCGTCATCAGCACGTCCAAGGTCCTGGGCCCGAACAAGGCGTGCATATGCCTCATCCGCTTCGAGGAGTTTGTCATGGGTGCCTTGTTCGACCACGGATCCATCAGAGATTACTGCTATATTGTCGGCATTTCGAATGGTGGATAGCTTGTGGGCGATGACGATGGTGGTCCTGTTCTTCGATACGCTGTCCAGGGCCTGCTGAACGATCTTCTCGGCTTTTGGGTCTAGTGCGCTCGTAGCTTCATCGAGAAGAAGCACCTTCGGATCGGAAACAATGCTGCGAGCGATTGCAAGCCTCTGCTTCTGGCCACCAGAGAGCATCATGGCTCGTTCACCGACTTGGGTATCGTAGCCCTATTGGAGTCAGCATTTCACAGGCATAACCACAGGTCGTACAAGGAGATGGGAAACTGACCTTGGGTAGCCTCTCGACAAACTCATCTGCATAGGCGGCTTTGCATGCTTTCTCCACCAAAGCTCGCTGCTCATCTTCCGGAAGATTGGCTTTCTCGGTACCGAAGAGACCAAAAGCGACGTTCGCATAGACGGTACCACTGAAGAGGACAGGTTCTTGTTGCACGAGGCGTATATTTGTGCGAAGCCACCTCAGGTTTAGCTCTCGGATATTGATGCCGTCAAGAGTCAAGTGTCCGCTGTTCGTATCGTACCATCGTTCGAGGAGCCCGACGATTGTGCTTTTTCCGGATCCGCTGGCGCCGACCAGGGCAGTTGTCTTCCCCGCTGGTACGGACAGAGAGAAGCCTTTCAGGACTTGGATATCGGGCCTTGCCGGATATGCGAAGTTGGCATCTCGAATTTCGACGTTGCCGACGCATTCGCTAGGTTTCTTTCCGTTGTCATCGAGGGGGTCGATTTCCGACTCGCGATCGATCGTCCGAAACATCTCATCGGCCGCCGACGAGGCCTTCGAAATAGCAAGTATCTGGGGTGCAATAGTCGTCATGGCGGTGGCTGCCACAATAACCGCGAGAATCACAGTGAAGACATCGCCCGATTCGTGAATCTCTCCACTGAGATACATCCGAACGCCTTGCCAGAATGCAAGACCGAAACCAGAATATATGCAGAAGAACTCGGTCGAGAACAGGACGGCGTAGTTTGGCGACTTCTTCATTCCCACTTTCATCGCTTCGCCCAAGAGGGCATCGTATTTGCGGGATAAGAGAGGGCTCAGCCAGAACGCATGGACGGTACGCATTGTAGAAAATACTTCTTCGGCAAGGAGGCCGGCTTTCGCATAGATCGATAGCATTTCTGCTTCCTGCTTGGTGTCTAGAACGACGCATATGCTCTGATCCGAGTCAGTCAGCTTACAAAAATCTTTGAAGGGCTAAAAGTGAGACTTACTATTACGACTAGGATAGTGGGAACGATAGAAATGGTGATCAGGGTCAGCTTCCATTGCACCGCGAAGGCAACCACAAATGCGGTAACAAACGTCGAAATTCCTTGAACTGGGCCGAACGATCAGCGCTTTGGCCTCTACACAGTACCATGTTACTTACTTGTCAATGTCAACTTCTCTGATATCCCGTTGCTCACATTGTTTGCATTTGTGGTAGCTTGCGCAGTCACCGAACTGGCATCGGCTGAGTCGAAGTAGGCGATGTTCTGTCTGAGTGTATTTTCGATGAAGTCAATTCGGAGCGCTTTCGTCGTCCGAATGGCGGTTATCGAAACCAATACCTATAGCAATAAGCATCCATGTCCAAAAAGTATGGAAGAACGTTCCCCGGCTGGCAATCACGCTTCGGATGAATGAATGGGTCGTGCTCACCGAGTGCACATAGACCAACGCGAACTTGCCGATAAACAAGTAGACAAAGTACAGGCTGTGGGTGCTTTTAGCCCGGTTCTGGAAGTTGTGCGAGTACTACGGACGTGTATTTGTTCACTTCAGATCGATATCCCGCCGGCGAGAGTTCACCTATCGCAAACCTGGTGAAAGTAGTGACGAATTTTCCAAATATCAGGTCCATCAAAGGCAGAAGAGTCCCGGAAGCAATGGCAGCGATGAAGGCGATGATATTGAGCGTCCAGCTGAGCCGATCGGCATACTTGAACACACGCTGAGCAGCGTTAGGTACTGCAGTGAAATTTGCTTGCGCAGACACTCACGAAGTATGCTCCCATGCCTCCTTGGGCGGCGTCCGGCTTTGCGTCGCCATCAGTCGCTATGTCGGCCACGGAGTCTTCACCCGCTTGTGGACTTGGCGACTGCTCCTTCTCTGAAGAAGTCGAGTGCGTCATCGCTAGAGGAGGCGTTGGGGGTGTATGGGAGAGTGGTGTTGAGGGCAGAGCGACACAATGTAAAAGCTGGTATATTAATCACGGCCAAGTAATGGGTGCCTGCGCAGGCCGCGGCCGCCGAGGCGAAAGGGCTTGATTGTGGGAGGGTCGTCTTGAGTGTCTTGTGGACGTTTGACGATCGGACGAATAATGAGCGAGAATGGCTCATGGCGTGCATACGAGCAAAACGAACCGCGAGCAACGAGCCTCGATTCTTCCGGCATTGTCGGGTTGGCGCACTGCTACTAGCATCATGCGGCCCAAATACCGCCCGCTTCCAGATACCGGTATTTCGAGGATCACATCGATATCGAGGTGCAGAGGTTGCAGAGAGACGGCACAGGAAGGGCGGGCCGAAGGACGAATCCTCTCGGCTAACGCTCGGCACGGATCGCGGTGGGTCACGAGACCACGCGCATCCATGGCTCCTGCCCTGTTCTTCCGGTCGCGTCTGCACAACCCGCACTTCTCGTTCAACGCCGCGCAGTATTCCTCGCATCCATCACCAAAAGCAGCCCCCAAGAGAGCGCCATGACAGTCTCCAAGCGTGAGGAGTCATACCCCCGATGACGACTTGATTCTTGATTGTGGCTCCTTCGCTTGGCGCCGGAGCCCGAGAATTCCAGCCTCCGAAGCGTCCGCCTCTGGACACCTCTCTCGTAACAGAGCCGCATAAAACTTTCGCCTTCCTCGCGTCCCGATTTTCAACAGCTATGTGCGCCGAGACTACCAAGCATGGATAGTAGAGATGAAATGGATGTGGCGGCCGATGGGTCCAATAGGATCCAGCGAGCGGTATGCCATTTCCCGCCCAGCACCTCCCCGAGACTGATTACGGTTGCAGTGTGATGCATGCCGGTCGAGGAAGATCCGCTGTGATAGAGCGACACCTTGCTCGAATTGTCGCGGCAGCAAGCTGAGTATGTTATGTGGCTAACTACCCATGGGGAAACATCTCCTGACGGTCGTCAACAGCCTGCACGACAACTGCACCGGTCCAAAAGCCGCAAAGGCAAAGGATCCATATTTCTGACGAGTAGTAAGCCTCTCATTTCGCCCGACCTAGTCTGCATTTTGACTTACAGCATCCAGTGAGAGGAAGATCGACCGCATCGAAGACCGACTCGCTGGCATCGAACATGTTCTCGAAAGCCTCGCTTCCAAATTGGCCAACCTTGACCTCCACAGGGAATCGTCTGAGCGTAGCAGCCAGTCGCGATCAGGCGGTGGTGGCACTGGCAGGAGCGCACATTCTAGTTCTGACGTGAACGCCAACACCCCTGTTCCTTTCGAGGGCGAAACCACCATGAACAGGCAGTCGGAACTCGCACAAGAGTTTTTAGAACAAGCTGTGAGGAGTACGCCTTCCATTGAACAGAATGCTGAGCTCAAGGCTGCCTTATCCTCTCTGCAGGATATGGTAAGTAGACAGGGCCACTATACGAACACCATAGCAATGTCAACCCCACATCCCTTTTTCCGCAGCTCTGTCGCCGATTTCGACTGTTCAAAGCTCGAGAGTCCGCCTTGGGATGCCGTAAACGAGGTCATCGACAAAGCTTCCGGTACGCGAACCGAACCGTCGTTTTGTTCGTGGTTTGCTAACACCAGCTAGTATATCCGACAATGTCCTTCGCCGTTGTTTTCCCCTTTCTCAAGATGCGCAACATCAAAGAGATCTCGAAGCAAATATTTGACACTCCGGCCGAGTGTACTGTGGGTCGACGGATTCTGGTGTATGGAGTGCTCTATAACCTGTTTCTCGAGTTCTCGAGTTATCCCGTCGTTAATCCCAGGTACGTAATACCGGTATGCTCGCCTATCTCACCACCCTTTCGACTCAAAAGGGACGTTATCGTCCTTGTCCCATGATTCTCTCCCGCCACGTGCTCGAACAAATATTCTGCTTCGGAATAGGATGGGAACGTGATGAAATTAAGCAGAAGACCCTGACGCTGACGGTATCTACTCAGAGTTGAGAGCTATCGTGCTTACGCACGCATATGCAAGACACAGATGGAGGTTGCCATAAGCCAGCTCGATCTCTATATCCCCGCGACCTACGAGAATATTCTCGCCCTCCTTTTGGGCGCAGCATATGCAATCGAGATGTGCAAGCCGTCACTTTGCTGGGTCATGATCTCCAATGCAGCTGGGCTGTGCCAGAGCCTTGGATATCATCGCATCCAAACCATGAAAGATGACAACGAAGACGAACGTATGGCCAAGGTTCATGTCTTCTGGTTCATCTATTTGATGGACAAGACGCTTTCGTTAAGACTGGGACGTGCTTCTCTAATCCAAGATTGGGATATGTCGTTGCCGTATCCGACCCTGGAAAACGAAACCACTCCCTTTGGCGGTCTCCTCCAGGACGGACCAAAAGGGACAGATATGCTGCTCTATTGGATAAGGGTTGGTCAGATCCAAGGCAAGACATACGAAAAGCTCTTCAGCCCGGCGGCGTTCCTTAGGCCCCAGGAGGAACGAGCCCACATTGCGGCAGAGCTTGTCAGCGCAATGAATGAGGCTTGGGCTGGGCGGGGTGAGGCAAGTGCTCTTGATTTCGCTTTCAAAGGGGTGACCCTTCCGAGTTACGTACCGAAGAAGACAGGTGTCGGCCCCAGCGCGACCGATCCGCCGTCCAAGCAAAAGCGTTCGGCCGTTATGTATCCGACGCCCGCACAACAGTCATTCGGTGCCAGCCCGATCCCTATGAGATACATGGAAGGTGGCGTGCTCTCCTCTGCTGACTTCTTTTTAGAACACAAAGCTTACATTTCCAGAGTCTTTCGGCGCGGTAAGCTTAGCTCGTTGTCTCGTCCCCTAAAACCGAAGCAGGCTGTGGAGCTATTATGTCCCCTTTTTAGGAATATGTGCTAACCATGCGGCAGATTGGCGATATTTTCTACCATTCGGATGTTGTAGTACACTACTCAACGTGCGCGTTGATCCAACGAGCTTGCAGCCCAGACACGGTGACGTTTAGCCAAGATTGCCTTGAGTCGGCCCGAGCAGCACTGGTCGCTCATCAGAGATGCAGCGAGCAGTTCAATGTCAAAGGAAACGAAGATTTGTGGTCCGGATACATCCACTGGTGAGTGCTAATCCACCTTTGCAAATGCCAAAAGTTTCATCGACCTATCCATGGGGCTTCTCGTCTGGAAGTGCGCTTACTTACCACTTAACGTAAGGTCCATCCTCCAGGCACCCTTCACCCCCTTTATAGTCATCTTCTGCAATGCCATCCTCCGCTGCGACCCCTCAGACCTCAACTCCCTCTCTGAGTTCGTCCTCAGCCTTGAATCCTGCCGAACAGTCTCCGAAGGCGCCGACAAGCTCTACAAAATGTGTCATCTCTTCCTGCAAGTCGCAAAACTCTACGTCGAGGCCAAGATCAAAGAGAGCGGCGACCACCCCCAGCAGCATTCTCAGACCACCGAAAGCGGTTTCTACCAGACCGATGGCGGCGAGCAGAGCCTTGACATGAGCGCCATGACACAGTTTGATCCTTACCTCAGCGCTCTAGGCTTGATGCCTAATTCCGCTTGGCCGATGGCGGGATTCCCGCCTTCCAGTATGGCAACAAGTACAGGTGCGGGCTCAAGCACCGGCATGGAGGCATTCTCGCCGGGACATGGGTTTGATGGCAGCCTCGCTGGTGGGTTAAGTGGAAACCAGGTGCAGGACTGGTTTTCAGGATCGAGGTATCTGATGAACCTGATGGAGGATGATATTCAGATGCCGGATTTGAACTTATAGCATCTGGAGGAAACATTTGTACGATATGATGGGTCTCCGCTCGTGTCAGTCCTGGAGTGCATGCTGTTAACAAATCCAAGTGTAGGGTAACACGAAATGAACGTCTAACAGCAGAGCAGTGAAGTGCGTCGTACCTTGAGTCGAGTGGTTAGCCCCGTGAGCCCTAACGAGCGCTGATCGCCGCGGGTCCGTGCGCGCTGATGCCTAATAGACGTTAACATGCTCTGAGAGACCCCATCATCCCATATCCCTCATCACAACAAACATCGCGATGATGCCTCAGCTCCTTGGCAGAGGGCACCCCTTTTCCTTCATCCCTCTCGACTCCGTAACTTGATCCTCCTCCCTCCCGCGCAGCACCACCATTGCCATGGCGGAAGGTACCCCTCCACCGGAAACCATCGCGCACGATGACCTCTGCCCTGTACGCCTCCTCAACCGCACAGCCAGCGATCGCTTAACATTAACACCCTACGCAGGTATGCCATCTCCTCCTCTTCGCGCCCGTAAAAACGACATGCGCCCACATCCTCTGCGGCTCCTGCATGGCGCAATGGGCCGACGCCTCCTCCACCAGCAACATCAGCCATTCGAGCCTCGATCTCGACCTCTCACACTTCGACCCGTCGTACGATCCTACCTACGACCTCGAGGCGAACTGTCCCATGTGCCGCACGCGCACGACGGCGTCGCCAGACAATGCGCTGGCTCGGCAGCTGGAGCAGCAATACCCGAATACATACGAGGAGAGGAGGAAGGAAGAGGAGGTTGAGAGGGGCCAGCGCGTGGGAGAAGGTGGTGTGGAAGGTGTTATGATTCTGATTGGGAATAGGCATCGGCTTGTGAGGGGTGAGGAGACTGCCAATAAGCACGATTGGACGTTCTTCGTGAGAACGTCGAGGCCAGATATTGTGGAAGAGGTTCGGGTTAACTTGCATCCTACCTTCCGGCCCCCGCGGCTGGTGCTCAGGCAGCCGCCGTTTGAGGTGAGGAGGCTCGGCTGGGGGTACTTTACGATTGAGGCGCAGATTGTGCTGAAGGAGCCGTATGGGTGGGTGAAAGATGGAGGTGAGAGGAGGCACGAGGGGTTAGAGCTGACGTGGACGCTGGATTTTGAGGGGAGGGGACGGCAGGGCAGGGTTAGGGCGAAGGTGAGAAAGGTTGAAGAGACGGCGGGGGAGGGAGAGGGAGAGTTGGATGAAGGACAGGACAGGAGGAGTCCGGTGAATTGGCCACATCTGGATCGGGACGAATGAAAGTGGTGAAGGAAAGTCTATACCGTCCTAGTCATTACTCGCACCATCTCCGACGAAGGCTCGATGTTCTTTCGCATCACACACGATACCTCGTCATGGCCTTTCATCAGCGGCGTAGGCGGCGCCTATCTGGCCAAGCAATGACCCTTCCGACCATGATGGCATCGGTCTCAGTTGTACACGCAACGCAGTCTCACTCACTCTCCAGAATCCTCCAATTTATCGTGACCAACTGCAACATACTCTGTTCGACTTCGCGTACACGGCGCCCGCATCTGCATCCCATACCAAATGGGCATAGTTCATTGAACACTTATCCTCGGCGGAGCTCTTGGCGAAAGCTTGGCAGTGTCTTCCATTCGCTCAGCATCCGCAACACCACAGCAGGATCGTCTCTCTCGCAAGATCAGCCTCACCGCCGACGACATTGGTTGCCTTACGCCGCCAAGCCCGCGTGTGTTTGGAGGCTTCGATGCGGGATGACGAGAGCAACTGTGACTTCCGCAGTGAGGGCGATCTAGATAAGAAAAGCTTCGCAAGACGTGCTCGCTGGCGCTTTGTGTCTGGGTAGGTCTCTATGAATATTCGACGATCGACTGAGACGGGAGACCTAATGGTTGCATGGTCGCCCCTCTGGCTTACCGAAATAGGATGCGTGATTGTATTGACTCAGGAATCCGCTCCCTCTCATTCGTCTCGGTCGCTCACTGTCTGTTTTGGGACATCTCACGACGAATGGGGTCCCGTTTCGGTGCGTTGTTTCTGCATATGTGCAGGAGGCGGAAGTTTAGACGCCATCCCGCGGGCACGGTTTGGAGGGGCTTGGGGCTATTGAAGTGTGGGTTAGGCAAGCAAGCAAGCATGCCACGCTCATTCTTGCCTGAAGCTTGAGAGGTGGGAGGGGCTTGGCAGACATCACTGTTTCTGAGAAGAAGGGAGTTTGTATTTATGGATGGGTTAAGTAGGGGAAGGCTTCTGGTACTCACTTTCCCGCTTTGTGGCTTGGACGTGTATATTTCTGCGCACAAGATTTTGTTCCGACTTCTGGACCTAGCTTTTTCTCCTTGTCTTCTGCCACCCAAAACGCTCGCAAATCGTCGAACTCAAGAGTCTTCCGTCGGCCATCTAACTGCTCTTCTTCCTTCTATGAGCCACAGCCTCCACCATGGACCTTAACCGCTACTTCAGCACGCGCCGGAAACACCCACATGACCACCACCATCCTCATGAGCCCACCCAGCGCAAGCGACTCCCTCTCATCGCCTCCCCTATCAACAAAGATGCGCTGCACGCAGTATCATCCTCCAGTTCATCGGATCTAGAGAAAGTCTCTTCTGACGGCACCTCGACCACGGCACAGACCCTGACCACTTCAGACAAGAGCTCGGCGAATCCAGTGATTTATAAGACACACCATGAGGCGAGCACCATTGAGCTGTTCTACGATTTGTTCTTCGTGGCAAACCTGGCATATTTTACGAGTGTACATCAGCATACCGATGCGGCTGGTGAGTATGAAGACTGAGTGGGAGTGGGAGTGGAAGACTAACGTGAAGCAGCGCTTATAAACTATCTGAAGCTATTTACGCTAATGTGGTTCACCTGGCTCTCCACCACTCTCTTCGACGTCCGCTTCGGCATCGATTCTGTCTGGAACCGGCTGTGCAAAGCGGTGCAGTTTGGCGCCTTCACTGGCTTCGTGTTCGCGGGCCCTGTGTTCGATAACGCGGATAAGAGCGATGATGCGAAGAGCTATAAGCACTTTGCCATTGTGATGGCGGTTAGTCGCTTTGTTATCGCGCTGCAATACTTCGTTGTTACAGTCCAGGGCAGGCTGTTTAGGCAGACGCTTTTACCGGTTGGACTGAGCGGGGTGGTGCATCTTTGTAGTGCGGTTGGGTTTTTGGTCACGTATTTTGTGTTTCCCGTCGGGGATGTGGATACGCCGGAGTTGATTACTTGGTAAGTCACCCTTGTCCTCATCCCTGCCTTCGAATATTATAGAAGAGCGGCACGGGAGTTAACACTGAGCAGGTTTATCTTCACCATCGTCGAGGGGCTAGCGATCTTCCTCATCGCGATGGTCTGGCGCGTCGTCAGCTTCAAGTACACGCATCTCGTCGAGCGATGCCAGCTGCTTACTCTGATCATCATTGGGGAGGGTATCATCGGCATGGTCAAGAGCGTGTCATGTATCTTCAAGGGGCAGGCTACGAACAATTCGACGGAGATGGGGACTGTAGTTGCGGCGGTCTTGTTGCTTGTAAGGTTCCATTCTTTTATATCGCCATGTGGATGTCCCATAGTTGGCTTGCTGACATTAATGATCACAGTACCTCATGTGGATGCTCTACTTCGACCAACTCTCGCACGACCGCTTCGGCACCGTCCGCCAACAGCTATGGTCTCTGCTGCACTACCCGCTCCACGTCGCCATTCTCCTCTGCGTCGAAGGCAACACCTCGCTCATCGTATGGAACTCGGCCGTCCAAGCCCTGAAATGGACGTGGGATATCGAGCCCGCCAACTACTCCGATCCCGCCGCGAATTTCGGCTCCACGGACGCGTACATTTCGTACCTGAACGACACCATGTATGACGTCAATGCGCGCTTCAAGAGCAAAGCCTGGAACGCGACATACGACTGGAACAAAAACTTCACAGCCATCCGTAACTACACTGATGTATACGGCTTCCGGACGCCCGAGTGGAATACCAGGACCGCGAACGTGACGCGTATGATGTTCAACTACGCCCAGGTCTTCGTCTTCGAGGCGCATGCAGACACTTTGGCTAAGATTTCCGCGGTTACTTCGCCGACGGCGAATGCGAGGATGAAACTCGATGGCATCTTTGACGTTTTCAACGTCACCGTACTGCAGTTTTACATCGGCGCTGGGGCAATGCTTCTATTGCTCGCCATCATGTATTGGTTCAACAAGCTGCACAAGACGAAGTACGAGTTCGGGGAGATGATCAACCGCGTCGTCGTCGGCTTCGGGCTCATCATTGCGGGCGTGGCTGTAGTGTTAGTAAACAAGAAGACGAGCGGGTTTAAGTTCGCAGCGAGTAATTGGATCATCCCGATTGTAGTCATCAGCTTCATACTAGGTACGTCTTTCTTTCTACTAATAGCGGGGGTTTCGTACAAGGCATAGCTGACATGTTCCGCAGTCCTCGCCCTCGACAACCTCCTCCTAAACATCTCGCACTACACCAACAAACGCTCCTCCCATCACCACCGCCGCGGCAACTCCTGGGCCGGAACCACCATCAACGACAGCAGCGACTACAACGACGCCGACACTGCAGACCTCCTCTCCAAGCGCAGCACCAGCTCGGACACGCACCCGCCCGCCCATCCGCCGGTGACTTTCCACGACAACACTGCTTATCAGCCGTATCTCTACCCGCCAGCCCCGCAGAGCCAGCCGCGCGACTTCGCTAGTAACGGAAGTGGCAGGGAGAGCGCGGACAGCGGTGCTACGCTGACGGATGCGAGTCCGGCGAGGGGAGTTGGAGTGGCGGTGACGTCGAAGGAGGAGGAAAGCGAGAGTGCGGATGAGGAGTATGCGGGCGATAGGAAGGGGAGGAAGAAAGGGGGTTATGAGAGTGTGGGCATGGCGGATGAGTATGATGGGGAGGGGTATGAGGGGCATCCGTTGAGGGTGAGGAGTGTGAGGGAAGACGGAGTGTGAGGTATGCTGGGGCAGTAGTGCGTGGGGAGCGAAGAATGGATGGCTTATGATTAACGATAGCGGTGTGGTTTTTGATTGAAGCGTCTGGTTTGCTATGTTTTAGGATGGGTATGGTGCATGCTTTTCCGAGATGTTATTGGGGGTTTGGCTTGGTCTCATTGGTAGCCTCGCCCTTCTGCGTCCATGGAAATGATTCATAAACGGGATCACTTCCAGTATTGCAGTTTTCAGGTACCGTATTTATTCCTCCTAGAAGCTTTCTGGAGCCGGCTACGGTAGCGTATTATTTTGCGTAAAATGGTGGTCTGGAATGCTCTTCTTCGCTATACCGTATTCTTTATCTCTCCCGGCTGATCCCTGGGCTTCCGACTTCAGATTCGGCTATATCTGAAATCCTAGGACGGCGGTGCCGCTATTCAGTCACATAATTCTGCTCTGTGTGCGCCTGCTGTATATGGCGCTTCTTGGCTGCACGACGTGGTACCATTCTCACCACCGCTCCCCCTGGTCGCACAAATTTAAGCCCTACTCTTTCAGGCATCGTAAACTCTGCTAGACCATTTCTGAAATAACTCCTTCCACTCCCACTGTCAAACGGACATGTCTGAGAGCAATGATAGCGCTATACCGCCGGAGGAACGTATCGAACTAGCTGAGCGTGGCGAGGCTGGGACTGGGGATTATCAGCCTTGCGCGGGGGAGCAATCAAACCGCCAACTCTGGCGGGCTTGAAGAACAGCAAGAGGAGGCACGTGGAGTAGAATCTCACAGCCGAGCGTCGGTTCTTCACTACCAACCACTCCTCGTTCCTATTATAGCGATTCTCGCTAGCTAAGCTCATCTAGTCGTTCGTAATCTCTCACCGGTATCTGGCTGGAGACATCTTGTGATTATACGTAAGGCACAGCAGCGGATATATCAAACAATCCAAGCAGGTTTACCATGGACTTCTAGTCAACCCCACTTCTTCGCACATACTAAAGACACGGGAGCCAATTAGACCCAGCTGTTCGCTGACATGCAAACGTCTCTAATCAATGCCGATCATATTGGGAACCGGGAGGCGTTTGATCTTCGCAGTTTTCCGTTTCCCAAGGCGACAGTTCACCAGTCCCGTACAGCGCCTCGCAGCGAGCACAGGGAGATGGTCCTCGAGTCTATATAAGTTCATGTTCAAGTCGCAGTTACCAGTCCAGACCGACCCTACCACCTACTATTACTCTTTACTTCACCCCAATCCACAACTCGTTTCAGAATTCCGTACTTTCCCATACCAATCCTCATCCAACAACCGAAATGACTGACAGCGGAGGTTTTATCAAGGTCCCGACTGTCAGGAGGAGGACCAGATGCAGAAGGCCGCCGACAAATCGAAGGCGAAACGCGAAGCAGCTAGGAAGGAGCGAGAGGCGCGAGAGGCGGAAGAGTTGATGAAGAAGGCCGCCAAAAGCTCTAAGAACAGGCGCAAGAAGGACTGATCTTCCAATTTGCCTCTTTTGCTATCGACTGGCTCTTAGGTAAGTGGGGCCTCGACTTACGAAGCCTTATTAAACGAGACAGACTGATGTTTGATAGGCTTCACCAGTGTAGCATTGCATCTTCCTCGCGCATGGTCCACGGCGTTCTCGGCGTTGCTCTCGAAACCAGTCTATCTATTCACGTCAGAGATTGACCGATTGCGAAATGACACCGGGGGTTAGAGATTTTTGAGAGCAATGTCGCTGTTTCATATGTTTCTTTGCTTTCCCCACCCACACTCGTTCATGTACTGCATCAATATATCGAATTGCTGGCCGGCTTCAAACATTTGACTTCGATGACGGCTTCGGCTGCCCCGTCATGACTGGCACTTCATGTGCCTCATCTGTTGAACTAGCATACCTCTTAATGGGGTATAGTGATAGTGTCGTGGTCGCAAATATTGACACATGCTGCGTAGCCCAAATAGCAAGCATCTAAAGAAGTGGTGAGCCTGGTTATTGGTCGTACCTGGGCGCAGCTGGCAGGACTCCGTGGTGTGAACGCATGTGGGGCGGGGATTACCCGTAAGCCGCGTTTATATGTCAGTCACCAGGAATCATGAGTCTTATCAGTGGAACGTGGACAACATAGTAGGTTCGCTAGTAAGGGGCGTTGCGTTGGTCGTGGAGTGGAGCATTGCGGCACAGCTTTTTGCGTGTATGTGATCTGCATCAACAGATACAGTTTCGGTCCCCGCCAAGTCTTAACCTACACTTGCGCGCTTTGGCTGTACTCCGCCAACACGCCTCAAAAATTTACGCGCCGCACAGCCGTGATGTGGATCCCCGCCACTGGCATGACGCTGCTCCCTAATGAGAATAGCGCAACTGCAATCTATTAAAGCCCCCCAAACTGCCTTCTAAAGCGACACAATTCCATCGAGCCACCACATAACAACAGATCTCATCCCAAATCATGCACTATCAACATTACTCCTTCTAGAGCTGTTGACGTTTTCCCAATGACTGCGTACGACGAAATCGCCGAGGCCGAGGCCAACGAGGAGTGCAGAGCTTGGTTGCTCAAGGTTCTTGGCGCGAAGGAAGAAATTGTAGCCTTCGTATCGAGCCGCCGTCCAGGATGTCCTAAAGGGGAATTTGATGGGTATCTCACGGGCTCCTTCAACTTCTGTATCTCCGTTTGCTTCGACGATGGAGGACCAAAGGCTATCATCCGGTTCCCAAAACCAGGTCACACACTCACCGCTCGACGAGAGGAGAAGGTAAAGAGCGAGGTCCAAGTCTTAGCGTATTTGAGAGAAAGGACGAAGCTCCCCGTACCTCGCGTAACTAGCTGGGGTTTGACGGACGAAAGTCCCAGAAATTTCGGCCCCTTCATTATCATGGATCGTATCGACGGTACTTCGCTCGCTACCCTCTTGAAACAGCCCGTCCAGTCTGAGGAGGACGATGTCATTCTGAGGGATGATATAGACGATGCCAAACTGGACTACGTCTACGAACAGCTGGCGGAAATTACGATCGAACTTTCCCGGCTAGACTTCGACGCCATTGGAGCCATAGCGAAGAACTCGGACACGAATAAGTGGCTAGCAACTGGGAGACCGTTTACTTATAATATGAACGAAATGGCGGTAACCGTCTCAAATTACCCTGTGGACGCTTTTCCCGCTGCGCCATTCCGGACCACCAGAGAGTACCTCGAATACCAATCCGATGAAAATCTTACTCACCTTCGCGTACAACGTAATCTGGCAAGTGGTCCAGAAAATGCCAAGAGAAGGTACATTGCACGCCACCGGTTCCGACAGCTCATTCCGAAATATTGCATAGACAACAACGGTCCTTTCAAACTCTTCTGCGACGACTTACAGCCTTTAAATATGCTCGCCAACCCAGAAACGCTTAAAATCCATGGAATACTAGATTGGGAATTCACGCATGCGATGCCAGCACAATTCTCCTATGACCCACCGTGGTGGCTTATATTGAAAGGACCAGACATGTGGCTGGAGAATTATAGCATAGAAGAGTTTCTGGCTCGCTACGAACCCAGATTGGAGCAGTTCCTTCGCGCCTTGGAGCGAGTGGAGGCGAGATCGCCTCCGACAGAACCCAAGCTGTCGACTCAGATGCGAGAATCCTGGGAGAGTGGTCGGTTTTGGTTTGATTACGGGATTAGGAAGAGCATGGATGTCGACGATATTTACTGGGGTGCGCTTTATCGAGAAGGAGATGATGTGCTCAATGAGGAACAGCAGAGGGAGATGGAAGAGTTCGTTGAAAAGAAGATGAAGGACGTGAAGGCATATGACGAGGAGTGCAAGAAGAGAGGCTTATAAGGAAGAGAAAAAGAAACGGCGTAACATGTGATGGATCTGGAAATCGGATGCCAAGCATCGGCGCCGGGAAATCTTTCTCCGAGCCTCGGCCCGTATGTAGCCTCGTCCCGCACCTCCGCAGTGCTCCTCATAGTAACATCTTACCGTATTAGCTAATTAATCAACCTTGGAACTGTCTGATCTTACGCGCGCCCGTATTCTAGGCCTAAGAGGTAACTCTTTTAAACGTTACTAAGACTAGTTAGCTCTTTCGGCCTAATTACTTCTAACCTCTCTTACTAATCTCCCTCTCAACGAATAAAACCCACCCCGGTACGATCCCCCAGCAAGGCTGAGCAAAAATACGAAAGGATTTGTGTGGGGTCGCACAGCCGAGAGCGAGCTGAGCATCAGCTGCACACGCCCGCCCGAGCCGTGTCAGCACAACAGCCTCGGGGTTTAATCAAAATTCTGCCCGTCGCGCTCGTGAAACTCGAGACATCCTTCTAACTTACCTCCGAAATGAGAGAGAAGTATTGCAGAGAAATGGGATCGGTATTGAATGGTTGTTGAAGAGGAGGCAGCAAAAGAGCGCGCGAAGCGGTGAAGCGTACCGTGTCTTCCCAGCCCCCGGCGGGGCTTGGCACGGCGGAAAACACCGAAAAAGCATCGTGGAGTCGGACGAGAACGAGCGCAAAAGGCGGGGTTTTGAGGTGTCGCGTGAGGCCTTTTTTGGGCGGGGGTTGCAGTAGATATTGAAGGGCGTTTGGAGGATAGAGTGTATGAAGCAAGAGCGAGGACACCTGCGCAGAACCAAACGCGACCACGACCGCGACCACGACCACAACCACGACAGCTTGCTTGTCCGCCTCAGCACTATTATCAACACCCAGAGGTGGGAAGTCGAGAGTGTTTTAGCGCCCGAAAGAACACCGCAGACAGAACGTGTGAAGCGTAGAGCTGGAGAGACGAACGCTTGGCCCTGGATTTTCCAAGAAAAGAACCCCGAAAGCAGATGCGCAACATACCGATATCTATCTCCCTACGCCCGCCATCCAAGCCCAGCCCCTCATCATGGCCTCCGTTGCGCGTCAAGCAAACGCGGACCTCAGACGAAGAACTACTCAACCCCCTCCACCTCCACACCACCACGACCCCCCCTCCCTCCCCGACCCAAAGACCACCCATCCACCATGCTCGCCCCTCCCCCCTTTCACCACCCCCTGGCGCCTCCGAAGCCGCAACCCCAGCCTCGCCTCCCGCCTCTTCACGCGCCTCATCGAACTCTTCCTCACCTCCCTCGCCATGATCCTCCTCCCCACGCTCCTCCAAACGCTCGTCCACGCCCTATCCTCCATCCACGACCTCATGTCCCGCCACGCCCGCTCACCCTTCGACTCCACCCCCTGGCTTCAACTCTCTATTGGCTCCTTACTCCTCCTCGCCTGGCACGTATGCCTCATCTACCTGAGCTACCGGCACGTCAGCGGAGAAGGGGAAACGCACTCGTGGGCGCGGGACGTGGAGGACTGCACGGCATGGCCGAGGTGGAAAAATATCGTCTTGGGCGGGATTTTGCATTGCGTTCTCGTCCCTGCGTATCTGCTCTGCTGTCTCGGGGTATCTGCTTTACGACTCAAAGCGCGCCTCGACGCACGTGACGCGCCGATGATGCCGGCACACGCAGCTGTATTGGACGAAGTGGATGGGCTGAGATGACTTACCCAAAAAGGACTATTATGTCTAGTGTCGAAACACGACTTCGTCGAGCCCCCCGAGATGGGAGTGGTCAGCCCCGAGATCCGCTTGCCGCTGCATGATACCACTACAGTACCGGTGCAGCGCAGCAAAAACCACACCGCCCAGTGCCGCCAAACCGAGAAAACGAAATTTCCGGGACGCCTTCGGGCCGATAGCTGAGAACCAAGGAAAACGATGCCGACGCTAAGGGTCCTGCGGAAAAGCGGGGAAGAAAGACCGAAATCCACCCGGTGTACGGTGTGCGGGAAAACTCACTGCAGGTGGTGTGTCATGCGTGCAGGACAAGGGTAGAAGCGTATGCCGAGTCGGCTGGCGGGAAATCAACGCACTGGCATTGGTCGCTCGGGCATTCTAGAAGCTATCGGCAGGGCAAAAAAGCAAAACCGTGCAAACGGTAGTGCGACGATCTGGGGGATCTGGGAAGGATGACGCGCATGCGATTGCTCAGAGGCGTGGTGGAATGGTTGGTCTAGGCTGCGCAGAAGAAGCAAGAGTATGCACCGTTGGCGTAGGTCTTTACATATCGGGATTCGCGGACGGATGTGGATGCTGGGGACACGTATATTTGTCGCGGTCTCTTGGGGTAGAGTATAACCCTCCCCTTGTAGAACTATCCTATCTGCGTTAAGGAAATGACGAGCCACCTACCATGCAACCATTCACGAACAGGTTATTACGAGTACATCCAAACCACGCTGAAGCGAACATGAACTTCAGCGCACTGCCGCGGGGCATCGTGTCCTCAACCAAACCACAAGTTCCAGAGCTTCGTCTTTGGAACCTACCTCAATGAAGACACGGTCACTGCAACCTCGCGATGCGGTCATCAAACCGTCTTCTCTCGCACTTACCTCTTATCATTCCAACCGCGGTGCCATCGCCCGCGGGACAACCACGGATGGCCCTACAAACGAACCAGACCCGCTCCGATTCCAACATCATGTCGCAGGCTCTCGCGATAAACCCGTCAATCCCGCGCGGGATGGGTCGTCAGTCGGACTAGTAGTTCCAAGAACAAAATACCGCTTTTCCTCATCGCGTAAAGCAATCCCGTGCTATGTCTCGCATTCATTCTCGGACCTGAAGAGTGTCCTCGACAAATGCAGCGTCGGCAACGGACGGTTCGTAGTAGAATCGGGCAGATAGGAAGAAGCAGTCTATCATTAGAGGGTCCTGGCTTAGTTCTGGCTTGGTTCGTGTGTGGAGAGGCTGTGGAGCGGAGGTCAGTGGAGCGGTAATCGAGCTGCAAGGCACAACTGCGTCGTTCTTGCATTCTCGAGTCATCATGCATTAGCGAAACCGTTTGAGGCTCCTTAGACCGAACAGAATGCGGGGAAGCGAACGTCGGGAGCCATGGGCGACGGCGCGTAGGGTCGCTAGAGCGTATGGGGTCGGGGGCGGGACTGCATGGTCGCTTTAGGAAAGGCCGCATGCGACCACATACTCGAGTATGAGGGTGCAAGGCTGACACCGCATATGCAATGATCTCGTTCCGTGAGACTTGTTGAAGCATGAGAGGTCATGTGCGTTGATATCTGTCGCCCTGGACAGAGACCAATGGGAATATGTTACCTTCTGGTACTCGTCGCCGCGTCAACGCATTCAAGCGGGTCCTATGATAGGCATGAGCGGCGCAAGAAGTGATATTGACTTTCGATGACGGCGAGATGAACCCCCGCGCAACGAGTCCGAAAGCGCAGTGAGCAACTGTCGAATCGACGGCGCAAATGCGCGTCTGACCCAAGGGCGCAACGAATTTGAGCGATATTTCTGCGAGCATATCAGTGTCAGCATTTGGGTAATGAGGCTTAGCTTGTCGTCCCAAAAAGCATCTTGTACTTCTTGGGCAAAGAAGTCCTCAGCTGATAGTGGCGTTGCTTAACCAACGCGTGGCGCAACGGAGACGCCGATGGGGAGAATGCCATGCTTCCTTGGACAAATCTGATGCTCTCGGCAGGCTTGGGCAGATAAGGCCGACGGTTGCTGGCTCTCCACCACGAACCGGAACATCCGAAACGTAGGTGCAAGGTGACAATGCGCAAACCGAGGTTCGACGAGCCGTTACGGACTCGGTTGCAAAGGTTTGATCGAGCGTTTGATGGAGGCGCATTGGATTCTAGGTCGGCTGTAATGTCGCAGAGCGTTCTGTAGGTAGTTGCCGGGGTGGTTGCTTGGCGCGCGGAAAAAGCAGACAGCGATGTTGCATCGTGGCGCATTGGAAATACCGCTATTCTCAGGTTACACTCGAATCATTCCTCTGCTTACGCGATGCCAATCGTACTTACCCTATGTGAGATCCTCGGGGACCTCTAAGGACTGAATTAGCGCATATGGAATCCAGAGATTGAACGTTCTAACTCTTGCTGTTTCTGCTTGGCGCAATGGATACAGCAGAGGCATATCGATCCACCAGTTGAGAATTTTATTGAGACCTTCAAGTACACATGTCGATGAGTGAATGTGGGTATCTCATTGCAATCATGAGTCGTCGTCCGCTGTCGATAGGCCGTCGCTCAAAAACCTCATAGCTCCTACTCGATCTTGTAAACCCAAATGTAGTACAGATGATGTACAAATTCCATGCACATGCTAGTGTCCCAACTCTTGCCGTGCGCGCCTAAACAGCCCTCTTGTCGACTTCGATGTTTCGCTTCAAGCCGACAAGCTGAAGCATCTCCGTCCAGAAACCGACTGGAGGAGAAATGAACGAGGCCTCATACGCATCGATCAGAGGGGCGTCCCAAACGAGATCCACCTCATGCGCTGGGATGACTTTGGTCTTGTGAATCAATTTCCAGACGACGAATAGGATAGGTGCGACGCCGAGCATCGTGTAGTACGAGAAGAAGTCCTCAATCGTGAAGGCACCCGGCAGGAAGACGGAATAGCCGTAGCAGAAGACAACGCAGATGAGGAAGACCAAGCCGAACCAAGTACCATATGGTTGGAACCAGCCGCAATAGGGCAGAGACTTGCGGTCGACACCCTGAGCCTTGCACGCCCTGTAAAAGGCCAGGAAGGTAATCATCATAACGATGAAGTCGATCAAGCCACCTGCCGTTATGAGATTAACCAGCCAGGTTAGGACCTTGGCGGATCCGCTGGACACCTGCAGGAAGGATAGCAGGGGGAACACCATAACAATGCAGAAGCAGTAGATGGGGACGCCCTTGCGGGTGCATTTGCGGAGAAATTTCGGCGCGCGTCCCTCAATCGCAAGCCCGTACAAACTGCGAGTCGCGCAGTAAGTGTAGGTGTTGCCCGCAGAGAAGATGCTAGTTACCAGAAGGGCGTTTGTAATATGAGGTAGGACAGGGATAGCGAGGTTCTTCATCGCAATAACGTAGGGAGAGGCCGCAGCAGTGCCAGAGCCACCCTGGTTGCCAGTCAGGATGTCCACGAGAGTCGGGTCGTTGTACGGGATGACGATGCCAACGCACAGAGCGCCCAAGATGAAGAAAGCTCCGAAGCGCCAGTAGACGGTCTTGAAAGCGTTCTTGATATAGGTTCGCGGGCGTTTAGCCTCACCGCTGACCATGGAAATATACTCGGGGCCAACGATGCAGAAGGAAGCAGCCCAGAGCGCGCCGAGGAAGCCTTCAAAACGGCCCTTGTCGCCAGTCGCAAGGTATTCGGCCATTGGCCCGGGTTCTCTCCAGTAACGGAAGCCGTAGGCGTCATGCCTTGGATTGCCACCGCACATGGTGATAAAGGTAAAGAAGTAAAGCATGATGATCAGGATCACCTTGCCACCGGATAGCCAGAATTCGGCTTCGCCGTATGCCTGCACAGCAAGAATGTTGCATAACCTATCAAACGTTTAGCTCTGAACTCTCGTGTAGACAACGTCGCACTGGCTTGAAAGAGGAGTGAGTCTCACGCATATAGTACGATCACGGCCGCACAAACTGCCGCGACCGGGATATCGTCTCTCCAGAAGCCGAGCACCAGGTTGAGAGCTGTGATTTCGAATGGAATGAGCAGAGCTTCGTAGAAGAAGAAGTTCCACCCTGCCATGAACCCAAGAGCTTCATCAACCCACCTACCCGCCATTCGGACGAATCCGCCGGTGACGGGCATGTAGGTAGCCATCTCGGCCATGGAGTTGTTGACGAGACCCATAACACAGGAGTAGCCGCCATAGGCAAGTAGGATGCCCAAGGGGCCGCCCTTGTTGAGAGCTCCACCGATACTGACGAACAGGGCAGTACCAATTGAGCCGCCGATTGCGATGAGCTGAATCTGGCGATTTCCCAGATGACGTTGTAGGTCGTCGGAATTGTCGCTCACTTCACCGTGCTGGACGTCGCTGCCAGTCTCATTGACGTAGCCATCGTACTTCTTGGACTCGTCGATGTCCATTGTTGCAAGGGAGTTGTCGCGCGGGATGCGGGAGAGTCGCACGAGGAAGTAGCGCTTGGGGATACCAAAGTTGCGAGGGTGTTTCGACGGTGATGTCGATTGAAGCCAAAGCTTTGCAATGTCGCACCGAACCACCGGACGTGAATGATGGCCCGAGAGTTACAGAGAAGCGAGGAGAGCCCTTGTCTGTTTTTGGGGAAGAGCAGATGAAGGAAAGAGGACAGGGCCTTTATACAAGTGCAGGGCGGGCGATCCCTACAGGTGCGCGAGGGCCCCGGTCGGCGAGAGCCTCGTATGCAACCTAGGGATGAATGAGGTTTGGCGGTGTCCACAGTGACCGGCGTTTGCTAACGTTATCGAGCCAAGTGAACCTCCCGCGGTTCTGGGCAAGGTTATCGGCAAGAGTTTTTGCCATGTCCTTGGTCACAGCCCGCCAACGAACCCCGCTCGTTGCGCCCCAATCACGGTTGGGGTAACATTGCCCATTTGGGCAACGCTACATCGGTCAGTGCGCTAAGCGGAAATTTTCTAGCTCGACAGGGTCCGGTGTTGCTGAAGCTGCTTACTGTCGGGCAAGCTGCGAGGCTGGAACCGGATAGAAGCTGAAGATTTTTGCATCTCACGAAACGTATTAGAGATCCCGCGCGACCGCAACGATGCGCAAATGGTGGAGTCGTGATAATCTGACCGCTAGCGGAAGCAGCGCGTTCGAGAGATCGCATCGGATAAACATGGCGAAAAGCCCCCAGGAATTTGCCAGGCGGAGGTAGCCACCCAAAGGGAATTGCTTTTGGCGGAAGCCTGCGTGACGTCGAAGCATACTCCGACATATCCTTTTAAGACCGCCCGGCCGTCAGCCATAAGAGAGCGATTTCTTTGAAGACCGTGGCGCGATTAGGCCGTAGTGCTCTCGCAGCTTCGCATGCAATTCCGCATTTCTGGGGATAGTAAACGGTCGGGGATTGCGCGGGCCTTCGTCTTCATGCATGGCTAGAGATTGTCGGAAAGGGTAAGAATATACAGATCGTAGAAGGGAGGCGTCGGCTTGCGTCCGCAGCAGCTTCCGCATTGTTTGGGTTGAGGAATCGAATTCGGGGCAGAACCGCCTTCGGTCGGAATAGGCGATGAGCGTATACGACAGTGACAACCGCAGGAATAGAGAGCAGACAGCTGACGGATATGTGATGACCATGAAGAGAAAGGCTATTAGCGGGCATGCGAGGAACCTCCCATCATCTTTCGCTGATGTGTCATCATCTCTGGTGTCTTCCAGCGTCTCGGATCATCCAGCACCGTCCTCTGGCCATAGTTAGATACTGGTTCGCGCGACGTTGGAAGGGGGTTTGATGCGAAGAAACAATGGGTGATGGGAATTGAGATGCAGAAGAAAGGTGGATGAGGTAGGAAGAAGAGGACGAAGTAAAGTAGGAGGAGTCATCGTCGCTTACCAAGACGAGCCCGGTCGGACTTCCCTTGCACAGGCAAACAGGACACGGGCCGTCGCCAGGTTAATATGATCGTCCGCCTCTCGTTTCCGTGTCAAACACCTCAACTTCTTCTCTACCGTCTTACATGATGAGATTGTACGCCGATGGCGTCGGCGGTGCTACCATGATCTTACCGTTACGAAAAGCAGGTGCAGCTAACCTTGGAAGGCGGAGCGCACCTGGGCACCTTCAGACGCCTTTTGACCTAAATCCTCACTCTCCGTATGAAGACTGCTACTACTATCAGCATGAAAGTTTCGCATCGTCCAAAATAAAACCCCATACGACTAAGTCCAACCCAGGTCCAAAGCTTGACTGAAGCTTATTCGAGGTAATGGCGTCTCCGTCGGCTTATCGATAAGACTACTACCCCGCATTCCCCCACTTCGAAGCCTCCCATCACACCTCACTCCGGTCTTTATACTGCAAACACCTGCCAAGTTATCGTCTAATCAGAAATGGCCGTGTGAATTCCAGAATACGTTTTGCCCACGGAGCCAGCCAACTTCCTCGTTCTTGGTACATTTCCCCGCCCCATCCTCCTCTCACCACCTCTTTCAAAGCCTAAATCACGTCGACTCCGTTTTATATTGATCACTAGAGTTACTTCGTCCTGGATTTCACGCTTTTTCCGTTCGCGTCACCATACTCCATCTTCTTTTTCGTTGATGCAAGCCACTGTACCCTCGAGCATAGTACAGATCAGCCGCCGTACTACCCACCATATATTTCCTTTTTTTCTAGCATCAGCTGTTCAGCCCAAGATCCCTGATCACCCCCAATACATATTCTCCAGTTTCCTCTCTTCCCCCGTCTCAAAACACCCCTCAAATTTCATTCATCACGTGATTTCTCTTTATCAACCGCGTTCCCTGAATAGGCGTTCATCATGTGTCGCTGGTTCGCATACATCAGTCCCATTGAGCCCAGTCTGCTCTCTGATGTCCTTATAACGCCTGCAAATAGCATCAGCAAGCAATGCTCAGGTACGTCAACGAGCTTACACTTCCCTGGCTCTGCTCACTTCATGTAGAACACTACCTTCCCGGCCTCCTCCCGTACGAAAAGGAAAAGGAGCTCGATCACAGCTCCGACGCACTCCTCCGCATGCGAAACTCCCTGCTAAACATGGACGGGCTCGGCATCGCCTGGTACACCAACGCCGCCAAGTCCTACATCAAGAGCGTTGACGGTCCGCGGCCCGCACTCTACAAGTCCCAGTCTCCCCCCATCAATGACTTCAATTTCCGCTCGCTGTGCGAAAACACCGAGACGCACTGCGTCTTCGCGCACATCCGCGCCAGCAGCGGCAGCACCGTCACGCAAGTAAACTCGCACCCCTTCGTCTTCGGCCGCCACGTCTTCATGCACAACGGCGTCATCTCGAACTTCTCCACCATACGCCGCGAAATGACGAACATGATATCCTTCGACGCATACTGCAACATCTTCGGCTCCACCGACTCCGAGCACGCCGCCGCCCTCTACATCACCAACCTCACCAAAAACGGCACCAAAGACTCCTGGCAGAACTCCTACCCACTCGCCGACATGCTCGACGCCATGACCCAAACAGTCATCCAGATCATGATGCTCCAAAAGTTCAAACAGCCCGGCGCAGAACGCACCCCGAACTCGCTCAACTTCTGCACCACCGACGGCACTAAGATGCTCGCCATCCGCTTCCGCAACCACGCTGCCCAGCAGCCGCCCTCGCTCTACTGGTCTGAGTTCGCTGGCCGCACGCTCAACGGCAAGTATCCGGGCAATCCGGACTCGGCGGATATGGTGAATGAGCAGGCGATCTTCCTGGACGATGAGCGGATCGGGAAGCATACGATTATTGCGAGTGAGCCGACGACGTACGATGAGAAGGAGTGGCATTTGATTGGGAAGAACTGCGCGCTTACGGTTGATGAGGAGGGCGTGGAGACGGAGGTGCCGATTGAGTATGATGAGGGGTTGAATGCGGAGGATCCGAATGATCCGGCGAAGAAGTAGGGGCTTGCGCGGGTTGGGTGGTTCTATATGCTGAGTCTTGGTGGCCCGGTGGATTGGATGGGGCAGCACACTTTGGAACTACGAGAAGGCTAATGATGAGATATGACCGATTTGTTTCCGCAAAGCATAACTAAACGCTAAAAAATATCCCAAGCCTACTCTTAATCTCCTTAATATCCAAGCCTTGCAATATCCAAACCTCGCCGAGACAGACACCAACAACCAAACTGTGCCAGCCCACAAGCCGCACCGCAATGCGCTGCCTGCGCGATAGGTCGTCCAGCTCGCGTTTCAGGGACGCGGTTTCGCATCGGGGGGCTTCGGTATCTTGAGAGTGGGCGTTTTGTTGCGTGGGTGCAGTTTCAACTGCTGGAGGAGGGGGAGCGGTGGATCGTCCGGGGAGGTCGGACGCGGGGAGGCCTCGGGGTTCCATTGGGGAAGGGGGTGTGGGTTGTGGGTTCAGCGGCTGTGAAGGGGTTCGTAGGAAGACGAGGTTGGAAGGATGGGTGGGCACGAGGGAAGCGCGTTGGAGACTGGGCGTTGACGAGAAGAGTCTGGAAAGAAAGAGTAGAGAAGATGTGTTGGCGAGAAGTCGATAAACGATGGTACCGTTTCTTGGGTCGGTCCGGTGAAGCAAGGGATGGCCGGTCACCTCTTCGCACTCGCTATGAAAGCAGAAAATATCAAACAGGGCTTTTAGAGTGCATGTTGCTCATCTCGAGGCATTCCAGATCCCCTGGCAGCGACTATGCACCACCGTCGTGAGCTAGGATCCGGGTAGATTCCCAGCTCACCATGTACCACGTTACGTGATCAGTTTTACACAAAAAGGAAGAAGTGCTTTTTAGTCCAGACATCGTATTAGTTCGATGCGTTCAAAGCCCATTCGTGATACCCCCGGCATTCCTAGCCATCAAAGATATACAAAGCAAAAGCAGAAAACGCCGGCCCATGCATCGCATCATAACACATATACAATGAACAGAAATCCAGCTGCCATTACGCTTGTCCTACCTAAAAGGCCCTTCCTGGTGTCGCTGGTAGTGGTCCCCAGTCTGGCCGCGGTGCTCTCCAATCTTGCCGTGGAAGACCACTCTGCGGCATTCCACCCCACGCAGGCTCCGGCGCCTCATTCAAGCTCTCGAAGCGCCGTTCTGCCGCCTCCTTCTCCTGCATCGCAACCTCCTCCTGCATTTTCTTCTCTCTCCTCTGCGCCTGCTCCTCCATCAAGGTCGTCTTTATCTTCCGCATCTTAAACCATATCCACACACCCAACGCAATAGTAACGACGAACACAGCGCCAAACATAACCGTCTGAATAGTATTATTATCCTTCTCCTGGACGAGCAGCACGCCGAGGTAGACGAGGAAGATCTGCTTCGGGAGGGAGAAGAAGGTGGCGATGAAGAAGTGCCAGAAGTTGACGTCGCAGGTGGAGAAGACGGCGGTGGAAAAGTGCGAGGGGATGGCCGAGAGGCGGATGATGAAGACGATCCAGAAGCCGCCGTCGCGCGTGAGGCGTGCCAGCGCCCCGTAGTTGAGGTTTGTGCGCTCTAGTTTGGCGGCTTTGCGGCGAAGGGCGTATTTGAAGGCGAACCAGGTGCCGACTGTGAGGGTTAGGATACTCGCAGCTCAATGGAGTATGGGTGTTGTAGACTTACTCTCACCGAGGAATGTTCCCGCTGCGACGATGGCGAAGCCTATCCATAGCCCCCAGACGACACCGCACAGCAGCGCGACGATCTCGTGGCCAAAGAGCGGAGGGAAGGATATGACGAATAGGATAGCTACAGGAATGAGCCATCCCGCTGGAAGCTCACGAAGCTTCTCGGAGAAGGGACGGAGTGCCTGGTGAAGACGTTAGCGGGGTACATGCGCGGGCTGTGCGAGGAAGGACTTACCTCGACGGCCTGGTCATGCTTGATCGTGAGCAATATTGTTGCTACGAGGATTGCTATCCCGAGTATGTGTAATGCTAGTGGGTATGTTAGCTTAGTCTGGGCTGTCTAGATGCTCGGGTTGCCCACGGATGTATTTTGGCGTCAGGAAGATGCGCTTCCAGTTGACCGGCCTGTAGTCTGTCTCTTCGGGGGCCCCGCCTTTCCGCTCGCCCCTTATCCGCCCCATTTCGATGTCCCGATCCAGATCTTGCGCCATCGTCCAGCTTTCGATATATCTTCAAAACGACGAAATGCGAACGATAGAACCGAAACCGAGGAAGCGAGAAGGAAACCAAACGGAGGAGCGAAGCTGATAATAAGAAAACGCAAAAGAGCGACTGTGACGTGAGGAACGGTGGAATGGAAACGATGCGCATAAAGTATGAAAGGTGATGGTGAAACCGGCATAGCCTCACCCGCCTTGGACACAAGAGGGCCAATCAGCCCGCGCCGGGCTTCCAAATTAACGATGATCTGCGACGCGCGCGCCCGCAGACAAGCGTCCTTGGCGCCCCTTTACTCTGCTTGGAACCCAATTAAAGGCTGATCGCCCAGCTAGGCCGCCTCAGCCTCCAACGCTTGCGTCGCTGCGTTCCTGTAAAAGGACCGAGCCACGAGCTGAGTATTACTACCTGCCGCTCCCGCGTGCCCTTCTCTTGCGACTGCGGTAACGCCGAGATGTCTTCGTCCGTGAAGATGTCGCGCGCTTCTCGAGCTGCGGCGCACCGCCAATGCGGACGATCCGTGGCGGACAAAGGAATCTGCAAGACGTTCGCCGAATACAGTATGTGATCGGGAATTCCGAGACGGAGATTAGCGGACGGTGCGCGCGATGAGGAGCGGAAGAGCTGGATGCGGTGCGAGAGGTGCGAGAAGTTGACGATGCTGTGGCCGTCGCAGACGTGGAGTCAACCGTCGAAGAGTGTTTGCTCTAACTGTGCGGCCTGTCGCGGTGATGCCATCGACAGTTGGCTGGGTGAAGGATCTGAGATGCGGTGTATGCCCAGTCCGCGGCGTCACAGGTATTTGGAAGAATTTGTTTTAGAGACACCCGTCGGGAGTAGGGATGAGGTGTAGATGAGATGTTGTAACGCCGAAGACGGGTTGTGTTTCGTGGTGGAAAGGGCCGAGGAAAGTGCAGAGGGTAATCCAAGGAAGGTCCGATTACCGATTTGGGAATTGACGACAACACACCTCGGTACCACAAAGAGGGAGTCCGCGCCCGCTGCCCAGGCGATGACTAGGGGCGATGTGATCAGAGCGTGGAGAACTTGCTGCGAATAGTCGTAGTCCGGTAAGTCGTGCGGTGGCCAACGGTTGACGGATTTGGAGAGACGGTGGCCTGCGGCTTCAGTAGCGACACGAAGGAAGAAGGCCGAACGAAAACCAGAGAGATGGTAGCCCTCCCCATCAAGATCGTCGAATGGAGCAGCGGTTGTCAAATGTCTGCCGCTTGGGCCCCTTCACCTCCCATCACGTGACCACCCCTCTTTCGTGCAAACGGCACTGTTTGCACAGCAACCAAACCATCGCGTACTTCCCTCGACCGCACAAACTCGAAAATCTCTTCCGCCTTAAATTCCCTCTCCCGAAACTCCCCTCTTCTCTTACCTCACCACCAAACACATTCGACTCAACCTCAACATCCACAATGTCCATCCTCAAAACCCTCCTCCTCACGGCCTTCGCCCTGGCCCAGACCATCAACGCCGCCGGCGCCGCCGACCCGCCCGTCGAAACCCCCGCCTGCACCGGCATCCCCTGCGGCACGCTCTGCTGCACCCCCGGCGCCGAGCTCTGCGGCGCAGACATGAAATGCGCACCCGCTCCCGCCACCACGTCCGGCGGCTCTCCCGGCGCGACGAGCATCGAGGGCACACTGACGATCCAGACATCGACGCCCGTGAGCAGTGCCGCCACCGAGCCCGTGAGCACCGCCACGGAGACCACCACCGGTGAGAGCACCCCCAGCGCGAGCATCACGGTGACGGTCCCGCAAACTCACACCCTCGTGTCTACAGTGCATATGAACAGCACCACGGTCACCGAGACGGTCACCAAGATGAGCACGACGTCCGGCGCGGCGTCGGGTGCTACGTCTTCCGGATCGGGATCAGGATCTGGATCTAACTCCGCTTCTGCTTCGTCGACTTCAGCACCCAATGCGGGCGACTCTGTGCGCTTTGGTGGCGGGATGGGCAGTCTTGCTGCGGCGGCGGTGCTGCTTGCGATGGGCGCGGTGTTGGGTATGGTCTAGAGGTAAGTGAGGTTGGTGGGGCTGGAATAGCTTGCGTCGTATGACTGACTGACATTGTTCAGCTAGGTTCGAGTACGAAATCTGAGGCGCTCGTAGAGTTGCTGCGGACGTATTGGAAGAAATGGCCCATGGTATTGTACCCGATATCCCTAGCATTGGCTTAGTATAGGGGAAATTGGAGGAAACGGGGAAGACTTGGGATCTGCGGTCTTGATAGGCTAGTGTAGCTGAAAATAAGCCCTTCCCATTTGCTCTTTTCTTCCTACTGTGAAGACTTTGACTTGTAGATGGCAAATTCATTTCCAGCTCTCTGTGCGCTTTGTAGACATCGAGGATGGAGAAGGTTGGAAGTGGTAGAGTGATGACACCAACGCCTCTGGGAGCTCGGCGGCCGAAGCATTCCCCTCGTTTACGAAAACGCCCGCTGCAGAGTCGCCCCAACCCCACCCAGCATAATCGCCCACAAGATGTTTCGGCTTTTAGAAATCACCCACGCATGGAAATGCCGACCGAGTACATCCTTCCCCCACCACTAACGCTCCCCCAGCCCATCAGAAAGAGCCTTCCCCTACCTCTCCTCACTAACCCTCGGCCACTAATGCACATCCCTCACCCTAGCACTCCCTATGAGGAGGAAGTAAGGCCGCGGTCTCCGTCTGTCGCCAAGCACGCTCCTCCTCGTCCAGCTTCATCACTATTTTGGTCCACTCGGTGAAGCTCATATCCTTCTGGCTCGGATGTTTGTCCTTCCATGAGATGAAGACGGACAGAAGATGGTTTGGGCCTGCTACTTGCCCGTAGCTGCCAGTGGAGGCCTGCGACAACATGCGGAGATTGTTGTAGTTGATACGGTAGGGCGTTGCGTTGATGTTGCCCGAGGTCACCATTTCGCTCTTCTTCCCCCGAACATCTCCCTGTTGTAGTTCTTCTAATATTGCAAGTCCTCGTCATCCTCTGAGGCTTTTCCTGTGTCAGTCGGGTACATTCGAAGAAGCGTAGAGGGCTTTATATACCGTTCAGGACATCTTCTATACTCTTTCCAGTGCCCTTACTCTCCAAAATAGTGACAAGGAAGAAAAGTGCAAAAAAGATAGTGCGTTCACAGTGCGCGCTGAGATTCAAGAATGAGACCTCAAGTCCCAAACCATGGTCCAACCCCGCTTTCGCCGTTACTAGCTCCATCTTTGTTAATTTGACATATTTTAAAATATATATACACAAGAAAATGGTTTGTGCATAAGTCTGCACCTACACAGATTCCGTCCCATCGTAGTTTTTCGCGTTAAGAGCTTGCACACTGCGCTCGCTCCACCGGCCGAACACCACTGCTATTGCGGACACGCTCGTACCTCCCCCCTTCATCTGCCCTGCAGGAAAGAATTTGTGGAATAATTGCATAGCTCTCAGAGCCAGGTCAATTCAATGAGTTCAAGCCAAGCCAAGCCGTTCGTCGCCACAATGGTGTCCGTGGCACCCTCCAGTTACGCAAAACTGTTCCAACGGGTGTTTGATCCACACTCTTGTATTTCCCTGCAGGTAATTTCCCCGGTGTAATCGGGGTCCACAAAGAGTGGTGCGTTCAAGGTGTCTGTCTCTTCTCGATAGCCCTTGTAGCCCCGTAGGCAAAGAATGCATATCCTAGTTTAGCGATGATGATTGGAAGGGTGGTTTCGGATTAACATTTATGGCCTATTTGCGGTCATCAGCTTGTTTGACGGAGTGATTATATGGTTTGTTGGACTGCCCATGGGCATCGAGTGGTGTATTGAGATACTTGACGCTCGGGTGACGGCAGAAGGAGAGACACAGTTTGATCAGGTAACAGGAGGACATTGTTAATAGCCGGGACACTCGTCCATGGATCCTTGCTCCAGGAAGCACTCGATTCGCGCCCTCAGGGGTGCAGTGGCAGGCTCGTTCCTACCACTGAAGCAACGTTTCTACCAGGAAGGGACGTCGGCGCTGCTAGTCATAATCGAAAGGCCCGTGGGCAATTGTTCGGGCCGGGCTAGATCTATAGGTCTACTGCTGGAAAAGCAGAATGATACACATCAGCATCATATGCGTCGGCGCTACGGCTGGTTCGATATATCCGAAGATATTGTTGGCAAGCAAGAGCATGAGGTAGGTGGCACCAGGAAAATGCCAGAGGAGCCTCTCTCCACGTGCAACGGCAATTCGAGCGCGCTTACGATAATGGAGTAACACAGCTTTGAGAGTCACTGGCTTAAGATCCTAACTCTGCCGCTCGGTGCCTCCCCTGTGCAATACCGATCCCATGCCTATCTTCCAGTTCATTCCTCGGCGTTCCATCAGCCTCGTAATACACATTCCCACGGTACCACGGCTCATTCGAAGATATCGTGGTGACTTCCTTATCCGTCCCGCCCGCTGCAAGATTATCGCTTCCGGGAGCCGTTTTCCGTGCTCTTTTCCGACGGCGCCAGAAGAGAAACGCTCCGAGTGCGCCAAGGACGGCAAAAAGAGTGACACCGACTGCCAGGCCTGCTGCGGCACCTGCGGAGAGGGAGGAAGATGGCTTGGTGGTAGCCGACGGAGACGTAGACTGGGTGCTCGTGGCTGCGTCTGGCGATCCCTCTGCCGCTGTCGTAGACGAGGTCTGAGTAGAGTATGGAAGTTCAGATCCAGAGCTTGTGGTTTCAATCCCTAAGTCCGAGGAGGTCGTGCCGGAGGGTATCGACGACGACACTCTAAATGGTGCACTGGGGGCAGTCGTTCCCGTGGCCGTGGTGGTGGCGCCCAGACTCTGGATGCTTGTTTGTACCGTCAACGTCGCTGGAAGGTCTAGTGTAATTCCACTCGCTTGACAAAGATCCTCCAGAAAGTTGATCGTGGTTGCTAGGTCCTCGGAAGAGCAGGACGCGGCTGCGCAAGATACGACTTGGTTTATGAACGCCGAATTTGCGCATATGCAGGCAACGTCCAGCGATGAGCAACCGCCAAAGTCGTCGCCGAAGCATGCTTGCTAGATCGGTTGCGATTAGCGACCTGCCGCGGTGGGAGGGGTGAGGCGTACGGAGCAGGCTGGTAGACTGCTTAGGCTTTGCGCAGTCGAGAACCAGGCGCAAAGCAACAAGGCAAGTGCTGCTGTAAGAATGTCATGCATCCTGGGGAGACGGGAAGATTGGAACGCTGCGCCTCATGGCTCTGGGTGATAAGGCTACCTTATTATACTGTTCGTCCAAGAGTCCGACTGGATTGGGAGCGACCAACCTCGCGAAAGAGGGGAAGCTCGTATCCCATCCAGGCCTCTATTGGTCGACACGCGACGATCCTATACTGGCCAAGGCTTCGCTTGCCAGCAGGATTGGGGGCCCAGCACCAACAACGCCGAGGTTTTGTGGCGTGGGAGCCTCGAACAGGACTCTGGTCCAAGGCCTAAACGTGCCAAAAGTAGGTCTTTACAACAGACCCGCTACATTGCGCTAGCAATCCGAGCAGAGGAGACTTGTAGGTCTGACAAGCGCTACAGCCACAGGAGCCAGATAACTTGAAACCTGGCCTGACATCCTTCAGCTTGCTCTATTCCTCTCTTTTTGACTGGCAAATAGGAGGCCATCCGTAAACGAGGCAGATTCCAAGTTCATAAGAACTGTTTTATGTTGCGAATTATGGAAGATTCAAGAGGACTGTTAGATCCTTCTGTTCTCCAGGGGCTTTACCAAAGTCACGTTGCGGTTGGGAAAATGGTACCGCAAGAATCACCGAGTCGGAAGTGTTCCATGGTCGAACGCCTAATCTGGTCCCAACATGAGCAAGATTCCAAAGTTGCCGCTAAGTTTGTCAAGTACTTCCAAAAAATCCAAGAGACGTTCAGAACAGAACCGCGCATCAACCTTCCTCCATACGCACTGCCCTGCCACTTTTGTAATAACCTTTCCCATGAGCTAACACACCTGCATAGCCAATCAGCGCCGAAACCCACCCCCAGAACTGACAACGGCCCCCGACTTCACTTACACAAGCAGCACTATGGCTGCACCGCACTTGGGTGCACACTTCGCGTCTGTGAACTGCTCGACTGTTTCGCGGCTCCAAGGATCGTCGCGCGATGGCGACACAAAGTCTTCCACTTCCTCCGTGCGCGACAGACTCCGTAAGCTCGGCAAGAAAGCTCTCGAGTGGGCCAATACGCATCTCCATCCTATATCGATCCGCGACCGTGCGAGAGCGAGACGGCATGCGGAACAGATGCACACGGAAAATCGAACGAGCAATTCCTTCCATCAAATTCCGGTCGAACTGATATGGGAGATCGCAGAGTGTCTCGGGGGCGTGGACATGCTCTCTCTCAGCGCAACAAGTCGATACTTCCGCGCGGCACGGAAAACGACACCATCTACGCGTTCGTGTTCCGAACTTGCAGCTGCCCGACGAGCCTTCCACGAGAGGATGGTCGAGGACTGGAGGATTCAACAAGCGAAGTGGGAGGAAGGGCAGGATACCGCGACCTTGAAAACGCTACTTTGCAACGCATGTTACACTCGACACGCACAGTTGACGTTCACACGCGAAGCACGCGTCGCATCTCCTTATATCCGGACCTGTTTTGGTACGTCAGGGGAATTGCGTGTTTGCTCGCATCGGACCCTCAACTTCCACCAAATGAAAAAGCTCAGACAGCAGCGATTGCGTGGATACATTTGCGAGCTTCACACTGACGAGGGTCCGAGCTTGGCGTACCTCATCACTGGGCCGCTAGACTCTGTAGTGATCTTGCACAGAATAGCTCGAGGATCCCAGTACGGCCCAATCCCCTGCGAACAAGTCCGTCGGGTTGTCAATTCAATGGCCGAGTACCTTTGCCCGCACCTGCGGGCTTCCACGGAGGAAATCTTCACTATCCTTCGACGGCAGGCATTTGGGCTAAGGGCCTGGCTGGAGCTACCCGCTGGCGCTTTTCGTGGGTTGGAGGAGCGGACCACGAATGATTCTCCCTGGCCGTTTAGCGGCTTGTGGGATAGCAAAACAAAGTGCCCGCGCAAGCATTGCCATACTGGAGTCAAAATTTGGAGTGGCAAGCGAGATCATGCAGTCTTTGTTTCAGTTTGTCGGAAGCTGGGGCCCTTGGATTCCCCGATGGAGAAGTCGTGGATTGCTCAGTTGGAAGCCGCCCTTTGATCTAGCGAGATATCGTGAGGAGAAGGGGCGTTGTAGTTAGCTTGAATGAATTGTTACTGTATAGCTGAGCCTGGAGACCTTCATGTCACTATAGACAGTCAAATTCGCCAGCTCGCGCGCCCGTGGAGGGCCCTAGGGCCTATAATGTGTCTGCCGTAGTGTGTCGTCAGAGCATGGGTCGGTCTCAGCCGATCGAGTACCAACAGGTGGAAGGAAGGAGGCGCGGGAGGATGTCAAACCTTGGAATTGAAGGTGTTCTGAAGACTGCCAGGGGAACGGGGCTAGCCGGAGGCGGACTAGCGCGTGTTGCGGCCTTGGCATTCCGCGGGGAATTTTCTCTCACGCTGACTCACCCCGCCGTTCGTGTCTCATCGAGCCTGGAGTTCTCCACAACCCTATCGCAATCGCAGGACTCGACATCACCCAAGAAGAAACACGGAAATTCGATCAACATGTCTCTCACAAATTGCCGGTTCTATGAGGAGAAGTATCCGGAGGTGGAAAGCTTCGTCATGGTGAACGTGAAGCAGATCGCAGAAATGGGTGCATATGTCAAGCTCCTAGAATACGGTACGTCTCTACACATATACTCTCCTGCTTTCCGTGCTGACAAGTTATAGACAACATCGACGGCATGATCCTCCTCTCCGAACTTTCCCGTCGACGTATCCGCAGTATCCAGAAGCTCATCCGAGTCGGACGCAACGAGGTCGTGGTCGTGCTCCGTGTGGACAAGGACAAGGGCTACATCGATCTGTCGAAGCGAAGAGTGTCGCCCGAGGACATTATCAAGTGCGAGGAGCGGTACAACAAGTCCAAGATGGTGCATTCCATCATGCGCCACGTCGCCGAGAAGACCAACACACCCATCGAAGAGCTCTACAAGAACATCGGGTGGCCGCTGAATAAGAAGTACGGACACTCGATCGATGCCTTCAAGCTCTCCATTACGAATCCGGATGTCTGGAAGGATGTGACCTTCCCCAACGAGGTAGTCAGGGAAGAGCTGCAGACGTACATCAGCAAGAGGTTGACGCCTCAGCCGACGAAGGTGCGGTCCGACATTGAGGGTATGTTGTGAATATTGGCCAGTGGGCTTAATGCTGACTTGGAGCAGTCACTTGCTTCGGGTACGATGGTATCGACGCGGTGAAGACAGCTTTGCGCTGCGCCGAGGCGAAGAACACGCAAGATACGCAGGTCAAGGTCAAGCTCGTCTCGCCTCCACTATACGGTATGCCCCCTGTGGCGAGAGCAATGGGGCCCTTGCTAACTATTCCAGTCCTAACCTCGCAATGTCTCGACAAGAACCTCGGCATCTCTGTCCTCGAGCAAGCAATCCAAGACATCAAGGACAGCATTTCCGCAGCGGGCGGCGACTGCACGGTCAAGATGGCGCCAAAGGCGGTCACGGAGAACGATGATGCTGAGCTGGCCGCGCTCATGGAGAAGAGGGAGCGTGAGAACCAGGAGGTCAGCGGAGACGAGGATGAGAGCACGAGTGACGAAGGCGGCGTGGTCGAGGCCGACACATAGATTGGTTGCATGGGGAGGACAGGTTCACAACAGGGGACAACCGGCGTTTGGCGGCAGCATGGGAAAACAAGGCATTCAAGTGTCCAGGATAGATTGTATGTCCAAAAATTCAGCTTTACGACTCTCTCGGCGTATGCTACCTAAATGTAGAGACAAATGGCATGCCCAGAGTGATGGTGCACCAAGCGAACATGGCGTCGTCGGTTAGCTCGGGAGCTTGGGCCAGCGGGGTCGAGCAGGAACAAGCAATGACGATATAGCGCGCGGCCAAGCTACGGCGCCGCCAACTTTCGTCAACAACAACCAACCTCGTTTTAATCCCTCTTTCTCCTCAGCCGCGCCCTCTGCCCCCTCATTGAGACGCCATCAGCCCTTTTGTACATTGCGCAATTGCCCTCCGGCTTTCCCTACATCCCCTCTCACAGCGTTTGCGACCCGCGGAGCTTGACGACGCTCCGGCACAGCAATGGTACGATGGAGCAAGCTGTGGAATGCCGACGGCCACGACAGGCGGCACCAGCTCCAGGATGAGATGCGATCGCGTGAGTCTTCCTTCCATATGCACGGCGCAAATGCATTGCTGACCCAAGTCCAGTCCTACCCACCAGCAGTGAGCACCCTCCGCCGCCGTCCATCCCGCCCAAAGAGGTCACTAAGGTCGCCCTCCGCCTCAGACACCAGCTCGAACAAGTCATACCCTGCGAATTGGAAGAGGCCAAGGTCACGAGTCCTCACAGTCCAATCCTGACTCACGCCGTCATCGAAACGGCCAAGCAAGCCGGCGGCGAGCAGTACAAGGCATGCGTCGTCTTCTGTCTGCTCGTGGTCAAGAAATGGTTCAAAACGCAAGCAATGTGCGAGCTGTGGGATGCCGACTTGCACGAGGTGCGTGCCGTGGCTGCCGAGATGTTAGCCAAGCGTATCATCGAAGGCGAGGAAGACTTGGACTACTTGATGGAGGAGGTCTTGCTTAAGCGGTATTCCTATCTCGTCGACGGAGAGCCCTCGTCTCCCGCAAATGCCATCGAGCGCGCCGTCGACCTGCATGCTTTGACAGTCATTGGATCGTCGGGCTACCAGAAGTGCATTGCCTACCTCTGGTGGGGATGGTTTGTCCAGGACGACGAAGACCCGAGCCGCTTCGTCACGTACGAGAACAAGACAAACACTGACTACTGGTCCCACCTCGACCCAGACCGTATGCGAGTGCCCCGCTATCAGAACGCCGTTCAAATCATCATGTCTGTCGTCTACCTCGCCCTCTACACTGGTGCCATCAATACCATCAATCCGACCGGAGACGTTGACGTCGTCGAGGCGCTGCTGTACTTCTGCACCCTGGGCCTGATCTGCGACGAGGTGGCCAAGTTCTGGAAGGTCGGCCGCTTCTACCTCAGCTTCTGGAACATATTCAACAGCACTCTGTACGCTCTGCTCACTACATCACTTGCTCTCCGCATGGTTGCTCTCGGATACAAACAGCACACCGAACCTCGAGCGCACTACAACCAGCTCAGCTATAACTTCCTGGCTTTTACTGCGCCAATGTTCTGGATGCGACTGCTGCTGTACCTAGACACTTTCCGCTTCTTCGGATCTATGCTTGTCGTGCTGAAGGTCATGATGCGGGAGTCGCTCATTTTCTTCCTCCTCCTGCTTGTCGTTCTAATTGGCTTCTTGCAAGCCTTCATAGGCATGGACCTCACGGACGACTCACTCACCGACGTTGGCTTCATCATCCAGGCCATGCTCAATGCCATTATGCAAAGCCCCGAGTTTGAAGGGTTCGATCGGTTTGCGGTAAATTAACATGCACCCGTCTTCAGAAGAGTAACGCTAACGTAGCGCTAGCCTCCCTTTGGCATCATCCTATACTACATCTTCACCTTTGTAGTCATGGTCATCCTTCTCAATATCCTCATCGCCCTGTATAACTCGGCCTATGAAGACATCACCGGCAACGCCATCGACGAGAACATGGCCCTCTTTTCGCAGAAAACCATGCAGTACGTTCGAGCGCCCGACGAAAACGTCTTCATCCCCCCGTTCAACCTCATTGAAATCTTCTGTCTCATCCTGCCGTTCGAGTGGTGGATGCCCCAAGACAAGTACCGCCGTCTCAACGACTATGTCATGGGCATCATCTACTCGCCGCTGTTGGTCGTCACGGCCTTTATGGAAACGCGGCAAGCGCACCGTGTGAAGTATAACCGCCGACGGGGCGAGGAAGACGACGACGTGGTGCAGGAATGGGAGCAAGCCCTACACGAGTGCGACTTTGAGGCGGACGGCTGGGATAAGAAGGTGCAGCAGTCGAAGCCGAACGTCGAATTCGACACAGATGTGCTTGAGATCAGAAAGCTGCAGAGCGAGGTCTCGGGGTTGAAGGAGTTGCTGCTGGAGATGAAGGAAAAGGGAGGATGGGGCGTCGATACACTGAAGGAGAGCAAGTTTGGCGAGGAGAAGATGGGCGAGAGTAGTGACAGCGTTGCGAGGGAGTAAGTCTTGCTCTTTCTTGCTTGCTTTGCTTCTTGCAGCGAGAGCGCTGTTGACCCGTTCTTAGACGGCAACGCGACGACGACAAGAGCAGCGCGTGGCACTCTGATTAGCGCTGTTGTACGAACGAATAAGCGAATTACCTGTGGATTACTCTTCGAGCGACATAACTTGGTTCGGAAAATTGGGCTTGTATAATTGGATAACGAGACGTCGATAGGGAATAGTACATATTTTCCCCAACCACCCTTTCCATTCTCCTTCCCTTCTCCCCGACCCCTGATATACCGGATACCGGATACCGGATACCGGGTACCGGGTACCGGGTACCGGGTACGCATCTCGTGCCAAGAAGCCTCCACTGCGCTGCTCTCCGCAGGGCTTATCCTCGCCGCTTAACGTCCACCTGCCTTCTTGGTGTTCGCCTCCGCTCCGAGGCTCTGGCTGGGAGTCCAGGGTCCTTCACTTCGGGGCTCGAGGAGCCAGCGCTGCATCGGCGTCATGCCGCGGCGGTTGGAGGTGTCGCGGTGCTCGAGGTTGGCGGATGAGAGAGGCGCTTGGGCGGCGCTGGTGGAGCCTGTAGTGCTGGCACGAGGTGGGCTTTCATGGGACATGTTTGGTAGGTTGGCAGGTTGGAGGGATACGGGATGTGATGTCCGAGAGTGGTGGTTTGGAAAGGGAGATGGGATGGGTGTTAGGGATGGATGTGATGATTGTGCTTCTTGGGTGTTGTTGTTGGAGAATGGGGGGATCGTGATGGAGGTTCTTATAGTCTACTGATCTCATCGTGGTACATGGGATCTTTGTCTATGTCTGGCTTTTGTTGTTCGTTATTGGAGGCCACGTTTTGCTCGAGAAAAATTTTTTTTTTGGGGAACTTATGCATGCGATTGATGGCCGCAGTGCGGAGCGTACTTCAGCGTCGCACCGAAGGACGAGACGCGCTTCAAATGCTTTCACGATTGGAGGCCGCTTCACCTGAGCTGTTGTTGGCGGCCGCTACCAGGGAAGGACTAGTTAGTGCTTCATAGGCTGTATACATGATTGAAGGCCGCAGTTCGAATGGTAGTACACATAGCCTGCTAGAGATCGGTGTAACTGAAGGCGGCCTCATCCGAACTCTTGCTGATCCATGATTGATAGGCTACACGTATATGGGAACGATCTATGACCTGTCCCGGCCAAGAGAACGCAGAAGGCTAGGTGATTCGAGGCCGCTGCCGGTAGCGGGAGGGAGGCGGGAAGGGTGCACGTGAAGTGGGATCCTTGGTGCATATTGACCGCTACGGGCCGTCGTGAGTGGGGAACTGGATTGGGTCGAATGGGGCTGTGGTTTTCCGGTACAACTAACTCTCCGGTTTGTTTACTTCGTAGATGTTGTAGGGGAAGGGGAGGAAGTTCAACAGTCTAGCATCTCTTAGGCCTTTGGCTGCTGAAGGCCTTTGGGAGGAGCTTTCCGCTATTGAAAGGTGAGACGTGTTGGAGTGTGGGCCGTGACCTGTTCAGGCCAGTACGTTGTTGGAACGCCGGAAGCTAATCGGAGGCCGCATTTTAGCCCGGCGCTTCTGGATTCTCCTGGAAACTGTCTTATTAGAGGTCGAAAGATGGATTGGATGTGAGTGAAGGCCGCTTCGTATATGCACGTACCCGCTTCTGGGATGGTGATATTTGATGCGGCTAAGTTTCATACATGATTGAGGGCTGCAGGTCGGACGGTACTACATATGATTTGAGGGCTGCTAGACATGATTGTAATTGGAGGCCGCTTTCTGAACTTGCCTAGGCTCTGAGGCGATCAGATGTGGTTGATGGCTGCAAGGTCGAAAAGCTTAGCTGCGGAGACCAGGTAATTGTACGATGTGATGTGATTGAAATGCGAGCGGGATAACGATCTATTATTGGAGGCCACAATCTACCCTTGGCATGTAAGGCTGGATTGCAAAGTCCAATCACGTTTCGCTTCAGCCTCACTTCGCGGGAACTTGAAAACCCCAGCATCCCGCTGGCCGCTTCCAACAACCATCACCGCCAGCTTCGGACCGTGCCACGAAGCGTACTATCATCTCCCAAACCCATCCGAAAGCCCTTGCCCGGTTGGCGGTAAGGGCCGGTTGCCTCTAGGTGCCGGCCCTCAGCCATCGCGTTTCCCACAGCACGAGAATCAGTCAAGCGCATCGAGGAGGTTGAGACTTCTGGTTCATCGCGCGGCATAGCGGTAGGATTAGCCCCCCGCCAACAGCTTTGTCAATGCTAACAAGGATAGCCCCATCCCTACGCCTTCTTGACAAGTAGCGAAGCGGCCTAGTAACTAGGCCGCTCACGCCATCCATCGAGACCACTATGATCATCGCATAACGCAGTATGGTCTTCGTCCGCCCGGCAACGAAGATGCGCCCCAATTCAGTCCTGATGAGCAAAACAATGGATTCGCCCCGTCGTCGGCTGGTCGGATTTTGGGCGGGGATGGTGATGCGTGTTCGTACGGTGATCCGACATGGTGGACGGAATTCGTGGCCGAGGATGTCGAAGGTCCTGGAGGAATGATTTCTGATACGGCTCCGGCCATTCGGGAAGAACCCAACCTTCATCCTACCGACGTCCCCGACACCATTCCATTAACCGACTTGGGTCACGAACCGCACTTACTGTCCCCTCCCAAAATTAGTCAGCTTGACAACGTTGGCTCTGGCCACGCCTCTCTTTCTCCGTCCTTTCATTCGAGCGATAATCTTGAAAACTTTAGCCCCCATTCTCAACTCTGGTCAAACTCCGAACATTCGTCTCCGTACCGGTCGAGCTCATCGGCTACTTCTCTGAACTCAGCAGGCCAACACCCAGTGGAGAAGGCGGAGGCGTGTCGCAATAGCAAGGTGGAGATCCCGCGGGCAGATGGACCGGCCCACCGGTAGGCATGTTGGGCTTCTCGATCTGACCATCGCTTACACTACTCCATAGGCGCTGCAGACATGCGGCAAAAGTTGAAGCTCGACAGGCAAACGTATGCATGCTATGCGGGCTCAGCTTTACCTGTGCCAAGGACCTCAAGCGACATGAGTCCTCAGCCAAACACCGTAAGCGCCTTCAATCCCCCTCCTGCCCGGATTCTTCCCAGCCACAGCAGTACGCATGCGTGTGCGGGAAGAAATATCCACGGGAAGATTCTCTACTGCGACACTTTCGAACATCGAATACCAGCCCGCAAGATTCCACCCATCGCCCGATACCTCACTCCTAGGACAAAAGAGATCAAGCACCGAAGCTGTTTCTTGTTTTGACGTTCTCACACTCTCATAGTCAGGACACTTCTACGTTGCCGAAGGACAGACCTACGTTTGGATGATCATGGTGCGAAATCCTCCACTCGGGTCACCCGTGTGGGGGTACGAGAAGATACTCTGGGGTGTAGGAGTACCGTTCCAGAGTCCCTGCGGGGCACCAGCGACACCTCATTGTTATTTTTAACGCGAGGTGGCCTCGTCTTTGAGGCTGGCATACGCCGGAAGCGTGTGGCATCGCTGGGGACACGGAGTCGTGACCGTGTCCCGCGCTTCGTGGGGATGAAAAAGACCGTCTGGAGCGGGGAGTATCTGCTCGTCTTTCGGAGTTGTTTTATTTTCCTTTTGCTTTTCTTGCTTTCTTCATGGCGTCCACAGTCCTGATCGAAGTGCTCGGGAGGGAATGTGGACGGAGGATTTTATGATGATGTTTGTAGGGGTGAGGCCCACGGTCCCTTTGTATGAGCATCCGTCCTGCTCGTTCTTTGGCAGTTTGGTGGATGCAGGAGTGATATTCGCGGCCTACTCTGGATCACGCTTTCGGGGAATATATGCCTGGGGTGGTTGAGAGAGAGGAGGAAAACCCATCTAGGAAAAAATTTCAAAGAACGGATAGAAAATATGTAGGTGGTTCGCTGCCGAAAGGTCGGTGTTCTCTATGTCCTTCGTGCTGTGACGCATGCCGACAATCATCTACGCCATGCTGTTTCGAATGCACGCCCGGGCTCTCTACAGTCTAGGTGGACTGCGGCCTACGTAGTAGCGCTGCGGTGTTTCGAGGCTACCGGGGATCTTTAGATGCTCGATGTACAGAGGAGCGCCTGCTTAAGGGCCAACAGATGTGCATTTTGAAAATAGGTTGCCTCGATAACGTAGCGGGATAATTACACCGTAAACATCTTATACCAGCAGCTTCATTACTCGGAAGCCAGGTAAGGGCTGGGGAGTGTTGAACTTCATCCGATCCTCCTGGTGCTTCTTCTCTCTCTGAGATCTCCTCTTCTCCCTTTGCTTAGCAGCTCGATTTTGGCGCCGCTCATCTTCGTGACTGCGTTGGTTGCTCATGGGGTCAGTGCTCCCTGGTTGTGCCGTTTTGGAAGCCGAGCTGGGCTGGACTAGGGCGCTTGCGTACGTTAATCCCTTTGCAGGACGTCTCGAATTGGTTGCATTGATCGGGTGTGCTTTTGCTATAATGCATATCAGTATCAGTAGAGTCCATCAATAATATACACGTCACCCACCAGAGCCATCGAGAGACGGGAACTCGATATCATACTTGCGAATACGGAACCTCGACTCACATCTCGCCGGAGCATGTACGACGACTACCTTTTGGCCCTTATGCTTGAAGCAAGCCCGGAAATCATGTGAATTTCTCATTCGCTGCTCTTTCCTACGTTGATATGTCCGCCAATTGCCCCATGTTTCGCTGAGAAAGACGTGGATGTGGACGCACGTAGTCGGTTGGAGTAGATCTTCGGCAACATAGACATCGGCATGGCTGTCATTCCGCAGGAATCTCAAGATCCTGAACTGCGATTTGAGGAGTTCACCTCCACGCAAAAGCTCGGTCACTGGGTGCTCGAAACCTCCAGATGACAAGGTCAGTCTAAGGGATTGCTGCGGCGGTTCTGTGGCTGTGGAGGAGGTCGGGGTATTGTCTCGATAGCTGTTAAGACTTAGCCCGCGGTCTCTTTCGCATAGTGAGCAAGATGAATGCACCCGTACTTCAGTTCCTCGAAATCCCCAAGACTCTCCGCAATTATATCCCCAACCTCCACATCTCGAGATGAACCCTTTTTCTTCAACGTTTTCCGATCCGCATGCCGCGGTCTGTGATTGGGACCCCCCTGCGACACCACGAACAGCCAAGGCATGCTATGAGCTCTTAAGGCGCAGTCGCCAATGTTGATCGAGGCCCCCGCACCTTTCCATCTCCACTGAGCAGCTTGCGCCGCTTGGACTCGGGCCAATGTGCATGTTTTCCACGGTTTGCTTCGCCCGGCTCCATTTTTCCACGAATGTAGGGCATTGCATCCGGATAGATTGGAGCTTTCAAATGAGGGTGCTGAAGTGGATTGAATAGCTGCCCTCCCCATTGATATGACTGGGGGTTTGTCTGCTTTGGAGATTTTTGAAGGCCTTAGATGACCAGGCCCCAGGTAATTCTGCTTGGAGGTTTCGATGCCTCTGAACCTTCTTGCCGTGGCAATCGAAGGCATTGAGACTGCCTCGGAGACACCATGATTTGCGGAGAACGGATGGCCAGGAAAGACTGGCCGTGGAAGTCCAGCTGTTTCCGGCGATAACGTTAGGAGTGCGTTTGGTATAGTATTGCGGTCAACAACCACGGGCATTACTGCGGAATCCCACAAGTCAGCTCTTGTTAAATAATCCCTCCACGGTCGTATACACATTGGTAGGTCTGTGAGCGGCGTACTCTTACCATAGCTCCTAATGATGCGTAGTTCCAATTCAAACCGTGCTCTCAATACACCTTCTATTAGTGGGTGCGCGAGCAGCGTACTCTTACCATAGCTGCGTCGCCTCCATTCGAACCATGCTCTCCTTCCGCGTTCGCGCTGTTGCTGAAGCGTACTTTTCGTCGGGCCGTGATCTTCTACCTTCCCCCCTCGAGGGCTGATATTTTCATATCCATGTGAGAATGTTAACGCCTGATCATGATACCTCTGAATATTTTGCATGATCGGTCGGTAGGATGGAGGGAGCGGCAGATCCGATTAACTTCGCGACGCAACAAGCATCTAGCACGGCCTACACTGGAATTGATAAAAAAAAAAAGCCGGTAGGGCGGAGAAGGAAGGCTGAGAGAGCCCCAATGCCACTATCCCAGATACGGATCGAAGCGAAGCGGCCTTCGCTGCCATCCAATTATTTCTCCGTCGTCTGATTGGACGCCCGGCGGAAGCATCCTGAGGATGAATGAAGTTTCCGTTCGGTACACGAAATATCCGCTATTTTCTTTGTCCACGCCAAGAAATACTTAGAATAGATATCTCATCTACTCCGCAGGTTATGGTGACCGGAGGTTCGTCAAGCATCGCAAGATGCGGTTGTGTAAATTGTGATTACTCAACAAACTCCCTCCGGGGAAGACCCTCGCTCGCGAACGCCACAAAGCAGATCATCCTCGGCCGTGATTGATGGTTTTCGAGCAGTTTGCCCGAAGCAGCAGGTTGGGATCGGAAACGCAAGCGTGGTGCAAGGATGGGCGTTTCGCTTGCGTGGGTAAATTGAAGGGCATGGGAAAGCGAGGCTTGGTTGCGGATGTGGATTGCAGAGGTGCGGATCTTGGGATTTGGAAGGGACTGAGGGGAATTCCGGGGGCTGGGCATAGGGATTGGGGGAGTTAGGCAAGCGGAGGTTTTGGTGGTAGTTGGGTATGGAGCTTGGATGGTGTCCGGCAGGGGAGGTGTGGTCTAGAGAGATATCGAAGGGCTACGCTGGAATGGTGCAATGATTGAAGAGCAGGTGCGAAGTTCTGGTCCGAGGCTCGTTCCAACAACATGACGGCTGATGACTGCTTCTTGCATTGTTGAAATTGAAGTTTGTTCTGGAGAGCGGGACGTGGTTCGCGCCTAGACCGTGGTCGCTGTGATTGGCGCAGGGATGCGCCTCAATGACGGAATCGACAGCGCGGCCAGAACCCCAAAACTGCCTGCCTTGCCTTAGGGGCAGCAGCCCACGATCCTGCTTTCCAGTTGCACGCCTGCTGGCTGCTTTCCTTCTTCGCTGTATTTGTTTTCTCCTTATGGCTTCTGCATAGCGTGCTGTTTAATGTTCTAATTGATACCCAGCCGCGTCATCTGTCGCGCGGCATCGTTGTCACCTGCGCGACCACCACATGCGATGCCCGAACAACGGCCGCATTCATGGCACGACCAGCCTGAGCTCGCGAACCTGTCACCGGATTCGTACACGGCCCAGCGTCTGGTATGCCTTCCCACGGTTTCATGCCTAATTGAACCTGCTGACCGATGCGTAGCAACATGCGACCCCGGAGCACCTTTACCTCACGTCGAGGCGCTTCTTCATCGGCCCCATTCCGGTACGCCGCTCACGCCCATCGCTCGAGAGACGCTCACATATGGATATAGGAAGGCTGGCTGAAGACGCATCGCCGCGACTGGTACAAACACCACCTCCACATCAACTACTCGACCCGCGCCGCCACCTTCTCCTCCGACCGCCGCGGCTCGCGCGACCGACGCCTGACGGGCCTCGAGGGTCCCAGCGCTTCGGCCCTGTTCCAGCACAGCTTCCCGCAGCCCGAAGAACTCTCCGCCGACGAGGACGAAGGCCAGCAGAATGGTCAGGCTAGTGGAGTGGAAGTCGCGAAGACGGATACACCGCCTGCGCTCCAGGTCCCGCGTGGGTCGGGACGGAAGGACGATGTGACGGCAGGAGAAGAAGATGAAGAGTTTGTGGACGCCGAGTCGGAGCCTGATGAGCATCTTCGCGTGTATACCCACGAAGGGCCCGAGTTCGACCCTTCGAAGCCACGGAAGACGCGCCGGTCAAGTACGAAGTCTTTCGTAACCGCATCGTCGACGCGAGGACCTGACCCTGACACAGAGTCCGATGAACATGCTACCGAACATCGAGAAGAGCAAGGACAGGCAAGTAGCTTACAAGTTCCTACCGGCGAGGAGGAGGAAGAGGATACGGCACTGGGCAAACGGCCTGTGTCTAACGTGGAGAGCACCAATGGTGCGCCAGCGTCTACCGCTGGGGGCGCTTCGGTAGATGCAGTGTCAACTACATCTTTGCTACGCAAGGCTGACGCGAAGAAGGAAACCCTCGATGTCGATCCCAAGCCGCCGTCGAGGGGCATTCTCGCGAGGGTGAAGAGGGGCTCTGAGCAGCAATCGTCGGATTCCACGGGCTCGCCGCTCGACCGTGCTGAAGAGACGCTGACCCGCAGGAAATCCAATCTCCGCAACCTCGTCAAGTTCGACATCCCAGAGGATTCGAAGCGCGCGTCGATACACCTGAGGGCGAAGCAGGCGCAGATGACGGTCCAGCGAGCATCGACGAAGCTACGACGGCGGAAGATAAAGGATGGCCTTGTGGTGAAGATGGAACGGATGCTGGTGCGGGTTGACGCGGCTGGCAGAGAGGTACCAGACGACTTCGACGAGAACGGCAGCCAGAAGATCGATTCGAGAGTCAAGGATAAGTGGCGGGAATACATGATCGTTTGCAGGCATTCCACCTCTGACGACGCCGACTTCGTGCTTCAAATGTACAAGACCAGAGTAAGTAGATTTGCTCCAGTCTCACCACCATAACGTGCTCATCACTCGTCCCAGGTCATCCCAGAAATCGAGGAGCCGAATGCTAGCAAGCGCGCCGCATACCAGATACCGCTGGGCCGCAAGGTCACCAAAGTCAATCTGTATTCATCTCTTGACAAGTCTGTCGTTGTCTGGATGCCCGTTTCTCGAGGTACAAGGATCTTCATCATGCAAGCTCGCACCGCTTCCAATGCCGTCGAGTGGTATACATTCCTTCGCAACATCATCGGCTGGCGCCGCGCGTCCGAACTTCAAATCAACATCCCCGACATGAGCGTCAGTCTGAGAATATCGGACCCATTCAAACAGCTAGAAGCGTCTCAGACTGAGGCGCAAGAGGCCGAGGAATCCGACAACGAGGAGGCTATCTTGAAGACTATGCAACAAGAGCAAGCGGTCGCCGAGAATCTCATCAAGAGATGCTTGGATCAACTGCAAGATACTCCAGAATGGGCCGATGTGCTCGAGTCATGGGTACGGGACCAGCGGATCGGACTCGCGTGGAAGCGGTACGATCGTCTCGAATGGGTGCACGGCGCGAATGAACGCAAGATGTACGGAACGATAGCTATGGCTAAGTCTCATGATCTCGAGCTTCGGCCCAAGTCGCATTATCCCACAACGGCAGTGACTCGCAAGAAGCACAAAACGTTGACCGAGCCGGTACCTGTCGAGGGCTTTCTCATTCGTCTGACAAGCCAGCGTGGACGCGCGAGGCGGTTGGGTCTTATGTACCACAAGCAATTGTACTTCGCCACCTACGACCAATATCTAGTTTTCTCACGCCCAACCAAGGCTACCCCTCCACCTCCACCGAAGCTCCCTGCGTCAGACAGGGCGACGGTTCCATCCGCGCGGACTATCGCCGACAAGACTCCTGACACTTGGGCTGTCAATCCATATCCTGTGAAAGATGATCGCATCGAATGGCTGATGGAGGGCCACTCGGGAACGCCGGAGAGCAGACGGCTCCATGACGAGGATGCGGCAGACGAAGCAGAGCGCAAGGCGCACAACCTCCAGAACTGCGATGGATACATCAACCTTGCCGACGTTCTCAAGGTGCGCAAAGCGAAGAAAGGAGCAACACCCGTGGATGAGAACATTGAGTCGGGCTCTGATGTCGACTTTGATGAGGATGTGGACGATTCGACCAGAGATGATGGCGTGACTAAAGACCTGGATATCGAGCGGACATTCGAGCTTGTCATGAAGAACCGTTTGATCATTCGCCTACAGGCGGCGGACAAAGCGCGTCGGACAGAGTGGATCAATCATCTCCGCGCCCTGGTTAAATACTGGAAACACCGCACCGCATCCGACATTGCCCTCTACAAGTCTACCCGCAGTCGGAACCTCCTCGCGCTCAACATCGACGAAGAGGCCGAAGCTTACATCGGCCAGTTTGCGAAGAAGTGGGAGGTCACGCAGTCCTATGCCTCGCCTCTACTTTACAACATGTGCGGCATTGCGTGCTGTCGTAGCGTCCATATGAGCGGTGTACTGTACCGCAAACCGCGCATCCACTCGCCCTTCACCCGTTGCAACGTCATCCTCACCGCTGGAACCCTGCTCGTCTTCCACGATGTGCTTCGCGGCAGGACAGGCCAACAGCTCAAGCATATCCACCATGAACGCATGGCGAACCTCGATCTCAAAGACTGCTACATTTACTCCGGGCTCCTCACCGAATCCGACCTCCTCTACCAAAACCAGACTTTCGACGCGAATCAGCCAGGCCACCATGCGCTCCCAAAAATCTGGCTCGAAGACGCATGGACGTCGACGGACGAGGACGTCATGACTACCTTCGTCGTCTGGCATGGCAAGAGCAAGAGCTGGTTCCGCGCTGAAGAGGGCGCGGGCGGCGGAGAGCAGTCTGCGCGCGAGGGCAAGCGGACGAGGTTGAAGAGGGTGGCCAAGCTGGGGAGCAAGGGGCGCAGCGTGGTGTTTAGGGCGAGGAGTAGAGCCGAGAGGGATCATTGGGTGTTAGCTATTCAGAATGAGATTGAGAAGGTGCAGGGTGGGAGGAGTGAGGACTTTAGGATCGAGGAGAGTGCGAAGGGCGCGACTTCAAGCACTGCCAACCAGGGTCCGCCGAGGGAGGCGAATGGAAGCGCGAGGGCGGAGGCTGCGTGAGTGGGTGGATGTTAACTCGGAGGTTGCGGATGGCTTTTTCTTGTCGGTGTATGGATACCTCTTTGTGTGGGTGGAAGACTGCTTTGGGGCCGAGGGCATGAGATAGCACGAGTATACTTAGCACACATAACATAATTTCCACACGACCCGTCTGATAGCGCCGTCTTGCGCTTGCAGTGCCAGCACGTGTGGGGATACAAAATTCCTTAGAGAGATCGAGGCCTAATCCTCGGCACTATGCCGATCACCTGTTGGCGGAAGCCGCCATACGGCACCTGGCAGGAGGACTGAGAGGGTTGAATGGCAAGAATATGGACGTGAGCTGCTCTAGTAAGGTGGCTGTAGTCATTCCGAAAACAGGCGAAGAAAGACGAAATGGATTTGTTGGCGACGCTCTTTTAGCTTTCATTGTGCTTATGATTGAATGAAGGAGGGGGGTGGTGCGGAGTACCCGTTGCAGGTAATAGCACTTGATGCAAAGGATGACCCATTGCGGAGGCGTGGAGTGGTGGATGAGTTTAATGAACTGAAATGCACTGGACTGCGATCAAATGAGATGAGATGAGACGGAGACTCTGCTTCACATGGGCTTTCGTGCGCGTGCCTGGGGAATTGAATGGTGGGTGTACACGCGGACATGGCCGAGGAAAGAGATCTTCACGCGTGTTTGATATATCTACTTCACTCGCGGGAGCAGCAAGCCGTGTCTGGACACCGAGACTATTCCTTTCACTTCCACAGAAACGCGGGTGAAGCCCGAATCATAGGCCCTTCTCTCCTTCACTAGAGGAAAAGTCGACACGAAATGACGTCTCGCCGGTAAACGGGATTGCTTCCTGTCAACTGTCTCCTTCACTTCGCGACCTACGCGCAATTACTTACCCCAACCCACCAAACCCTCATCCAACCTCACCTCTTAACCGCGTCGACTGCTCTTCTATTTCTGGCAGGAAGAACGTTGGCTTTGATCTTACCTGACGCTCACTCCTCCGCAGCAATCCTCAAGCTCCACCATGCGCCGCGGCCGCGACACCGACGAAATCCGCGCCCCCGAGGACATTCTGCTCCGCGCGAGCCGTCCGCAGCGGCACTCCTCTTTCCTGCCCACGCACCGCGACTGGCGCTATCAAACAGGTGTGTATCAGCATGAAGATTTCGAGGAGACGCAGAAGGACATGAGCGTCTGGGATGAGCTGGACTACGACGCTTCGATCGGGGTGTTTGGGCGCGAGAGGCGGAGGGACAGGCGACGCGCCATGACGCGTACGAGTACGTTTGGGAGCGCTAGTGGCGAGGAGGAGTGGGGTGGGAGTACGGGGGAGAGTGTGGAGACGGGCGGAACGGCGGAGGTTGAGACGCCAAAGAAGGTGGTGATACCAAAAACGCCGAGGGCAAGCAAGAAGATGTCGGAGATGATGGGACGGCCTCACAATCGGCCAGAAGCAGATCCCGCGACGCGGCCTTCGCGGGCTACCGTCGTTACGAAGTTCAAGCGCACCGAAGACGCGGTTGATGGAGAGGACCAATGGGAGAAAACAAACGTCCTTGTCCGCCTCAACTTCACTGGCGACAACATTCGTGCGGTTCAACGCATATTGAAGAATCTTCCACCGACCCCGCCGCAGACGCCCGGCGAATTTAAGATACCAAAGACTCCAGCGACCGCACGTACCGCGACGTCGTTCCATTCTCAGCATATTTGGGAATCCATTGAGTCAGCCCATACGTTTCCACTCTTCGAGCGCCTGTGGGTTGACGAGACTCAGGCCTTCAACATGAAGAAGGTAGTAGCGTCGTTACGGACTCCGGATAAGGAGGCGGAGGCATTGCCGGTGGGCTTCAATTGGTTTCCGGACGCGGTGCCTGTCGATGCTATATTTCCGCCTGGAGTTCCGATGTCTGCGAAGGAGATAAATGTGAGAAGCCTCGAGATGTTTGACTCTGACATAATGGCTGACCATGTGTGCGTAGGCGTATTATCCTCACCAGACGCGCTGGAAGGGCGTGATTCTGCGTCTGGTCAACAACGATTACCGTGGTGCGGATCTCCTGGGCATGCAGGTACGTACCTCTGATACTCGACTCCGCAGAATAATGCTAACGCAAACCCGACAGGCATGGTTCCGGGGCCTAGCTGCTGGTGACCTCCCCATCACTCCCGGCCAAATGAACATGTTTCTCCGCGATGCTCTCCGCCGCAAGCTCCCAGACTTCAAGGCTACCGATGGCCTCTGGAAAGGCAAACCCGACCGGAATCTCTTCACCGACGACGCCCGCCCGGGTAAATACATTAAAGACAGACGCCATGGCTTCATAGTTCCGACGTTCGATGACCTCCTCAAAGGACTGAAGTATCTTCCCACCGGTCTGGATGCTCGCGGCCTCACACAATGCCTGGTCTGGTACTTGAACTTCCGCGACAAGTTCTCCCCGCGCCTGGAGTTGAACGTCCTGCACACACAGTCCCTGATTCGCGCGCTTCGTCAGCCGCTGAAAGCCTTCGGGCCTCAGAACCTGGATATGAATGCGTTAAAGGAGTGGAAGGAGAAGGGCACCTTCGCGGAGCGGCGCGTCGAGGATGAAGAGCGGCGGTATGAGAACACAGTCCGCGACGCGAAGGAGATCCGGAAGTCACAGCTTGAGCTCATCCCAGGCGATGAGAGTATCAAACTGCACCTGAAGTTGCACACGCGCCATGTGCTTATGCTGCCTTTTGTCGCTATGCTGGGTATGACCGGAAAGGCGTTGGAAATGGGGGTGGAGAAAGCCGAGGAGCGGAAGGCAGAGAAGTTGGCGAATGAGAAGAAACCTGAAGAGGAGGATGCGGAGGCAAACGACAAGACGACCAACGAAACTGGAGAAGGAGAGCAACAAGACAAGCTCCGACCATATCGCATTCCGAAGCGGCCACGCGTCGAAGAGAACGCACCATCTGAGCGCCCTTCCAAGATGAGCGTTCGGAAACGTTCACAGGTCCCGACGGCGCTACGACTTCTATCCGCCTCTCCGGCGCCGGTATCATCCAGGCGGCCTAGTAGCGCCGCATTCTCGTACCCTGGTGCTGCAGCAGATCTTAGCGACCCGTCTTATTCCCGCCGAGAGTTATACTAACATGGGCCATCCAATGCTTAGGCGAATTAGCATCGAAAAGCTTACTCTCATCCCTACCCGTATCCTTGCGATGGACATCAGTACTAGCACTGACGCAGGTTGGACCGTTATGGTCCGGAAGTGCGGTACAGTACCATGGGCGAACCATCAGTGTGGTAGACTACGCTTCGACCTTTACGCCATTCTCATTATTGGCCTCTTCTTGTGATTTGAAGCGAGAGTAGTTTAGGCATATAGTGGCTGAATGCAGCGTAGCATTCGTCTGCGTATCGATATTGACCCCATCCCACATCATACGCGTGCACCGGGTATGATGAATCGTTATCTTTAGACGATGTATGGTACGCATTGTTAGAGGCGCAACCTTTTCGCATCGTTCTTATCGGAATTGAGCTCGGGTGCGTCTTTCCTTTTCGCGGGCCCTGTGTGGGAGATGTCGAGAGGCACTTGTTTGTATCGCGCCACATTTGCGTCGATAGGCTGAAGGAGAGTCGGTGGAGGCGGTAGCCGAGGTTGATGACTTGCCGCGGGGTATGCTTGTGATGGATATCCATGTTCAATGTAAGATATAGCGTTAAAGTGCGGAGGAGCGCCGTATTCTCTGGGATACTGCATCGCGGAGTGCATATTGTGTGGTTGCATTAGAGGAAGCGGATGAGCTGAGTTCGATAGTTCTCGAAGTGGCGGAAGCCGATTAGTGACAGAGAGCTTCTGGTTCTTCATCTCCACAATCTCTTCATATCGCTTGCCAAGTAATATCTTTAGCGTGTCCTGGTCAAATCCCGCGATCACGTTCTCCGCCTCTTTCTTTCTTGCCTCCCAGGAGTGGAGCGCCTGATCGTACTGGTAGGTAGTCTTCATCACAATCAGCTAGTAGCCATCGCTACGTTCCATGGTTAGACCGCCGCAATCAGATTTGCCGTTGTGTATCGCTTGGCGAAGATGGTCGTGCCCGCACTTGGGTAGTTTCTATTCGTACACTTCATGGTACGGATCCTCGAGAAACGCGTTGAGCTGAATGCAGTCTTGACAGGAGCCTTGTGTCCAGAATGGGCATTTCCCCGGTTGACGAGTCCATTGATTTGGCTTCTGCGGCTCGTTGCCCACGCATGTGCTGATATAATTGGTGATGATATCTTGGTAAAGACGTCGATAGCTTGTCAATCTCGCGGCGTCGAAAGCGAGGCCATGACTGAGCAGCATTGGCGATAGGTCTCGCAAGCATATCAGGGTGACTGGAACAAGAATAGCAGGGCCTGCTCGATAGGTTTCGGCTTCAAGCCGGTTCAGGATGCCATCAACTTCCCCGTGAAGAGAAAAAGATAGACATAGCCGGAGGAATTTGGCGAGTTCACGGCCATCGATTGGGGTCAGTGAGACACGCTGTTGCCCCAATTTTATACCCGACTTATGCAGTGTGACCATGCCCGTTTCATAGCTTCGAAAGGCTTCACGTTGCCAACGAACCAGGTTGAAGTGCTCGCGTATGCGGGGTGCAAGCCGACTATAGGCAGCCCGGATGATTGTTGTAGGGATGGTGCCGTCCTCGGAAAGGGAAACCATAAAGCTTATTACGAAGGGAGTCATCTCGACAGCGGCCTCAAGCACCGGGCAAATCCTGGAGTTGTGAATAGCTGTCTATAAGTCGAAAAGGGGGAGCTTACTTGTCTAGGAGGTACTCCCAACCCGCGAGCTCGCAAATGTATATTAAAGGACGTCTCGCTGATTTAACGAGTATTTTCGTTGGTTCCAGCAGGTCTTCCATCTTGCTCAAGAACCATTGCCCAAGGGGGGACAGATACGCGTCAATGCGGGTGATTAGGTTGTCCAAGTCAGTCCCGAAGAGTCGCTTCAGCGCTTGGAAACGCGGCTCGAAAGATTGGAAAGCGTCGGCGCAAATATCGAGACTGAGAGCGTCAGTTTTTGGCATGAGAGGGGCAAACCACAGCATACCACTCAGCAATTCTTTTGAAATCAACGGTAGCCAAAAGCTTGTGTAGGTCTTCGAAAAACTCAAGTGGAGCGCCCTCCTGGAAACATCCCACGGCTCGTTGAAACAAGTCAAGCTCCCCAAGCGTATGCATATATTTGCGACACGGACGACAGGATCGCTGTATCGTATCTTGCCTACGAATCCAGCTCGTAACTTCGCTTCCTTCTGCTCGATAATTCTGGTACAGAGCTGGAGGAGGTCTGGGCGATAGGACAAATCATGCAGATTTTGCTTATCCTTGGTCGTAAGATAGGAAAGAATATCTTCGGCAAGATGTTCCTCACTAGTAGCTACTGCCTCCAGGAAACGCAGCCGACAGGGCGCGACGAGCAGGACATGGGCGATGCCGTCTTCCTCGGGCCCATAATCCGCGAAATACTCGCTCTGAATAAGGTCTTCTGGCGAACCCGCGAATCGTCGACATACCTGGGTGCTAGCCAGATCTAGGGTCCTCGCAAACTCGTAGACTGGTTCCTTTTGTATGGATTCAGTATCGCACTCGGAAAGGCAGTCAGACCCCTGATCATAATCCGGCTCTTTATCCTGGATATGCCTAACGATGGTGGATAGGTACAGCGCGCTGCCGGTTTGATCATAGGCTGTTTTTAACGCTAGATAATGGCGTGAATCATCGTCTCTGAGATCTTCCAAGGCGAAACCTTGTTCAATGGCAGCGCATTCGTCACCGTATGCGTCTTTTAGAACATATGCGAGGTACTTCGGTGATCGGTTCGTCGGCTTCCGAAACTGTGCCTGCCATTTTCGCAGAACGGAAACGAGCGTGCTGACGCCGTGGGGATGGGAAGGTTCGAAGAGTGCAAGACCTTTGGGCTGTTGGTCTTCCTCGAAGGCAGCAAGGAGCGAGGAGCGAATGTCGAAATCTAGCGGACCGCACGGCGACGCGTTTGGGAGGGCTTGACTTCAGCCCCGAGATCGACGACGTCCGTTGCAAATACAAGACTCCCCTGGTTGCTGAAAGACATGGAGAATGAGTTGATAAAAAAGTCAATTGGGTGGAGTGATGGGTTTCAAGACGAATCACCACTATCGTGTTGGTGAGAGGTGAGTTGTGATGTTCGCGACGCGTGAGATTACCATCCCGAAACACGCGCTAAGATACAAGCACGTGATCTTGAAGTGCGCCCGCAAATCCTTTATTAGGTTACTGTGGCTAGGATTCCTGATAATCAACGAAAACAAAATAATCGAAAAAGTTGATTAGGTGGTCACACCCTTGCGTCCCTCAACCACCTCTCGAACCCTATCCACTACACACTCTCTTCTCCTTGCCTAATGCATACTCGTAACCCACTTCGTCGCCAAATAAGACCTGCACCCATACTCATAATCCACCGTATCCACCGTCGTCGTGAACGTATACTGGGTCCAGTTGGACGAATACCAGACGCTAGGGAAAGGAGTCGTGATCGCTTTGGTAACAGAGCACGTGGACGTCGTGTACTCGACCAGAGTTGGTGTAGCGGCTGGCGAGGATGATCGGACCCTGTCGGTGTCCTTCCCGCAGGTGGTGGTGAGGAAGACGAGGGGAAGAAGGGTAGCGATGGTGCGGGTCTTCATGTTTCCCTAGGCTAGGGCGAGGCGATGAGGAAGGAGTCCAAGCAGAGTGGTAATGCGGAAGCTCGACGGTTGGAGAATGAAATGCTGGTGGGTCGAAGTTGGGTGCTGCTCCCCGAGCCGAATGGTGGGCCAGGATATGTTCTTATAGTTTCGCATGTCCCGTCCGTATCGTACGTCCGCCCTGCCTCACCGACCTAGATGCATCGAATGCCTATCCCTACAGGCCATTCTCCATCGTTCCAACCTCAAACCGTCCTGCCAAGTCTTTACTTCCTTCCTCTCTCGACTGCGTGTGCGAGGGCCCGGGCTACGCTTCGCAGAACTTCACTGGCGCTATTTGCTTGGATGCCCCATCTAGACTCGCCCACAGCGAAGTCTTCAAATACCGTTCGCGGTGTTCCAGAGATACGGGTCCCTTGCGTTCTACGCGCGCTTGGTTCGTGGTACAAAGACGCTTCCGAAAACAGACTGATTGCCTAGTTAGGAATCGTGAGCATCTATTGTCAAGGTTCCTCAGAAATGGGAGAGAACATTTTATAGGAAGTACAACATGATTAATTAAGTATAAGGAACTATCCGCCTCCACTCCGACAATATTAAAAACCCAAGGCCCATGAAAAGCAAAGCAGGCTCGAACCAATCCAACAACTTAGGGTATTACAATAACTTACACAGCGGAGCCAAAAGAAAAATGCCGTGGAAGCAGGACACTTTTCGAAACGTGGTGTTGAGACCGGACGGGGAAGGCGCGACGACCAAAAGCGCCTAATGGCGCAGCCTGAGCACCAGGTAAGCCAAGATGCGATATCCAGCGATGATGGCAATAGTAATGCCAATCCACTGCCCCTCATGCATGCTAATCCTGAAATTCTCCAGAATGGCCGTCCCGCGAATCTTGCCCTCCGCATTCAAATCGCTCGGATACATGCAATGGAACTCGCCGTTCGCCGCGCGAGCACAGTCGTATATCTCCGTCTTGAACTCGTTGACCATCATGCCCTGGAATACATAGGCCTGGTAGTCGATATAGTGGAAGACGTACTTCCAGAAGGGGTTGAGGACGTTCATGGGGACGAGGAAGCCGTCGACGCACATCCAGAGGCCGTTGATGAAGGCAGTAAGCGCGAGCGAGACGACGAAGACGGGGAATATGACACTGATGAATACGACGAGTGCTTCGGCGGCGACTAGGTCGAGGAACAGCCAGAGGACGAACCAGAAGAATGCGCTGCCGTCTTGGCGGAAGTTGATGAGGAAATAAGCTGGAATGGAGAAAAGGACTGTGATGAGAAAGAGGAAGGGGAGGCCGATGAAGAAGTTGGCGACGCTGAATGAGAGGGGGCCTACTAGGCCATTCGCATGCTCCTTTTGGTATGTGTGGAGGTCCTCTAGGAAGGCGGGGACGTAGGCGACGGCCATGAACGACATGAAGGCTGATCCGAAGAATATCGCGTTGATGTAGGGTTGGATGTCTTCTTGAGTATGGGAAAGCCGCAGGAACACTGTGCCCATTAAGATAGCCAAACCGAGGTACATGAAGATACGAATCCAGTATGCGACGATGTCGCGATATGCCTTGATCCACGAGCGCTGCAGCAGTACGACCGGGATAGCCATTAGGCTAGGCTTATCCGGCTTGAGCTTCGTAAGGTCTGGGATGTGTGCCGACGTCTTCGCAGCAGCGATGGCCTTCTCGATCTCCGTCTCAACACGTTGAGCGGGTCCGCATTCGGCCCACTTCTGGGTGATGTCCTGCACACGAGCGTAGACATTGTCGCCTTCTTTAGCCAAGTCGGTATTGATGAGATCGAGGTAGAATTCGGCGGGATTAGTCTCTGGCGGCATGTCGTATCCGATGCTGGAGAAGTAGCCGTGCGCTGCTGGGAGCGGACCAAAGTAGCACATCTTGCCTTTCGACAAAAGAGCTACCTTGTCGAATAACTTGAAGGTCGACGTGGACGGCTGATGGATCGAAGCAATGATGATAAGCTATGCATTGTTAGCAAAAGATGGTGTCAAAGTGGGCAATAGCGGCTTACGTTGTGTCGCCTTGCAATTTCCTTGATGTAACTGATGACCTCGAAGCTGAGAGTTGAGTCCAGTCCGCTAGTAGGCTCGTCAAGAAAGAGGATCTTGGGGTCGGTTACAAGGCGGCTGGCGACACCAAGACGCTTCTTCTGGCCTCCGCTGAGGCCTTTCTTGATGGGAGTGCCGACGATTGTGTGCTTCTGCTCTTGCAGACCAAAGCTCGCAATGAGATCGTCCACACGCCGCATTCGTTCCGTCTTGCTTGTCTTGCTATTTTCCCGTGAGTGACAGAACATGCAGTGCACCGCAAATATGAACGTACCTGGAGAGTGCAAGGCCAGCAGCGAACTGCATGGTCTCGCGCACCGTCAAACTGCCAATCAAGGCATCCTCTTGCTCGACGTAGCTGGAAAGCTGTCGTAGCTTCTGCCAGCTGATCTTCTGCCCGTTGGCGAGGATGTCTCCGGTGGTAGTTGCTCCCGCTGCTGCGACTCTATGTGCGACAGCGTTAAGCAAAGTAGTCTTGCCGGAGCCGCTTGGACCCATGATTGCAAGCATTTCGCCGCCATGGACAATGCCTTTGGAGTCGGTGAGGATGGACAAGGGCTTCTTGGTAGCTCGGTCCTTCACATCCACGCGGAGATTGTTCCAGGCGAAGCAGTGGACTATGTCGTTGACAAGGTGAGCGCTCTTCACAGGATTGAGCTCCAAATCGGGAAGATCATTGGGGTGCTTTTCTTGCGCCGAGGTATCGCCGTTTGTGATGGGCGCGAAATAGGACGTCTCTCCGTTGGTTGGAGATGCCATGGTGAAGACTGAAGACGACCGGCTCGCTGTCCGTTTTTGGGTATTATGCAAGGATGCTGGAATGGTACCAGAGGGGTGGTAGTGCTGTGAGTCTGCTGGATCTGGCATGTGCAGCACCCGCGATCTGAGTTATATCCCTGCGGTCGGGAGACCGCGGGAAAGCGCAGCCATCAAAACTAGAACCCCAAAAGATGCCACCGTCGGGCGACGTAGGTACGTCACCAAGGTGGTATGTTCGCCGAGGAGAGGCAAGCCCTTTTGTCTCGCTTGGCTGAGCTTAAGTAAGCAGCTCCTACCTTGAACGTCTTTGCGCGATGCCCTATAGCTCCACATGTTGGCGATCATCCCAAAGCGGGCAGGCGGATTCCAAAGCAGCTGGTACCTGAGTGGCCTGAAGAAAATTGTTTGTGGGACGACATCTGGATTGGCGTGTTCGGCGGTTGATCCAGCTGAAAAAGCGCCACCCCGGTTGCGCGCGGAGCAGCTTTGTTCGGCGACGTCCCGAGCCAAACCTCAGCCACCAAAGCGCGGCTTTGCCAGCATCGCCGACAAGGTTGCTAATCAACACCGAAGCCGCTCGTCCCTGCTGGATTCTCTCCGCAGGTTCCAAGAATCCCCGCAATAGGTTTAATCGAGACCCTATCGCCCGCATCAGCAGGGCGAATTTCACCAACCCCGGGACTTTACCCATCAGGTGAGACCAGAAAGGACTGGCTGCTGCATCCTATATCTTGGGAGAGCCTAGCCGAGGGCCATGCCACAATATTCGCGAAGCGACTCCTTCCCATATGACCTCTCCCCCTTCCGACATGTCATCCCCAGAATCAAGGTCGATCCGGTTCAGAGTTCCTCGCGCTTGCGACCGCTGCCGGATAAAGAAATCGAAAGTAAGTAGGCTCCATGATCGATGCAGCCCGAAACCTCCCCATACTAACGCCTGAGTAGTGTGACGGGAACAAGCCTTGCGCAAAATGTAAACACGACAATGCGCTATGCTGTGTAAGTGCTCTGAAGAGGCCGAAGACAGCTTTCCCCGCTGGGTCAGTATTTGTCTGCTCTCAATTGATGTCGACCGGCTAATTCCTTTGCATCAGATACACCGAGCTCGTTGAACGGCAAAACAAATACCTGGTCCGCGGTGTCGTAGCCTTGTACCAACAACTTCTTGAAGGCAAGCCTTGGGATGCAGGCCCCGTGCAAGTGGTCAACGGCTCTCCGCTTGTACACGACATACTCGAACGTCTGCAGGTGAGGCCAGTCGACAACGAGGGCCAATGTATACATCCCGATGGTACAGTTGAAGACCATCCCGAGAATAGCGCATGCGCTGGACAAGGTGCACAATGCACACTGCTTCCAGCTCCAGCTCAAGCAAGCCCCGACGCTACGATAACCGCAACGGGAGATGACCCTGGAGCAGCGAGCACAGCGGCGACCGGCGATCTCGATAACAGTAGCAACAGCACCGTGCTCCCAGTTATGGAAGCGCGGAAGGTTGGCGACTTGACAATGATGGAGCCAGGGCAGCTGGATGCGAGTCCAGAGCCTCTTTCCAACAGCCCCGAATCGCCAGTGTCATCGTATACATCGTCGTCAGGTGTAGAGCAGGCATGGTGGTTCGACTGGGTAGCGCAATCTTCATACGGTCAGATGCTGGAAGTGGATTCCACACCGAACGGCGCCCCTCAGCCAACCGAGGACGGTGTGGCAAACTTGGATGCTTATCCTCTGGATATTGATCCTGGCTGGAGCTGGGATTTTGAGGGTGACGAGATGCAGTTTTAAGGATGGAAGCATGGCGCCCGAGGAAATTGTGTCGTTCAATGGTCATCGAAGCGTTCGAAGTACTGATCTAGTGTGTTGAGCAGTCTCTTCTTCACATGTAGGTAGCAGGATTAGTAATATCACCGCCCAGCACAGAATGACTGACTGCAGGCGTTGGTATGGCGTGACCAGCCTGAGGCGCCGAGTCGCGACTCTGCGCAATGGAGGCTTTCGCCTTTCGTGTAGTCGGTTAGCGCAGTGTGGACGAAGAATAAAGACGCGTGTGAGGTGGAAAGAAGCTTGACCGCGTGCAATCTCGCCGCCCAGGTAGTGGGGACCGCGCTCGGGCCACCCCCGCTTTCGTTTAGCGCTCGCCCCAGACTGCATCACCAGGTTCGGGGATCATCATGCGACCGCCTCCGCGCCTTGGAGTACCTACTTATCACTCCACCGTCCCTTTGTATCCAATCCCGCTTGTGATATTTCCGCCCCGCGCCGACTCAAACTCCGCTACGGCTGCGTGTGGCCTTGTGCTCGGCGGAGCACGGAGCGTCGGGGAAGACCGTACCTGTGCTACACAACGTCTATTTCGAGTTGAGATGCTTCGATCGAGCTAAAAGTTAAAGAACATTCTCCTCACATTTATGCCGGAGTCTCTAAATTCCTTATAGGTCCCGTTCCGCTTCCGGGATAGCAGTTCCCGCCCGGCCTCGTGCACTTTGACGGCCACAACTCCAACTGGATCGCTGCGGGACTGTGTCCATATTTGATTCCTGCACAGCAAGGCATCGAAGTCGTACTATACCTGCATTCGCCACGAGCGGGACGGTCGAGTGTGTTGGCGCAAAGCGAGTCTCCAAGGAACCTATGGAGGCCCACACCGTTGCACACAGCGCTTTCCCATGACGGCTCTCTCAGCGCTCATCATTCCAAATCGCTTAAGCCGCCCCTTGCGCTTCCACGGGCGGAGTCGATATCCAATGTCATGGGGCTCCAGCGCATTCTCGCGCTGACATTCGGCGAGCAAAGAGCCTTGAACACGTAGCATCCCCTGTCCCTCAACGATTCGCCGCCAACGTTCTTGCGCACTTTGTTTTCCTAGCAATTGTGGAGGTTAGTGCAATCTGGCGCTGCTCTTCCCGCATCCAGAGGTCCCCAGCCGAGCCTACTTTCTTCTCTGGCCACCTCAAGTGGCAATCAAGTGTCGCGATGTCATCCACCATCTCACGCGGAACGGCTGAGCAACGCAGGGCATGGCATCGTATACAAAGGCAACCCGACAGCTCTCCCCTCTAGGTATCAGAAAGCCTGATCGCATTCTCGAGCGACTGCAACCAGCTGATCAAGAAATCCTCGGCCATACAATCACCGGTAATGCGAATAGCAGGCTACGTAAGACGATTGACACGGTTCAATGCAGATCGGCGGATTACACCGGCGAGTCTTTCGGTGGAATCCGATTGATTTCCCGTACGTCGGGCCAATGAACTAGCCGATTGACCGGAGGGAGACGGGTCGCCCCTCCTCACGCGCGCCGCCGAATCTGCGTTCAAAACTGACTTCAGTAATACGGAGCTCGATCGGAGTGGCCAAATGAGAGTCATAATCTGCTCGTCATGCCGTCGCAGCCACGCGTGCACTGTTCGTCAAATGGGCGGATTCCTAAGCAGCTTTCGGGATGCCGCAGCGCATACGAGGAAGATCAAAAATATGGGGAGTGGGATATGACATGAGTACACTCCTATGAGCTTCGGACCTAAACGTTCAGCATCGCACAGCCTCTACTTCACCCTATCCTAGATATTATGAGGCTTCGTGTCGCGCCGGAGCCGATACGAAAATGCCGTGTTGTAGGATGTATCTTCTTTACATATCTATTGTATCGATGGACTCTTTGGCGATACATTGGGCAATACATTCTTAGGAGTTGGTGACCGATGTCACGTGATGTACGAATTCACTCTTTCTATTCATTGTGCGTTAAGAGTGAGTCATGTATTTACCCTTGAACATCATGTAACCTCTGTTTATTTAAAACTTGCCTGTCGGTCACTTATGATTACTACAACCCCGTCGCACATCTGCACTTTCCATGCACCACTACCAAACACAGCACAACTCAGCCTTGGCAAACTCGTACTCGACTCGAACTGTTTCTGCCCGCATGGACCCGTCGCAAAATAGGAAAGCGCAAGGTGCATTTCGCTCGCGCAAAGACAATCCACAGCCCAGCGAAGTCGCACGGCCCCAGACGGTGATGGAGCGAGGCGGTAAGTGGGTGCCTGTCGCGACCGGCGGGACATCCGCTGACATGATGCCATCAGGCCGTGGTCTCGGATCTACAGGCCTATCTGCCCAGCACGTCGGCTTCGTAGTCCCGGGACCAGGACCAATGGACGGCCCGTCTCCAGCATACACATACCTGGGATACCAACACCCACTCTACCACCTCCCGCAAGGAGACATCAACGGCATCTCCTACGCGCCTCCCAAAGCAAGTCCTCCCCAATCCTCCGCTCCGACAGTATCACCCCCGCAACCCCCCTCCACAGCTCCCACAACACAACCCTCCAACCTCATCCGCGACGCACCCGCCCCATACGCATACGACTTCTCGGACCGTGCGCTCGTCATCCGCCTCGCGCGCAGCAAGCTCGCCCGCGCAACGGACTACACTTGGACCGAGCACTACGACATCCTCCACAGCTCATACAAGCAAGCTCTCATCGCCGAACTCAACCGCAAGCTGCACCGGGGTCTGAAGCCGAAGCCGCTGCTTCGGGAGATGGATTCGAAGTGCGTTGATGCCGGGTTCCATGCGTATTTGGCGTTTGCGCGGAGCGGCATGCAGCAGGAGATTGAGTGGAGGTGGTGTACTGAGCATTTGGATATTTTGCGACATGTGCGGCTTGAGCGGGTGGAGTTGGGGTTGGAGGAGTTGGATCGTGTGGTTAAGATGGCGGGGGCTTGGACGCTGGGGAAGGGGGAGGAGGAGGAGAAGGAGGAGGAGGAGGAGGAGGA